CATTTCTATTCGCATGTCTCACCTTGGTGACCAACGGCGTCCGTTCCTTAGTGTTCTGGCACAGATTGTCGAGCGCTCACAGAATAATGAACTGTGCAGCAAAATCTTGGGTATGGCCGAGTCGTGGATCTTCCATTCGACCGAGTCTTGGCCAACCCTGAAGGAGAAGACAGCTGTTTTGCACAAGATGCTACTCTTCGAATCTCGTCCTGATCAGACAATGCTGAAGAAGTTCCTTGATCTCGTCATTCGAATTTATGAGGACTCTAAGATCACTCGCACTGAATTGACAGTGCGCTTGGAGCACGCTTTCCTCATCGGCGCAAGAGCACAGGACGTTGAGATGCGCAATCGGTTCATGCAGATCTTTGATCGAAGCTTGACCCGGCTTGCAAGCTCTCGTCTCAGCTACGTTCTTACTTGTCAAAATTGGGATACTCTTGCTGACTCTTTCTGGCTGGCCCAAGCATCGCATTTAGTGCTGGGATGTGTTGATATGAACACCCCTGCCCGCTTGCACCACGAAGACTTCACCCTCTTCCCTGCCTCGTTCCTCTTCGGCAGTGCTGACAAGGACCCCAGAAAGGCCGACATAATGGTTGACAGCCAGCTTGAAACGTTTGTCGCCGAGCGCAGGAAGTTCATGTCAGACATTGGCGATCTCAGAACTCGGGATCTGATTGAGCCTTTGTGCCAGCTCCAGCACACTGATTCGAATGTCGCCTACAAGCTGTGGACTACTTTGTTCCCCATATTCTGGTCTACACTGTCCAAGGAAGATTGCATTGACCTCGAGAAAGACATGGTCACATTGCTTACTCGCGAGTACCACCACAGACAACTTGACAAGCGCCCCAATGTTGTTCAAGCTCTCCTTGAGGGTACTGTGCGTGCTCGTCCACGGTTCAAGATTCCTCCCCACGTCGTGAAGTATCTGAGTCGTACTTACGACGCATGGTACACCGCTGCCACCTACCTCGAACAAACTGCCATCGATCCTATCATCGATACACCTACTGTGCGTGAAAGCAACCTCGACGCCCTCGTTGAAGTCTACGCAGGTCTACAAGAAGACGATTTCTTCTATGGAACATGGCGCCGCCGATGCAAGTTTGTCGAAACCAACGCCGCCCTCTCGTATGAGCAGCAAGGAATGTGGGACAAGTCCCAGCAACTTTATGAGAATGCTCAGATCAAGGCTCGTTCCGGTGCCATGCCATTCTCGCAGGGTGAATACTTCGTGTGGGAAGATCACTGGTTGATCTGCGCCCAGAAACTCCAGCAGTGGGAGATTCTTAGTGACTTCGCCAAACACGAGAACTTGAATGACCTCCTGTTGGAATCCGCCTGGCGAAACATTGAGAACTGGCAGAGTGAAGGAAACCGAGAGCAGCTTGAGTCATTGATCAAGTCCGTCTCTGACGCTCCTACGCCGAGACGCACCTTCTTCCAGGCCTTCATGGCTCTGCTCCAATATCACACTAAGAAGGAGAACATCCAAGACTTCAACAGCGTCTGCGATGAGTCCATTCAACTTTCGATTCGGAAGTGGCTGCAGTTGCCCAAGCGTATCACCAATGCTCATATCCCGATACTGCAACACTTCCAACTTTTGGTCGAGTTGCATGATGCCAGCCATATTTGTGGTAGCTTGTCTCAAACCAACGAGCGAAACTTGGACACCAAGTCTGCCGAGCTGAAGCTATTACTCGGAACATGGCGAGACCGTCTGCCCAATCTCTGGGACGACATCAACACATGGCAGGATCTTGTCACTTGGCGTCAACACATCTTCCAGCTCATCAATGGCACTTACCTCAGTCTGTTGCCCCCACAGACCAACAACGTGGCAAGCAATTCTTACGCCTACCGCGGCTACCATGAAACAGCCTGGATCATCAATCGCTTCGCTCATGTGGCGCGTAAGCACCAGATGCCAGAGGTCTGTATTAACCAGCTCAGCCGTATCTATACTCTCCCGAACATCGAAATCCAAGAGGCATTCCTCAAGCTTCGGGAGCAAGCCAAGTGTCATTACCAGAACCCCAAGGAGTTGAACAGTGGTTTGGATGTGATTAACAACACCAACCTCAACTACTTCGGACCGCAGCAAAAGGCAGAGTTCTACACCCTAAAGGGTATGTTCCTTGCCAAGCTGGATCATGTCAATGAGGCAAATGAGGCGTTTGGGGTTGCTCTCTACTACGACCTCCGCCTTGCTAAGGCCTGGTCTGAGTGGGGACAATACAGCGACCAGCGATTCAAGGCTGATCCAACCGACTATGAGTTAGCCAGCAATGCCGTCAGTTGCTACTTGGAAGCGGCTGGTCTTTATAAGAGTGCGAAGTCCCGGAAGCTGCTCAGCAGAATTCTATGGCTTCTCAGCTTGGACAATGACGAAGGCAAGATCGCAAGTGCTTTTGAGAACTTCAAGGGAGACACCCCGGTGTGGTACTGGATCACCTTCATTCCCCAACTTCTCACCAGCCTGTCTCACCGCGAGGCTCGCCTCTGCAAGGCTGTTCTGGTCAAGATCGCCAAGCTCTACCCACAGGCTCTCTTCTTCCTGCTTCGTACCAACCGAGAGGACATGCTGAGTATCAAGAAACAGCATGACCAAAAGCAAGAGAAGATCAACCGTGCCCGGCAACAACAACAGGGATCATCACCAAGTGTCAAGGCCACTCCTGGTGCGGATGGTTCCCCTGCCCAGAAGGCTCAGGCTGCTGGAGGTGCCAATGCTTCGCCAGCGGTACCGGCTGCAAACTCGCCGGCCACCCAGAACATTGTGCCACCGCAGAGCCAATCCCCTGCCCAGCCTCAAAATCCTGTTCAGGCATCCCCTCGTCCAGGGCCAGGTCAAAGTCCAGTGGCTGGTCAGACTCCGGGTCAAGCTCACCTGCAAGTTCCTGGTCAAAATGGAACACCTCAGAACGCTGCTGCCCCTGCAACGGATGAGAAGGAGCCCCTCAAGAAGCCCTGGGAGTACTCTGATGAGATCATGTCTGGTCTTAAGACTGCCTTCCCGTTGCTTGCTCTCTCTATGGAAACCATGGTTGACCAGATCCACAAGAACTTTAAATGCCCTCCTGATGAAGATGCGTACCGCCTCATTGTTGCTCTTCTTAATGATGGTCTCGCTTACGTGGGTCGTATGCCTGGATCTTACGCACAAGACTTCAAGTTGCCTGCTGCGACTGAGGCGAACATTACTCGCTTCGCGGAGACCATTCTCCCGGCTCACATCCGCAAATCTTTCGAGGCGGACTTCGTTATTAAGAAGCCTACTATGAACGAGTACATCCACAAGCTTCGACGCTGGCGCGACAAGTTCGAGGAGAAGCTCGATCGCCGGCCTCAGCAAGGCTTCCTCGAGGCCTACTCACCGCACCTCAGTGAGTTCCGCTTCCTCAAGTTCGACGAGGTTGAAGTTCCTGGCCAGTATTTGCTCCACAAGGACAAGAACCAAGACTTTGTCCGCATCGACCGTTTCCTTCCAGATGTGGACCTGGTACGCGGTATTGGTGTCTGTCACCGCCGCTTAAAGATTCGAGGACATGACGGCAGTGTTCAAGCATTTGCAGTCCAACATCCCGCCGCCCGCCACTGCAGACGCGAGGAACGCATTCTTCAATTGTTCCGGATCTTCAATGGCCTGCTTGCGAAGCGCAAGGAGAGTCGTCGCCGCAACTTGTACTTCCACTTGCCGCTCATGGTTCCTCTGGCACCGCACATTCGCCTGGTTCGCGATGATTCTTCGTACATCTCTTTCCAGGGTATCTACGAGGACTACTGTCGAAGGATGGGAATGAACAAGGATGAGCCAGTTCTCTTCACAATGGATAAGATGAGGTCATTGGCGGAGACAAAGCAGAACGTGAGTTTTCTAGCTCCCAGCGTTGAAACCCAAACTAATCATTCGCAGCGCTCGACCGATCAACAGCAGATTCTTCGCACGGAAATCCTTACCGCCATTCAAGAGAAATGGGTCCCCAGCACTGTCATGCTGGAATACTTCCAGCAAACATACCCGAACTTCTCAGACTTCTGGCTCTTCCGTCGCCAATTCGCCTACCAATATGCGGCAGTGGCTTTCATGACCTATGTGATGCACATTGGCAACCGATACCCCAACAAGATCCTCGTATCTCGCTCGACTGGTGACATCTGGGGTGCCGAATTGATCCCCACTATCAACCCTGCCAAGGCATTCTTCTACAATCCTGAGCAAGTGCCCTTCCGTTTCACACCCAACATTCAAACCTTCCTGGGTCCCATCGCAACAGAGGGTGTCTTCGCCTGTGCAATGATGGCAATCGCACGCTGCCTGACAGAGCCACGCCACGAACTGGAGCAACAGCTCAGCGTCTTCGTGCGCGACGAGATGATGTTCTGGGCTACCGCGCAGCACCGCAGTCCCCTTCCAGTGGGACAACTGCGTGATCTGGTCTACAACAACAGCGAGATCATCGTCAACCGTGCTGTCAGTCTTGCCAGTCCGCCAGAGGGCAACCTGCCTGCTAATCAGACCACCATCGATCTGATCTCCAAGGCAGTCAACCCTCAGCACTTGGCTTCGTGCGATGCGTTGTGGATGCCGTATCTTTGATCGGCTTGCTTGTTTCAGCTTTTGCCGTTTCGCAAAGCGTTTCTTTATGCATGGCTATCGTGTGTTTTCTCAAGCGGGGGTTTTGTCTGGGTTTTGCTTTTTCTAAGCGCGGCGCTTCGAGGTGCGCGACTTTTGCTTCATGTTACAATGATTGTGATACCGATTTCTTTCTTATTTTAATAGTTGAATGATGTCTTTGTTAGAATTTCAGACTATTATGTATTAGCTCCTAATGTATTGATTCGCTTCAATTTTTTCAATGTCGTAGACATCTGTAGTATTGATATTCTGACTAGACTCAACGCCCCAAGTAATCCTCAATTCGTTATTGCGTAAATACCACCCAAACTATTGTTCAAGCGGCGGAGTAGGCGATGGTATGTATTCGACTTTAAACCAGGGATGGCTTCTTCTTGATGCCCAGACTGTTCACACCGCCCTTCTTGGGCCGCTTCACTCTGGCAAAGGATGCCGAGGGAGGCGGCATAGCTGGAAGTGGCGCAACCGATGTCTTTGATTCAACGCTTGCAGCGGGTGTGTCCTCCTCATCAACAATACGTTTGATCCTCTCGCCAGAGGAAGTCATGAACGCCTTGCGAGCAGCCTCCTCATCCTCTTTCTCCGCTTGAAGTGCAGCCTCATCAATATCTTCTCTCACAGTCTCCAAAGCAGCCTCCTCGCCCAAGGCCTCGTTGCGCTCTATGCGCGCATTCCGAGTACGGATTTCGTCCAGCGCATCCGCAATCTGCATTTCGCGCTTCGAGTCAAGCATTTTCTCTTCGAGCTCAGCCATCTTGTCGCGTTCCAGCTGCTCCTGTTCTTCGCCTTGTTCGCGCTCCAGTCGGTCGAGTGTCTGTTCTTCTGTTTCGTTGTATTTCTCGTCTTTGGAGTCGCGCCATACTTCGAAGTTACGCTTTGCGCCGCGTTCACATTCGTAGTCCATATCTAGCGGATATTGTTAGTGTTTGGTGTCTTAAATAACGGCCGCGAGAATCACTTACTCTTTGGGTCTGTTCGGAAGGTGATCTCGCCGCTACATCTTGTACAGCGAATGTAAAACCTGTACATAGGAATCGATAGGTATCGCTCCTCCAGTGTCTCCTTTCGGGCGTTGAACTTGCGACCTCGGTAAATGAATTCGCCGCAGTGTGTGCATTTCATTGAAAACGGTGCCATCAACCGGACGGTGATCACTTTCGGCCCGCTTTTGCGGAGGTGCTTTGGCGTCCGCCCGATCGCCGAGGGATCGAAGTCGGGCGGGTAGTACTTGGTGAGGACTTTTCGCTCAGCCATTTTAGTGAAATGATCTGTCGAGTGAGAAAGTGAGGAGGGAGATGAGCAGACGAAGTGTTGAAGGTGGCGTTGATAAGAAAGCTTCGGGGATCAAATCGGATCACGTGTAATATTGGTCACGTGTATTTCCGATGAGGCAGGACCATTCGCAGCTCTTCCACCTCTTGTAAAGCTTGCGTTGTTAGCTTTGCCCCAGACAAACTGAATGAACAAGTATCCAGTCCTTCAATCTCCTCAAAATTTTATTGCGCAGTCCATACCTCTATGCTTCCATAGCGACATCATCTCGCACGGGCCATTGTTTAGTTCAAAATAAAAGGACCCGCTCATGCACCAAAGTTGCCCGCAGCTGGCATTTGCTCTATTCTCCGACCTCCATGCCTGATACCTCCATTGATATTAGGTTATCGCGCGTCTGACCTTTCGCAATGGAAAGGTTCTTGCGCTCCTGGCGACAGGACGCCTTGAACCGCGGCCAGCATGATTCCGCAATCTACATTGGCGACAAAGTCCTGGCGCTCACCAGTAAGCATTGCGAGACTTGGCGATTCAATGACTTGGAAGGAATGCTAAATCTTCGAAACAGACAGTGACTCCGACGCGTTCTGGCTAGCCCAAGTCCACTTCTCTAACAACAATTTCACACGCGCCTTGGCCCTTCTCTCCCGCAAGGACCTAGTCTCTCGAAGCACCGCCTGCCGATATCTCGCTGCTCATTGCTACATCAAGCAAAACCAGTTCGATCAGGCCCTGTCTATCCTTGGGGAACATAACCCCACTGACCTCATCCGTAACAACCACACTCGGCGCAAGATCCAGCACATCAACAACCAGAGCCACGTTACATTGCGCAATGGGAAGACCGCCACACCGCGTGGTGAGCGAGCCGAGGAGCGTGAACGAGATGAAGCCAATAATGTACGATTTGAAGCCGCGATGTGCTACTTGCGGGGGCTCTGCTTCTCCAAGCAGAATGCGTTTGATCGTGCCCGGGACTGTTACAAGGATGCCGTACGGATTGATGTTCAATGCTTTGAAGCATTTGACCAGCTTATGAAGAATTCACTGATGTCTCCTACGGAAGAATTGGAATTCCTAGAATCCCTTGACTTTGATTCAGTCTCATCCCCCGACCCGATGATGGCGCAGGAAGCCGCCCACTTTACCAAGATGCTTTACACCACTCGCCTCTCCAAATACTCATCTCCCGATATCCTCTCCGATGCCACCGAAACTCTTTCCACACACTATAATCTAGCAGAGAACCCGGACATTCTTCTCTCCCGCGCTGAAGCTCTGTACACACAGTGCCGCTTCCCAGAGGCTCTGGAGTTGACCTCCTCCATCCTTTCTACATCCCAATCGCCCGACCTGACAACAACAAATACCAGCATACCTGCTCAAAACAACCTTGGCCATGCGCCTGCCATCTATCCGCTCCATCTGGCTTGTCTGTACGAAACCGGTGCCACAAACGCTCTCTTCCTATTGTCTCACATGCTCGCGGACCATTCACCAGAAGAACCTTACACGTACTTGGCAATCGGAGTTTACTACTTGTCAGTTTCAAAGGTTGCAGAGGCGCGACGATTCTTTTCCAAGGCCTCATTACTAGATCCACACTCGGCTCCAGCTTGGATTGGGTTTGCGCATACCTTCGCTGCGGAGGGTGAGCATGACCAGGCGATCGCCGCTTATAGTACTGCTGCTCGACTTTTCCAAGGCAGTCATCTTCCGCAACTCTTCCTGGGTATGCAGCATCTCGCTTTGAACAATATGTCCCTTGCACACGAGTATCTATCTGCTGCATATGCCATGTCCACCGGAGCGAAAATTGGGTCGGTTCCCAAGATTTCAACTGCTTTAGCAGTCGGGGGGGATCCACTCGTCCTCAATGAACTCGGTGTTGTCCATTATCATTTGTCCCACCTCGACAAAGCTGTTGAGTATTTCCAGCAAGCGCTGGCGCTGGCTGCTTCTCTTCACTGTGAACCTAGCGCCTGGGTGGCCACCCGTGCTAACCTGGGACACTCCTTCCGCCGGATGGACCTCCTTCCCGAAGCGCTCAGTGAATATGACGAATGTCTTCGCGTGGGCGCCGGCGGGAGCAGCATGGGCTCTTCCCCATTCTTAGGCGGTGGATCGGGTGGGTCTGCTGCAGTCGCTACCTCATCTAGTGTGGGAGGCTACGAAGACCGGGGGTTGACTGGTTCTCTCCATACCTCTCGTGGACTGGTGCTCCTGCAGCTGGGACGCACCACGGAGGCTGTGGCTGCCTTGCATGAAGCGGTCCGTGTCCTCGGGGCTAGTGGGGGCGGTGATGCGGCAGGCGGTGCAGGCGTGGCAGGCACTCTGCTGTCCCGCGCGCTCGAGCTTTGGGCTCTCGAAGGGCGACAGCAAGGTCGCCAAACCTTCGACGAGGACTACCGTGCTGCCTGCACACCTGTTCCCATCAGTCCAACCAAGCGACGGGGATCCAACCGATCTCGCGACCTCAAGGGCAAAGAGCGGACTGCACCCGAGGACCTGTCTCGACGACGCGCGCGCCAGGAGCCCGTTGTCGAAGAATGGACGGACGAGGTGGCACATGCCACCCCTCAGACTGAAGAAGATACTGTGGAAATGGATCTCGATGATGCGGCGGATGGACTGCTACGACGTGCCCTCGGCCGGGTTCGCCCAAGCCGGCAACGTCGCGCAGCCGTCCCCGCCACGCCCGAGATGGAGACCGAACCCCCTGCCCCATCCGGGAGTCGCAGTCGGGGGATCAGACATGGACGAAGCCACTCCCGACAGTGATTGGATTCTCCGCCAAATTTTTCATGTGTCATTTTCTATGCATTATAGCGGGCGTTTTCGGGAGCAATTTGGCACGACAGGGGGGGAAATGTTACCTCTCCTACTTGATCCTCTAGATAGGCATTCTTAGCATTGCAGGACTCGCGTCGTTGATTTTTTTCCCCGTTCCCGAGTCCACTTTTCTGCAGCGATCCGTTTCATTTTCCCAATGAAGTTGGACGGTCAACCTAAATTTAACTCTAATCTGTTGGGGGCTGTTTATGTGGCGCCCTAGTGACTAGGGCAACGGAGTGTAGTATACCAGTATACCAGGACGTGCACGTCGTCATCAGTCAAGCCATCCCATCTTTCTGGTCCAATCCTTGTCCTCACTGACTTTGATACTAGTTAGTGATAGTGCGTAGATCTGATTTTCGACTGGCAGTGCCCCCTATAGATCGCCACTCCAGCGAGGTCCAAGGTCGTAATAGGGATTAGTCACCCACAGAAAAAAAAACAGGGTCCACGGTAAGGCGCCTCCCCCCTGGCGTTGGAGTTCTTGGCGCTGTATGACGAGTATGGGGTTGATATGTTTCTCACTTCTGCTTATATCCAGGTTCAGGATGCAGTCTGGTTCATGCTCGGGTAAACACTCTTCACCTAAGTGAAACCAGGAAGTATTTCACAGCCTCCCTTTCCCCATTCCAAGAATAGCCCCAGAATGCCCCAAGAGCGATGACGCCGCAGACCCACCAGCCTCGGGCAAGCCTCGCCCAATCCCCAGTGGCACATGGGGGCGATCTCGCGGGAGCTGTGCCCGTCCAAGGCTCCTTTCTTTCTGTCTTCCTCAACCATCACACCCGTGATGGCGGCCTACATCCTCATCCGACCGCGACGCGGTCTGTCACTCCTTTCCATAATAGCCATCTTCGGCTTCGGCGTGATCTTTGTGCTCTGGTATGGCATGAGCTCCGATAGAAATTACATCCACCCGATCTTGACGCAGCTCATCCCCGCCGGTCATTGCGCCTGTCAAACCTCGACCACCTTCCAGTGCTCGACCTGCCTCACCTGTCCCGAGACAGGGCTCCTCCACGACGACAGACACCCCCGGTGGAAGTTCGATTACGCGCGCGACGGCCGCAATGAGGCGCTGGATCAGATGCAGTGTCGAGCGGCGTTCCCAGGGTTATTCGAAGACATTGCGCGCGGCGGGAATTTCTGGTCCAGTCATGGGGGTCTCTCCATCGCGGAACTAGACTCAATACCGGTGGAGCAAGGGATGGCGCGCGCATTCATTTCCAATGGGGAGCTCTATGTTGTTTCAGCGCGGTCCAAGGGCGAGGATCATCGGAGGAAAATTTTGGGGACGTTGAGTTCTATTCATCGTGCGCTGGCCGCCGACCCGGAACGAGCTTCACGACGCGATATTGAGTTTGTCTTTTCGGTGGAGGACCTGGTAGAGGATGTGACCAATGGCGATTGGCCGGTTTGGGTGTTTTCGCGAACGCCTACGGAGCAGGGGGTCTGGCTCATGCCTGATTTTAGTTTCTGGGCTTGGGACAATCCGAAGAACTATATCGGCCCGTACGACCAAGTGGTGGACCGTATCCAACGCTTTGATATCCCGTGGGAAGAGAAAAGGCCCCAGTTGGTGTGGCGGGGGAAGCCTAGCTTTGCGCCGAAATTGCGACGCGCGTTGATGGAAGCCGCTAGAGGCAAACCGTGGGGCGATGTGAAGCAAGTTGATTGGACGACTGGGGGGAATGTGCTGAAGATGGAGGATCATTGTTCTTACATGTTCATTGCCCATGTGGAAGGTGAGTTTGCCATTCGCAGGGGGGTCTGCACAGGCTAACCGTGTACTCAGGTCGCTCTTATTCGGCCTCGTTGAAGTATCGACAGGCCTGTAACTCGGTCATTGTCGCACACAAGCTTCAATACATTCAGCACCACCACTACCTACTGGTAGCGGATGGGCCCAACCAGAACTATGTCGAGGTTGAGCGTGATTTCAGTGATTTGGCGGAAAAGATCGAGCCTCTGGTCGAGAACACGGAGCGCGCGCAGCTCATCGCCAAAAACAGTGTCACGACATTCCGCCAGCGATATCTCACCCCTGCCGCCGAAGCATGTTACTGGCGGGTCTTGCTAGACGGTTACGCCGGCGTGTGGAACAGCACCGTCCAACAGTGGTCTGAAAAGATGCACCATGAACGCGGACTCCGGTACGAGTCCTTTGTGCTTCTGGAGAGCACGAAGATGTTCAAGTTCGATGCCTCTGCCATAGACGATTGGCAGAGATGAGATGAACAACCTGAAAGCATCCGGATCAAAAATTAATACTTAATTTTGCATACCCCCATGTCCAGTAGAGTTGGACCAGCGATTTTGGAGGCGAAAGTTGCCTTTTTTGCCCTTTTTGATGTGATACCACGAGAACGAGATTCTTAGACGAATAAATACATATTTGCTTCTGTTATGATCTATTTTATTCATTTTTCCTACTGAAATTTCAACTCAGCTCCGAGGGTATTCCCTGTTTGTGTCTCCGACTGGCTGCTGGGCCAACTGTTACCATTTCCGAATCGACCACTTCTTCTGCACATCCCAGCGCCGGCCCATCTGGACAGTCAAGACAAAGGCTTCAACTCGGTCAGAATAACCCGACAACCCAACGGAGCCAGAATCCCACCCTGTGCAAATCAGCATCATTCCAAGGAGATATAGAACCAAGCAATGACCTACCGGGGTCATCTTTAACTGATACTCAGGATCAACAACCCACGCAACCCTCCCCAATAAAACAAACAAGAAGATCTTAATCTGCAACAAGGCAAACCCCTGCCCAAGACACTTCCGCTTATGCGCGTTGAACGGAATATAAGTGCCACGCACCGTCTCTCTCCGGAACTGGGCCTGCATCTCCTCAACCGTCGTCCCCCACCGCTCAGGTCTGAATTCGCGCGCATCCTCCCCCCATACCGCCGGGTTACTATGCACTGCCCACGCATTCCATCCCACGAAAGTCCCTTTCGGAATCGGTAGTTCTCCTCCGAGCATGGTATCGGACAAAGCCACTCGATTGATAAGCTGACAGACTGGCGGGAACAGACGCAGTAATTCCAGAACAACAGCGGTCAGATACGGCAGCTTGTTGACGACTTCTTGTTCAGGATCGGGACATATCCTTGCCGTGGACTGAATCTCCTCGCGGAGCCGCTCCTGGATATCAACTCGCACGCCCAATTGCCAGAACATACTATTGACAAGTTGTTGAGTATTCTCGTGGGCCGTCAGGAATGTTATCTTGAGATTGTTGCGGAATTGCTTCTCTGTGATGCGCCCGCTTTTGTACGCTTCGCCTAGCATGTGCGAGACCATTTCCTCCGACTTGGACGGGCTCTTCTCGTGGGTTTCCAGCATGTCCATGACCTTGGCAAAGAGACGGTTGTCGAATTCGTGCATGATTTCGTAGGCGCGTTTGCGCGAACGCAGGAGCCAGGGAAAGTGATCTAGATCTGGGAAGCTGAAGTACATTGGTTTGAAGAGCGTTGCTTTGATGATTGATTGGAGAGCTTCGATGCGAACTTGACCGGCTGGCTGGCCGAGGCTCTGTATGATTTCCTGTTAGTATATCAAGATCGGTCTCGTTATAAAGGGTGCAGACCTTGAACTCCAGATCCAGGAAATTCTCCCCCATCACATCAACCGCCCACTTCTGCACATCGGCGTTCACCAGAATCCCCTTTCCAGCCTCGGTATCTCTCTGCAGGCCAATCAGGATGTCAACCAATCTCCTGGACTGCTTCAGTAATGAAGAAGTCTCAAACATCTTTTTCTGCAGCCCCGGTTTCATAATCGAGGTGAAAAGCCTCCAGTTCTCGTGCGCATTAATGATATTATCACCAACCAGCGTCGCAATAACAGAATGGGGAATCTTCTTCTGGCTGCCAGCCTTTGTATACAGTTGGTCTTTCCGGAAAATTTCTGTCAGCCAATCTGGTCGGGAGACGAGAATACTCCATCGTCCTGCGAACCAGACCAGCACTGCCCCGTGTTTTTCTAGCGGTGTGCGGAACCAGCGCTCGTAGATCTCATCTTGGCCCATTGAGGACCAGAGACCGAGGACTGAGACATAGATTGGGATTTTGGGGAGACGGGGCAGGTCGCTTGGGGTGTGGAGGTACCATGTTAGGAAGAGCAGAGGTGGGAGGAGGATTGATATGGCGAGATAAAGGATTGGTATCATTTTGGTGGATATATGGTTTCCGAGCGGGAGATGAGAATATGCAAGCACAGCAGAAGGAACACCGATGGTGATATCGTCTTGTAATGCTGGTCATCTTGGAGCGGAGTGTTTCGACGTGCCCTAATGCACCTAGTGTCAGCGGAAGTCAACACGGTTGCTGAGGTCACTCCTGTCCAACGTGACGGACTTCAGCTGTATAGTGGGTGTAGCTAGGTTGAAATTTGTTCAAAGTTGGATTATTACGATATAATATACAGGTGAAATGCTCGTGTTGAGTATGGGGCGGAAGTAGATGGCTCGGTATATGTCAAACTCCAGCAACATAGATGAGCGAGCTAGGGGTGGTATATCAGAATTTTCATACTATACTATCGGGTGGAATTTACACAACTTGTGCAAAATGTCGCTGGCTCTCGCCACCTGTCCAGACTGGCTTCTAGTGTTTGTGATCATATCACCTCTGGTAATGACGGTATTTGTTATGAACAAGCTCGCTAGAGGCAACGTAGCTCCATTGTACAAAGACTGAAGATTAAAAGGTCGAGAGCGGAGTGGATTTGCTAATTTACAGATAGCTGGTGCAGTTTTTGCACGAAATTGAGTCCATTTTTGCATTACTGCAACAGAGATCGGGTACCTGACGAACAGACCTTTTCATAGTCTTTCCGTATCCCTTAGAATCTCAATATCGTAGATCAATATTCTAAAGCCCTGCCACAAGAGTTGACGACAGCGAGAATCCATAGACAACAGTGGCGATCATAGCAATGGCATTCAAATGAATGACCATGGCGTGGTTTCGCGAAAAATTGCGATTGGCCCGGTCAACCTTGGACCCATTGGAATCGCCATCGGTATTTTGACTCTCTAGCAGCCAAGAGCGAGAACCATTAGTCAAGTCTTCACGGCAGATGAATTCGCGTGTTGCGTACCTTGCAGCGCCCTTCTCACCAAAGCAGTAGTTGTTGTCTTCGGCCCATACACAAACCAATTAAGACAGCCCATTAATCCAGTTACTGCAAGAGACCCAGCGCTCCACGGATTTTTTATTAGTGATAGGACACTGTAGGGTGGGCAGGTCGCTGCTGTCAGTGCCGTCAGGCCAACCTGAGTGGCAAAGTAGACGGGGAAGAGACGTTTTTGGAGGACGATAAATTCCTTCATTGGAAGGGCTTGGAAGCAGATCTTGGTGTTGACGAAGCTCTGTCCATGAGGTTAGCTCGGTGCCGTGTGCTGACGTTGGGGCTGTCCTACCTGATACAGCTCCGTTCCGAGGAGGGCACCATAGCTGAGGAGGTGGTATGGTAGGAGGTTTCCCACTGTTCTCAGGAGTGATTCCATGTTGTTGAAGATGGGAGACTGATGTTGTAGCAAGAGTTGAGAATCCCGAGAGTCGATGGAAGAAAAGTGGAAGTTGAGGTGGTGACATTCAGCCTATGAATCCTTGGCGGCTTACGGCACGAACAATGCAAGACTTGCAGATATCAGCTATGACTGGCCGTTGGAATTGCAGTTCAGAATTACGGCGACTGCACAAAACGTTTGGTTTGATTGGTTGGGTTGTTACATGGGCCACCCTTTAGCCCTAAGTGAGGCCACCACACTTGTCGTAGATCGGCCATGACAATTGAACACATCAAATGAAAGACCACTTTGGATGTTATTTCATGATCGCAGTTTGATATGATGCTAAAGATGGACATTCCCAACATGCTTCTTGCCACTTTGCAACTGCAAACGTCACTCATGGACATGACAGTTACACAAAAGAGGCCTCGTAAAGCTCACACCGCTGAGAAACGAATGCAATACTCTGGCTTCCTACGGCTGGATCTCACATGCATCGCTTGGAGGGAAATGAACCATCGTTGAGACACATGGCAGCGCCCTATGGCTAATCAAGTCTGGTTGGAACTCGCGGGGACTAATCCCAAGATGGTCTTCTTAGTTCGAATGCCAATTCTATACCACCTATGATATCACCCATGACACCACTCTCTGCGGGTTGAAGATATGTCCAACGCCAAAGTTTGGTCTATTGAACCTATTCGGACACCTTCCCAGAACTTGAACCAAGGGAAGAGAGGACCACACGTACTTTAGGTCAAATCCGGAGTATATTCAGTTTTGTTTCATCAATCTCGTCTTATTCAGTGGCTAAGTCCCGACGTGTCTCTTATTACTAGACTTCTGATTCGGCCAAGTTGTACTGGTCTAGATCCGAGCTCTTTTAGGCTCAGCCTGGCTTCCCTGAGGATAATTTTGGGTCCATAGTGCGTGTGCAGACTTGACAAGGAGGACAGTCAGAGATCGCCACCGGCTCTCCGCATGAATGCAAGATCCAGGGTCGATGAGTCTTGCGTTGCCACGTGGATACTGAGCTGGCATCGGAGATGTCCGAGACTACCGAATGATACTTTTGCGCCACGGATGGTTTAAGGTATAAGAAGGTGTAAGTGTTCACCTCAAGTACAGATGTGTAGGTAGTTTGCCTCCGCCCAAAGGTTGTACAGTCAAGAACCCTCCCAAGGTTGCAGGTCTCGGATGGATGATTTTTGTTCACTGGATATATCCAAAGCCTGGATTTCAGGAGCCATTCCAGATCCCAGTCTACTGGAACGAGGGAACAAGAGAGCGGAATAATCCAGGGCAACGCCATGTCCATGGACACGTTCGGACTGGGAATAGCCTCGGACAGCACCGCCTCGTACAACCAAGTCCTAAAGCCTTCTGGCACGGGGCCCAACGCCCATCCACGGACCCCCGCTGAAAGGATAAGCCAGCTGAAATTGGCAGGCGACATGTCTAGACCTAAGAGCGTCACGCGGCTGAGAGCAACAGCGATCTACCACCAGTCGTTTTTGAACCGAGTCTCTGGCGATCCGTTGCACAGGCTGCGTGACACAGTGAGATCGAGTGTGATTTGCCTCGTGGGGATATGTTCACTATAAAAAAAAGACGGCAATGGCCGTTTAAGGCTTGAGTTTCCGAGCTTGATGCCGGAAAGCCCTTTTCGGCTCTTTTATATAAGATATACCATATCCTTAAGCACGTCACAGACAGAAAAATAAACCACATGGCTGTTTCTAAATGTTTCTACAATGAAGACAGAGCATCTATCTGCCACTCCCAAGGAGGAAGTTTCCAGCCAACTGCAGGATCCTCTGGAGAGAAGAAGATTGCAGAACCGCCTGTCTCAAAGGAATCACCGTAAGAAGGCCCCTGGATTATATGCCTCGCATGCTAAACCCATGTTTAATAGGTCGCAAAATTCGGGATCGCATTGCAAAGCTCCAAGAGCGCGTTATCGCCAACGAACTTAGAGCAGCAGCAGCCCTAAACGGATGGGACCAGCAATATATGCCGTCGCCAGTGTCTCACAGCACCCATCCTGCTCTATCTGGTAATGGTTTTGGATTCGATTCTCGAGATCTGACTCCTCTTGCCATAGAGCCTTCAACGCCTTTCACGCCTTCAACCCCGATTTTCTCTTCCATTTCGTGGCCGAGTGATTTCAATACTCTTTCGTCACATAATTTCAATGGAGAATCACCGTCATATGGTGATGGAAGCCTCTTGGCCCATTCAAATGGATCCTCATCGTCCACTATAGCCAGTCTGGGAGGAGAGATATCCCGAGAAATGACATCTCCTGGAGAGATCTTACCGTCAGATTTATGGTCTGCATCTCAAGGAAACCAACCTTCATACTATGTTGCAACCGGTAAGCTGGAACAGGTCCAAATCTACGCCTTTCTCTGAATACTGACCACTGGTCAACTCAACAGAGGCTGCACTTCCACAAATCCTCCAGGTGATTTACAACATGTCTCCCCAATCCAAAGTCATTGTTCTGGTTTCTCCCGAATCTCCCGCCTCTGCATCCATTCCATCATTTCCGCCATCGAGCTCCTACAATGGACTTGGCCGTTCTACGATGCCCCAACAATTCCCACAAGATCCGAGCTGCCTTTGTTATCCCCAGAATATACATTCCAGGTCTTGGATGGACGCGGGATCATACACACAAAGATGCCCCATACACAAGATATCATCGACCGGGAGATTTACCGGTTAGAATTCTGTAAAAATTCCGGGCTATCATGTTATAGATAGTATATCATCAGATAAGAACTGTATTTAAATGACATGTGCATATTCAGTGATCTGAATTACATCAAAGATCAAGCACCATTTCATAGTAAAAGACTGAGGGGTGAGTACAGCATCAGGTGATTTGCTGACTGCGTGATGAATTGGCCCCCAAATCCCCCGACTTTCTGATATTCAACTTCCCCCTGACCAAAGCTGCTTTCAGGTATCCGAGGCTCAGTATGTCTCGAACCATTGATCGACTGCCAATGCCCACTGTGGTCCAACGCAAAAAGGTCATCGTCCTCAGTCACAGTCGGTAAGACTCTAAATATCATCCCCGGGGAACCCGCTGAAAACAACCATGATGACCAGATCAGGAACTCTTGGACTGTACCGCGCGCTACAGATCTTGGGCTTTACCCCCTATCATGTGTATGAGTGTTTCATCGTCAACGGAACGGATCATACCAAGATCTTCACCGAGGCCGCCATCGCGCAGAATAATCCACATTCTGGGATCAAGAAGCTAACGAGAGCGGATTGTGATAAATGGTGGGCTAACTATGATGTGAGTTGGCTGAAGTAGATCAGAAGAAAACATACTGGGAGGTTCAAACTGACACTCTACAGGCTGTGGTCGAGGTTACGAGTTTGTTGAGTACAGAAGTGCTCGAATCATACGCCCAAGATCCCGATGTCAAGTTTATTCTCACCGAGCGAGATCCTAAGAAGTGGGCGCTTTCCATCAATAACTCTGGTGGAAAGGCATTTATGGCAGTTAGCAGCTTTCCATTGAACATTCTCAAGTACTTCGACTATCAACTGTACCACTTTATCGAAGCCCACCTCGTTGCCTATAATGGCATGGGATCTGGAACTCGTCCTGGGGACCCAGATAACGAGGCTATGTTGTGCCAGTATTACACAGACTAGTAAGTGCTCTCCCCGTTAGGTTTATTGGTTCTTGGTGAACCTAATATCGCTGCAGTATTCAAAAGATCAAGTCAACCATTCCGGAAGATCGCAGATGCACCATCCAACTCGACACAGACGGTCTAGAATGGGAGGATATTTGCACTTACCTTGAGTTGCCAGTCCCTAAGCAAGACTATCCCAGTCGTAATCAACCTGCTGAGTTTCAGGCTCTTTTTGAAGCTTTCCTGATGCCACGGTTAGCGGCAGCAGCGATCAAGTGTGGCGCTGTTGCTGTCCCGGTTTTAGGGGTTCTTGGTTGGGCATCTGTGAAATATGGACCATCAACTCTTGTGGCTCTGAATAGATATTTCAGCGGCTAAACGCGCATGGCACCTAAATAAGTCGGTGACTGTCCATGCGGGCCTTGGGAGCCAGCTAGTATGAGAGATAATTTACTACCTTCTAGAATTCTAAGCTCATTAAATCCATTGCTACACAACATGCTTTTGAAGCTCGTGTTTGCTAGAATATTACAGGGGCGTTGAATTGTAATTTATCAATAGAGTAACCAAATCTCGGAGATATTAATTTACAGGTTTGTACATTACAGGATAACTTCTCTAAAGCGGCACATACGCGCGCAAGTGTATGAGTGCTCGACGAAGTCTGATAAATCAATAAAAAAACACTGAGCTTATCACATCTTCCAACCAAGAACATCTTGATCATTTCTCTGAAGTAGTTCACAACTTAGAACCAATCAAGCTGGATACGTGAACACAGACGAGTGACAAGCATAAACTAAACTGAAACGACAGTGTACCCTCCAAGAGAAATACAAGTAACATATAATAGAAGAGAATCTAATCACAGTGAATACGCCACAGCTCGCGGTCACAGTTACTGATATACCCAGTTCGGGTATGCAACATGGCCGTGTTGTCGCTGATCAGCATATCACCCTTCTCCCATCCGAACCGCAGGCACACGCGATAGTCATATGTGATCCGATCTATGACTTGGACCAGGCAATTGTCATCATTCTCAATTGTGACTTCACATGTAGAGAACTTGGTCTTCGTCTCGTCCCATGGCTGATGCCAGCGTACGCATGGTAGACCAGACACGGGATGCTTCACGATCAATTTCAGGTTTTTGAGCTTTGCGTCCCAGAAGCCATTGTTGTCCATGGCCCAGGTAATTTCCTCGAGGCGCTCTGCTGACCATGGAAGAGGCAGGTAGCGGAAGAAGAGTCTCGAGCTTGCAAACAGAGTGTAGCCATTACCCTTGGGCGCTGTCGCTGGGCAAGTGAAAAATTGGTAACCAGGGGGGCGCTGGACTTTCTTTTTCTCTCCAGTCTCTGGATCGGTAATTTCTTCAAATTTAAACATGCCGTCAAAGTGCATTGGCATAGCTTCGTTGGAGGTGACATTGTTACCCATCTTGTCTGAGCGGCCATGGTCACGGACTTTTTGAATGTTGCCAAAACTCCATGGCATGATGGTGCCGAGCTCTGATGCCTTCTGGACGTAATACTCTTCTTCCAGAGTCTCTGCGAACCCGCGAAGAATGATTGGCGACATACTGTTCGAGAGCTTTCGGATTTTGTGCATAGGAATGGAGCGGAGAGATGGCGGCGCGTTGACATTGTCGATATCAGCAGGACGAATGACAAGTCCACAGGGATATAGGTGCTCAAACTTGACTGACAGGCCATCGACAGTCCAGTCAAAGAGCTCTGACTTTTCACGGAAGTAATATGGCTGTCCGTTCTTATATATCACATCATGGGTCTCTCGCACATCTTCAGCGTGGACGGTCCGATACGAACCATCCAGCCCAACAGCAACAGAAGCATGCCAAGGAGTGTACCCGAGAGCGCCACGAAGCTGTGGAATGAGCGAGACCGAAAGCTTCTTCTCGCCAGCAGACTCGTGGATGGAAAGTCGCACGTAATCATTGCGATTGGCTTTGATGGCCGCCGCGAACATTTTACCACGAATGATCATCTGCCGCGCTGTCTTGGCGATGTGCGTCTGCCGAGAGCGCTTGGATGCAAACTTGCTCTCATCTTGGTGAGCAAGGTCTTTGGTGAGGAATTTGATGTAGCCACGATATGTCAAGCATGTGTCGTTGTCGGTTTTGATGGCCAAGTCCGCGTCAAAAGTCGGATCGCCAAATGCATACATCAGCTCTCGGCGTAGACAACTGGCGTGAGCAAGATAGAATGCCTTGGCTTCCTCTGGAGTGGAACTTGGGAACCAAGGATGCTCGAGCAGTTCAAAAAGCCGAATAAACTTGACACGGTGGAGCTCTTTTTCGATGGCCATCTTGCGCAGCGTTTCCCCATAGTCCCAAACGGTTTCATCAGGGACGCCAAGAATATCTAATGCGGCGTCAGCATTTAGTAAACCCAAAATAAGCATAATCAATGAACATACCGTTGTAAACAAGTCCATCGGAACTGATGTATACATGAGCGCCGGGCTCATATACATCGGCGATGTTCTGGCACAACCCGTTCAAGTGAGAAAGCGCCAGCTCCTCACCAAAGTCGGGCATGTTGCCCAAGACCTTATCTCGTGCATTTGGAGATTTAAATGGGAAAGCAGGCAGGATCATGCGGATAGGCTCCTGCTTCTCAATCTGGGCGAGAACAATAGGAACGAACGACTCAAAACCCTTCCAGGAAACGCCCGATTTTTCGAAATCAACACCATAGCTCTCAATAATTCGGAGAACCTCCATCGCCAGTAACTGATCTTCGGATACCGTGTCTGAATCTGGCGGGACAATGGAGTCTTTGAGCACATTTTGTTCCAGTAGACTAGCTCCGTTGCCGTTTGCGGTCATGGCCACGGGATCGTCGCTATCAGGCTCGGAAGATACCACCTCTATGGTATCGATGACTATCTCCTCATTGGCCTTCCGGTCTGTGGAATGGACAATTCCATTCTCACCGCGTTGAGGCAGGAATGTGGTGGAGACCAGGTCTGCAAGGGGTGCCAAGGAAACCATGATGGCTTCAAGTACGTGAGCTTCCAGAAATTATCTTGAAAGCCAGATATTGCTGTACCCGGAGGTTAGACAAGAAGATAGCTGAGTTGATGGTTGAATTGAATGGATGTTGATGTTGGAGAGACAGAGAGATATCTTCTGCCAGCCACATGAGGATATATACATCACATTTCCACTAGGACGGCCGTTCAACAGTACGCCTGAGCCGCCCAGCTCGTGTCGATGACTGTGACTCTGATGCGGACTCAGCTTTTAGCATTAAGGCTGAACCTAGGACATCCCAGGCATGAAAGCTCATTCATCTGTACCACTTGAGGACTTGAGGGTGTGCTGTTGCCACTCCGTTTTTGCCTTGAAGGGGAGTTTGATGCCGCATGGAGTGATAGAACAGGACCACCCTGCTAAAGTGCCAAAGTTTGATTTCAAAAAATAGATGACGCTTAGTCGAGAGTCTGAGAGCGAAAAGGGTTGATGTGATAATGGGCGGGAAGTGTCACCCAAGCTCGTGTAGAACGGCCCTCTCTGCGGGATTTGAACGACATTCCCAGGCAGATCAACGGGAACTTGTGTTGGAATTGTTTCTGATGACCGTGTGCGTCATTTGTTTGAAACTGATTGGTCATGCAGAATCCCCAGGCCCATACGTCTTTGTTCAAGGTGTTCTCGTAGGGCTTAGGATGAGGCACAACGTACCCTGAACCAGGAGGCAATGTCTTAGGGGTGTTGCACATGGCGATTGTTTTCAACAGGTGTAACATCTACTGGGCCCAGCTGAATGCATTCTATCAGTCAAGACAGCGGTCAGCCTGATGGCTTGTGGATGTCAACGGGTCAAGGTTCCCAGAGTGGAAGGTTGTCGCCAAAGTTTCGGTAGAGCGGGATGCCCGACAATATAGTACATATTCCCCGAAATGAGGCAGTCAAATTGATGTGATTCGTGGTGCTTTCGTTGGGTAAAGAGTAGTATAAAATTGGCTACCGCGTGACAGAGCATCGTTCCAAGGATCGCGCAATCAAAGTATGGATGTTGTATCTTGTATCTTGAAAAGTAGTTATAACTATCAGTACAGAGCTGCTACAGAAATACTGCTACCGCAATCAGGCTCGTGTTTCATATTTTGCTAGGAGACTTTCATATTTTGTCTTACTACGATAGCAGCTCATCACCAGCATCGCACCAATCATACTCCATGACTCGAGCTACAAAACCAGCCATTTCAGCCGTGGTCAAGTCCCGAACAATGTAGCATGTGGCATCCAAGCCAGAGCTTATTCCACCGGACGTAATGAGTCTAACATTACCACCACTCAAAAAACCACCGTCAAGATATCGCTGATGCACCACGTTTGTCTCGGCAGCTGCACCATTTGACCGAGTGCAGATCTCTCGGAGCTGATCAAGTCCCTTGTGATGGGTGGTAACAGTCATTCCGGCAATCACACCGGCGGCGCCCAGTAAAAAGGCCCCAGTGCAGACTGAAAACACAATTCGGGTGCCTTTTGGGCTCTGCGGAAGCGCTGCAAATGCGCGGATCAAATCCAGCTCCGGTACGTTGTCACCGAGCAGTGGCTGCAGGATTGAAGGCGGTCCGCCCGGAACAATCAGGATGTCAAATTCTGAGACTTTCTCGAGAGCTTGGGGGAGAAGAATATCCGCGTGCACTGTAAGAGCGCTCGCAGCACGATTCACCTTGGTTCGAGCGATGGTCGTGATATCGAACATGCGGTCCGGGTTGTCTGGATTGCGGTTGTGCGAGACATGAGAGAGAACCTCGATTGGACCGGCAAAGTCGAGGATATCTGCGCCTGGAAATAGCAGCACCCCGACCTTGTAGTATTGGTTTGGTGATGCAGACATGGTTCCACGTGCTGGTACTCTCGCAAGATGCAGCAGAAAATATGCTAGGGACGTGCGGAAAGAGAGAAATGATCAAATGAATGGAAATTCAGTCGAAGGATAGGGGTTTTTCTTGAAAGTTTAAACATCCAGAGGTTCAACTTTCCTCCGTGGAGGGTTTGGAGTCCGCTAACTCCGGCAAAGGGCTGAGGTGATACTAACTTACTCTCCGCATTCACCGATTCGATGACCGAAGAAACCTGCTGTGCATCCAATGATATTTGACCATATCTAGCGGGATTGGAAAACAGTCCGTCTCAGCCTAACGGTGCAGGGTTCCCGGGGTTGTCTGTCTCACCCTTGCATGCGAGGAGTCATTCAGGCAACCAGGCTCATCGACTCGTTGACACAGAATTCATCGGCAATATTATTCTTCGCAGTCAGATATCAAGATATCAAGATGAATCGCTGTTGCTCTTTATTGCTTTGAATGCGGAGAAAGTGGCCAACTTAGGGCTAATGTTCGTCCTTCGGGATGTGGACAGTCCCCGCAAAGTCGGGCAGTGGGGAAAGACGAATGCAAGGCGATAACTGAGGTTAAAAGAGTTAAAAGGGGCATGTAGCCATATTCTACTGTAGTTTGATTCTGAGCTACTTCTGTATCAAATTTGACCATGACATCCCCGGACTATATTAACCATTTCTCGCTGGCCAATATCCCGTTCGGCATAGCATCATCTCCGAAACATCCGAGTCCCCAATGTGTTACTCGGCTAGAGAATACCGTCATTTTCCTCGATGTACTTCAGCAGTCTGGTGTTTTTGTGGAAGTCCTCGGTCTTCCGGAGAGGGTATTCAGCAAGTCCACGCTCAATGAGTTCGCTGCCCTTTCCAAGGCTGTCCACCGTGAAGTACGGACTGTGCTGCAGAATGTCTTGGCCAACGCATTGCCTCCAAATACCACCGAGGATATTGGCGCTGTCACTCTACACCTTCCTGTATCGGTAGGTGGGTTCACGGATTTCTCCTGCAGTCTTCATCACGTCCGAAATGCTGGTCGGGCAATCCTCAACGATGAATCACCGCCTCCAGGCTTCTTCAATTTTCCGATAGGATACAATGGCCGTTCTAGTACAGTGGTAATCTCCGGAACTCCAATCGTCCGCCCAAAAGGCCATTTCTTCGATCGGACCGCTATCAGCGAGAAGAAACCGATAATATATGGGCCGTGCCGAGCGATGGACTATGAGCTGGAGGTCGGAGTTATCGTTGGCAAGAGTGTACAGAAACTGCAGGAGTTAAATGCCAAAGATGCTGATGAGCATATCTTCGGAATGGTCATTCTGAATGATTGGAGTGGTAAGTGCATCCTGATTTTCAAGACTGAGTGAGACGTTAGTTGACTGGGTACCAGCCCGCGACATTCAGGGCTGTGAGATGGTCCCATTGGGTCCTTTGAATGGCAAGGCTTTTGGAACCAGTATCTCCCCATGGGTGGTGACGTTGGATGCCCTGGAATCTTTCAAAGTTTCTGGACCAAAGCCCGAGGCGTTGCTTGCTAGCCATTTAAAAGATGTCTCGGAGTCCGAGTCCAGTTACGACATAAGCATGAAGGTGGAACTTCTCAATGACGGGCAGGTTACGACTCTTAGTAGATCTAACGTCCGTGATCTTCATTGGAGCGGACGCCAGATGTGCGCCCATCTTGCCAGTACTGGAGCGGATCTCCAGACTGGTGACATCCTGGGGACAGGAACAGTCAGTGGACCAACTGATGGCAGCTTTGGCTGTTTGCTTGAAGTTACCAAGGGCGGGAAGGAGCCTGTACTTCTTGCGGACGGTTCGAAAAGAGTTTACTTGCAAGATGGAGATGTGATTCGTATGGTAGCTTCAGCTGGAGCATCTGGTTCCGGCGTTGGGTTTGGTGAATGCATTGGAGAGTTGAGGCCCGCAATCTAATGTCAATATAGAGTGAGATGGATATTCATTAACGTTTTAAGGCAATAAAAAAAGTAAATTATATCAAAATTGGAAGAGATATGTATAGCTAATTCAGAAAACCACCGATATTTGCAGTCTCCGGAAAAGGGACAAGCTTTCGCAGAGAGGAAATCATGAGAGACCTTAAGAAGACTCCAGCGCCACGCTGAACATTGCAAGTAATAATATAAAAAATTTCGAACCAACTCTCCATCTCAACATCAACCCCACAACGGAGGGTGAATGTACTCTTGAGCCCGATCCAAGATATTTGGAATTGTCCATTCGCCACTTCCAGAGCTTTCTGGTGTGGGAGGTGGCAGAGAGCCGACACTGGGGGTCATGCTAGCCGGTGGAGCCGAAAATGAGCCCATGGCAGCGGAATTCGGATTGAGGTTTACTTGAGACATGTATGCAGGCGTGCCGCCGCTTCCAGCAGGCCTCGTTTGTGGATTTCCGAAGGCAGTGAGCAGCTTCTGCAGAGCGCGATGAGTTTTTGCTAGAGACTTTGCCCATTGGGTTTGTGTGTCAGCGGGCATTGCAGCAGGAGATGTTTGGTTCATTGCAGGGGCAACAGAGCCCGGCGGGTTCGTGGCCCCTGTAATCGGATCGTAGGTCCCCAAGGACTGACGTGGAGAGGTCATAGAGGCCACATTGACCCCATCTGCAGATTCGTATGCTCTTTCATTGTTGGCTCGTTGGGCAATGATCCCCTCAAGTGAATGTAAAAGATTCCAAACCGAAGGGTCAGATTTGGCCTCCTCGATAACGGCAAGAAGAAATGCCGAACTGATTGCCCGTTGTAATGCAATCCAGGAGCGAGCCGAATGAGAGCTGATGTTGTGCATCTCAATGTAGGCCTCAACGGTCATCATCAGATTCAAAACGCAGTCCCTACGTACACTAGCAGTGCCGGAGTCACTGACATCATTCATAGGCTTCAGCGCTGGTCGGCAGAGCTCAGAAGAAAAGTAGGAAGAGTGTAGTTTGAGCACAACTCGTTCCAGCTGCTCTGTGGGTGATTGACAATACTGCACATCGCGCAGGTATGGCTTTGCTTCTATCATGATTTTTGAGATTCGCTCCTTGTAAGTTTGGATGCTGTCAAGGCTGAACTGAGCATGTGGGCTGAGCATCCGAATGCGAACAACTTCAAGCGCCAGAGAAATGACTCGACAGAGGGTTTCAAAATATGAATAATCGCCACGTTTAGATCCCTCTTTGTACGCAATTTCTGGTTGGCAAACTGCGGTTGTGGAGGGGCGATCATAGGAAAGAGAAAAGTGGCTGTCTTGCCATGCCATGGACCACCTGCTGGTGTCAGTAATATGCTGATGGGCCAAAGAAGAAATTATAACTTACCATGTGTGTCGCCGGCGGTATCTTTCGGCTGATGAGAACCGACTTGATTCGACATGCAAGCCAAGCGCCAACCCCATACGAAGCGTCATGCCAAGCAGAACATAGGAAATACCAGGATTCATGTTATAGGATAATACATTGCCAATCACCAAGAGAGTCTGAATGGCTTCTATGGTGGGCTGGGATAGGAAATTTGTCATTCGGAGACATTGGTAAGAGCAACACACTGGAGCAAGATTAGCCATCAGCCACCGAGAACGACTTTGGATTGAGAACGTACCATATACTTGTGAAGTCAACTCCCTCTCTTTACTGCCAAGATCAGATGACTGGCATCCGGAGGCAAGAATAGCAAACAATAGACCCAGATAGGCAATGCTTACTCCGAAGGGATTTTCGGCCTCTTCGGTATCTGTTCTGTACTCGCCTCCAACGGATATACGGTTTCGTATCAAGAGTTCAAGGGTTTTTTCAAACGCAGAAATATCTTCCAGGACAGGATAGATTGCTCCTGAAATCTCCTTGTAGCAGTAAAAAAATCTATAACAAAGTCAGCCCAATTGCTCAACATATGAAACAAAACGACTACTCACACTCTGCATTGCTCGTCGGATGGAAGGGCGCTGCATACGGCACTGATATCAAAGGTTGACATGTCTGATGACCATAGATCGACGAATGGGTAAGTGGCAGACTCATTATCCAGGCCCAGTTTGGGAAGTATTCCTCCCTCCAAAAGGGCTTGCAGTTGATCGGAACCAGATTGATTATTCAAGATATAAGCCAGAACGGACCGGGATCCGAGATGAACAGTCCCTTTGCCCAGAGTGTTCGCGGCATGAATTCCCTCGCGTTCCGGCGAAGCACCCTTGGAGCGGGAACTCGCATCGCCACTCTGCACGCTTCCCGTGTCAAAGGATATCGGTGCATCTTCAGCTCTTTCCAATCCAACACGAAGATTAGAAATCGTTGATTCCATTTCTTTCAATCTGTTGCGCACATTGTCCCATTCCTCGCGTGCGATTGATACCCGACCACCAGTCGCTGCACCGTTCGGCCGAGCTGGTGCCGGTTCGTGTTTCAAATTTACCGGGGCATCGTCGTATGAATACCCTGCCGAGTAATCCACCATAGGTGCTGTCGATGCACTACCAATAGAAGGGCTCTCGTGAAAAGCCTGTGAGCGTTTCTTCGACGGGCGTTCGTAGGAGCAAAGATCTGCATGGTCGCGCTTGACGCAGCCGTCGCACGGCAGATTGCGATCGCATTTGACCTTCCGCGCATGACAAGGGTAGCAGGCTTTCGGTTCGCGCGCTTTGCGCTTCGTGCGAATGATCGCGTCAACTTGGGCTTGCGGTAAATCGGAGACCGATCTGTTGGGAGCCGTGACCATGTCGGAGTCAACGGGGGTTGAGAATGAGGTAGACGGTTGATAAGGCGATGTCATTGTGTCTCAATGAAAAACTTTTAGGTAAGATATATCGTAGTCCGTCTCGAAATTCGTGTGTCGGCACCAGGGTTTCATTCGTCAATGGTATGAAGCGGGGGATCGGAAGCAACTTGGGGGCTGACGGTCGACTCAAGACCTTTGTATTGAATATAGGTCCATTAATCCATTAGAGAAACCAGGGCAGTATGTCAAGGAATTAAAGCTCGATTTGAAATTGCGCGCAATTTGTTTGAAGAAGCTGGGATCCAGCGCTCAGACATCTTATCTGCCGATCGCACGTGACGTGGGGCGTCCAAATGCGGAATCGTGCCCTACGTCAATGAATTAGACCGAGGCATATTGAAGTATGCAGAGAGCTATAGTTAAAGTAATCCACAGTCAATAGCATTAAGATAGTGGAATATAAAGACAAGATCTTTGCCAATGCAAAAATAGCAACTGAATCCGTTGAGGCAGTCATGACTAACAACAAAGATTTAGCTCATAGATTGGCAAAACCGAATGAACATTCGGCTGAAAGTTATAGAGATTTCTCTGTAAAATTGAGTCTGGGTAGGTCCGTCTGATGAAAAGGGCTCTTGATTGCATTACTTGAAGACATCACTGCATCATATTCTCCAACAACAGTGAAAGTTACTTGGTATTTTTCTCTTGTGGAATTGGGACTAGATCTCTCTGCTCTACAACGGCCCTGCAAAGCTCTACCCTACTTAGTACTGCCCATGAATTAAAAAAATCAATGCTAGGCTCCGCATGAATTCTCTGATTTACCTGTCTGGGCACGCTTTTTTTTTTTTTTTTTTTTAAGAAATAAAATGTTGGAGCCAACTTTTCATTTTAGTTGCACTTGAATAGCTGTGCCTAGGTCACTGTACATAACATACGCCTTATACAGTTCAAGTCGGATGTTAGCCCTTTGAGAAAGATTGAATGGGAATTATGTTGGTCAAAATTAACTTATGTTCTTGTTGTACATGATGTTGGGCCTTCATCGGAATTTACCACCGCGATAATCACAATCCCAGCATTCTGCGCATCCCGACATTCTCAATCACCCAACCACCCCCGAGTCTGAATGTACCGGGGCCCTGCATTTTCGTATCCATCTTGCCCATCGCCACATCGGTTAAAAATGGTCCCAATTTATCGGTGGGAGAATGCATCGACTTCCAGAAGCAGCGAATACCTGGAGCCAGCAAAGCAATTCCAGCTTTAGCGGCAGTCGCGCCCAACCCACTAGTGGTTGGAATATACGACTTTATAGCATCGTGTGCAGCTGGATCAACGAAAGCCGGTCTTACACTGTCGACCTGGATGACTCCCTGCTGTGTTTCGGATAACTCGCCAAGAAGCTGCTCGGTTTCACCCTTGACCCTGGCAAAGATTGCTGAGAATCTTCCTGGAGTTTGAGTGGCACCTTCTCCGGACACATGAACGAACCGGAAAGGCGAGTCCGACTTTGAGGGCTTGAGAGTAGAGAATGCCGCGGCTGCCGCAAGTGCATAGTCCTTAGTGATCTTGACATATTGTCTATTGACTATTAGTATAACATTCACATATATCAACAATCAACAGAGAGTTCTAAAGCTTACTCTGGTGTGACGTTCACCTGGCTGGTCCCAAGTGCCCACACACATCCATCAGCGTCTTTCAGCTGGTCAAGGAGCTCTGGCTTGTATGATTCAAAGTCTTTGTGCATGATGACTTGAACACGTGGATCCTTGGCATCATCTGCCATTGGCACAGGCCGACGACTAAGAATTGAGATCTTAGAGATCATGGTGTTTTTGAGCATTGCGTCAAGGACGGAGGAGCCGACTAGGCCGGTGGCGCCTGTAAGGATGAGATGCATGTTGAATACTGTTTGGGAGGCTTTTAAACAGTCAAAAGATATGTATGTTGTAGCAGCCAGGAGATAATGGAAGATCTACTGCATTTATACCTCGAGGCGCTGCCATCCCTTAAGTCCGTAAGGAAATGAAAGAGCCATGATGACAATACGCTAGCCTAAATCGGTAAAGCGCATGCTGCTAGTGGATATATTTGTGAGAGTTGATTGGTCCCAGAGAATATTGGAATCGGGTCCCACCGGACTTAACTGAGCCGCATCGGGGCTATACATTGAAATCGACTGTACCTGTTGGATGATAATGGGATACCTGGTTTATTCAAGTCTCCCAGTCTGTCGTTTTCCAATGGCTGCGACCCGAGGCAGGTTATTAATCCATGCCGTTTCCACTTGGTCATTCTCTTAAAGCAGCCTGTTTTTGTCGCTGGGCGGCGGGAAAGAAGGAGAACCGGACAAAATATTGTTTTTCTCAAGGATTCCTTTGGCATTAGTTTCCGCTTCAGCTTCGGCGATGGACGGCCGGATGTCATTATTCGGTATCCGAAGCCCGGACACACGGCTGCAGCTTATAGGGACGAAATAATTGTGAATGAGGTCCAGATCATGGAATAACTCCACCAAAACACTGATATCCATATTCCTCGTGTTCACAGCTGGGGTTTAATTTCCGAGAGTCCACAACACCTTGGTCCATTCATCATCATGGATTATATCAATGGTACACTTTTGTTGACTATCTTGAAACAAAGCGATCAAGAAAATATGGTTCTGAACCCGAACATCGACAACACAACATTAGACAAGATATATTATCAAATCGCCTATTATACGTTCCAACTTTCTCCACTTATGTTTGCTAGGCCGCGGAGAATATATTCTCTGGTAAGATACAATTCCGAGGTTATGTGAATCAACATCCCTCATCATGAACTACAGCTGGCTTGATGTCACAAACTTGTTCCCTGTTCCCTGAAGATTCACCTTCATTCTTGTGGAAAGCTTCCTGTGTTATTCTTTCCCGTTCTTCCTGGGTAACATTATACCACTGAGAGGCAACATTGGCCTCATCGCCAAATAGACCAGCTATTTCCTCCAAAGTTCGGCCTTTCGTTTCTGGGAACAGAAAGTAGATTGCCAAGACAAAGCAAATAGATGGAATGATAAGCACAAGGTAAAACTTCCAGCCAATACTGTTGAGAGCGACGGGGGCAGCAACCAATGTGACCTCGGAGGCTAGATAAAAGCTGCTAAGTCCAAGTGCGACACCCTGCGAACGTAGATGATTTGGGAATATCTCCGCAACATAGATGTACTGCGTCGCATCGATGAAAAAGCACCACCAAAATATGAAGAAAAACACGAAAAACACTGCTCCCCGGAGACCTGCAATATTATCTGTCCCCAGATACCGGGCTGTCAGGGCGCAAAGACATATCACAGACACAGTACAACCAATGGAACCGATGAGCATGCAAGTTCGTCGACCAACTCGGTCCACATAAAATGCCGTCCATGTGTTTCCAATGAGAGTAAAGCTCGTCCAACAAGCATTTAGAAGAAGAGGCACTGAGCCACCGAGACCAAGGCTGGCATAAATAAGAACACCATAGTTTGTCATGACAAACACACCGAGGAATTGATCACCCCACATGAGTATAAAAGCAATCAAAGCGCGTCGCCGATTGGCAGGAGTGCGGAAAAGTTCGAATCGTCGGATAGTCATAGATCTGTCGTGCTCGAACTGTCTCGCAATGAGATGAAATTCCTGCTTGGCTTTGGCGTGGTGAACATCATCTGGCGCACTGTGAAGCCTCTTCATGGTTTCGTAGGCTTCTTCTGTTCTACCTTGCTGCAGTAGCCACCGTGGCGAAAATGGGATCAGCGAACTTCCGGCAAGAACAATCAGAGGAAATATCACTTGGAATGCCAATGGAAATCTCCAAGAAAACGACGCGGCAGGGCTAGTTGCTTTCATATAGTAGCATGCAAACCCAAGCCACCCCGCTAAAGTATATCCGACAGCATACATAATCCCCGTCACTGCGACCATTGCGCCTCGGGTCTCAGCGGTGGAAACCTCAGCTTGGTAAATAGGAACGATGCACGCGAGAATGGCAGCACCAACACCAGCGATGAATCGGCCAACAAGAAGCATGGCCATATTGACTGCTCCTGCGCATAATGTACCACCAACAGTCAGAACTACACAGCCAATTTGTATGGTGACCTTGCGGCCGTAGTAGTCTGCCGTCCACGCCTGAAAAAGACATCCGGCGATTGCACCTGCGGAGTTGATTCCGTTCAAGGCGCCAATCATATTCGTAGTATGAGCATATCCAGGCTGGCCTTCTGCTGGTAGATTGAAGTAGGTATAGAAATTTGGTTGCCCGACGGTTGATCCAATGATGGCTAGACCATAGGCACTGGCAATCGTGCCAATGGCAACGAAGACCACCACCCATAGATTGTACGCATTGACAACAATCTTGTTTAACATTGTAGTAGGCAAAGGAAATGTGGATGTATTTGTTACAGAACTACTTAAGTCAAGGAGGACAGGGGGGCATATATGGCAAAGTAAATCCAGCATCAACCTAGAGCCACCCCCGCTGGCGATCCTCCAAGGGGCCAATTTTTTTACTAGACTCCAACGATCCCAATTTCTTAGTTTGTAGCTGTCTCCAATACTCTCTGACGTTGTTTACCTTCTCACTCGCAAAGAAAGCCGGGATTCATCAGGGATACCCGAAATGCGGAGAGACAGAGTTGACAGCTCTGCGGGGAATATGATGTCAGGCTAGAGTTAGTCCCGAGGCTTAGCATTAGGGACTTTGGGAATAGCCGGAAGCTGTAGGGTCAGCCTGAGGTGAATAAAAGCATCCAAATTCAGTTGACGACATAGTGTCGCGGTAAAACTTGAGAAAGATATATGCTACCTTCTGCCTCAGGCATCAGTAGTTCATATGTGCATCTTCATTGCGAGTAGCTAATAGCATACTTCTCATCAAATTTCACAATTCATGATAGATCTGCAGATGGTCTCGACGCAGACTAGTCAAGAATGCCACCGAGATACTCTCAACTCCCCAGCCATCCTATCAAGGCTCGGTTCTCAAAGGTTAAGCATTATCTGGCACATAGGTCAATTTGGTCCAAGTAACTTTATTTTTGATCAAGTGTTGAGACCAAAGAAATGCAGGGTCAAGTACGGACGTAACGTTAAGCCCCTTCCAGTATGGCCTCGGCTGGTGTGCGGGGAAAAACACGGGAGGGTTTGACGTGCAGGAAAATGAATCCCTGCAGAATTAACAACTTGACAGAAGTTATTGTTATAATGCAAGCATTTCAAAAACAATTGGATCGCGCACGAGTCGTCTGCTCGCATTGTCATTCACGAAAGGTAGGGCGATATTTCTTAATTCACCTGCGGATGGAACAAGCGCTCATTGGACACTAGGTGCGATGCGATCTCGAAGATCAACCGGGCAAAACATGCAGCAATTGCAAGAGACGTCGTCAGATCTGCAGGTCAGCGAAGAAGAAAAATTCCCCTGCATGATCCCTAGGCCTAATCAGTATGGTAGACCCCGTCGTCGAAAGAGTTACCCACCCAGGCGGAGTCATGTCGCAGAAGTCTCACGATCTAGCCCTCGAAATGCAGAAAACAGGGATGTTTGGACCAGCGCGAATGTTTGTCCGACTCCTATATCCCCATACCAAGGCACCCAGAGCGATCATTCAGCCACTATTCCAACTCCTGAAACGCTAGCCTATGTGGGTGACCAGTCCTTTATGGATCCCTTGGATGCCCATAATGAGTATCCAGTCCCACAATTAGAAGGGACTGCTCGCGCTCGTTTCTCAAGAGAGCTAGTGAAAGCGATGGAGGCGACCACTTTACCACCAAGGGTGAAGGTAGAAGCGCTTGCCGATACCTACTTTCAGCACCTATATCAGCGTGCCCCAGTCATTGATCGGAGTGATCTCTTCCGAGAACAGCCTTCTAAGTTAATTTGTCAAACGCTTTGTCTGATAGGATCTTGTCTGCGACATCCTGGGATACAGTCACTTCTTGAAGAGAGCGACGAGTACTACTGCAAAGCCAAGGCGCTTCTGTTTGCAAATTACGAAGTCGATCACCACCAAGTTCTGAAGGCTTTATGTCTTCTCTCTTTTCGAAACATAACTCCTCCGAGAGTTCTGAGTTTGGAAAGCGCATATCAATGGTTGGGGATGGCAACGCGTCTGGCTTACCAGATGGGACTCCATCGTGAGTCAACCTATTCGAACTTGGAAAATCCTGGCAGTGCACGCCGGATAATATGGACACTATGTGTAAGTCAAAATAACAGAATTTCTTCTGATGGCAACTCATTCGATTGTTAGATACAAGACAAGCTTCAGAGCGCTTGCTTTGGACGTCCCTCGATCATTGTAGGCCCAGAGTTTGATGTTCAGCCGGTGCAACTTTCAGACTTTGAAGATCAAAACATCCAAGCCAAATTGTTCATCCAGTATATGAATCTCAACATGATCCTGGGCACTATAGTGGACTGTCACGCACAAAAAGGTACACACTGTCTGGAGAAGGTAAACGGAACCCCCAATGTAACGATCAAGAGAGCAACTTATTTCTAATATTGAATACTCCCAGGCAACAAATATTCTTCAATCCTTACAGCACTGGATCAACAATTTACCGGATGAATTGCGCCTCTACCATGACACTGAACGCCGTCTCTTCCGACGCGATGTTCACGAACTACACATCAACTACTTTGTCTGCATAGTTGTCTTCTGTCGCCTGTTCGGACAAACCTTAGCACGATCAGTATCATCCACTGTATCATTAGTTGCATCATCCTGTATAGCGCGGATATACGAAGAAATGCATCCCCGGGACGAGATTAACTACTTGATGCCGATCAACAATTGGTTTTTGATGGTGGGATGTGCCCCACAGATTCAACAAAGAAAAAATAATCCGGAAGATGAGCTCTGCACCGAAGAGTTACATATTTTGATGACTGCGCTGCGATACATGGGTCTGAAATGGCCTCCTGCCAAGACCTTATTGGGGATAATTGAGCGCTTGTCTACAGTTGACTCAATGAAGCCCAAGGAACCCAGTCAGAGTATCTGTTCTCGGCGGGAAGATGATGAGATCAGTGAGTCACGGCCGTTTTGCCAGAACTCAGCTATTATCAGAGATTTGTTTCCATTTCCGCAGTCTCTTAGTCCGCGCATGGGGCTGATTGACGAGATTTTCGAGAATTTCGAGGACAGATTTGCGTTTGAACATATCCCTGATTTAGGAGATGAGCTGAACTGGATCTTTGATCAGTATCAGCATGGGTTTGTGGAGGCCTCTCTTGTTTGACGGACACCGGTGAAATCAGGACAACTCGATCACGCTTCTGAGAACTTATATGATGGGTAAAGCTTCTCTGTTTTTTTTTCTTGTGTGTATAATTTAGGTTTCAGAGGATTCTACTTTTTGTTGAGTGATTTGAAAATGTATTCTTCATCTCAGTACGGCAAAGTCATGAAAAACTTTCTATCGATACTTTTCTATCACCTGATTGAATCATCCCCGTGCCCAAAAGCTTGCAACTCGAACTGGTAATAGAGAGGCTGAACTCAGCTACAAAATTCACCCTCCTCGATAACCTCGTATGGAAATGGTCTAATATTTCATAGCACTGGAAAAGTGCTTACGGCCCTTGTCATATGTCTATAATCGACTCTCTATACTAGTTGCCCATGGCAGATATTTCAATAACTTGTGGAACAGTTGCAAATCACCCTTGAAAGCCTTAGCCTCGGGTTTCATCTTGGCCAGAAGCAGCTGCCCCAACTCTTCCTTGGTTGCCATCAGATGCAAACCCGCTTCACCAGAGAAAGGCGCATCATTATATGCCACACGGTATGTCAAAGCGCCGTTGCTCAAAATTAAGCGCCAAGTCTGGCCTTGATCAATAAGCTTAATGTCAATGACAATGTTTTCGCTGGCTGCGCGGGGTCCGTCGATCTGGACGGAAATTCCACTCAGCCATTGATCCACGCTCATTAGTGGATTGAGGCCCGGTGGGGTGCCTCCTGAAGGTATCGCTGGGGTTGAATCCTGTTGGAGATCCATTGCTCCGGTGAGGTAAAAGTTACGCCATGTGGCATTCACTGCCCCGTGTCCAAGTTTTGTGAAAACCTCGCTAAGTGACTTGCGTGCCTGGGTATGCTTGGGCTCTGCAGCGACAACGTGACCAAGAAGGGTTGCTGCAAATCGAAGATCGCCTGTTGAGGCATATTCATTTCCCAATGCCACGGTCCTATCCGCACCGCCCATGCAAGCAACATATCGTTTGCCTTCTTCAGTCGGAGTGTGTCTCCACAAATTCACCGGATTACCATCAAACCAAGTCATATAACGCTGGTATATAGCTTTGATGTTGTGGCTAAGGGAACCGTAGTACCCCTGGATGTGCCAGGCTTTATCAAGAGTCGGGGGAAGGCTTAGTTTCTCCGCAATCTCAACGCCAGTGAGTCCTTCATTCATGAGACGGACGGTTTGGTCATGCATAAAGGCATACATATCACGCTGTTCAGCAAGTAGCCGAGCAATGTCCCGTTGGCCCCATGTCGGCCAGTGATGCCCGGCGAACAACACTGCCGCTCGGTCACCGAACAGAACCAAGCTTTCGTCGAGGCCCTGCGACCAGGCCTTGGAATCTCGCACCAGTGCACCCCGCAAGGTAATGATATTGTGCATACAGTGGGTTGCACATTCGGAGATGTACAGCGCTTTGCTTTCAGGGAAATAAAAGTTGAATTCGGAGGGAGCTTCGGTGCCCGAGACGATTTGAAATTCGATGCGAACGCCATCGATGACACGCTCCTCGCCGGTAGTCCCGATCAGCATGTTCGGTGGAATCATCGAGGTCGTTCCTTGTGATGTTGCCATACCCAGTCCACATCCAACTTGCCCTTCTGGGTTCCGAGGCAAGCTTGATCCGTACATAAATCTGGCTCTGCGTCGCATGGCTGTGCCAACATAGATATTCTCGCTTGTAGCTTCTTCCATGAAGCCTTCGGGGGCGACAATGGGAATCTTATTCTCCATCCCCTCTGGTAAGACACCACGGGCGCCACCAAAGTGATCCACGTGCGAATGTGAGTAGATCAACCCGGTGAGGGGTCGCTCACCGCGATGCTTCTTGTAGAGAGAGAACGCTGCTGCGGCACATTCATTCGAGATCAAAGGGTCGATGATTATCACTCCCTTCTGGCCTTCAACCAGGGTCATGTTCGACAGATCCAATCCGCGCACCTGGTAGACACCTGGGGCCACCTCAAAAAGACCGTGTTTGGTGCAGAGCTGAGCTTGTCGCCATAGCTTTGGATGAACGCTGTCTGGACACTTGTCGCTTTGCACGAAGTCATACTCATTGGTGTTCCAGGCAAGGCGGCCAGCTTGGGTCTTGATAACACCAGGCTCTAGAGTACCGACGAAGCCACGGGAGGCGTTTTCAAAATCCGTCATTGTGAGAGAAAGAATAATTTGCGGCTGTTCATACTTGGAATTCAACCGACTTAAGTATCAAAATGTTCAATGGTGAATGTCCCGAGCTTTTGACGCCATCTCGGTATATTCGGCAATTCATCTGTCTCGGCTCCCCGCGTTTACCCCGGATTTCGATCCTGTTTGCCGAAGTAAAAATGCCGAGTCTGATATATAAACGCGGGTACTTGCTAGCTTTGGTCCAATAATTTCAATGTAACGTTGCGGATCGCTTGATAATGGAACTTCAAGATACCCCAAAGCATGCAGAGACAACAGAAGATGAATTCGGTTTCACTCCAAGTGAGCAGCGCAGAATCATTCACAAAATAGACCGACGGCTTATTACTGGCCTGGGTCTATTGTTTGGAGTGAGCTTGATGGACCGGACTAATCTAGGAAATGCTTCGATTGCAGGGTACGAACTCGGCATGAATAGTGAAAGGATGCGCTAACTCTTTGGTAGGATGCAGCAAGAGCTAAAGTTGAACATCGGAGCTCGATATGTGAGGAAGTTGAATTCCCCTCTGGCTTCATGGCTAATTCTGTAGTCTATTGTGCTTCTTGTTTTCTTCATTCCATATGTGATTGTCCAATTTCCTAGTTCGATCATCGTCCGCAAAATTGGAGCCCGAGCATTTCTGGCAGGGATTACTTTTGCATGGGGGGTGGTGATGATAGTAGGTCTACTTCTCTCTATCTTCTGGCCGTTTGAGAAGTTGACAACACAAGGGATTTGGATTCGTTCACGACTGGAAAACAATGCTAGGACTGCGTGTTATTTTGGGGGCGTTTGAAGCAGGCCTGTTTCCCGGGGCTATATACCTCCTTTCTCTGTGGTATACCCGCTGTAAGTGGACTGCTTGGCCTTTTTGTTGAATGTCCAAGTTGATTTAAAAAGACGAGGTCCACAAGCGCTACTCCTCGTTCTATCTGATCAGCGTGATCGGGGGTTCCCTCTCGGGCGTACTTGCCTATGGCTTTATGCAAATGGCCGGTCTTGCAGGGCTCGCTGCCTGGAAATGGATCTTCATCATGGAAGGTATCCTTACTTGCATTTTCGCGGTGATCGGATTCTTCCTCCTTGTCAGCTTTCCACAAGATGTGCACAAATCTCGTAGCTTTCTTCCAGCTCGGGAGATCGAATTTGTCCTTTGGCGCATCGAGCAAGATCGACAGGACGTTGCCGAGGAACCATTTACTCTCTCCGCATTTATCAAACCTGCCGCCGAATGGATGGTTTGGGGGTTTGCTATAATCTTCTTGTTGGTCAACCTCTATCCTTTGTTTAACTATCGTTTTGTTACGAGGGTCTCGCTGACCATTTCAAACATGAAGATGCAGCACCGTGGTCTCTTATGCCATCGCATTCTTCTTACCCATCATCTTGTCCAGCAAACTAGGCTTTGGTGTTGGTGCTTCCCAGGCCCTCAGCACACCTCCATACTTTTTCGCTGGTGTCGTTATGTATGTGGAAGGATGGCTCGGTGACAAATGGCATCTTCGAAGTCCCATCATTATTTACAACTCACTGCAGACAATAGTTGGTTTGTGTCTCCTGGAGTGGGTTGCGTCGCCGGGCGTCCAATACTTCGGCCTTTTCCTCGTCGCGTCAGGTTCAAATGCTAACATACCGGCGGTCCTCGCTTGGCAAGCAAACAACATTCGTGGGCAGTGGAAACGTGCCTTTTGTAGTGCCAGTATGATTACTTGCGGTGGTATCGGAGGCATCATTGGGGCAGTTGTATATCGGTCGCAGGATGCACCGACATTCTTTCCTGGAGTGATCACGTCGATTGGGTAAGTAACATGCTGATTAGGTTCTTACATTCTTCTGACTTATCAACAGATTGAACATTCTGATTATGGCTCTAACGGGCATTTTGACTCTGTACTTCCATAGGGCGAATGGAAAGGCCCGACTGGGAAGAACCGTTATTGAAGGACTTCCTGGCTTCCACTACACCTTATGAATGGAAGGTCGTATATCATGTGAGATGACACTTTGAAGGATATTATCAATCTTAGTTCAGGTTAATGAAAAGAAACATGATAAAAGCACGAGGGTTCGTCTATCGTGGGAGCGGTTATTGCTATATCATCATGGTGTTGAAGTGTTTTACTCAAACTTGCTCAGTCTGATCAAGATGCCACATGTGCTCTGCGGGACTGGTAGTACTTCTTCTTGAATAGCATTTCAAATGGAAGAAGACATGGATAGATTGGATTTCTAGTATTCTGATTCGAAATAAATTCCAAGCGAGTTTCATACTTGTTCCTGCCTGAGGCATATAAAGTTTGAGCCTCAGGCGTAGTCACGGGACGGAACAACTCTAGCACCGGGCAAGTACGTCACTCTCAATTGGTCAGCCGGTGTTTAGGCTCATCTTCTAACTCGACGTCGACACCCTCAACAATCCGTCTCTCCGTGAAACCCTTTTCAGAAGCTTCATTATCTTGCTCCTGGCCTTGCTGTCACTCCTATACACCGAATTCGCCCATTAAACACTTCTTAAAAGCTCAATATGGAGGGCAACCCCGCAGAGCACGATGAAGTCGTGTCTCAATTCTGTGCCATGACAGGAATCCAACCGTCACAGGTAAGATATGGGTCCGCTTTAACCGGCTACAAAGGTCGCTAACATCTGGTGCGTGATGATCTAGGCTCAGGAATATCTCGCTGCCAACGGATGGGACATGGAAGCCGCCGTAACGGAGTTCTTCGCGGAACAGGATGAGGCCATGCAAGACACGAATGCTGGTGGCGGTCAACAACTGGGCTCAGAGAGTACATCTGGAGCTCCTGGAGGGAGAACCCTTGGTGGAGGTGCTGTGCCAGCTTCATCTGCGGCCGCGGAGCCTTCGTCATCCAGCCGAAGTGCCGCGCCGAAAAAGAAATTCGCAACTCTAGGAGACTTTTCCCAGGGAGCTACTGCCGACTCCTCGGACGACGACGATGACCATGATCATGATTTCTTTACCGGAGGCGAGAAGTCGGGATTGGCTGTCCAGAACCCCGATGACTTGAAGAAGAAGATCCTCGAAAAGGCCCGCAGGCAAGTAATCTAGAATTTCTGGACTTTGGGTCACTCTTATGCTAACTGTTATCTTAAAGGGCACAACCACCTCCTTCTGATGACCCCGAGCCGAGAGAATCACATTTCACCGGCACTGCTCGCACACTTGGTGGTGACGATGCGCCGAGCCGAGTGATTGAAAACCCATCTGCCCCTGCTGCACAGCGCGCCCAGCGTGTTCAGCGTACCCTTCACTTCTGGGCTGATGGGTTCTCGGTTGATGATGGCGAGCTCTTCCGTTCAGACGATCCCCGAAACGCAGAGATCCTTGATGGCATTCGGCAGGGCCGTGCTCCTCTTTCTATCATGAATGTTGAGCCTGGCCAGGAGGTCGATGTGGAGCTCAAGCAGCACGAAGAGAAATACACAAAACCCAAACCCAAATACATGCCATTTTCCGGTGCTGGACAGCGCCTTGGGAGCCCGACGCCTGGCATTCGAAGCCAAGCCCCTACCCCTTCTTCTTCTACGCCTGAAGCATCTGCTCAGGAGCCCGCCAAACCCACTTTGGACGAGTCGCAACCCACCGTCACCCTACAAATTCGCCTGGGAGATGGCACGCGGCTGACATCTCGGTTTAATACCACCGCCACCATTGGCGACGTCTATTCATTCGTTTCTGCCTCTTCCCCCGGCTCTGCCAACCGCGCATGGGTTTTGATGACTACTTTCCCCAGCACAGAGCTGAAGGATCGGGATGTTGTTCTCGGAGACATGCCCGACTTTAAGCGCGGAGGAGTCGTCGTCCAGAAGTGGCAGTGAGCGCCATCAACACCCTGACTTTCCTTTATCGGAGTGATTTCAAGAGCGAATACCACGGAAACGGGACACATGGGTAAACGTTTTATGACAAATCTGATACACAGGGGAGCATAATAGCTAGATGACTTGGCTATGGTCAAGTCTCAATACAAATATTTGACAAATCAAACCTTTCTGTAGTTGAGGGCATTCCAGGATTTCCATAGAATCTCTGCTGCTTTAGTCAGAATGCGATTGATAAGCGCATCCCGAGGTCGGCTCCCCACTTTGGAATTCGAATGCACTTTCGCATCCTCTCTCAATCGCCTAATTGTCCATTAACTGCATAATGCCTCTGACTGGTGTCAAAAATGTTGTGCTGGTGAGTGCGACTTCCATTGCACAGTGCGATCTGTCGAGGGGCAAAAGAATCCCACCCCTCGCAGCTTATCGATAACAAATCATCGCAACCAAGATCAGCGCGCACCCACGAGCCTCAACTGATGAAATGTCTATCTGTAGGTTCTCTCCGGCAAAGGAGGCGTCGGCAAATCTTCTGTCACCCTCCAACTGGCCCTCGCCCTATCGCTCCAGGGAAAATCGGTCGGAATCCTTGATATCGACCTAACAGGACCCTCAATGCCACGCCTTGTAGGCCTGGAAGATGCCAAAATCACACAAGCACCAGGCGGCTGGCTCCCAGTCCCAGTCCATGCGGCCGAAACATCAGGCGATGCCTCGGAGCCAACACAGACCCAGCGCGGATCTCTCCGATGCATGTCCCTCGGCTTCCTACTTCGCGACCGCGGTGATGCCGTCATTTGGCGCGGACCTAAGAAGACAGCTATGATCCGCCAGTTCTTGTCGGATGTCTTTTGGGGACCGACTGACTACCTTCTCATCGATACACCACCCGGAACGAGTGACGAACACATTGCGCTCGCTGAGCAGTTGCTCTCCCTCTCTACAACGGACGCGGCAGCTGCTGCGCAGACTGGATTGCCTTGGTTATCTGGCGCGGTGCTTGTTACGACGCCACAGGCTGTTGCGACTTCTGACGTTCGCAAAGAGGCTAATTTCTGTGTTAAGACTAATATTCCTGTTCTTGGGGTTATTGAAAACATGTCCGGATATGCTTGCCCGTGTTGTGGAGAGGTGAGCAATCCGTTCTCCAGTGGTGGTGGACAGGTGATGGCTCAGGAACTCAAGATTCCGTTCATGGGTAGTGTGCCCATTGACGTGAAATTTGGAGAGTTGGTCGAAGGAAAGATGGAACCTGGGGATAGTGATGAAGAGGAGGAAAGTGACGGACAAAATGCTCAACCAGAAGAAACTGCTGAGCCCGATGACCGGCCTCTCGTTGAACGATACCGGGACTGCTGGTCTTATGCCCGATTTGAAGGCTTTGCACAGACTATTATAGGTGGCATTGAGGGAACAGCTGCGACGGCTTAACATCCCAGCTTGAAAAGTGCCTTTTGATTACTTTTTCTCTAGCGATATCCAGCCTGGCTGGGTTTTGGTTGCATTGCATTGCATAACAGGGGGTTTGATAGTTCTGAATGTCAGATTGATGCATCGAAAAACAAAGCCTCGACTCGGAATTTGGTAAAGAGTTGATTCAACTGTAACTTATGTACAAACTAACTTGTCAAGAATCACGATATCCCATCTCTGTCCTCTTTTCTCAAGAGGTGAGACTCAGGCTGGTCTCCGGCTTCCGAATCGCTCAACTCGAACAGTTCGTTCAGCTCCTGAGAGTTGGGGGACTGCCACTCTTCGTGTTTTGCCTCTCTATCAGTTCTTGCTCCGAAGAACGGTCCAAATGAACCCTCTCGAACACAAATCCTGATCAACCATGCGCATAACATAACGAGTGCAGCAGTCATCGAACCAACCACAAACATCCAAAAGTCCCCCTGGCCAGACTCAGTCACAGAATCATCTTCGCTGCCATGAACAGTCAAGATCTCCTTGCTGTATTCTTCTGGTTTCCATTCTACAGTAGCAGTCATACCCAGAAATTCCCCTTCGGCGCCAATCGCAACAACGCGCAGGGTTCGATAGGGCATGTCGGAAGGAACAGGAACTACAGTCTCAAATCCAGACTTGGGAACAGCAGAGACAAACACGAACTCATCGAGATGCTCCGGATGCTGTATCTTCCAATCATTGAACTCACTCCCGTCACTTCCGTTCCTTGTATCAACAGCTCCCTCCAGAACCCAACTCTTCACCTCTGTGGCTCCATTCCAACTGACCGCGACGTATGTCCCTGCGAATGCTGCATCAGGAGATGACCTCGGTCTTCCGACCCAGTGATGTTTGAAAACGCGGTATGAGAGGATGTTTCCATCCCCAAATCCGCCAGAAGGTCCGAAATGTACGTCACATAGTACTTCGCCGTCCATGGAAAATTCGGTCCAAGCCGCGTTGTGTCCATATCCAACGAGCACGTTTCCATTGTCGAGTAGTTGTGTTGATCCTTGTGACTGGCTACTAATCGGCAGGGGATTCCAGTACTCATGTCTGACACGAGCTGTGAGTTTCTTTTCGTCGATGTCGATGAACAATCCCCGGCTTCTATTTTCGGGGGCACCTTCGCCTCGAGATGAATTGTCAAAAATGGTAATCGCTCGCTTCGGGTGATCTTCTGACTCCGGGTCTATATCTGCATTGTCCTCCTGGAACCGAGCATGGTGTTGCCAACTGATATTCGTCGCCGCACCATCTGATAAATCGGCGAAAGAATTGTACTTTCCACCAAGTCTCCAGATGACCGCACCGGTCTTTCCGTCAATATAAGTGAGACAGCTCATATACCGTGAGGAAATCAGAAAATTGCCTCGGGCATCTTTGTCAATGCTGTTCATATGGAAGAAGTCCCACGGTGCATCCTGTGAATCCCCATTACCCTCCGTTCCGCGGTAACCATCATCCAGACTGAAATGCTCGGATGCGCGCCATTGAAAGAGAAGCTCGTTGGTCTCGATATCGACTTCTTGGAAGACACCGTCAAAAATCCAACCATTTTCTGGTCCACCGACAATGCGCAGGTCCGCAGGTCGGGTTTCATATACAATAAAAACAGCAGTTCCATCAGGCGTGATATTAAACTCATGAAAGTCTGCAGGAAGGCCGTTGACACTGCTGATTTTGTACTTTTCTTCGTATCGAGAATTGAGCTAGCATCAAGTTAGCAGAAATGCTTGGTGATTGTGTAGATCACTCACCATATAATAAAACCCATTGCCATGTCCACGAATCCCATCATTTCCAGCCCAGAATGTAAGATAATCCTCTCCGCGAAAGGTGTGGATATTAAAATTGTACGTTGTGCCGTACTCCTTGAACCAGACCAGGTCTCCATTCTGATCTAGGATCATCGGCCCTTTGTGTCGGACTGAGTCACCGCGTGGTGCGATGAGCGTAAATCCCCCATCTTCACAGGCACGACTGCGATGCCAGTAATTCAATATTAAACCGGAGACTGAGGAAGAGTGGTAGCTCTGTAGGGGCCATGCGCCATAGTGCTCGCGATCATAGCTAACGGAGCGGAAGTAGGGCTTTGAATCCGCATTTATGAATGGTAAAAACAGTAAAAACGGTAGAACCTCCAGAAGTATACTGTGTTGGAGTAGCATATTAGGTTGCTAGGTGAGATGAGAGGAAGACATAGTTTTTCTGCTGAGTTCCTATTTTCTTCAGTGGGACTACAAGACTGCGCGTCCCCGGAATTAGTTTATCTGATTCTGATGCTTATAATGGCTATATCCGTCTTGGGATTGGTAGCTGTCTTCCGTCTGTGGAGCCGGGCCGCGACATCTTGTGCCAGCTACAGCATATTGAATCGGTGGTGTTAAACAGGGACTTGTGAAAGATTCTGTTGTTGTTTCTACCACTGAATATGATTCTGTTTCATGCGGTTTTGTGGAAAGGTTATTGGTCAAAAATTCAAAAATAGGATATAAAATTCCTAATGGGTGTCGCGTACCGTCCGCGTAAGCTGGCATGGGCCATCAAGTGGTGATATTCGTTGGCACTAGTACCACTAGTACGGATGAAAATAGCCATTGGCGATCAGTGAGATACCGGAAAAGTCGGCAATAGGGTTTGGATTCAAGTATTGAAATGTTCGCATACAAAACAACAAGTGTGCGCAATTATAAGGAGGTTTTATGCTGTAAACGAGGAGAAAAAGTGAATTGACGAGCCAGAAGCAGAGCAATCTGTGTAATTTTGGTCCTAGACTTTGCTAAATATAATCAAGAAATACATATAATTCCTTCAATTGTCTTGGTGAGAGGGACAATCAAAGTCTACTATGTCTTTCGCATTCTTCTTAGTTGACTGGCTAAATTTTTGGATGTATCGAAACTGCCTTTGGACATAATGGTTATTTCTTGAGTTTTAACCAATCAGAAGTCAGTTTGGCCGAGTGGTTAAGGCGATTGACTAGAAATCAATTCCGTTCGCGGGCAGAGGTTCGAATCCTCTAGCTGACGACTCTTTTTTTTGCATTTATATCGGTCTTCCTCTACTTTTTTTCTAGTTTAAGTGGACATTTTGATAGAAGAAGAGAAGATAGGATGTACGCTTAACTTGTAGTACGATTGTGTTGGAATTTAATATTGCTGTATCACTATAGATCTAACTAAACACTGGGGTTCCTATTAATACAATCAATCCTACGAAGCCGCTAGTAGCCTGCCTCCTAATGTTATTATTAACTACTTGACTACCTTATAGAGGCGAGCGGAGGCTAGGAATAGTAAAGTGGGAGATATAGCTCGCCTATATCAATATATAACAAAACAAGATTTAACAAAAGAAGAAGAACATGAAGAAACACATAAAGAAAACTTAACATAAGAAAAAAGAGACGTAACAGAAGTTACAAACATAAGTACAATATGACACAAGAACTTGAACACAAGTTCGAACAGAAAAACAATACATGCAAACACCATACTCAAGAATTCCATGAAGACTCTAAAACAAGCAAGCATACAAAAAGGAACAAGACAATAGAAAATATGGAACATCTAAGAATTCCAAAGAAGAGCAAAGAACTATAGAAAAACATGGAAGAATTACGAACACAGAAAAATGCATGATAAACCGCTTTTAGGAAAACTGTATCCGGAAATCCGAGGAAGCCTCAAAATACAACAATAAGAATATAACCCTAGGATTCCTACGAATGCAGCAAATAAGCCGAAAGCATCAAAAAAGAAGAACAGAGAAATTTAACTTAAATTGAGCAGGATTACCTAGCAAAAAAGAATCATCAATCTCAATCATCTATTTCTCTGATTCATCTATCTTCAATCTTAATCTCACTTTGTTTTTATCATTTCTTTAAATGATCCCTACCTTAATAACCTAAAAGCCTATTGTGAGTTTGGCTACTAACGTGATTTATAACGAAGCTACGTATATACCGAAGCTACGTACCCTAAAATATATAGTAAATACGATCAATTACCATGTTATATCCTAATAACCCTGTTTATCTATGATAGTATATTAAAACTGTATAGTCTATATAGTATCTCTAGCCTACTAGTGAATTATAAGAAGATCACTAGAAGTATTGGTGGATATATATATATCAATGTCCCTAATGTCAAAATACGCCGTATTTTAAGATAAACCATTAAGATAATCCTCTAAATTGTTTGATTTCAAGGTATATTATTTCATACGCTACGAAAAGCCTATATCCTAATATTAAAGTAAAAATAATATATGGTTGTTGATATATAAAGTAGTAATTGATCGGATTTACTATATGTTTTAGGGTGCGTAGCTTCGGTATATACGTAGCTTCGTTATGAATCACGTTAGTAGCCAAACTCATAATAGGCGAGCTATATCTCCCACTTTACTATTCCTAGCCTCCGCTCGCCTCTATAAGGTAGTTAAGTGGTTAATGATAATATTAGGAGGTAGGCTACTAGCGGCTTCGTAGGATTGATTGTATTAATAGGAACCCCAGTGTTTAGTTAGATCTATAGTGATACAGCAATATTAAATTCCAACACAATCGTACTACAAGTTAAGCGTACATCCTATCTTCTCTTCTTCTATCAAAATGTCCACTTAAACTAGAAAAAAAGTAGAGGAAGACCGATATAAATGCAAAAAAAAGAGTCGTCAGCTAGAGGATTCGAACCTCTGCCCGCGAACGGAATTGATTTCTAGTCAATCGCCTTAACCACTCGGCCAAACTGACAATGGATGAAAAATTGGCAGATTAATGGTAATATGATTCATTAATTAACGCATAGCGATGTCCATGTCAAGTTTTTGTTACCTTATAACATATAACGTCTGTCCACCTTTTTATAATCAAGTTGATTTCAGCAAAAACAAATTTAAATTACTTGAGAATAGACATGATGCCAGAATCCTCTTCACTTGAAATGGTAGGGAAAAGATGAAATAAATGCAAAAATAAGAATCGTCAGCTAGAGGATTCGAACCTCTGCCCGCGAACGGAATTGATTTCTAGTCAATCGCCTTAACCACTCGGCCAAACTGACAACAGATAGAAAGATTGTGAGATTTCTTGTATTATTAACCACCAGATATTAAATATTTTTTTCAACACCTTGATAAAAGCCTAGGGCATTAGAGATGTCCAGGAATAGGGCTGCCCGGGGGGATTAAATCAGATGGCCCGTCACCTATGACCGATCCTGTCATTGGCCTTACTCTCACGAATAAGTGTATTAAAATCGTAGATATTATATATGAATGCTGCCAAAAGACTTCCCCATGCTAAGAGGATATCTAGAACTTGGCAGAATAAACTAGCTTGCGTCTTCTCTTCTCGCCCGCACATCTCTCATCAAAGCCTTAGCCTCCTCCACTTCGATACCATCTTGGCATAACTCACTCGCCAGCTGGTCTGCACGGTCTAGGTCACCATTCCTTGATGCGAACTGTGCCAGCCACAGCCGTGCTTTAGATGTGGTTGCAGTAACGCCAGTGCCATGCCATGACTCGCTGTTAATCGAGTCATCATTGTTGATACCAAACGACTCGGTCTTGGCATGGGCCTTGCGCTTTTGACGACGTTTTCGTGAGGTATCAACATCCTCATCCTCTGGGGGCTCGATTTCAGCATCACTTTCAGCGGCTTGTTCTGAGGAAGACGAGCAGTCCTCGTCGTCGCTATTGTTCTCGCCAGGAGGAGCCCCTGACTCTTGTTGTAGAGTGAGTTCCATGTAAGCAGCAGCCTCGTCTTCGTCGCCAAGTCGCTCGTACAATGTTGCGATTTGGTGAAGAGTCTCTGGGTCAAGAATCTTCCGAGATCCAGCGCCAGAGCTTGCTGCGTTGCCACCGTCATCCACGTTAGATGATCCAGCCACCAGCGCCCGCTTGAGAGCTTGGATACTTTGCTCCATCCGGCCCATTTTTGCATAGCAAGAGCCCACTGCCTGCCACATCTTCGGGTCGTAGGGGCGTAGTGCGGCAGCGCGTTGGTAGTAGAAAAGAGCGTAGAATGACATGTCCAAGACTTCGTAGGCCTGCCCAAGACCATACCAGGCGCGATAATCTTTGCGGTTGACATCTACAGCCCGCCGGTATGATTCGATGGCGGTATGTGTGTTTTTCATCTCGATGTATTCATGTCCCATGAGGGTCCAGGCAGACAAAAAGTTGCGGTCAAGCGTGAGCGCACGTCTGAAATACATTACTGCCTTCTCGTGCTCGGATTTCAAAGAGTAGTAGTTTCCGACAACACAACATGTTTCTGGGCGGAACTTGTCTGTGGCTGTTGCGACCTGAGCAACAAAGGCAAGTTGAGGTCGGTGATCCATCACGTAAAGAATGTTTGAATAGTGATCAAGGCTGTCTAGGCGGTGGGGTGATGTTGCCAGGATGCCTTCAAATATTTTAGATGCCTCCTCAAAGTCTGGTTGTGCCGTGTTAGAAAGTAGTCACGGGATTTACCAGGAAGGTCAGGGCGTTACCTCTTGAATGATAACACAGCAGTGCGCGTTGGGTTTTTAAGAATGCACTCCCTGGGAAGGTAGACTCCAGTTCAGTAAGGGCTCTGTAAGTCTCGTCTGTATCCTGGTACAGCTCCTGGCTGCAGTAAACGTAGAATATGATGCTCATGACATTCTGCGGGAGCAAACCAAGGATTTGTTTCAACTAACACCAATGTTAGTACCAATAATCTGCATAATTCAACGAAAAGACTTACATCCTCTGTGCTAGCGAGAAGATCGTTCAACTCTTGCCAAGCACCCCAGTGATATGGGTTCTGATGCACACAGCGGAGAAGCCATTTTTTGGCTAGCTCTTCGTTGCGTCCTTTCAACAGAACAACGGCGTAAAGATACTCCAGCCACCCCTGACCTTGGTCTTCCAACCCTTGTGCACTTCGATCCTTCAACCATCCATCCAGCCCTCGTGCTAGACCTGGCAATTCCCGATTGGCAGCCATGCCGCCGTCTGCTGGGCCTAAGACCATCTCTGTTTCTTCCTCTCTTCTCTTTTCTCCAGCTAGATATTTCGCATACAGTGCAAGAAAGAGTGACTTTTGACTGAGTTTTGGATATGGATTCTGGTGTGTTGGGGCCTTTGAGCCCTGGAATGGCGATGCCTTGTCCTTGCCCTTTTGCGAGGTTTTTGGTTGTCTAGACTTCGAGTTGGGTGAGGTGACTGATAAAGGAACAGGGGGTGTTGTTGGAGGGAGAAAAACGGCCGCACAGCGGTCATATTCACGGGTGTCGAAGTAGGATTTGGCTAGTAGGTATTTGTAGGATTCCTGCGCTTCAAGGCTTGCTTCTGTAAGATCCCGCACAGGTAGATAAGGGTTGGTAGGCGGTGGTGCAAGATCATTGATGTCCATGGGTGACTCGACATCGGTGTCTTCATGGTGTAGAGTCCGGAGTGAATCAAGCATTTCGGCAGCCCTAGGTGAATACCATTAGTCCCTCTGGAGTGTTCATATAGAGAACATCACTCATACCATTTTGCCGATTGGTAGAGACAACGCTCTGAACATTTTATTGCTGCGCTTTCCAGTTGCCACCTAAGCTCTCGAATGGCATCATCTGTCGGTTCCTCCATGCTTAGTGTCTCCGGTGCAAGTAGGTGGGGTTGTTTTGAGGTGTAATTCGATATGTAGCTTTGTAGCGTGAACAGAGCTTAGGGTTAATCAATGCGTCTCCTATAATTCGATATCATCCTTTGATCGTGTCAAGGCGATTATCACTGCAATTGAATCATGAGTGAATCAAGTAAATAAAGGCTTTAGCTTCAGGCGCGTAGGCGCGTGGACGTGGAGAGGGCAATCCGCTGGACAAGAGTATCGCAACAATTACGAGACAATCCCAGACCGGCTGATGATATGAAGAAGCTGCAAATCACAAAGAGTGTGTGAGCTTGAGGAATCCAAGTGGTTTGCGCCTGGAGAAACAACGCAATTCAAACAACCACAAACAGTGCAAATAGCACAAACACTCCACTCACCGCCCCCTCTCCGCGGGGTGATTGATCGGACTATTTTCTGTGTTTCCTTTATACCTCACGTCTAGAAGTCCACATCTCGTCACGATGGCTCAAACTACTAAGCGTGCCGACTTTGAGGCCATCTTCCCTGCATTGGCCCAGGATATCCTTGCCCATGCGAAGCGCTACAATCTCCCCGCCAACGCCCTGGAGTGGTTCGAGAACGTGAGATCGCCTCCTGATTTTCCTTTTTTTGCTTTTTTTTCGCCCATTGACTGACAATTTATCTCAAAAAATAGTCTCTTAATGTCAATGTTCCCGGTGGCAAGCTGAACCGTGGCCTCTCAGTCCCCGACACTGGTCTTGCTCTCCTGCAGAAGCCCCTGACTGATGAGCAGTTCGAGCACCTTAGCATTCTCGGCTGGATGACTGAGCTGCTCCAGGCCTTTTTCCTTGTCAGCGATGATATTATGGACAGCTCCATCACCCGTCGTGGTCAGCCCTGCTGGTATCGTCAGGAGAAGGTTGGTCTGATTGCCATCAACGACGCCTTCATGTTGGAGTCTGGTATCTACATGATCCTGAAGCAGCGCTTCCGCTCTCACCCTGCCTACATTGACCTTGTTGAGCTCTTCCACGAGACCACCTGGCAGACTGAGCTCGGTCAGCTGTGCGATCTGATCACCGCCCCCGAGGACAACGTTGACCTCGACAACTTCTCGATGGAGAAGTACATGTTCATTGTCACCTACAAGACCGCCTACTACAGCTTCTACCTGCCTGTTGCTCTGGCTCTTATCTACTTGGAGCTTGCCACCCCTGAAACTCTCAAGCAGGTCGAGGACATCCTCATCCCTCTTGGTCAATACTTCCAGATCCAGGACGATTACCTTGACAACTTCGGTGACCCATTCATCATTGGAAAGGTCGGTACTGATATCCAAGATAACAAGTGCTCGTGGCTCGTCAACCAGGCTATTCAGCGCTGCACCCCCGAGCAGCGCAAGGTTCTTGACGCCAGCTATGGTCGCAAGGACCAGGCGGAAGAGATCAAGGTCAAGGCTATCTTCAGCGAGCTTGGTCTCGATGCTCTCTACAAAGAGTATGAGGAGAAGGTTGTCGGTGAGATCCGCGAGAAGATCGCCGCCGTGGATGAGTCCAAGGGTCTGAAGAAGGAGGTCTTCGAGTCCTTCCTTGCCAAGATCTACAAGCGCACCAAGTAGAGTATCACGCTCCGTTTCGGTTTCGGTTTCGGTTCTAGCAAAATACCCATTTTCCAATTAATTAATTGTGGGCAGCATGTGCATCAACTGGACATGCACTATGATATTTCCCCTTTTCCAGTTCTCGTATCTATTTAGACAGAATTGAAACATACTTCGGTTTTCAGACGCTTGAACATGGTATCGAGAATTGCAATCTGCGCTTTGTGCAAAAGGCTTCAAAGATTAATTGGTCCAGCAGAGACCGATGATCTATATGTTTACAGGTGGGGAGCATTCAGTGCCATGAGACACAACAGCCCAGAAATCAATCCGGCACAAGGAAGAGTCAAGACCCAACCACCAAAGATAAAGCCCAGCTGTTTCCAGTTCACAGCACCAAGATCATAGTTCATGAGAGCCACACCCATCGAAGCTCCAGTCAAGCACTGAGTGGTTGAGACCGGCAACGCAAGTCTCGAAGCCAAAAGCACAGTAATGGCGGCTCCAAGTTCAACGCTGAAACCACGAGTAGGCGACATCTGAGTGATCTTGTTACCCAAAGCACGCACGATATGGTACCCGTAGAACCAGAACCCGAGGCCGAGCAGCAGACCCGCAACAACGAGGAACCAGACTGGCGTAGGAGCCTTGGTCTCGACAACTCCAGCATGGAATGTGCTGTAGGTGGAAGCCCATGGTCCAACGGCGTTGGCAACATCGTTCGATCCGTGAGCGATAGACATCATCATCGCTGATATAACTTGGCAGTATGTCCACAGGTGTTCAACGCGGTCATCGTATCGGTGTGCACGGGCGTGGATGGCACGTAGGTGTGCCGAGTCGTGAGTGACCACATCGCGGGTCACACCCTGCAGAAGAATCCACTTGATGTATCCCCAAGCCTTCAAGGGGTTAGTCCAGGAGAGCTCGCGGACGGGGTCGATGAACCGTTCGGTAGGTCCGACATGCTTCTTTTGAGGCTTGATTTGAGGTGTGGAGTTGACCGAGTTCATGTTCTTTTCTTCGTCTTCGGCGGGGATATCCGGCTTGCTTTTTGCTGTAATTTCAGGTGAGGCGATAACCGAGTTTGCATCGGTTGTGGTGTGGTGCTTAGCGGCATCGGCTTGACCGGCGTGCACTTCGCCATAAGCGTCTTCATAATAGTTGATCACGGTCCCTTCACCCTTGCCAGGGAAGTACAGAGGAGGGTTCTCTCGGAGCAACAGAGGACCGAGGGGGATGTGATAGAACTTTATACGGCCATCATTTTGGATGAGACGGCGCTTGGAGTATGGCATGAAGAAGACATAGGCGAAGAGGAGACATCCGAAGAAGACTCCCAGGATGATTCCGACGATCTTGCCGGTACCAAACTCTTCCAAAGAGGGGGCCGTGGGGGCTTCGATGGTAATAAAGAGAGCGAGAATGGCACCTGTAAATGCCAGGTAGAAGGGAATCAAACGCATCGCCCACTTGAAGGGATCCTTTCGTTCAAGCACACTGTACTTGAGAGTGCCAAAAATGATAGCCGAAAATGCAGCGGCGATGAGAGGTGCAATTCCCCAAGAAGCAGCAATCTGAGAGACACTGCCACTTTTCCATTCCCAGGTGATATCTGCCTGCGCAGCAAATCCAACACCAATAAGGGCACCGACAATGGTCTGCGTTGTCGAAACAGGCCAGCCGAGTCCAGTGGCAAGCATTAACCACGAGGCACTGCCGACCTCTGCGCACCCCATGGCCAGCATGAGGGCACCAGGCCTTCCTTCAAATCTTGTGATATCGATGATTCCGTTCTTGATGGTCGATGAGACACGGGAGCCCATGGCTACTGCACCAATGAACTCAGTGCAGGCAGCCAGGACACCGGCTGTGGCCATGTTGAGTGTGCGGGCTGCAACGGAGGTTGCATATGAATTGGCAACATCGTTGGCACCGTTACCGAAAGCACTGAAGACGAAGGCAACCGATGTAATCGCGAGGATCCAGTCATACTTGGCGGTTGCGATGGGTGCCATGGTGATAATGAAACTCGATTGACCACGCAACAAATGCAAATACTTGGGGCCTTGGATACAAAATATTCTGTGCAGTTCGTGCCGCCCTTATACGAACTGCACAGTCAGGTTACAGGCATTGCCAAGTGCAGCTTTGGAAGAAAGGCTCTTCTAAACTTGGCCAGGTCCATAATGAGGCTAACACCGATACAGGAGCTCAGCCCATCCCATTGAACTCATCAAAAACGTGCACCATATCCGAGATATTCATTGGCTGAGTACCAAATTTCTTGGGTTGCTCTCGCCGACGGAAAGGACTACAGCGGAGGTTGGCGCCAAGTCTCGAGAGCGGACGCCAAGAGCAGTCGAAGCTCGGTTTCCACCGATGGATGGACCTCATTTGGGTTGAACGAGCACGTTTCGATTTGAAGATATCTGATTGAACATGTGTAGAGCTTGACCCAGGTTCAGTGCAGTGCCGAGATTCTTGGAATCTGGGCATCTCGGAGAGAGCACTGCTTGCGCTTGGCATCATGTCACCGTTGGTTCCGATGGGCGGGAAATGGCTCGATTTCTATTCCTTTTGCCACCTGTGAAATACAGTGACATGCTATCTCGCATGCCACGCCCACGTGGTGGTCGTGTGGAATATTGCAGTTCGAGGATCTCGCGAGTCATGGCCTGTTAACATATCATGGCTTTTTGCCAAGGACATTGCTAACTGAATCATGTGTTTCATGGGAGAATACGGGAAATAATATGAAACAAATCATGGTTTACAATAAAATAAATCGGCATCACGATCAATCGATGCACGCTAAGCCCAGGAATGATCCATCAGGGGGCAAAAAGAAGGTCGTCAGCTGTAGGATTCGAACCTACGCCCGCGAACGGAATTGATTTCGAGTCAATCGCCTTAACCACTCGGCCAAACTGACAATATGAGGTAATCAATCTCGGTTTTGACTACAAGAAGTACCTGATTATATTGCACAAACAGCCAAATTTGACAATCATATTTCTCTCTGAAATCATCGTTTGTAGGGCTTGAATCTCGGTTTTGAGTTTTCGAAAGAATATAGTTCCTCTTCAGCCTCTTCATCTACTCCTTGAATAAACTTTGTCTAACTTCACAATCTGTGGAACGAAAGGTTAATTCGTTATGCACGTTTGACTGTTCGTTATTTTCAATTAGACACAACATTCAGTATAGCTAGTTTCACATCAATCGCATGAATATGACGACTGAATTAATGGTCTTTCGTGGTCTGCGTGACTTGAAGTGACATCAGGCTTAAACTCATCACTGATTGAATATTTTCCTAGTTTCGGACAACGATGGTTCTCTGGCTTGAAATCTGACTTGATTTTGAGTGAAATTTTACGGCTCTTTGTATGGCTTTACGTGTCTTTGTTCGCAGTATTAGTGTCTGACCTTATGTTATGTCATCTCTGTTCCTGTGTTGGTGCTGATACATAACTTAAATGCTACGTGATATATAAGAGCTAGAGTCTTTGAATGAGAAATTTTTTCACCTGAGAAATATGTTACTATGTTTACCTATACAGGCTTTTCCTTTTGATGGCAGTAAGCTACAACATTGGTTACATGGTGAGAATTGGTATTAATGGCCCATTATATCTCTGCCTGCCTCAGTTGAATATAGAATCTCATTGATTCTGTTGAGGGGCAGGTGATGGAATCTATGCAATCTCGTTCAATTATGCCTTGGGGTGATCGAATATGTAGAGACAGCTGAACTTCTGCATCAATCGCGCTTAGTATTTACATATATGACGGGTATCTGATGGTTGTGGGTTATATATTCGAGTTTTTGATGTTCCTGGTTCGGTGGCCTTGGTGGCTATCCCAGGTCCCTGCGTGGTAAGAATAAGCCACGTGCACCGCCGAGTTTCAAAACGAAGAATGCTAGCCTTTTATCCAGGCATACAATTCCAATGTTGGCCATTCATTAGATATAGCAGGGAGGAATGACTGGGCCACTTGTTTGTAGAGGCTGCTAGTATGTGTTTTGTGCGATCATCCATGAATTTGGTATAAAGAGGGGCCGGGGAGGGGTAACTTCGGCGGCGACTGTTTGTGGGGAAGAGAGATCAATCTATCATCATTTTCCGTGTAAATCTATCGATGGTTTGCGAATAGGGCTGGGGTATACCGAAAAATATAAGAGAATAGAGGACTTCCGAGGTGTACCACATTATTAATATACGTTGCAGGGAACGTTGGCCAGAATTGACTGTTAAGACAAGACAACAGCGAAAAAAAAAGATAAGTATATGCAGCCGCATATCAAGAGAAGACAAAACAATGCTCATATTCTTCACCAGCTATACCCACCCTGATAACCCAGCCTAATAACCCACACTGGCAAACTGGCAATACCGGAACAGTCACGGAGCTGCTTACCATAGTAGAAATAGCCACCCCATGGCTCTATCCAAAATAGTGACAGTAGTCCACACACATACAAACGGAAAGCATACTGGCCGCCATAGAGAATATCCCCCACCCCCCCAAAAAGAACACGACATGTGTTATAGAAGCCAAAAGGGGTGGGGGAAAGACCAACACGCCTGGAATCTCAAATCAAATTTTACACGAATAGGCTAATGATGATACTAGAAATGCATGATTATCTATAAGTAAATTAATGAATAGTTCATCACATGTAAGAAACATTGGAATAGGTGTGGCGTATTTGATATCAGATTTCAGTCTCGTAATAGATAAGTCTTTATATTGATAAATGTTTGGCAATCTACCAATCAGAAGTCAGTTTGGCCGAGTGGTTAAGGCGATTGACTAGAAATCAATTCCGTTCGCGGGCAGAGGTTCGAATCCTCTAGCTGACGATTTAAAACTTCTTTTTTTTCAAGTTTACTGTCATCAACTTACTTTTACATCCATGATTCGACGGTTTCGTCGGGCACTCATTTTTTACGGATTTATTTTTATTAGAGTCTATCTGATGAACCAGGAAACGTATAACGCTAATGCTAACATGTTGTACAAGCTAGCACAGCTCTCAAGCTCGCACCGCAGTTGGAACACTGTAGTTACTGCAATAAATTACAACGATAGCTTTTACCGAAAATACACAAAAATACGCTATAATTTTGACAATAAATATATAATCTAATCACAACTTTCTGCAAATTTTCAAGAATTCTTAAATAGACTAGAATCAAAATGAAGAGTCTTATCATAGAGAGAATCTAGGAGAAGCCATAGTTGATGAGATATAATGCTGTAATTTATCGAAATAACTGTACGATGTTCTGGATACGGCGCGAGCTGTGCACTTGTCCATTACTCCAATCATAGTACAAAAAACTTAGTCGTCTTCCATCTAATGTCAGTTTGGCCGAGTGGTTAAGGCGATTGACTAGAAATCAATTCCGTTCGCGGGCAGAGGTTCGAATCCTCTAGCTGACGATTCTCTTTTTCGCTGTTCTTTTTTTTTTGCCGTTTTTCTCGTTATACCGCTTCAAGGATGGGTCTGTTCAAGATCCAATCTATATCTAGTGATCGCGATGCCCCCTCTCCCACTGCGGAAATACGCAAGCACGAGCTAAACGGGACCTAATGTATCTATTGAGTCTACAGGAGCAAGCAGAATCAATAGAATAAACATAAAATTGGTAGCTATTGAGCAGCATCTAACCTTTAGGCACATTTATAGAGTGAGGGTGATATAGAGCATAGCTTTCCTTACCTTCGCTTCCTCGTTCTATCTGAACGGATCATCTCCATAGAACAGGGTGGGTACTGTTTACACAGGGTATTTTGATATAACGAAAGACGTCAATACTCCGACTCGATTCAAATGGGGTCTATCGCAATGTGAGTGAGAACTAGTGTTGCTTAGAAACATTCCTCCCTACTTGTCAAACTATACACCAAGGCCCCAACGGCGGATTCATCTCTCTGTGAGATAGCTCAAGATCTACAAACAACACGAAGTACAATTCCCATAGCCGATACAGATCTTTCAACCATACTCGCTGCCCAGTCGTATTTATTTATTATCCCCTGTGTATTTTTGTGGGCAAACATCAGGGCCACAAAGGGCAAAATGAACCATCGTTTGGCCGTCATTTTCGACCCCAGTATAAACGACACAAGCTTCTACCTCTTTGCTTAAAAAAACGAGATCAGTCATACCAATGAAAGCAAATAGCCCAGGGAAAGGAATGGATGCTCGGAAAAGTAAAAAGATACCTGCTTAGAATTCTGAGTAAGGGAATAACAGAAAAGTCTTACACACTGAGGGAAATATTAGGTATGAATCGAAAGACACCAAAAAGACGCCGAGGTGAAGGGTCTCTATAAAGTGTAGATTCCAGTCGCTATAGCCGCCTCTTTCGTAAACCGTGGTATATTTGTCTACAAAACAATATAGTACAATGGATTCAAAGATTTAGGTATCTAATCTAATTTTCACCAAGGCAACTAGTCCAACTGCGTCAGCATCGCTTACAGCTACCAGTGTATTATTATGGATATCCAACAAACAAGGGCACAAGTGACTTTAATGGGATGTTTATTTGTATGTAGAGCAATTGGTTGAGACAACTCGCCGGTATCAGTCGTCATACCGAGTATGCTTCAATCCAAGCCGTTCATCGACTTCAAAAGATAGCTTGTTATTCAATATGATGAGATCCAAAACAGAAATAAGAGAAAAGAAATACATATGACATTTGTAGGACTTTTTCTACCTCAAGCTATCCTTATACCGAGACCAATACCCTGCAAGCTTTGGATTTAGTCAATCACTAGATCAAACTGACCTAAGGCCAGGAGAAGGTGGGCTACATAGCATGTTCCATGGGACTATCACCACGATCATTGCGTTCCCACATAGAGGTCTGTCTAAGCAAGCCATACGTTGGCTGGTCCGTTCAACTTCCACCAAAGAATTTGGTTTGGGAGACCTCATCTCGTGATCACCAAATTGTAGATAGTTCAACGAGCCTTTTCTGGCTCTTGTAGCCACAATCAGCGCTTTCTGTCATCTACCGTCAGTTTGGCCGAGTGGTTAAGGCGATTGACTAGAAATCAATTCCGTTCGCGGGCAGAGGTTCGAATCCTCTAGCTGACGTCTCATTTTTTGAGCTTCTTCTTTTTGCTGACCTGCATTTATTCTGCTTTTGTTGTATATACATTTTTTGGGTTGCTCTGTGGCCAAATGGCCGGCAAAACAAGCCCTAGAAAACCTGGGACTTATAATCTCTGATTGGTTTTTCGAATTACAGTTCCCCACCACACACAGCTTTCTCTTTTGAAGTAGCTCTTTGTAGATACTTTATTAGACTAGATGTTTAATGGCATATTTCTAAATAGGATTATACACTGAGAATATGGTATTTGGCAAGTAAAGATAATTAGTAAGTTAAGCTTACCACCTAACACGTGAGCAGAAAAGTATTCTAACTTAGAGATATTTGCTCATAATTTCAGAGGTGCACAAAATCTTCATCTACTGTCAGTTTGGCCGAGTGGTTAAGGCGATTGACTCGAAATCAATTCCGTTCGCGGGCGTAGGTTCGAATCCTACAGCTGACGATTCTTTTTTTTGTTTGTTTTTGCAGTCTATGTGCATCTATCTTCCATCTTTCACCCAAAGGAAAACTTTATCACAAGTGGGCTTGATGGGGCTCTTTTTTTTTGTTGGACTCATTATTTCCAATAGGACAGATGCGGCCAATGATTTTGCTGGCACCACAACTTAGGGTTATCTCATTCAGTATCACAGAGCATCGGAGTGGACGAGGGCCTCACACGGCTATTAATATTGACTTGATGTACATGAAGCTTGGATCGTAACTGACACCAGTGATGTGACTGAACTTCATGTTAGCCTCAATAATCTACTTTGTGTGGACTGGATCGAGTGTTTCAATTTCAGTATAACCTAGGGGAGAACACGATGGTCTGAGATTACATAGAATCAAATGTGTTTGATATCTATTGGGCCTGAAATTGTGCAATGGTAGGGCTTTCTCCTAGACTGGGCATGTAAATCTCGGATCACCTTTGAAAGGAAAGCAGAGGAACAAATAGCACTACTATGTCAGTTGGACCTTATGGATAGTTGAATGTTCAATGTAGATCGTGAATTGCTAATTTTACATCATGGAGACAAGGCTTATGAGCCTGCGCGGGGAAGTAAACATTCGCCAAACTCCGGGCCTTTTGTATAAGGTGAAAGACGCCTGATGGTATTGGAAAAAAAAAACATGATATCTGTCTTCGCTCAGAGAATGCCCTGCTTTTGTAGACTGATATCGGTAAGTATATCGAACTTTGAAAGAGGGAGGGGAAAATACGTACTCCAAGTAGATCCGTTCAGGCATGACATTGCCCTCGGCATCCTCCATCTGAACCACATTGTCGCGAGAGTCTCGGTCCTTCTTTCGGTCCTTCTCAAGCGAATCCCAGAGAGCCATAGCCTCGTTGATTCGGGTAATCTCCCGGAAGAGATTAGTGTTAGATGTGATGCCCAGGCACTTCAAGCCATAAATGTGAGTAGACTCAGAGAAATGCTTGTCGAAGGCCCGACGACCCATGTACACGTAGTTTCCGCAGATCTCACAAGGGTATTCAACTCCAAGACCATGGAGCTTGTAAAGCCAGTATGGAATGGGTTTGCCGTCCCAAGCCAGAGGCAACTTCAGTGGGTTGTAAACACGCTCCTCGTCGTCACCGTCTGACTCCTCTCCAGCTTGACCTTCGGCACCTGCAGCCTCGGGCTCGGCCAGAATAGCTTCCAATTCCATTTGGCGTTCACGTTCCGTCATACCCTGTCGTCGCTCAACATTGATCTTGGTGGCTTGTCGTTCCGTCTTCAGGACATCTGTCAAGCATCGAGTTCGGTGTTCGCGTTCTGCGACTGCACGTTCCTTCATACTATAGGCTGCGGATGTTCCCTTGCTTGGAGCTGCAGATGGAGCCTCTCCAGATTTGCGGGCTTCCGCTGCACGAATATGCTTCTTGCCCGTCAAGTGGTTCCGGTAGACGTTCTCATTCTTGAACTCTTTCTCACAATCCGGGCACCAAGTGCCCTCACCAGTTCCCTGTGTTGTCGGACCGGATGTACCGTTCTCAGTATTTTCTTCAGTCCAGCCTGGGACCTTTTTTGCGGCCCATTGCTTTTCGAATTGTTCGTCGAAACCAGCGAAAAGCTTGTCCAGGTCCTCAAGCGGCCTCACTTTCTTCAAGAAAGTCTCTAGATAACTGGCAAGCTCCCCAACATAAACGAAGTACCGATCGGTGATTTTATCCTTGCGCTTGATGGAGAGGGTGGGTGGTGTGAAGACGTCGAAGATGTCGAGATATTGAGTGTAGGTCAATCGCCTTGCTCCGGGAAGGTTCAGGTAGTCCTCATGAGGCTTCGTAAGATCCAAATACTGTCCAAATCCTTCTTCACCACTGAACATATTGTCGATCTCCATCCCCAAAAACTCGCCTTCGCCGGGCTCATGGCGCTTGTATGCACGTTCAAGGTTTTCGGTAGGTTCATTAGGGTAACGCTTGTGGAAATCTTTGATTTCGGCGAACTGCCTATAAAACTCTTCGAACTGATCGCCAGTCGAGATTGACTGCACTTCCTTCTCTCGTAGCCCATCGATGTCCTGGTAGATTTCGAGGAGTCGCTTCGATTGCTCCTTAATTCTGTCAAGGAACTTGGCGACTTCATGATCACGGGCTAGGCGTTCACGAACCTATGAAATTGGCTATCAGAAAACATTGTAACAGAGATGATTCCCGGCATAGACTCACATTTCGCGGCTCCTCCGCCACGCGATCAGCGACAGCCTGTTCCAACCGCTCCAGGTCCTCATGGAGATACCGTTGATCTTCAAGCAACATCCTGTGAGTTCGACGGCAGTGCCAGTTTCTTGAATGGCTGCGCGCAAAGAGTGTAGAAGACGTAACGTAGTGATCGCGAAAGAAGTTGGCGATTGGCACCTCAAGCTCGCGGGAAGGTCATGTGACCACAACCACTTCCACCGCGAAAAGTTGGGTCGTTGACCTCACTTTTCAAGGCTTTCACTTGTCGTGAATCCCGATTTTATTTATTTCACGCCGTTGAACTGCTCACATTCTAATCATGGCGGAAGGAATCGACAGACGCGCCGAGGGTATGCGACCCCCAACTTGAGCAAAGTGAGCCGGACTAACAGCAAGCAGAGCGCATGGAGTTTAGCACTTCCAAGGAGGTGACGGTGGCACCCACATTCGAGGATATGCACCTGAAGGAGAGCCTGCTACGTGGAATTTACGCTTACGGATACGAATCGCCTTCGGCCGTGCAATCGCGTGCAATTGTTCAGATCTGCAAAGGTCGCGATACTATTGCCCAGGCCCAGTCCGGTACTGGTAAAACCGCCACATTCGCTATCAGTACGTTGCAGGTCATTGATACTGTTGTGCGCGAGACCCAAGGTATGTGGACTGTCGCTCGATTGGAGCGAGTATAGTTCTAACCGCAGCTTCTTGGTACAGCTCTGGTCCTGTCCCCGACTCGTGAACTCGCAACCCAGATTCAATCCGTTGTCATGGCTCTCGGTGATTACATGAACGTTCAGTGCCACGCCTGCATTGGAGGAACCAACATTGGCGAGGATATCCGCAAGCTCGACTACGGCCAGCACGTTGTTTCGGGAACTCCTGGTCGTGTGGCCGATATGATCCGTCGCCGCAACCTGCGCACTCGCCATATCAAGATGCTCGTTCTTGATGAGGCTGATGAACTTCTCAACCGTGGTTTCCGTGAACAAATTTACGATGTTTACCGTTACCTGCCCCCCGCGACGCAGGTCGTTGTGGTGTCTGCTACTCTCCCTTACGATGTGCTGGATATGACGACCAAGTTCATGACGGACCCCGTTCGTGTCCTGGTCAAGCGTGACGAGTTGACTCTGGAAGGAATCAAGCAATATTTCATTGCCGTGGAGAAGGAGGAGTGGAAGTTCGATACACTTTGCGATCTTTACGATACCCTGACCATCACCCAAGCAGTCATCTTCTGCAACACCCGCCGCAAGGTCGACTGGCTTACCGACAAGATGCGTGAGGCCAACTTCACTGTTTCCAGCATGCATGGAGAGATGCCCCAGAAGGAGCGTGATAGCATTATGCAAGACTTCCGCCAGGGTAACTCCCGTGTCCTTATCTCCACTGATGTGTGGGCCCGTGGTATCGATGTGCAGCAGGTTTCCCTTGTCATTAACTACGATCTTCCTACCAACCGTGAGAACTACATTCACCGTATTGGTCGAAGTGGTCGTTTCGGTCGCAAGGGTGTGGCTATCAACTTTGTCACCAGCGATGATGTCCGCATCCTGCGTGATATTGAGTTGTACTACTCTACTCAGATTGATGAGATGCCAATGAACGGTGAGCTACCCCAGCTTCTTATTGGAGTATTAACGGTGCTAATTATTTATACAGTTGCGGACTTGCTTTCATAATCGCCTTATTGGATCTTGTATCTACAAAATCTTTCTTTCAATCTACTCGGCAGCTAAGTTTCTGAGCTTCTTGACTCGGTTGCGTTCTACATGCGTGGTTGGATAAGACTCGAATTCGACACCGGGAAAAAAGGAAATGCAGTGCCAGCTCTAGCGTGGAGGAAAGGGATACTTACGTATCAGTAAGTAGATCGACTTCACATACTCATCGAAATATACGAATACTAACTTTCTCTCGACAGGATAAGAATGCCAATCAACTTGTACATCCCTGGCGGTGTTTACGATTCTGTTTATTTTCAAAATTTGAGATCGAGGGGCCTAAGTAGTAGCGTCTTTCAGTCCTCGGAGTTTTCGTTTCTGCTTTAATCTTTGATATTGGGAATTATGAATGATGGACTCAAATTTACTTTCAATCGTTTTCCACCTGTCGTATACCCTCGTAGACTCGGATTTGGCTTGTAGCAACTAACAGAGCCACGGCCGTAGAAGCGATCCTGCTTCCCTGGAACTATGTACGCAACCTCTTATTGATTGTTTGACTGGCGTAGTTATCAAGCAGAGAGGCTCATTATATTAGGTAAGATAGAAGCGGAAGCGCAGTACTTACCTTGACATGATCATCTTCGTGTTGCTGTCACTTCCAAGTCCCAGGAATCTTCAAACGAAGCACAAAGAGCTTGACACTTCGGTTACAGCTTCTTCAAGCATCAATCACTGGCGATTGTATCCAGTATCATTTCTACTCGTCAAAGTTTTATTAAATAAATGCTAGCTACCTACATACGTACCCTAAACAACCGAGCCAAACCAAACCCAATGGAGATTTCATACGATTTATACGCGAATAGGGTGCAAAAGTCAGGGAAGGAAGGTCAAGAGGAAATGGGGGCCAAGCCGAAATCAAATCCACAAGAGGAAGAGAAAAGCCATATCCCGATACAAGAGAGAGAAGAAATGAAACGGAGAAGAAACAAAACATGATTGCAAAGCAGGTTTATCGTCTTTCAATCCAATACACATGAGCACCAATGCACCGGGTGAGAGAAATGCCTCCACCATGATACGAGATAATAGAGAAACATGGATATGAAAATGAGACGGTGAAAGAGCAAGGGGCGTGAAAAGAGATTCCTAGGTAGTCATGATAGGCATTCTTGATGTGCAGTACACAAGTTTCAGTTCAGTTCAGTTTAGTTCAGGTCTGGTCTGGTGATGGTCTCAGTAAGTCGAGGTAGATCTCAATGCACTCGTCCGCGTAAACCCATTTGATGATAGCCCACGGACAGGCCCTGTTGGGCGCGAACGATTGTTTTCTCGGGACCAGCTGGTGGCATGTCAGTTTTGAATGGTGACAGAAGGCGGGTGTGAGTGTTTGCTTACATCCTTACTGACTCGTCGTCGCCTGCTGAGGCGAACATTCCTGGGTTTCGTGGATTCCATGATATTGAGTTCACACAGCCCTTCTCGTGTCCTTCCAATGTCTCAACGAGGTTGCCATTCTCCTTGTGCCAGATGTAGACTTTGGAGTCTAGGAAGAGTTAGTGACGTGATGCATATGTGAATCGAAGTACGGACCTTCGCTTCCGCTGACGATGAAGTTCTCAGCGGCTCCACCGAATGTGCTGCGAATGACAAATTCGCCCTGCTTCTGGCCTCTGAATCGACGAACCAAGGCGGTAGTCTCCATGTTCACCAGTTGAATCTCCCCCTCGGCTAGATTGATAAGCACATGGAGTGAATCCTGGCTGATGGCAACCGAGGTCGGCTTGCTAGGTAGCGGAAGAGAGTATTCTTCCTCGTAAGTCATAAAGTTATACACGTGGATTTTAGCTTCGGTGTCAGCCGCAACAAGACGTCGTCCATCTGCACTGATGGCACAGTCTTGTACGCGGAATCCACCTTTCCACGAGTGCAAGGGTTGGCCCCGCATGCTCCAGTGCCGAAGTTGAGATTCAGCATCAAGAGATGCTGTCACGAAGGATTCTCCGTCTGCAGCCCAAGCAGCCGCCGTGACTGGTTGGCGGTGGTGGTTGATGGTAAGCAGACAAACGCCCGTCTAAAATGTCTAGAGTTAGTGTGTTCTCGGAAGCGTCAAATTCCATTTTAGAGCAAGAATTACCTCGACGCTCCATACGCGAGCCTTTTTGTCTTGCGAGCATGTAATCAACTTGGAGTCATCTGGGCTCCAACTAGCAAAGGCAACACCCTCATCGTGATCGGTTAGTCGTCTCAAAACTGAAAAATCGCTTGTATCATAGATAAGCACATGGTGATCCTTGCCGGCAGTGACCAACTTGGTGCCATCGTGAGAGAACTCGCAATACCAAACTTCATCGGAGTGATGGCTCAACCGTGCGCTCACTTCCAGAGGGAAGTCATTTCGGTCGCACATGTGGTCAGAGTAGAGCGATGGGGGCTCGGCGGTATTATGATATAGACAGTTGTTAATTTGCGTGTGCTTGACGTGATCTAATAAGTGGGCAAGGCGATGCTGGGGGATCATAACGGAGGGAGAGATAGATTCTGCACTGGGTTAGCAAGCCTGATACAAACCCTGGTGAGCGACAGCACTTACTGGACAGCTCTCCGAGGAGCCGCTCTCGGGATGAGCTGACAGGCCCATCCCAACCTGCTTGTTCGTGTAGAATTTCGGTCGGGCACATCAGAAGACTAAGGCGAGTCAGCCAATCGCCAAGCCAGTTATCCATCAATCCAGCCATGTACATACCTTGAAAGAGCATGAAGACGCTCTACATCAAAATTCAACGGGGTCAACTCTTGCCGAAGGACGCCGAGTGCCGACGCCAGATCGCGAGTCTCGAGTAGTTCCAGGAACTTCTGCTGCCGGAGATAAAACAGCATCTCATTCATGTCAGCATCCTCCGCTAATACCAGAGTCTCCTCTGGTACAAATTTGTGGTCTTCCGGTTGTAACCCAATATTTCGAAATGAGTGCAGTAAGATTCTCTCAGCCTCCGACCATCTTCCGCCCAATACCGCATTTCGGAAGGTTGCGACGCCCGACGTTTCCAGCTCATAACCACTCTCGGATATTAATTTGGATGCCGATTCTGTATAGCCCAGCTCATAGAGACTTTGGATCAGAATCCGTGACACCTCCTCCCGGTTATGTCCGTAGTAGGTCGAGCTCGGCTTCTTTGAACCGTTCGTATGGGAGCTCCCGTTGGAGCTTGACCCGTTCAGACCAACTTTCCTCGGAGTCGACGGGAAGGACCCATTTGAGGCCTCAGAGACGCCATTTTCTGTTTTGATTCCATCGGGACGCATGGTTGCCAGGCGCCTGCGCTTGGGGGAGGGTGACCGACTATCCGATCGACTTGGGAGGGTAGCGGCCTCGCGTGTGGGAAGTGTAACCCCCGCCGTTGCGGAACCAAGGGGACTACTCGAACGACGACGGCGGCGGCGGCCAGATGGAGCAAGGGTTGCAACGGAGGAGTCGGGAATGTCTACCAAGGGAAGAGAATCGGGGTCGTCGGAGGCGATATAGGGGTGATAAGGTGAAGAGTGAGCCAGCTCGATTAGCCTAGATCTGCCCAATCCCCCGGCTCATAGAACCAGGTGAGCAGATCTGAAGTGATAGTCCGATAAATAACCGGAGCTGTGGGAGTCACAAGGGGTGAGAGAGAGCGAGAGCGTGTGTGAAATCACGAGGGTTGACTCGAGGTCGGGGCGGAGATGCTTATCGAGAGGTGGACCACGGCAGTAAATCTGGTGTGCAATGCAAATGAAGTCAGGACAGATGGGAAAGAAATTTGCTCGAGAATGGCAGCACAGGAGAATTTGGAGGCGTTCACGATTTCCACGGTTTTCACGGGTTTCACGACTTGGGAGGGTTAAGGGTTTGGAGGGTTTGGAGGGTTTGGGCAGCTCTCTTGCACAGCTCCACGTATCTCTCTCACCTGATCCTCGTTCTGAGCTTCGATTTGTGACGGGCGAGTTAGCCGCCAGATCCTGACCTTTGGGCGTTAGCGTATTCATTTTACAGTCTTTTTCTACGTGCGGAAGTGCACCTGTCTCAACTTGGTCCCAGCTCGCGTTCAGAGTCTGGGGTTGCCGCTCGATCTATAAGCTCCCCACAGCAGCAGGATCTACACCTTAGCTCTCTGAAGGGAAAGAAGTTGGAGCCTGATTCAGCTTCATCTGGTCTTGGAAGCCACAGGCGCCACCGATTTATGGTTTACTGACGCCATCATGATGCAGTAGCTGCAACCTGTATATAAAGCTGTCACCCTCCCCCGGATTGCAGGCTCACGTTGATTCCACGATCTAAAATCTACTCTCTTCAATCTACACTCTACAACTCTACTTCAATCCAAGCCAACACTCTACTCACCATGGGCTGTGACTGCGGATCAGGCTGTACCTGTGCAAGCGGCGGCCAAGGCTGCACTTGTGGCAACACTTGCACCTGCAAGGGATGTGGAGTAAGTAACCTCAATTTACAATTAAAATCCTACTGTACTAACCTCTGTTTCAGAAGTAATGTCCCCTATTGCGTGCTTCGATGTGAAATATCAGAAATGAAAATATTGGAGACCGACTTTTGTCCAGCCGGGCGTAGACGTCATACATCTCGGATACTTACAGTAGACGTGTAGAACATCATCTTCGTTGACGATAATATCCGGCTCTTTTCTCCGTTCTAAATGCGTACCTAGAGCAGGCAGATGACAGAGGCACACTTTACAGCAATCAGATAGAGCATAGTATCTGCACGACATGATAGCTGCGACGATATAGACAGGGTTCTACTCCATAGCTCTGCAGACATCCACCCTTCCACCAGCGATATCCTGGTCCTGGTATTTACAGTGGTATATTTCATCAGTATGATCAGTCCAAAGGATTTGGTTCTCAGGCACCTGAGCATGGAGATTGGCCACACTGACCCGGTCCAGTCTTCGTAACTGATGCGGATTCTCCGATGCATCTCATGCCGGGTGCAATCCGCAGATCTTCAAGCTAGAGGCGTCTACTCCGTACGCCTACCTGCTGTCACCTCTTCGGGCCGAGATGGTCGGAGTCTGCCTGAGTGGCTGCAGATAAAGAGAGAATGCAACTCCCAAGCACTTCGGGCCTCGGGGGAGTCCACCACCGAGCCACTCCACGCGGCAAATCCCCGTGGGGCAGTTCCCCAGCTTCAACTCTCGCTACAATAGAAGTGACTGGCCATTCAGCCATGAAATTAGAGAGGAACAAAGCCAAAGAGAGTTGGATCCTTCAAGCTGATTCCACATAAACAGAAAAACGAAACAATCCCCCAAATCAAGCACCAGACGTGGGGGTCCTCGGGTAATCGGTCGGAGCAAGCCCGAGTGTCCCTCTTCACGTCCTATTAAGAGATGAAGAACATTCCTTCTGTAATTCCTCAATCTCAAGAAATCACCTTTAATATATCTGCAATGTCTGCTGTTACACTCCGTTCCGCGCTGCAAAGCACGCCAGTGTCCTATGGCTTCTGGTTGACGTACGTGAGAACCCCGAAACCCCGCGTTGAGAGGGGCAGCCGGAGAGAGCTTCAATCCAAGGAGGGAGATGCCAGATATGAAGAGACCTCGCTCAATGGAAACACAAGCACATATCCCAAGACCACCCCAGCTAACATATCCCCATCGATAGCCTCCCCAGCGCCGCCGTCGCCAAGACCATCCTCCGCCGCAGCCCCGAGTACACAGAAGGCGGATTCAGCTGGGTCCTCGTGGACGCTGAACATGGTCTGATCAACGACAGCCACTACTACGAGGTCAATACCAACCCCATCTCTGATTCCTCGCGGATTCACAACTAACACCTAATCCAGCTCACAAACGCTATCGGCCACGAAGGCGCCAGCCCCATCGTTCGCGTCCCTTGGCCGGAAGAATGGATGATCAAGCGTGCCCTGGATGCTGGCGCGCATGGAATCATGACTCCCATGTGTCACACCGCCGAAGATGCGGCCAAAGTGGTCAGTTACTGCAAGTACCCGCCTGTGGGCTCGCGCGGCTACGGACCGATGTTTGCGCCACATTCATTCCCGGGTGTCAAGCCTGCGGAGTATGATGAGAAGACCCATGGGGAGGTGCTGGTTGTTGTGCAGATTGAGTCGCGGCCGGGAGTCGAGAATGTGGAGGAGATTGCGAAGGTTGAGGGGCTGGATGTGTTGTTCATTGGACCCTTTGATCTGGCGAAGCAGATGCGTGTGGTGCGTGGTGGGGAGGAGCATGAGGCTGCTATTATGAGGGTTTTGAAGGCTGCCAAGTCGGCTGGGAAGAAGGCTGCTATCTTTTGCTCTGATGGGGACGATGCGTTTAGACGGTCGCAGCAGGGCTTTGATATGGTCTCGATCATTACTGATGTCGGCGTCTTCGGGGATGGTATGTTGCGTGAATTGGAGAAGGCCAAGGGGTCTGCCCAGGTGGAAGGCAAGCGTGATGGTTACTGAGTACTGAGTCTCGGATTCATTTGTACATAGAAACAAGGTATATATTCAATTAAACTGTCAGTCTATGAAATTCGTTTTTCTCCCATTGGGACCGGATCACTTCTTCTTCATCTTCACTCTGTAAGCAGCCGGTGTCACAGCTTTAACCTTTCCATCTTTCTCAACGTCAAAGATGAAGAGATCAGTGGCAAGTCCACCCCAAAGTAGGGAATCGAGGGTAAGCCAGTTGTTGACATGATACAGTGACGAGAACAGACTGGAAGAGGCACCGATACCAACAGTCGGCTTGACAGGTAGAGTAGTATAGGATCGGAAAGCAATTTTGCCAGTAGCATCCTCAGGCACAACGGTCGGTACCAGCCTTGCATTGTGACCGCCGAAGAGAGCTTGGATTTGGGGCGTGATGTCAGTGCCATTGCTTATCCACGAGGTGACTTGCAATCCAGGTTCGGACTGCGTAGGTGAAACGACAGAAAATGTGATAGAAGAGTTGAGACTTTGGGCCCTGTATGTCCCTGCAAACTTCTGACTGGCTTCAGCTGCAGCTTGTTCCATCAACGCTGGAATGATAGAATCGGTAATCAGATCAATGGCAAGAAGCATCAAAGGACTGCGAGAGGCTAGAGAGCTGGCCCCGAGAAAACTAAAGCCGGCATTGAATTCCGGAATGACGGCCACAATTCCACCGTAAGAGCCGGAATCTCCAAGCTTGGTGTATATGTCGGTGACGATACCAGATTTGTCGTGTACGAAGCGGTGGATTTCCCACGGTTTGCCGACGGAATATCGGAGACTTGCGGTATGAGTGACAGGCTTCATCCATTCGCGCGTCTTCTCTGAAGGAAGAAGGGTTGAATTGAGAAGGCCGACGCCGAACTTGGCGAGATCGTTGGTTGTGGAAAACAAACCACCGGATGGAATCGTAGAACCTCCATCCATCTCAAATTCTGGCTGGAGGGCTTTTGAAGTAACATGATGACGGAGAGTTGAGTTGTCGGGGGGCGACGCGAACGTTGAGTTCATATTCAGAGGGTGGAAGATTGACTCTCCGTACCACTCGTCCATCGTCTTGCCGGTAAGGTTTGATATCGCGAGACCCAGCAGGGCGAAGTTACTGTTCGCATACTCCGGACTAGCCCATGGGACAAAAACAGGAGCGCTTGCAGCATATCCCTCATCCCATGGAACCGGGTTGCACCCTTGGACTTGGTTTCCGATACAGGGAGGCCAGAGCGACAAGTCACTGGCGTTCAATGGGGGTAAGCCATAGAACCTTGGATCGGTGGCCTTGGGATCATGAGAGCCTGATAGCTTTGCGCTTGCAAAGCTATACAGGAACTCAGTAGTTCCACCGTGCGGTATACCACTCATCTGACTTGCAATAGCTTTGAGTGTTATCTTGTCCCATTCAACATCACGGGTAAGCTGGAACTTGTCACGGTTCTCACGGACTTGCTCTGCTAGCGAGGGAAAGATGTCTGTCAGTGGACGTTCCCAGTCCTTATCCTCTAGTTCGAGAAGACCCGCGAGAACGGTGAAAAGCTTGGAAACACTGGCCACTTTGTAAATGCTATCTCCATCAACCTTTCTGGCTCCGATGGGGAATTTAGCAACTTCACTAGCGGTATGGTGGAACTGCAAATGCTCGGCCTTGGGGTCAAGTGTGGAAAATAAACCAGCAGAGAAGGTGAGATTCTTCAGCGCAGATACACCATTGGTTCCATTGGCGTGACCGTCGATATAGGCGTTGAGGTTGGAGGTGAGATTCTTCCAGGTAGCAGCGACTCGGCTGTTACTGCTGGACAAATCTCTGGGAGGTGGATAGGTCGGCCCTAGAATGTTTGCCAGAACCCCTGGGATACAGAAGAGGCCGGCAATTGTGTGATTTGGAAGCTTCATTTTGCTTGAATAGATAGCTTCAAGACGAAGAAAAAAGCTTTAATGAGGGGTGTTACAGTAGTTGCTGACCATGATGGATGTCGACCTGATTTTATACGTCAGTCGAAACGCAACAAAAGTAGACATGACGTTGATCGTTCGCTGTACAGGGCTGCGCCATGCAAGCCTTTCCAGTGCCCTTGTTTGGGGGCCATCTATAAGGAGTGGAATTAATTGGTGTTTCCTGGATAACCCAGAGAACAGACCATGGAAACGAGACAGCAATTGGTTTGTTGATCAAAGCTGAGCTATATCTGGGGGCTTCGGCTCGTGTGCTATGCTTCATTCAGCCACATGCACCGCTTTGCTTTGGCCGTTCATGGTACCTGTCAGACCCATCAGGAGGCAGTGACGCAGTATAAAGTGCAATTTCGGACCGTAGAACCATATTCGCCGACTCTGACCGATGATCTTGGAGGCGGTGTTGTCCAATGTAGATCTTCCTGAGTCTCTACAGAAAAGGTTGGACAATACGAGTCTCGCTTGGCTGACATCGTTATGCAGGGACGCTAGGCCACATGAGGCAGCATGCGGCGCTTTTGGCATTCTGATAAAGCCAATACGGATTCACTTGAACAATATTTGTATTGCGTTAAGGATATAATGATATAATGATATAGACAAATTTATCCACGGAGACATTTACCTCTTAATTACATGGTCATTTCAGTCAGTATAAAATCATGCTCAAACAACCAAGAACAACTGATGCGCAGGAATCATTCTCGTCGCAAAAACAAAGCCCAAGGCTAGAGTCATCACTGCAGTGAAAGCGGCGAGAAGCCCCAGACGTGCTAAGCTCTCAATACCGGGTCGCTCGAATTTAGTACTCCTCCGCTCTCCAAGTCGAGTTATGCGAGTCAGAGTGGGAACATATTTGAACTCGAAGCGGGACTCTTCCCCAAGACCCATCTTCTCGTCGAGAATGAGCTTGTAGAAATACTTTCGACGGAGCTAGAGAGTTGATTTGTTAGTATGTGGGACTGGGATCTTCATCATGTCTTACCGAAATCATCATCTTATCCAAGCAAGCAATTCTAGGAATGATGTACGAAACACCCATGACCCAGAAACAATAACCCCACATCAACATCTTATAATAAAAGTTTGAGCGCGGAATCTCCAACTCATCAGAAAGCTGATCCCCATTGAGCAGTCGTGCCATGGCTTCCATAAACTCCTTGGATGCATAAGCCGGTGCCGTGTTCTCCAGACCAATGATAATATTCTTCGCCAGAACCTTTCCAACCTCCGTAGGATCGATTTCCGTAATTAGTAAAGATTCCATCATGGCCCGCGCTTTGGCTGTATCTTCAAATGGATGCGTCGGTGTACCCATATAATAAGCCACCAGTCTCCATAGTGCAATGTAGTCCTCGATCTCTTGCTGGCTGAGGTAAATCCCCTGCCTGGGCAGTCCGAGCCAGACCACCGCGCTGCAGAATGTGTTGATAGTACCGATGCAATCGAGGTCGTTGACTGGGGTTCCATATCGGTCGATATCATAGTATTCAGGCTTTTGGTCAACCAGACTGAGTATTCTCATCCGGACCGATGAATGGAGTAATCGGACTCGAACAGATGAGACATGGCCTTCCCCGCCTGGTTTCATTCCTTCGACTGAGCTGTTGACTTGGAGGATATGCTGAAGAGTCTCGAGTAATCTTCGCCGTACTACCTTAGCTCCGAACCCGCCTGTGCGTGTGAGGGTTTCAACGACTCGAATGGCTCCCCTAGATATGACCATCAGCATATATACCTTGGTCAGCTGTTCGAGTATTCTATCATCCTACATTCCACCGAGTAAGCTTTCAAAACTGAGCTGTAAGTGTATCAGCATCGCATATCAAGTCCCATTTGGAGCGTAGGTTACCACTCACTACATTCAGGATCGGAAGTCCATATCGAAAGAAGACATCCTGCCCTCGTTGAATTTGCGCCCAGTCCACCCAATCCGGGATGGTATTGATTTGCGTCCACAACTCTTGGAGTTTCGGATCTTCATCCGCATGATCCCGCAATAGACCATATAGATCCTTCTTATAGATCTTCTTGTCCAAGTCGTCATGTGTCGGAATTTTATTCAAAATCTCTACGCAGTCATCTGCAAGCATATCGCACGTATAGGCCAGCGGACGGAGTTCATCGGCAGAGGAGTGGAGGTCAGTCCAGTAGAATGAATATCCCCAGTAATGACACTGCGTGCTATTTCCATTCTTAGGGCTTTTGAGTGACATTTTGATGGCTGTCTTGAAGATATAGAAGATAGAGTAAATTCAAGCAGGTTTGATACTATAATATACAAGTTTTCCCATTGCCATACAAAGTCATGACAGCTGACCCGTTTACCGTGGTCCACGGTCCGGGGAAGAGGGGGATGCCATGTGAAGCCAAGATGAACCACTCAAGATCCTCGTTTGCTAGCGCCCCTTCTAATGGCATCGGATTGCGGGGGGCTTTGTAGCAATGAACGTAACATATGACATGTGAACAGTCGCGAATTAGCTGAGTCTGCAAGCAATCCCCTAAAGCATGTACCTCGAGTGTCCAAGTGTCACACCCTTGCTACTAATACGCTGTATGTATTATTGATTCTCACTGATCAAGCCTAAGGACGTGGGATACCTCGATTTGCTATGCTGCCACATAGTAAACCTGCAAACTGAATGCCCGCGAAGCCCAAAATTGTAACTGGAATAACTAGCGAACGTTATGTTTGATTGATAATTCATCCCATTCATTAAAATGCTAACGTTTGATACAATATGAGGGGTAAAATTGGACGTACAATATAATAGTCAAAAGCGTTAAGAGGCTTTTCATTTATTAGTGGTATCAAATTGTGAGGCGTGGCTTTTTAGTCCCAGACTATGTTTATTTGGAGGACAGACTTCTTAAGGTTCAACAGTCTAGGCGATCAAGAGCCTTTGTTCTGCTCTTTTAACACAAAGCATTATCCATAGAAAACAAAGGACTTCGCGTGGTAATATTTCAACCGTGTTCTTTGTCTGACAACTATATAAGTTAATATATCACCTACTAGACCACCACAGAATAGAGCGTGATCTAGAACACTTTCCAAAACTTGATTTGCGCAAGCTGCGCAAGCAACCATGGAGACCAATCTTTTAATCGAATGCGAAGTCAACGGAATACAAGTTCCCTCATTTCACTTTAAGGAAACGGAACTCGTCGCTTGCTACAGGGCTTTGACCAACCTTCGGAATCTATTGTTCCAAGAGCATATGCTCGAACTTCTTCAAGACCAGATCGACGAGGGAACTAAATACTTCGAATCGCTGTTAGCAGCGTCAAACCACCAATATACGGAAAGTGCGACCCATATGACTGTAAATGGACTGTCAGCAAGAGAGTTTCGATCCATGACCGGTCGCTGGTACAAAACCCAACCGCTCGACTGGATGGCCTTCAGATATGTATTCCCAGCACACCCGGCGGTATATACAGTCCTATGTGAGACAGATAAGAACACAGAGTATGAAGCTCTGGGCAAGGTGCAAATGATTGGAGATCATATGGCAAAACTTTGGGTTGTTGATCCCACGAGGAGTCTGGAGATAATCCCGGAGTGGTTGACGGCGCTGCATAATCCCCGGTATGAAATGAAAGACTACTCAATTGTCAAACTTGACAGTGGGAGTGTCTTCTTCTATCTCATGAACGAGTTTACAGAGACTGAAGATGGTTGCAAGATCAGGTTGCGGGCATTCTTCCCTTCTGCTTCGCCCGCATCGCTGGTCAGTCAATATGCACTGCATCAAGCTATTGACTACCGCAACCTGTTGTGTATGGTTCAGACAGTTGTTGAGGCTGAACAGGACTCCTATTGAGTGGCGCCGCGCGTCACCTTCAGTGCCAAGAAGCTTGGAAGTGGGAAATGATAGCTGAGAAGACATATTGGATAATTGATGAGATTGAGCCGGAGGATAACAGCGTAGGATATTAGTATGGAATCAAACAGCATAACGTCAATCAAGCATGACAAATACAGGACTGCTCGACTGCATCGTACACTGGCTAGATGCCAGCCATTTGCACGCATAGTGCCAATATAAGTAATAGCTTTCAGTAGCTGGGAAGCTCATCAAATCATATAGCATGCAAAACAAACCTTCTCGCCACCAAAGAAGAACCAAGGCAGATTGAGGTCCGAGTGAAGAAAGCTGGGCAAAGCGATCGGCTCACTCGGGGAGGACAAGGATTGGGTGAAGAGCTCAGGAGACTCCACGACCAGGGGAAGTATAACAATCTCACCCGACCAACACCTCCAAAGCGAATGCTGGGATTGGGACGTCCTCGACTTAGAGCGCGGTCGTCATTTCTGGATTTGATACTCCGAGAAGATACGTTGACACCGCCATCACCGCCCGCCGAGCTGCCACCGCTTCCAGACTCGCCCTCCTCAACCTCCACCTCATCCTCTACTCCTCCCCCACAGGCTTCCTCCACTATGGCTGCTCAGACAGAAGAGAAAGGTTCGGTGTTCTCGGTCTCCGGACCCGTTGTGGTGGCCGAGCATATGATCGGCTGTGCCATGTACGAGTTGGTATGTTGCCCTCCCCCGGCTTCAGCTCCTCAGCTCCCCGACTGCTCCATGCTGATAAGTGCTTAGTGTCGTGTTGGTCATGACTTGCTTGTTGGTGAAGTTATCCGAATTGAAGGCGATAAGGCCACGATTCAGGTTTACGAAGAAACAGGTAGGTTCCTCCCCATGGCTTCGTCATCGAACTCCCCCCGAGCTAGACTGACCGAGACGATGCATATTAGATGGTTTGACCGTCGGCGACCCCGTTACAAGGACAGGAAAGCCCCTGTCTGTCGAGCTCGGCCCCGGTTTGATGGAAACGATTTATGATGGTATCCAGCGACCCCTCAAGGCCATCTCCGACCAGTCTAAGGGTATCTACATTCCCCGTGGTATTTCCGTGAACGCATTGGATCGTGAGAGAAAGTGGGACTACAAGCCTACCACCTTCAAGGTTGGCGACCACATCACCGGTGGAGATATTTGGGGTTCCGTGTTCGAGAACAGTCTGGTCAACGACCACAAGATCCTGCTGCCTCCGCGTGCACGGGGTACCATTACCCGCATTTCCCCCGCAGGCAGCTACACCGTTGAGGAGAAGCTTCTCGAGGTTGAGTTCGATGGCAAGAAGACCGAGTACGGTATGATGCAAACCTGGCCCGTTCGTGTTCCCCGCCCCGTTAGCGACAAGCTATCCGCCGATGCGCCCTTCATCGTCGGCCAGAGAGTGCTGGATGCTCTCTTCCCCAGTGTCCAGGGTGGTACCGTCTGTATCCCTGGTGCTTTCGGTTGTGGAAAGACTGTCATTTCCCAGTCTGTGTCCAAGTTCTCCAACAGTGATATCATCGTCTACGTTGGTTGTGGCGAGCGTGGTAACGAGATGGCCGAAGTCTTGATGGATTTCCCCGAAGTATGTCCTCTTCCTTACTCTGCAATCTCTACTTGCTAACCACAGTTATAGCTTTCCATTGATATCGAGGGCCGCAAGGAGCCCATCATGAAGCGTACCTGCCTGATTGCCAACACCTCGAACATGCCTGTCGCTGCCCGTGAGGCCTCCATTTATACCGGTATTACCATCGCCGAATACTTCCGTGACCAGGGCAAGAACGTGGCTATGATGGCCGACTCCAGTTCCCGATGGGCCGAGGCTCTGCGTGAAATTTCTGGTCGTCTGGGTGAGATGCCTGCTGACCAGGGTTTCCCCGCCTACCTCGGTGCCAAGCTGGCCTCCTTCTACGAGCGTGCCGGAAAGAGCAGTGCGCTGGGTAGCCCCGAGCGTGTGGGCAGTGTCAGCATCGTCGGTGCTGTCAGCCCGCCCGGTGGTGATTTCTCCGATCCCGTCACTAGCAGTACCCTGGGTATTGTCCAGGTCTTCTGGGGTCTTGATAAGAAGCTCGCCCAGCGCAAGCACTTCCCCTCCGTCAACACCTCTATCTCTTACAGCAAGTATAACACTGTCTTGGACAAGTACTACGAGAAGGACCACCCCGAGTTCCCTCGCCTGCGTGACGGTATTCGTGAGTTGCTGGCCAAGTCCGAAGAGCTGGACCAGGTCGTCCAGTTGGTCGGTAAGGCTGCCCTAGGTGACTCCGATAAGATTACGCTCGACGTGGCCAGCATGGTCAAGGACGACTTCTTGCAGCAGAACGGATACAGTGACTACGATCAGTTCTGCCCTCTCTGGAAGACCGAGTACATGATGAAGGCTTTCATGGGCTACCACAACGAGGCCCAGAAGGCTGTTGCTCAGGGTCAGAACTGGAGCAAGGTCCGCGATGCCACCGCCGATCTCCAGAATGCCCTGCGCAGCATGAAGTTTGAGGTTCCCCACGACGAGAAGGAGATCTCCGCCAAGTACGAGCAGATCCTCCAGTCCATGACGGAGCGATTTGCGTCTGTCTCGGACGAGTGAAAGTGCCATCTTAGCCTAGCATGTATTTTCCGATTTTTAGATGTTTGTCGAGCACATTCCCCTGTAGTTATTGTGTCCAACTCGAGTGTTTTCTACCCTGCTTCCCTTCATGTCAAAGTCTATGTGACTTTTCCTAGACAGCCAAATAACCATTAAACTATTACAACCTAACATTACAGTATCAGTTCACTTGTAAGTTCTCTCATTCGCTCAGGTAGACACTGCAGATCACTGCAGCCTAAGGGAGACCGCTCTGGCCGCCACTACATCACCGCCTTCGAGGCCAACCAAACAATCTCCCCTACCTCCTCCGCTACTCTCAACTTCTCTCGCTTTCGCTTCTCTCTTTCTTTTCTTTTAAAGTTTTTGTCTAGAAAGCAGTTTCTATACTGATACCGCCAGCCATGGCAAGCCCCACGACCGGCTACTCGTGCGAACCCCCTGTCCCCTCTCCGATGCGGTCAAGCTAATCTCCGTGTGCGCAGCATAAATGTCAATGACCCCAGCTTGATTTCACTGGTCAACAAGCTGCAGGATGTCTTCTCCACAGTTGGTGTGAGTATATAAATAAACTCGGGAACTATCTGCCAATTGTGGCTCTAGGGGTGTCTCGTGCGCTGACTCCATATATGCATCAGGTCCACAACCCGATCGATTTGCCCCAGATTGTCGTCGTCGGATCGCAATCCAGCGGAAAGAGTTCAGTGCTAGAGAACATCGTTGGTCGGGATTTGTACGTGGTCCCTTTCGTCGAGCTTGCGCGGCACCGTCAACACAACGGGTAGCGGGGTATGCACAACAGTGTCAACAATTGCTAACAGTGGACTTTGCGATATAGCCTGCCTCGTGGTTCCGGAATCGTTACTCGGAGACCTCTCATTCTGCAACTTATCAACAAGACCCCCACTGCTCAGGCAAACGGCGACGGCAAGTTGGAGACAACGGACTCCGAGTCCAATGTCGACGAATATGGTGAATTCCTGCACATCCAGGGCCAGAAGTTCTACGATTTCAACAAGATTCGGGAAGAGATCGTTCGCGAAACGGAAACCAAGGTCGGCAAGAACGCCGGTATCTCGCCCGCTCCCATCAATCTGCGCATTTACTCACCCAACGTCCTCACCCTGACCCTCGTCGATTTGCCCGGTTTGACCAAGGTGCCCGTCGGAGACCAGCCGAAGGATATTGAGCGCCAGATCCGCGAGATGGTGCTCAAGTACATCAGCAAGCCCAACGCAATCATCTTGGCTGTCACATCGGCCAACCAGGATCTTGCCAACTCTGACGGTCTCAAGCTGGCGCGTGAGGTGGATCCGGAGGGTCAGCGCACTATTGGTGTGTTGAGTAAGGTTGATCTGATGGACGATGGAACTGATGTGGTGGATATTCTCGCTGGACGAATTATCCCCTTGCGCCTGGGTTACGTTCCCGTGGTCAACCGTGGCCAGCGTGACATTGAGAACAAGAAGCCCATTGCTGCTGCTTTGGAGAATGAGAAGAACTTCTTCGAAAACCACAAGGCTTATCGGAATAAGGCTTCTTATTGCGGTACGCCGTACCTGGCTCGCAAGCTCAACCTGGTAGGGTTGTTTCTGATCATAGGGTGAACCCATGGGCTAACATACATTCTAGATTCTTATGATGCACATCAAGCAAACCCTGCCCGATATCAAGGCCCGCATTTCCTCCTCCCTCCAGAAGTATACCACGGAACTTGGGCAACTCGGTGATTCCATGCTCGGCAACAGCGCCAATATTATCCTGAACATTATTACGGAATTCAGCAACGAGTATCGCACAGTTTTGGAGGGTAACAACACGGAATTGTCTAGCATCGAGTTGTCTGGTGGTGCTCGTATCAGTTTCGTGTTCCACGAGCTTTACTCCAATGGTATCAAGGCCGTTGACCCATTCGACCTTGTCAAGGATATTGACATCCGCACCATCCTCTACAACTCTTCTGGTTCCTCTCCGGCACTCTTCGTCGGCACCACTGCCTTTGAGCTGATTGTCAAGCAACAGATCAAGCGGTTGGAAGAGCCCAGCTTGAAGTGTATCTCACTGGTCTTTGACGAGTTGGTCCGTATTTTGAGTCAACTCCTGACCAAGCAGCTATTCCGTCGCTACCCTATGCTGAAGGAGAAGTTCCACGCTGTGGTTATCGCATTCTTTAAGAAGTGCATGGATCCGACCAACAAGCTCGTCAAGGATTTGATCAACATGGAAGCTACATACGTCAACACCGGCCACCCTGACTTCCTCAATGGTCACCGTGCCATGACTCTTGTCAACGAGCGCCAGCAGGCTGCCAAGCCTACCCAGGTCGACCCCAAGACTGGAAAGCCTCTTCCGGGCCGTGCTCAGAGTCCCTCCCTGGACACTACCGGTGAGGCCCAAAACGGCAGTGGCTTCTTCGGCAGCTTCTGGGCTTCCAAGAACAAGAAGAAGATGGCCCTGATGGAGGCTCCTCCCCCGACTCTGAAGGCCTCCGCCAGCTTGTCTGAGCGTGAAGCCACCGAGGTTGAGGTTATTAGTAAGTCGCAAACCAACAGTAATCCCATGACCGATCACTAACACCTAGACAGAGCTTCTCATCACCTCCTACTTCAACATTGTCAAGCGTACCATGATTGACATGGTCCCCAAGGCTGTCATGTACACCCTGGTCCAGTTCACCAAGGACGAAATGCAACGCGAACTCTTGGAGAACATGTACCGCAACAACGAGCTCGACGATCTACTCAAGGAGAGCGACTACACAGTCCGCCGACGAAAGGAATGCCAACAAATGGTGGAGAGCCTGGGTCGCGCCAGCGAGATCGTCAGCCAAGTCCAGTAAAGTGTGGACCATATCCAGGGAAAAAAAGACTTGATTTTATTCCATTCCATTTTCATCGGCCGACTGTATGATTGAGCTATCGCGTTGGTGGAGTTGGGCTGTCTGTGGATTTCATGACGTGAATATCTCGAACTATACTTGTACCTTGCTTCCTGCCATGTCCCAGAATAGCAACGTGCATTGCTGGCTTGGAATTGGCCATGGCCACCTCGATGATCGGCGAATTCGACTCGAGACCGAGTGACATCTGGCAAGACAGGGAGTCTGGCTTGTTGTTTTCTTTTCCTATGTGCCGCTTTGTCATTTTCTCTTCGCTTTTTGCCCCCAATTTGAGAGCTCTATACCGTTTTCCTTTCTCAGTTGGTTTTGTCTGTGTTCGACTTTCATGAATTTTCAGATGACGACTGTATCAATTAATGATTGTCTCTGCTTTATGACTTAGCTTTAGAATTCAGACCTTTCCTCTTTACTTGTATTCGAAAGAGACCATTAATCTTATAGATCCCAATAGTCAAGACTTGGCTCTTGGCAACATGGTATACCTCCAACTCCCAATAGGCTTAGCGGTCCTGTATGTCATGCATCTACCCCAATTGCCACTATTCGTGCACTACCTTTCACATTCACATTCAGATTCAAATTCACATTCGGTCCTCTCTACTCTCCCTTAACAGTATGCCGATACGAATAATACCAATCCCCCCTCCTCAGATCCTGTCTAACCTTATAATTGGCCTCAGCAGCCTCAACAACCCCGACATCCAACTCCCTAACCAGAACGCCCTCTTCAGCCCCCATTTTCCCAACAGGCCCAGTGATAGGAAGTGTAATCTGAGACAATCCAAGGAAATCCTCTTTCGGACCAGCGGCATTGGCAAAGATCACTGCACAAGTATTCTCGAAACAACGAGCTGTAATCGTCGTTTCAAGGAAGAGGGCTTCACAGTCTGGATTCGACTTGCGCGCTTCCGGGGATGCGTCATGGGGTGTCCCTGGCTTTTGATAAGTATATATAGATTCACAAAGAAAGGACATGAACATACAGAAAGTAGGAATGATTATAATCTTGGCCCCATCGGCTATCAACTCCCTAAACGCCTCGGGGAACGCCAGATCCCAGCAAATAAGCATGCCCGCACGACCGACAGGCGTGTCGAATGCGACATGTCGCTCGTGTGTTGAAGAGGTAAGATGTGGTCGTTCTGGATGCCAGATGTTCTTTTTGCGGTAGGATGAGAGAATTGAGCCGTCGTTTGAGATGAAGTAGGCTGTGTTGTAGAACAGCGTGGTGTTGTTTTCATCCGGATGTTTCTCGATGATTGTTCCTGGGACCAGGCTGATTCCTAGGTCTCTTGCTAAGTTGCAGTATTGTGAGAGATATCTCGGGGATAATTCTGCTTGGGTTGACCAGAGAGGGTCGTCGGGGACCCAGCCGCTTAGGTGGTATCTGGGGTATTGTTAGTTTGGTTCTTTGGTGTTGGTGAGAATACTGGCTTTGCTCACTCTGGAAGAACGGCCAGCTCGGCCTTTTGGTTGGCTGCCTCGCGGATGTATTCGCATGCTTTGGCATGGTTGTATTCCGGGTCTAATGGCTGTGATATCGTTGAGTTAGTATCGTGCAGCAATGTCGATGCATAAATCAATTGCTGTGGCAGCTCACCTTGATTTGCCACTGAATGACGGACACACGCGGATTAGAAGCCATCATGAGTCTGTTGCGATCTGAATTGTGAAGGACAGAAGAGAAGAAGAATACCTGCCCCAAGTGATGTCAAGTAAGTTTATCAGTTACCCCAACAAGTTGGAGACGATGGGGTCAGAGCAGACGCAACCCCACTCCGATCTCCGATTGAGTAAGTCGATGCGAACAGCTTCACTTCCAGGGAGATTCATAGGGTTAGGGTTACTGATATTAATATTATTAATAGTATGGTATCGAACACAGTCAGCATAACAGTCAACATAACATAGTCACATAGTAGCACCGATCAAAATGCTCCCAATTCCACACTGAAAGTCGGCTTCTTGCTCACCCGATACACCAACCGATCCGTCCAGAAATGCGAGAACACTGCATGGATGGTAGGCACAGCACCGAACATGGTACCCGAAAGTGGGAAACAGACTCTCTCACAGAGGCATTGAGGGTGATACCACACACGTCGAGAGAAGCCGGTATCAGGCAGATTCGCCTCACGCATATCCTTCATCCGACTATCCAAGCAGACGGCATGCCATCGCTCATACAAGGACAGACACACATTCATCCCGAGGAATCCCGATGTGCGAAGAGTATTAGTAAAGGAAAACGCCCACGCCAGGGTAGGATGCAACGATGCGACGGGGGTCCACAGGGTGTAGAAGACAGAGAAGAACATGAGTAGAGTCAGATGACAGGGCATGAAATGCGCTTCCCAGAGGAGATGGAGCAGCGCGAAATGCCGGGGCCGTAGGAGTAAGCAGCGCTGGGTGAAGCTTAGATATCCAAACGTCCTTCGTGCAGCGAAGCCAGAGTCAAGAGAACCCCACATGTGTCGCAGGGCCTGACGGTAGCGGGCAATACAGGTGTCGACAGTGCGGCGCCAGCCAATACCTGCATCACTGGAAACATTGCATTGGCTTGCTGGAATGTAAACGACGCGTGATATCAGGTTACCGGCTGTTTCAAAGTAGCACTTGAGAAGCATATGGAGGTCTTCGCCGATTGCCGTTGGGTCGCTGTCCCAACCACCAACCTTTTCGACTAGCGAGAGTGGGAGGGAGTAGACTGATGTTGGGATGGCGATGATTGTGTAAGGGTACATTGTAGACAGTCCTGCAAAGCCCCATAGGAGGTCTGCACATCGGACTAGGATTGGGCTTTCGTGCGAGTTGCGGTCAAAGATTATGGGACAGCAGTAGATTGATCGGTCTGCTTCGGTCATGTGTAAGTAGTGCAGTCGGCGAATTTCGGTGAAGTAGTCGCGAGACAAGTGAGTGTCGGCTAAATGAAAGTTAATGACAGTTAATGGCCAACTTGACAAAGATGGAAGGGACTATTTACCATCCATTACGGTTACCATCACCTTGCATGACTCCAGTTGTAGAGATTCACGGTAGATCTCGGCGATCTTCCGTGCCGCAAATGACACATTGGAGCTCTTTCCTGCAATTTCCCCTTGTATACCAGCCGGATGGAAGGTCGATTGAATGTTCAGGAAGGAATTTTCGAAGGACGAGACGAGACGAGAGGCCTTTTCGACTGCGAGATTCTCATTTTGCTCCATTGCCAGGTAAATCTGATTGTATCAGCTTTAGATATACTAAAAATATGTCTGCTTGACTCACCTCATATTGGGACTTTGCTCTGGGATGACTGGCCAACACTTTCAATGTCGTCTCAAGGGTATGAAGGTCTTCGCAGTAGTTGGGAAGAATAATCGCGTGGATCAACTCTGCAATGCCGACCTCGATCTCGGCTAAATCAAAACCTTTAGATTGAGACCGACTAACAAGATCCCTTGAACTGGCCATAAAGGAAGACTTCGGATCATTCTCAATTAGACGTCTGTTGATGGCCTGCCGGGTCTCCTTGGTAATGTTGAAGAGTGACAACCCAAGACGAATAGTGAATGCAAACATTTGAGTATGAATAAACACAATGTATACAACAAAAACCGTCTGTGCAATGTTGAGACCACTCCAGGGTCCCCCGGAGGGAGGCTTGGTGGACGGGGGAAGTAGCTCCTCCATAACGACGACTGGACGAGGTCAGAGAAAGCAAATACCAGCATCAAGATTAAGGCAAGGATGCTCAGCCCTGGCAGGCAGCGCGAGAACCAGACCAGCATCCTGGAGGGTAATCCGAAAGGTTCTTACGATGTGAAAGAAGAGGCGGATGAAAGGAAGAGAAGGGAGTCACACGGGGATTTCACCGGTCTATACAGGCACAGGAAATGCACCCGACTAATTCACGTCGATGACATCGTCGGCGACATCGTCAAACACTAACAAACTAAACGAGCCGCTCGACAAGTGTAGGAACGCGAAGCACCAACGTGCAAATGATATACTTCAAAGCTTGGCACTCATGCGGACTCAACATTGGCTGAAAGGGCTTTGGTCTCTCCACCATCAACCAACCCACCAATAACACTCGACATCGCAGGAGCGTGGTCTGAGATATAAGTCTTGACTTTTCTCATTCTCACCTCCTTTTCTTACTTTGCAAGCCCTAGAGTCTGCAGATCATCTAATCGTGAATCCCACCGCACCGACGGCCAATCCCACGAATCCCCCACCAGCCCATAACTCTCCCATTCCCCATTTGGCTTGCGCGCGTTCAGCGCCCAATATCCCCAGCTGGCGTCAGTTGCGCCCAAGAACTGGACCAGGTGACTCCAGTAGTTCTGGTCCCCGGCCGATGGCTCCCCAGGCATTCCAAACTCCCCAACCCACACCGGCGCAATATGCTCGGCGAGCAGATATGCCCAGTTGTTGTCCATGGTGGTTGCAAATTCTCGGTAGGTTCGCTCAGAATAGGGGTAAAGATCACCCCAGCCCGACCACTTATACACATGCGCCGAGTACACGACTCGGTCCGGTCGACTCAGTTGAATGGGTCGTTCCCGGACCTGCGAGAGATCGTTTGCCGACGAGATTCCTTCCACGATCATCAGCCAGTCTGGGTTGATGTCCAGTAGCCGTTCGGACGCTTTCTCTGCTGCACTTGCCCAGTCCTTCCAGCCCAACGTACCCCATAGCCCTCGTGGCTCGTTTCGCAGATCTGCGCCTAGCACGAGAGGATTCCGTGCGAGCGGTCGCATCACCGTTTCCCAGTTCTGAATCCATTGCTCTTCGGTTTGGGAGATACGACAGAACAGGGATCCACCGAACCAGTCGTTGGACCAGCCCGTGTCACAGGGGTTGATACCGCAGCACCATGTTGCTTGTGTGATGTGGTTGTTTACAATGACGAGCAGTCCCGCTGCTGTTAGGCTTTCCACTACGGCAGTGTAGATCTCCAACGCCGTTGGTTGGCCGGGGATCGTGGCTGTCTCAAGGAGGTCCATATTGATTGAAATCAGTGATGAATTGATCACTGGGTTCTTGTCCACGATCTCGTCGGCGTACGGGAGTCGCACGCTGTTGAACCCTAGTTTGCAGATCAACTGTGCGATGTCATCGCGATGTTGGACATCTAGTCCCGATGGGATGAAATGGATATCGCTGGCTCCGTACCAGTTGATGCTGGCTAACTTGATGTTCGTCCCATTGGCATCCTGGATATGCCGGTCTCGAGTGTGAAATGGGGGTGTGAAGAGCGTAGTAGCTGGCGAGATGTGGATCTCCGGCTGGAAGACTGGTATGCCCTCATCATCGGCTTGGTTCTTGTAGATGCATTGTAGGATGAATGAAAACAGGATAATCACTGCCATTGTTACCCACAACCTCGGCCTGGCAATGATTCTTAAGATCGATATCATCATGCGCTATCTCAGTCGATCAATATCTGGCTATTGAACGCACTTCTAAGAACCGATAGCATTGAAGCAAGTTGAAGATGGCATCTTAGCAGGAAGATCCGGCTGTCCCGCTCTGTTTCTGCTAGTGGGAGGCCTCATTGGGCCAATGATGGACTGACTACGTGGTTGGCCGAAAGTCAGTGAACGCACACTTCGGCACAAAACCACTGGGAAGTGATCGAATCACCCGACGATATAGAGTCATTTCTCTTGTCTGAACTGTCTGTTCTACCTTAATTCAATCAGCGGACTGGGGGTAATATTGTGATTTCCCAAGACGTTGTTCCTTTTACCCTGCGCTGTTACTGGCATTAAGTGATTCGTGCTCAGATAATTCGATACGCAGATGATCAAAACCAATACAACTAAATAAAGTGAATTTGTCGGCTTATTGTTATTAGGGGACTTATTGTTATTAGGGCTGGCTTAGGGCTAATCAAATGTCCAAGCCCTGGACAGGAAAACGCTGGTATCATTTGCTGCTGAATCAGGAAATGAAGCAATGGTACACCAGCTTTCGCAAAAGAGTGAAGTTCCAAACCCCCGCGATGAAGAAGCAAAAGATTCTTCATGTATAAAAATATAGACCTCTCCTGAATCTAACTAGGTGTCTAGAATGTCCGAATCGAGCACACGTACCTTGATCTCCCAGTCACTGCAGAGCAGATGGTCAAGGGTCTCGCAGGTATTCCCGCGGAGTGCAGTGATCTCTGTGTCTAGCTGATGCGTGACAATAATGAGACAGCTTAATAGAGTAGTGTTCTCGAGCTTCATCCAAGTCATTGAAATTGGCGGTCAGATACCAAAACAGCTCCACCAATGAGACTGCTTTGGCTGCAAAACCATGGAGAACATCTTTGATTCCGCTATGACAGACCGATTGAAGGAGGCGGAACTTGACATCCAGCACCCTATATTCGTGCGTGTCAGAGTAAAGTAAATCGCCGATGACGTGAACGGCCGTGCCTTCAACTACCAAGGAAGCATGGATCACGAAAGAGTTTAAATACGACCTGGGGCTGCTTGGGAATGCTGAACTGTTGCGCTCCGCCGTGATTGGGGCCATGCTTCTAATCTCTGACATTCGAGATTTATACGGTGAGCGGGTTTGTGTCGGGCCTGGATTCGAATATCGATCTGCAAGCCCGATCTTCAATACCTCGAGATCGTGATTTGTGATACCGCACCTGCGCAATACGCTGGAAATCCGATCATATCGGTTGCCAATACGAGTGGGCTTCGCTTACCTCCTTGGCTCACGTCTATATTTTTGAACTAGTATACTACCGCTCAAAGTATCACTGACTGCGATAATCCCGCGCAGATCGTCATGCGGACTGGACTACTGCAGCCAACGATCGGATTGTTCAACAGCCGGACTCACCCGGTCCATGACGAGGTTGTTGATCTTATTGCCCCGGGACCGCCATGAGGCCCGAGAAACAGGCATCGGAATGGCCGGTCTTATTTTTGGTGATCTCATTTGGAACTATTGGGCGTCCAATGGCTTGGCTTGGAACCTAGTCCATTTATATATAGACAAGACAAGGAAATCTCTCCCGGGACATAATGTCGGCAGGCATTGGGGCTTGGTAGCTTGGCTGCCGGAAAGGGACGCTTACATCGACCCTTGACTCTTTGTTGACGGTGTGATCAGTACGCTAGCAGGGTTGAGAGAGACTGCCCCAATGAAAGACCGTGACTAGGACATGTCGACAATTCATTGGCGACCAGATAAGAGAGCGACCTTATATCTGGACTGCAGTGCCAAGTACAGTATAAGTCGAACGACGAGCCAATTAGGGAGCGACTAAAGGGAATCTAACATCCCAGGGGCTAAGTGTCGCAGTCTAGGGCCGGGCCACGACATGCAAAAGTGGGCCGATCTTAAATTCGCCCCTGATTAGGCAGCCGAATAGGACCTGAGATACTCGAGGATCGAGCTATAAGTTCACAAAATTGGAGCTATCAAATCCACTCTGCAGTGACCACATGCCGAGTGCAGAGTGCAGAATGCAGAATGCAGATTGCAGATTGCAGGACGCAGCCTGTAACAGGGTTCCAGGTTCCGCCACTTCTGCAGAGAGCACTCGAGACCAAGATAATTCTGAAACAAGAAAAAGCTTGACTCGAGAAAGAAAAAAAGGAGAGAGTCCACAGTGGATAAACTGCCACTTGCTGTGTTAAACACTGGGAAGAGCCACCGGAAAACAGCGTGTGACATTACCAAAACCAGCCGGGGCGTTGCTTCGCCACAGCCCCAACCGCCAAACGGGCCCCCAAAGCGGTTGGCAATCCACGTTTTGCGTGGCAGTTGACAATACAATACCGTAATCTTCTCGGCCGCATGCGTTATTTTTTTTTTGCAGCTTTGCCAGTGCTGTTTTTTCAGTTTTGTCTCTGGTCGTCTCGGGCTGTTTTTTTTTTCTTACTTACTTTCAAACATCTCCTTCTTTCTCTCTTCTCGCCTCTCTCATGTCTTTGATCCCACATTGTGGCTCAATGCCACGCGGCTAACACCGGTGTACTTGCGAAAACTCTCCGCTCGGTAGCGATCGACGGGACCACATGTATGGCTCGCAGAACGAGGTCGGAGGTGCGAGCTAAATTCATGCAGGATCGAGAAATTCCCCTCATTTCGAGAGTCTCCTATCGCACCCTATAAGACCCCTGTGGCCTCTCGGCAACTCTCGCGCCGACGCCTGGTCACCATGTTCTCGGCCTTCGTGGGACGGGTGTCCTCCCTAAAGCAAAAAGTGCCGCTCCTGAACGATCTGCACCTCAACTTCATCTTCATCCACTATGCCTATATCATCTCGTGGGCCATCATCGGGTCAATTATACTCTACCCCGGCAGCGAGCTCGACTACATCGATGCGCTCTTCTTCGCCGCCGGCTGCGCCACCCAGAGCGGACTGAACCCGGTCGACCTCAACAAGCTCAAACTCTACCAACAAATCGTCCTATACTTGATTACCTGTCTGTGTACCCCGATTTTCATTCACAGTGCGCTGGTCTTCATCCGATTGTACTGGTTTGAGAAGCGCTTCCAGCACGTGGTCCGCGATGCACGTGCCATGCGACGAACCCGATCTCGAATGGAAACGGTGACCGAGGACCGGGACAGTGACGAGGTGAGCCGCGCCGAGCTTGGAGTCAGTGGCCGACCAATTGTGGTGTTACGCAACAACTCAGGAGATGCGCGGGGCGGTCGCCTGGCCGACCCGGCCAACAAAGATATAGCTCCGGGGGTGGACACACCGGAGATTCGCACCCCCAGCGCCGGCTCGAACTCTGGATCTCGGTCTGCCTCTAGCTCCGATGAAACGGAGACGGAACCCGAACCTCGATTTGGACTGGGCAGTTTGAAGGTTCCAACCCATCTGAACCCCGAAACGCACATCGCCTTCTTAGAAAAGCAGCGAAAAGACAAAGGAGCGCTTCGGATTCCGAGTCCGCGTGAGTATGACCGAGGCGGTGCGCCCGAAGCGTTGGAAGAAGATGTCGAACAGGAGGCAGAGCAGGCTCCACCTTCTAGTCCCCACAACCGCGATGCTAGCCCGTTTCACCACCCCGAGGCTCATGATCAACTCGGTCCACTTGAAGGGCCTCACATCACTATCAACGAGCCTGACATCCCAAGGTCTCGCCCACGCGGGAATACATTCCCTCGTCTAAATACTCAACCCACGTTCCATGAAACCAAGGACGGAAACGAGACTACTACTCTGGCCCCCACCAACACGAAAAACACCTTTAGGGGAATTTTCCGTTCTTTAACACAGGAACGGGACCTTTCGACTCAGCCATACCTCAGTTGGAATGCGACAGTGGCACGAAATTCCAACTTTGTTGATCTAACTGAGGAACAGCGCGACGAGCTGGGTGGTATCGAATACCGTGCTCTAAAGACTCTGGCCGTTGTACTCATCACTTACTATGTTGGCTTCCACCTCATCGGCTTGTTGAGCATGATCGGTTGGATTATGACCGTGGATCAATGGGGCGATGTTGTCAAAGAGGCTGGAGTTGGACGGCCGTGGTGGGGAATTTTCACTGCTGCCTCTGCCTTTAACGACTTGGGCTTTACCCTGACACCGGATTCGTTCTACTCTTTCCAGCGGGCTGTCTTCCCGTTGCTCATGTTGTCATTCCTGATTATCATTGGAAACACTGCATTCCCGTGTATGCTCCGTTTGATGATATGGGTCATGTCGAAATTTACCCGCCAAGGTACTGCTCTATGGGAAGAACTCAAGTTCCTCTTGGATCACCCACGTCGATGCTTTACCCTCTTGTTCCCCCGCAATGCCACCTGGTGGCTGTTTGCCATTCTTGTTCTCTTGAATGGTATCGATGTGATCTTTTTTGTCATTCTGGATGTGAGTTACTTCCTTTTTCTTGTTTTTTTTTTTGCCACACCACTGACCCATTATATAGCTAAACGATTCTGCTGTGACCGAGCTTCCCCCTGGAATCCGAGTCCTGGATGGCTTCTTCCAGGCTGCCGCGACACGAACGGCTGGCTTTGGAATCATCAGTCTCTGGGACCTTCACCCTGCCATCCAGGTATCTTATCTCATTATGATGTATATTTCCGTGTTCCCGATCGCCATTTCAATGCGACGAACCAATGTGTACGAAGAGAAGAGTCTTGGTATATACGATGTCACCGACGAGGACCAAGACGAGGAATCCAACGCCCCCACCTATATCGGAGCTCACTTGCGGCGTCAACTGAGTTTCGATTTGTGGTATGTGTTCTTGGGTCTTTTCATCATCGCCATTGCAGAAGGCGGAAGGTTGCAACAAGATGACTACTCCTTCCAGCTCTTCACTGTTCTTTTCGAGGTCGTTTCCGCCTATGGTACCGTTGGCTTGTCATTTGGATATCCCGGGGTCGATACCTCCTTCTCAGGACAGTTCAACGTGGTTTCCAAATTGGTTATTATTGCCATGCAAATCCGTGGTCGTCATCGTGGTCTACCCTACGCGCTGGATCGTGCTGTACTACTTCCCTCCGACGCCATGAACCGACACGAAGCCGAACAGAGCGAAAGGCGGATGCGCCGACGCGCATCCAACCTCAGCGGTGCTGGCTCTTTCGGCCCATCACAGTCACGTAGCTTATCTCAGGCGAGGAACGACGTGGCCCAGACATCAGGTCTGGAAACTCATGACTGGCAAACCGGACCTGCACCAAATGCAGACTCCGTGGTGCAACGTTCCTCGACTATTCGATCCAATCGCTAGACAAGGGATGGATATTTTGTTTTCTTTTTGTTGATACCATAGAAAATTGGCGTTTTTGCATACAACCGGATCAGCTGCATACTGGACATAATGTGAACATCTATTGGATATTTCTGCATTCATCTGTCAATGTTTTTAATACACGTCAAGCCATATGGCATGGCGTCGGGACCGTGCACATTCCTTAGCTGATTGCGAGGAGTTGGTGACGTTGTTTCTGCCTTGGGACATGTAGTAGAATACCCATCACAGCTGCACCCACTGATAGATACTCTTATCTTGTGTTTTGTTGCCAGGTACCCGCCAGAACCTTGGATTAAGAAACAGAACTAGTCCTCATACAGGTCTAGTGAAATAGACTAGACTGTTTTGAGTTAGGCGATCCATGGCACTGCAAACGGGAATCCATATTGATCGACACTACATTCCAGGGTCCATGACGACAGATTGTTGCTGTCAAGGTTAAAAGAAAAGTTATGACCATTGCTGACATCCCCTCCAAATCTCTCTTAGACACCAACTCCTACTTAATATTTAATTCATAATGGACGAACGCCAACTCCCACCCCAGTTCCTGGACCGCTACAGCGGAGCCACCTCACGTCTCCCCACCCTCGAGACCAAAACTCCAATCACAACTTCGGCAGACCCTGGCCGAGACGCCACAGCGACTTTCCCCCGATACGACCCACGTGGCTGGTCCCTGCGCACCAAGATCCTTGCAGGCGGAGCAGCTATCATCCTTCTGCTAGTTATCATCGTGGTCCCCGTCGAAGTCGTGAAAAACCGATACCCCAAATACGCACCTCTGGATTATACCCTGACAGACACATACGAGGGAACCACCTTCTTCGACCACTTCACCTACTTCACCGACCAAGACCCAACATCCGGGTTCGTAGTCTACGTCAACGAAGACGCCGCCACCAATCTGAACCTCACGCACGCGACTGAGAATTCTGCCATCCTCCGCGTCGATACGACAACACCCAACGCCATCGCAGGCCGCAACTCCGTTCGCGTCGAATCCATCAATAAATACGACAACGGTCTCTTCGTCTTCGATATCCTGCATACCCCCTTTGGGTGCGGCACCTGGCCCGCACTGTGGTTAACAGATGGCTATAACTGGCCCACGAATGGCGAGATCGACGTGCTCGAAACGACCAATGAAGGAGCCCACGGGAACGAAGTCTCCCTACACACTTCCAAGGGCTGCACCATGAATAACGTCAAACGTAAACAAATCGGCCAGGCCTCCTTCGATAACTGCGATACTAATGCCGGGGCCAACACAGGCTGTGGTGTTATCGGTGCGGATGATACGTACGGCGATGCATTCAACAAGGCTGGTGGTGGTGTCTACGCGCTTGAACTGCGTGATGATGGTATCCGGGCATGGTTCTTCGGGAGGGAGTCCATTCCGGCTGATATTTCGGATTCCAAGCCTGATCCTTCCACGTGGGGAACTGCGTTTGCTGATTTCCCTGGTACAGAGTGTGATATTGCTTCGCATTTCAGGAACCAGAGTATTATTGCTAATATTGATCTTTGCGGAGAGCTGGCTGCTCAGCCAAAGTTCTATGATGAGCAAGATCATTGTCCGGCTACTTGTGCTGAATTTGTGAAAAGCAGTCCGCAGAGCTTTGTGGACGCCTATTGGGAGTTTAAGAGTTTCAAAGTCTACCATGCTTCTTGAGCGATCTTGGATTTCGACGTTACGCTTGCTATGGGTATCGATATTTTATTTGGGTTCTTTTTAGTTTCAGGTGGACAATATGACTTGACTTGGTATGTACAGCCATCGAATGAAAAATATCACATATACGCGTAATCGTATCAATACCTACATTGGGAAGTGGATACGAGCTTAGATTTGCGGCTCCGGTAATCTTCCCGTCGATCCCAACCCTAAATCCGCACTAGTAACTTTGACTGTATGAGTTTCAGCCTTTTGATACGCTGGCAAAATATTTGAGAGCCCACTAACTATGTCAATATGGACTTTTTATTTTGCCACCGAGGCACCCTGATTTCCTCTTCTATTTTGAGCAGCCCTTTATCTTACCCTAAATTTAAACTACTCCGGCCCCAGCTCCTCCCTTGACAATGGCAATTCATGCTAGCAAGATGGATGGGACGATCGAGGAAGCCACTCCAATGCGCATTTGCTCTACAGACTACTCGCTTGAAAACACTGCGGTTAGTGTTATTATTTCAATCTTGATCTCCATGCCTGCGACTTGACTAACACAATAGACAGAAAAGCGTCGACAAAGACCCCCGAACATCCCCTTCCCCACCATGGACCGCCACCGCTCGCTCATTTGGTCGTTGGATGTTGACACCCTTGGGATTTGGAATTACGATATATGACTTGAATGTGATAGCCTGGGGTGGAATGCTCTTTCTGCTGCTTTGCAATGCTGCCCCTGCAATGTGTCACCCGAGCTGCAACAGTCTCGATTCACCCCGGCGGATCTGGATTGAGATTGACTCGCAGATTCTCAATGCCCTCTTTTGCGTGACGGGCTTTGGCCTGGCTCCGTGGCGTGTTATCGATACTTACCACTGGTGCTTCTGGCGACTTGGCTGGTCGGCGCGCACTCGTCAGAGGGGGATCGATCGTCTTGCTACGATTCACGCCAAGTGGTTTCTGCCACACACATATACCAGTATCCTTCCCCGGACGGAAGACTCTGGGATCAGAGCGAGCATGGAAGGGAGTGGTCATGTTTCGCCCACTTCTCTTTGGAAAATGGACGTGGTTGTCTGGGGGAATATGCTTAATACCGTGTTCCAGATCTGCTTGGCTGTCTTTATGTGGGCAATGAATCGATTCAACCGACCCAGCTGGAGCACTGGTCTTTTTGTTTGCCTGGCATGTCTTGTCGCTGCTGCTGCTGGAATAGTGATGTGGCTTGAAAAGAAACGGATCCGTCGAGCGAATGAACATCCTGGGGCTTTATTATTAGTTCCCCAGTCGGTTCAGGTAAATTCAACTCCGGGCAGTTGAGAATAGAATGATTCATGGCTCAACAGCCACCCTCAAGTGCTACCCCGACATTGCATGAAGTGCTTAGAACTGTAATACATATTCAAGCTTTAGGCAGTCCCCCGTTCCAAATACACTACAAAATTTGATGCCCATATATACTAGTGCTGTAGTAATAATAGAATGTATTTTTCCTGGCATTCAAGTACCTGTGCCACACACCAAGGTCTCAAAGGTGCGCACGATATAACCCTGCTCCTCCTGTGTCAGATTTTGTGTTCGAGTTGAAGAGAATCCCTCATTCAGCCGTGCATGAATGACAGCCTTCCTGGTCTTAGATCGGACCGTGGATTCGATACTCTTTGCGATACCTTGGAACGGATAAGCTACCAAACCCAGTCCAGCTGAATAATGCTTGTTAGTATAAACGTCATGAAAGGACCAGACTTTCATGCTGGATTCTTTCTTACCTGATGGAATCTTGGTGGCAAAGCCAATCGTGCCTTTTGCGATCCCTTTGACTGCACCCAAGGCACCCTCCTCTTTGGCTCCTTTAATAGGCTCCATGACAAGACCCTTGAAGCCATCGGTCATGCCGTCGACGAAGTTCCGACCACCGAACACGGCTCCGGATTTCCAACCTTCAATGTTGCCGTAGTCCTTGGGTTCTTCGCCATAGAGCCGGGGAACTTGACGGAATCCCTCAGCTGCTGCATGAGGAATGTCCACTACAACGCCTTTGAAGTATGTGCCCGTGAATTTGCCAAACCCACCAAGAAATGCGCCAGCCATGGATACTGCGGTCGAAGCAGGGTTTCCGCTCCTCTTATCACTCTGTCGACTGCTGGAGGAGATAGAGGATGTTGACGATGAAGGCTGTGTGCCACTCAATGTAAGGCTTGGAGATGAGACAACCGGATGTCTGCGTTTATATTCCTGGTAAGGATTGGTCACCATGCCAGTGGTAGACCTGAGCATATCAGATCCAGTAGTTGCTGCTGCAGACAATATGCCAGTAAGAGGATCCCACCGCCGATTTTCAATGACAATTGGGCTAACATCGTGGCTGAAGAGGGTGATGTTAGTAATTCTTTATTTTTCTGTGAAGGGATGAAGTCACTGACCATCGAAGATGCTTAATGTCAATCTTGGAATGATTGATCAAGGTTTGAACAGCCGCTTTTGAAAGTTGGATTTGCTTCTTAGACTTGTTATATGTCCAAACAGCCGCTTGTTTGGGCATAATTTGGCAGCGCATGCTTTGAACCGGCAAATGCCTGTGAAATGACTCAACTGCAGCATTCAAACCAGATTCTGTCTGCATTTTCAAGGAAATATTTTGCGCCGCTTCGTTGGCTTCAGTGGTCAGACAAAACCGAATCGCATCTGCGAGGTTTCGAGCATTGAGAGAAGTTTGAGGGATAGCTGGGGGCCCCGCCCTCGCTTTTGCTATCATGTCTCCCCAGAACGGTTGGCTAGCCAGTCAGATATGAAAGTACGATGATAAGGAGCATGGCTATAACTCACTCCCCGAAGAATGGGACAACCACAGTTGGTCGGCCATTGAACAAGCCACAAGCAGTGGTTCCCGCTCCTCCATGATGAACCACTGCCGCAACATGCTGGAATAACCATTCATGTGGACAGTCGTCAAGGTAAAATATATCCTTGGATTTGGAAGATCCACCGCCGAGGTTACTCCAGCCTCTTGACACAATAGCTCGAACGCCAGCTCCTGCCACAGCCTTGAGCACGCAGTTCGTCAATGATTCGGGATCATCAACTACAATGCTTCCAAAGCCGATATATACAGGAGCTGGGCCAGAGTCAAGGAAATTCATCAGTTCCTCGGACGGCTTGTACATTGGCTGATCTCTAAAGAAGAACCCGCAAACATCTATTCACAGAGTTAGATTTTTTTCCATTCTTCTGTTCCCCTCGCCCTAGCATTGAAACCTAGACTTACCAATATGGGCGGGCCAATCTATTGGTTTCGGGACCAATGCAGGAGACCAGCAGTATGTGAATGGAATTTTCAAGGATTCCACCAGGCTGGGTCCCTGTACCATTGCAATTGGATCCAAGTCCAACGTCGATCGAAACTTATTAATGACATCGCCTAGTCTGTATTTTGGTCAGCTCATTGAGAATCCAAGACGTCTGGCATTTGGCCATCTTACCCTTGCCAGGTGAGCCACTCTGTCACACCAAAAGAAACGAGGTTTGCTATACTTGGATCCATTCCCGAGGGTTTCATATTCGCAAGAGGATGGGAGAATACCCTCGTGCTGCTCCATGGCATGGTAAACATGAGGTGGAGAGGAATACTCAAAGCTTGAGCACAGTGAATGTGTGCAAAGCTGGGTGGGTTCGCAATGATGGCATCTGCCACGAAGGTTTCGTTGGATCTAGGATCATTCTCGATACATGACCGCCAGCAGCCGTTGAGCATCGTCCCCACCATGGCACGCTTTTTCTGGATCTCACCCGAGCGCAAGGTCTCCATCTGAGGCAACAGTCCCGGATTTTTGACCATGTAAGCCATCAATTCGGCTGGGTTTCCTCCAATGGGGAAGAATTCTAGTCCGGACTCGGTGACAAAATCCGCAAATACATCGTGGGTTGCAATTCGCACACGATGGCCACGGATTTGAAGCTCATTCCCTAAAGCAACAAAGGGTTGGACATCTCCTCGGCTGCCCACGATCTGAATGACGATGTTAAGCTGAAGATCGAACGTGATCGGTAGAATAACTTGATCTTCATAACTTGGAGGAGGGCTATGCAAGTCTTCTTGCTGTAGCTGGATGACATGGGCGATGTTCTTGGCGATGTTCCTGGCAATGACCGAGTCGAGGTTGACGTCGATCCGACCATCAGCTATCGCAAGTCAGTTCTCACACTCTCGCAGATTCGTCGCAATATGCACATATCCACTCACCTCGAACTTCCGCCGATTGACTAATTAACTCGTGATCCTCTGCGGCCCACGAATAAGATGGAACCGGCTCATCGGTAGCATATGCTTCCATGGTGCGATGCTTGGCAAAGGTGTGGAAAGGGAGAAGATTTCGAGAAACCAAGAGTTAAAAGGCCCCTCACAGGCGGTGAATTCAGAAGCAGAGTTTGTACTATTGCAACCAGTCGACTGTAACGACTAATGAGGGCACTCCGATACCTGCTGCATACGAGGGCACGTATTCGTATTGTATCCCTGAAATGGAATAGTTCATGTTACAATACCACTACCGTATGAAGGGTCTTAATCAGGAATTTGGAAATGTGAAGCATTCAGGGTTAGGGTGCCTGCGAGGGATTGGACTTTAGTGCTTCTCTAGCCCAAGTTTAGTATACTGGCCCACAAACTCTTCAAATAGCTTGTTCAATCCGAGAAGATTCAAGGGGTCATGGTCGTTCTCTTTTTCCATGAACCACAGCATCATATGAATATCAAAGGCAAGTGCCAGCATGTATCCGAATTCACTTTCCAAAAACACCTGATCTCCAGGGTCCGAGTCACCAGTGAGCATGTTCCACTGAGTGGCATACTCCTGGCAGAATTCTCTCTTCTCTTCCTCTGTATACTTTCGGCAGTTCGCAATCTTGCTCTCTTCGTCAAACCACTTGAACATCTTTTGCATAAAGTGCCCACCGATATCCAAAGCTCGGTAGTTTGGGATCACGAATTCCAAGTCGATCAAGGCGATTTTGCTTTCTCCTTCCTCCGGCGCATGTTTCACCATAACATTCATAAACTGTACGTCGTGCATACACCATCCTGTCTTACCTCCAATAGACTGCAGCTGGTGCAGAACTTTTTTCAGCCTGGTGCCAAAGTCGTAGTCAACGAGACGGTCCACATCGACACCTCCTTTCTTCCCAAGTGTCTTCAACTTGTTCATCATATGGTACTTCTCCAGACCATTGATGATAGCACCACAGGACACATCAAAGGGCTTCTTCTTCAATGAAGTTTTCAAAGTATGAAGTGTTGCCAAAGCCTTGGCAACATCTGCTCGGATAGCCGGATTTTCGACATCCTCCGGCTCCATATTTCGTGCATCCAAGAACTCATCAATTCGTCCCAGCGTGCCATCCTGTGTCTGGAAGAATCCATACACCTTGGCTCCTAGTCGGGACCGACCAAACTCGTAGGTGAGGACCGCCTCCTCCTGTTTGCTTGGCACCAGTGGCTTGAAGACTTCGGGATCTCCCTCGGTGCGAATGTGGAATTTGATAAACACCTTGGCAGGCTGGGAGGATGAATCATCTGGTAAAGCTGGTCGTTCCACGGGACAATGGGCGTTGACAAATGAAGCATGGTATGCCATGGTCAGGGTCTCTGGATCCAGATATCGCCATTCGGGCAGGAAAAAGCCGACTATATCTCTGACATTGAGTTTAGTCGGTACTTTGTCTTCAGGAAGAGCCACAGGAACAACAGTCAAGGTGGCCATCTTTTATATATGTGAAGAGTAGAAGAAAGAAAGAAGTGAACTGCGAGCAAAGAAGTGATCTCAAGTCGGGATCCCAAAGTAGATTAGCGTCGACTGGAGTATAAAAGTTGAAGGGCTTGGCGTGGTTTGTATGCTGCTGGTGATACTTCTAGCGTGAAGATATGAGCACAAATCCGAACAGCCAAACTAGTTACTAGAGAATTCCAGACTCACCTGAACAATCTCACTCTCAGAGCACTTATTCATGTCCAACTCAGCAGCCGAATTTGTTCTTTATGCAGCTAGGCCATCCCTCGCCTTGAGTCAACTGATTGCTTCATTATTCTAAAGACTACACGGGACAAGAGAGGGAGTGCAGAAACAGAAATAGTGATATCAACATAGAAAAAGGGTATCTAACAAAGAATCGATCACCACGGCCACAGCCTCGGGTACATACTCGAATCCAAGGACCGATGACGCGGCAATGGCAGTGGCTATATCACATTCTAACAATACAAAGGCCAAAAGGCAATAGCTGGTAATTCATCACAACCCTGAGTTATTGTGAGAGAAAAAATTACAGCGAGAAAATCATAGACATCGTAAATGGGGTGACTCAAGGAAAGAAAGCAAGGTCACAGGTGTCGGAGGAGACTTCCGTCCGCAAATGGATTCTCGGGTGACATGTCGAGTAAGGGCTTTGTAGCGTTACGATCGCCAGTTGCGACGCCATGTCCCTTTCGCTGTGGTGGAGTTGGCGCGTTAGAAGTACAGGCGAGGAGACTGTTTGGAGTGAATTGATTGCTTGTAGAGACAGGACTGGTGTCTGCGGAATTCGACCCAGCATATGGTTTTGGCGGGTGTCGCACGCTGCGAGTGGTGCTTCTTCGTTGCGGTGGAGTGTCGGCGGGTGGACGGCGCCAGGAGGTTGCTGATGGGATTGCTACTGAGCCTGGTCCTAGGTCTGGACCTGTGGCGCCTTCGATTAATTGCATTCCTGGTTCGACTTTCACGCCGTGGCCTTTGCCCTTTTTGCTGTGTTGAGGTGGTTCAACAAAGACTGGGGTCAGGTCGACGAGGGGTTTATTCTTCTGGTCGAACGAGTTTGATGGGCTGAGGGGTTGGGATCGATTGAAAAGGGTCATGTCTGGGGGTCGAGTCATGGTGTTGGTTCGGCTGTTAGGATTGGAGTCGTGGTGAACTGATCCTGTGCTTATAAGACCGGCTCCCGTGAATGGATCTTGCATGGAGCGCTTTTCGCGATCTTCGCGTTCACGCATGGCGTTCTGGCGTTGGGTGTATGTTCGGCCAAGGAGTCCCGAAGGGGCGAATGTAGCCGCTTCAACTTCAGCAGGCATGACGCCCTGCACTAATGGCTCATTTTCTACCTCGTGATCAAGTGGTGAATCCTGAGGATATGAAGGTGGTAGAGGTCCATGTCCACGGGCAGTCTTCTTGCGGGAAGACAAGCTGCCCTCTCTGGAAGAGTCAGGTCTTGCATCCCGTTGTAGAAGTGGAATATCGACCGGCACCTGTTTGTGCTGGCGAGTTGACTTCTTCGTCCCAGAGCGCTTGGGTGCATCAACCTCGGATTTCTCTGCTACACCCACCATGTTGAGCAGATACCAACTTCTCCATTGCTGAGTAACACGATACCACTTGTCTGCAATGGCCTTGTCACTGGTTGAGAAGAAGTGCACAAAGTTCTCTGTAGAGAGGAACATGGAAGATTTCTGTTGACTTTTGATAGCAAAACAGATCTTCTTGGGTGGTTTGATATCTTTGCTCAAGGCTCGAGCACTGGGAAAGTAGATATCAAAGTCGGACAAATGACAGATATTTGTATGGTCCTTGGAATTCTCCTTCTTCGCAATAGTGACCTGTCCGTCGGAACGCATAGTCACATATCGCTTGTCCCATCTGCGGCGACGCTGGGAATGGTACAGATAGACAGTCTCCTGGGGCGGATGCTCGCTGGGTACATGTGCTGCATCCAACTGGGCCAATGCGTCAACACTGGAGGGAGGAATGACGATGAAACGATTTTCAGCATCTGTGGCCCACGAATTCATGACATCGCGGATACGCTCGAAGCGACGAAGGGGACGCTCCAAACCCAGTTGACAAAATGACTCCATGACAATGAACTTCTCATGGTTGATATTCTTGGACAGACGCTTTTTCGCGTCCAACAATAGATCTTGAACAGAGGTCGACGGTGTGATAGTCAGGCTGGCAGAAGCATCCCCGTACTCCACCATAACGCGACGCTCTCCGGCATTGACAGCGCTCTTCGGCGCATCAACCCCAGGAACCACACCCGTTCCCCCAACACCAATATACTTCGGCACCGGCTCGGATTTTGTCACTGCAGCCTTGACCTTGGACAGCTTGACCCTGTCAAAGAAAGACTTGCGATTCGTGTCCGGCGCAGTGTCGCGTGCGCGCGAGCGTTCGGCGCGACTCGTCTCTTTCCGCCGAGGGTGAGTTGTCGCGTTGCCTCCTCCGGTCAATTGATCCATTGTATTCTGCCGGTGCGCTTCGCGCGCATCTTCCTCATCATTGGGTTGGGTGACGTTACGCGTGGGTTTGGTCTGCGCATTGCCCTTGGTCTGCTGGGTGGGAATTGCGGGAGGAGGGATCGCATCTGTCGGGCGATTGCGACGATACCGCGATCTGCTCCTTGCGAGCGAGGGATTTTGTTCACTGGTCGAAGCCATCTCCACGTCTCCACGTGCTCCACGGTATTTTGATAAAGTCTGCGGTAATGCCCGTCGTGGAGAAAGTGTTTTTTTTTTGAGACGCCCCCCTGGGGGCGAGGTGCGGTTTCAGATTTGGTCTCGGCAACTGCCCGGAAATTAGCCTGAACTCAAGATCCAAGTTTGGAACGGAGAAAGGTGAGACGAAGAATAAAAAGGAAAGCTGGCACAATGTGAGAAAAAAGTCCTGGAGTAACGGTGGGATTTGTCACGGGCCTGGGCAGCCCCTGGTATTCACAGTCTCATTTCCAATTGACCAGTCGCAAATGCGGCCCGCGCCGATCGCTTAATGGTAAAGGGCTCTGTTGCATGAGAGACTCACCGATGGTGCAGATCGGACCGGAGATCCTGATTGGAGACGTGAAGGTGTGGTGCGCTAGGAAAGCAATGCTGCACGCGGACATCAGGTTACTCCTGGCTACGATCGACACTACAGGAACTATTGCATTGTTGCATGATCAGCCCTAGGGAGATATTCCTCAGATACAGTATCTCCAGATCTTCGAAATTGTGGTTCTCAGTGGAGATCGTGGAGTTCATTGTCCATCCATATTGGTCGAGACGGCTACGTTTGAGACATTGTGATATTCATCTTTCTTTTTTGGGGGGGATCCTCTATACAGTATCGTGCAGGTCAATGCCTGGGTCATGCTAGGGATTGAGCTCACTTCCGGTAAGCACCCAATTCTCTGCGCCTGTGTTCTATTAGAATCTCCGTCCAAAGCTGTATACCAGGGCACTTACCACCAGGCGATGAAGTCCATTGTCCGCACATCAATCCCAATGTCAGACAATGCCTTGGTCGACATATGGGTATCATACGGCCGCTGCACCGCGGCGTTGGGGTCATTGCCCTGCTTGATCATCCCGGGGGTCGCAACACCAAGGACCTGAGCGATCTTCTGGCATATCTCATACTTGGTCATGCGGTCCTCAGATGTGAACTGCAGGATACGGGGCAAATCCTTGCGCTTCTCCTTTTCCTTGAGATACTTAATGACAATGTCCCGGCACACGCGAGCGACATCCTCAGTGTTTGTGGGGTATCGCTGGGACCAATCGTCCATTTTGACAGCGGCATTCTCATCAGTAGCCTTCTTCACAGCATCGACCAATGTGTTCACTGCGCTCTCGGAGTTTTCCTTGGCACTACCATATAGCACGGGCACGCGCAGTACCACGCCGAGACCCGAGTCACCAATCTCTTCCAAAACTGCCTTCTCGCCATCCAACTTGAACTGACCGTAGATGTTTGGGGGCTTGGTTTGCGCATCGGCCTCGTAGGGTGCCTCACCCTCGGTACCGGGGAAGACGTAGTCGGTGGAGATGTAGATCAAGAAAGCACCACGGCTGTGGCATTCTTTCGCCAATGCGCGTGTGGCATCTACATTCACCCGGCGTGCCTGGTCAGGGTTTTGTTCACAGAGGTCGGGCGACTTGTTGGCGGCGCCTGCGGGGAGGTATTAGTGGGGGGCTTCGAGTCGGCAGTTTATGGGCTTACAGTGGATGACAATTTGAGGCCTGTTGATTTCAAGCTTGTCAGTAGCTGCAGAAACACGAAAATTGGTGATATACACACTTGGCTTCATCAAAGAGAGTCTGAATATCTTCAGTCTTCTCGAGGTCAGCCTTCAAGATAGTAGGCGGGGCAGCGCGGGTGAATCCCTGCCCAACGACCAGCACGCCAGAGTGCTGGAAAGTGTTGAAGACAGCGCGTCCCAGGAAGCCACTGGCTCCAGTAACAAGAACAGTAGAAGTCATTGTGTGAATGTGTGTGTGTTGATGGTGAGGGAGTGTTCCAAGGAGTATTTTCCTCCAGGTGGACTGTGACGTAACTGACTTGAAAGTCCACCGGTCCCTTTTAGGGTTGGGCTTCAATACTCCGAACATTCACCTTTACATTATTTCAACTAGTCCTGTAGGTCGGATTGCGCCTCATGATTTCATGATCGACAAGAGGCGTCCCTCCAATTGAACGCCTGCAGACGCACGATTTAACTATATTTAAGGTTGGAGCTGGTTGGCTGCTCACAAGAGCCCTGCTGGCATTGCAGAAGTGGCATTCGATACAGCAATTCTATCCTGGAACCAAAATATCCCACGATCAACAGTTTAGAAGTTGACCAGTTTGTGACTGAGGCGGAAATGGCATTTGAGAGCAGTTGCTATGTGTTATGACATTACCATCTTTTGTGTGGGACGATTAAACATCACTATGGCATGTATTGTAATGTAATGTAAACTCACTGTTTCCGGTTCCCCTTTTCTTATTGGTCTATTCTGCTCACCGCTGTCTAGTATTCTGCCGTCCTCTACTGTACCAGTTACTATGCAAGTTAGTGTAGGGTTGAATCCGGAATAACGTCGTGCTACAATTATATATCGATATACCTTCTCATTTGACCCCATGCTAGGATGGATATACACTCAAGTCGTATATCATGTGCGCATCATTTCCTTTTCTGCTAATTTCTGCCGAAGGCTTTCTTATCTATGCTCTATGCCGATTATATGAGGCGGACCTGTTGATTGTTCCTCATTGATTCCTCCGCTGTATGGGTGCCCGGGTGGTTTAATGGGCATCTCAAATATCCACTTCCAATTACTTTGATGAAGTAGAAGAACACATTCTTCCACTGTCCGAGACGGTCCACTCATCAGATCCAACGGCAGTCAATCCATAGAAGAGGTGGTGAGGGTCGTACTTGGCCTTGATTGAGCGCAGCTTGGCGTAATTCTTGCCATAGAAGGCAGTCTTAAAGTCCGGCTGCCGGAAATCCGCCTTAGAATTCATCAGTTAGCATTCATCTTCCCAATAAAACTCTCAATGATCATGATGGGTGGCACATACCTCGTTCAGATAAGCGCCAGATTCGGGTGCCAAGTTGCTTATGCTAGGAACCAGCACATCCGTCATCAATTTCCGGTTCTCGAGCATCTTCTCTGGCTTATTGAACTCCCAAGGAGTGGATGTCAAGACGTGGGCAATAGCATTGCGCCACGCGGGGTTCACAGCGTTGTCAACGTTGCCAGTAACCTCTTCGGTAACCTTCATACCCACCGTCGTAAAGGTGGCATGGTGGGCTAGGACCTTGCGAGCGGACTTTGTCAATTCATGACGGGACTTCGGGTCCTCGACTATTGATCTTGGAAGAAGCCAGCTACCATATTGGGCAACTCCAACCTCGACAAGGGGCGTTTGGGCGTTGAATTGATCGATGTAAGCATCAAACTCCTCTGCGTGGTATTGGTATTTGATGCCGAGCTTGTCCAGACCATTGAGGAAAGGCTTGACAAGTTCCTGGAGCTTCTTCAGTGGAACTCCGGGTGCAGTCATGGGAGTGATGCCAAACGAAGTATTGGTAAGGAAGTTCAGGCTCATTATTCCTTCGTCGACAAAAGAAGGCAAGTAAGTGTTATAGAGTTCCACGGCTTTGAAAAAGGTCTTGTCGGAGATATTGTCAGTGGTGAAAGTCAGGTTCAAGCCCGACACATGGCTATCCTGATGAGCCTTGGAGGTCATAGACCAGACCACACCATAAGTACCACCTCCACCTCCACTTAGTGCCCAGTAAAGATCAGAGTTCTGGTTACGGTTCGCGACCAGAAAGGTGCCATTGCCATCGATGACCTCCCACTCGAGGACCTGGTCTGCACCGAGTCCATGCTTAGAAGACAGGGAAGAGTGACCGCCTCCCTGACTGTAGCCACCTGCAACACCAACAGTAGGACACTCTCCGGAGACCATCCGAAGTCCGTGTTTGTGAGCCGCCTCGATGGCTTCTATTCCCTGGACACCAGCGCCCAGCTTGAAAGCTTTACCAGTGTAGTATCTATCATTCCAGTCCTTGAGCTCGATATCTTTCAGATGGTGTGTCCAAACGGAGAGAGCGCCGGCGCCGGTAGACTTTCCGTTGTAGCTACTACACGTTAGTCTTTGACCGAAAATATCTCGAATTTTGAAAGGCGATAGTACTCATGGCCCGTGTTACGAATAATAAATCGAATATTGTGCTTCGCCGCAAACTTCAATGTCTTGGCCACATGCTCAGGCGAAGAAACGTTGACTGCGTAGCGGACGAAATTACCCAAGGTACACAGCTTGGCAATGGGATGGTATGGATCGCAGGTTCCATTTGTGAAGAACGGAGCCATGAAAGATGACGAGGATTGGTAGCTAGTGGATGTCATGTTATTATCTGGTTCAATTAAGCAAGCTCTTCATCGGAAAGACTTACTGCTCTTCAGGCAAGAGCCAGCCCTCCTTCAGGGCGTTACATTTCTGTGAATCGTAGGAAGGGGCATGGCAGGCAGTAGCGAGGGGCACAGTGGCTACAAGACGTCCATTGACCGACTGATTAAAGGTATTCCAGGTTGAAACCGAGGGCCAGCAATCATCGCCCGGGAAACAACGGCAAGATGGCTCCCTAGCGGCTTGAATTGTAGGAGCAATGAGAACAAGGCCGAGAAAGGCCCCCAGCTTGACCATGTTGAACAACATTGCATATAATCTCTCTATCTAGACAGGGGGCGAATACTTATATATAAGTTTTGACTACTTTAGCATGAGTAATCTAATGTAGGAGGCGGGGTCTAGTTAAAGTGAAGCACAGAAATGGATCCATCCTCTGTTTTCCCGGTCTCCTTGGCCTATTAGCTGTCAATTCTGTTCGGCAAACATCAAAAGACACAGAATTGCGAAGAACCAAAAACAAAAACAAAAAGCAAGACGCCGATCTTCCTCTCCATGCCCCGTGTTGATGCGGCTCACAAGGCTTGGAAGGCCTGAGCGGGCTCAATATGGTAACGAGCATCGTAGAATATGCGAGCCGAGCTCTCATTCTAGGATTCCACTCATACCCACTTGACACACATGTCAAAGCCTCGACACTCGTCCAATGGGCGTTTTACGCCCCCACGAACTAGCCTGGTTGATCGGTGTCTTGGGTTGAGACTCAGTGGATATGCGTCGTGGCGGTAAATGCAACATGCATAGCGCCAGGTGGACAAAAGTACTGTACAATCTTCCTGCCGCAACGATGTAGATTCCTAAGAACAAGACTCTTGATGACAATCACTTACCCTGTCTACCATAGACTTGGAGTTCAAGGATGAAGCAAACCGGTGACCCACATCCACATTGAACGGGCCGAGCCGGGCGTGACTGGCAACAATACTGTATCTGCGGCGGAATTCGATAGGAGAATTCGGTATAGAGAAGATACTGAAATGGGATTTCATCGGCATCCTAGGTTTATGGCACTTCCGACGTACTGAGACTACCGCGTAGCCCAATTTGGGTCGAAGGCCCAGACCCGCAACACAGTCATAGCGACTTGAAATGAGCAGACTCGGGGAGATTTAAAGTATTTCAAACGTGACTTATACGGTATACTACGCAGAGTTAGATCCTTGACCGCCAAAAGTCTAGGTGTTTTGCTCAACGCAATGTGCCCGAGCTTCTCGCGATATATCTGGGTAGAAGACAACGATTACAAGTGTGTGCCTCAATCACTAACCTAGGTCCAATTGGTGTAGACGTTGAAAGTATACAGCCATTGAAGGATGACCAAGAGCGTGTGAGGCCTATAGGTGAAGGATTCCCCAAGAGTATGACTTCAAACATGGAATTCAAGTTCCTGCTAGGGGATCCAACGCCAGCTCTTTTGGAATGCAATGAAAGGGAGATAGTTCATCCAACATTGCGAACTCGGCCACATGTGCGAAACATTGAGGCTAAATATTCAAGCCTCCGTGATCGGAAGCAACTCTCAATGATTCGAAATTTCCAATTGCCCAATATTCATGAGGGAGCTTGCTCCGTTCAGGTGAGCTCATTTGGCAAAATCGAATCGCCGAAAATCTCCGGGTCCGAGCTCGGGAGCAGATCAGATATCCACTGACGTGCTCAGAATTTATCACTTCCTCACACAACATGTCTGGCGCCAGGAATATCACAGCTGCCCTGCGGCGGGCAGTCCCCCGACCCCGTGTCGCCCTTCGATCCGCCCAATACCTCCAAACTCCCCGTGTCATCCGCACCTTCAGCGCCGGCCCCAGTCGCAACTCCGACTCCCGCCAGATCAAATACACCAGCGATGCCTACCCCAACGTCAAGCGGAACCCGAACTTTGCCGAGATATCCGCCGACGATGTTGCCCATTTCAAGGAGCTTCTGGGCTCTCAATCCGCCGTAATTGATGGCGTCACCACCGATGCGACGGACGACATCGAACCCTTCAACAGTGACTGGATGCGCAAGTACCGCGGCCACACACGGCTGGTTCTGAAGCCCAAGGATTCTCAGGAGGTCAGCAAGGTGCTCAAGTACTGCAATGAGCGCAAATTGGCTGTTGTGCCCCAGGGTGGAAACACTGGCTTGGTTGGTGGCTCCGTGCCTGTCTTCGATGAGATCGTCATCAACACCTCGCGCATGAACCAGATTCGCTCGTTTGATGCGGCATCCGGTGTGCTGGTTGTAGATGCTGGTGTGATCCTCGAGGTTGCCGACCAATATCTTGCTGAGCGCGACCACCTCTTCCCTCTTGACCTTGGTGCCAAGGGATCGTGCCACATCGGTGGAAATGTCTCCACCAATGCTGGTGGTCTGCGTCTGTTGCGCTACGGCAGTTTGCACGGAAGCGTCCTTGGTCTTGAGGCCGTCCTGCCAGACGGGACTGTCGTCGATGCCTTGTCGACCCTCCGCAAGAACAACACTGGCTACGACCTGAAGCAGTTGTTCATTGGCTCCGAGGGAACCATCGGTATGGTCACTGCTGTTGCTATCCAGTGTCCTCCCCGCCCCAAGGCTGTCAACGTCGCCTACTTTGGTCTTGAGAGCTTCGAGCAGGTCCAGCAGGCTTACCTTGCCGCCAAGGGACAGCTCTCGGAGATTCTCTCTGCCTTTGAGTTAATGGACGGTCGCAGCCAGAAGCTGGTCATCGAGTCTACAGGGAACAAGCACCCTCTGGAGGGAGAGTATCCCTTCTACTGTCTGGTCGAGACCAGCGGTTCCAACGCCGAGCATGACATGGAGAAGCTGGAAACCTTTTTGGAGAATGTGATGGGCGAGGGCATCGTCGCCGACGGTGTGCTGGCTCAAGATGAGACCCAGTTCCAGGCTCTCTGGCGCTGGCGTGAGGGTATCACCGAGTCTCTGAGCCACCTGGGTGGTACCTACAAGTACGATGTGTCGATCCCACTGGCAGATCTGTACCAGCTTGTTGAGGACTGCAAGGCCCGTCTTACTGAGAAGGGCTTGGTCGGTGATGACGACTCTTTCCCCGTCCGCGCCGTAGTTGGCTATGGTCACATGGGCGACTCCAACCTACACTTGAACGTTTCTGTCCGTCAGTACAACAAGGAGGTCGAAAAGGCCATTGAGCCTTGGGTGTACGAGTGGATCCAGAAGCGCCAGGGCAGTATCAGTGCTGAGCATGGTCTCGGTGTTGCCAAGCGCGAGTTCATTGGATACAGCCAAAATGAGACCATGGTGGGCTTGATGAAGCAGCTTAAGAACCTGTATGATCCGGTGAGTTCTCATTCCTATTTCTGTCCTTTCCTTTTCCTTTTTTTCTTTTTTTTTGCGAACGTCTGCTAACAATGGTTTAGAACGGAATCATGAACCCGTACAAGTATATCTAGAGGATGTATGTAAAAGATAATTGAATTAGCCTGAACAAAACAAATGTGCACACCACCGCCAAACTACTCTCTCTCTCCAACTCTACTAGACATCGCAGAAACTAGAACTAAAACTAAAAATAAAAATAAGAAAGTCGATCAATGTTGTCATTGTGGACCTTCTATACCCCAGTTGTGGCCTCAGGCGTCCCGTTGCCATGCGAGACGGAGCTTGTTTGGGGTTTGTAGCTCCACCTCCTTGCCCCGATCTCTTTTCTTTCTTTACTCCACTGCCTTTCTTTCTTGGATCGCATTCCTGTCTACATCATGTCGGACGATATGGCAAGTCATTACCAGGTGATGGAGGAGCTGGGCAGTAAGTGCTCCCCAAACCCCTGACAGGGTTTTTGCATCCGACTAATTCCCGACCCGTTTGCAGGCGGCAGTTTTGGAACTGTGTACAAGGCAATTGACAAGACCGACGGCGAGATTGTTGCCATTAAACATGTACGCCCTTTCATCTCATTCATTCCGATCCCCCCAATGGTGCCCAATTGACCTTTGACCTCTCCCAGATCGATCTCGAGTCCAGTGAAGATGATATCCAGGAAATTCAACAGGAGATTTCAGTTCTGGCTACCTGCCAAAGTGCCTATGTTACACAATACAAGGCCAGTTTCCTCAAGGGCCACAAGCTATGGATTGTGATGGAATATCTCGGAGGTGGTTCTTGTTTGGACTTGGTATGCCCGATTGTTGTCCTACGGTGCCATGCATTGCTGACCGCTACAGTTAAAACCAGGAAGTTTCAACGAAGCCCACGTCGCCATCGTTTGCCGGGAACTCCTCCAGGGATTGGATTACTTACATAGCGAGGGCAAGATTCACCGAGATGTGAAAGCCGCCAATGTCCTGCTTTCTCAGACTGGCAAGGTCAAGCTGGCTGACTTTGGTGTTGCTGCGCAGCTGGTCAACATCAAGTCACAGCGCAACACATTTGTTGGAACTCCATTTTGGATGGCACCGGAAGTTATCCAGCAGGCTGGATATGACTTCAAGGCGGATATTTGGTCACTGGGAATTACAGCCATTGAAATGATCAATGGCGAACCACCCCATGCCAGCACACATCCTATGAAAGTGCTCTTCCTTATTCCAAAGAACCCTGCCCCTCGCCTCGAGGGCAACGAATACAGCAACACATTCAAGGACTTCATTGCACAGTGTCTGACGAAAGATCCCGATCGTCGTCCTAGTGCAAAGGAGCTCCTCCGACACAAGTTCATTCGGAGTGCTGGCAAGCCTGAGGCACTTCAAGAGCTCATCCATCGCAAGCAGGACTGGGATGGCGGCCGTGGATTGTCCAAGGACGTCAAATATTACGCGGAGTCTTTGAATAACATGTCCAGGCCAGAGGAGGACGATGAAGACTGGGTCTTTGATACCGTCAAGGCTCCCACTATGTGGGTGCCTAAGGGTACAGACTGGACAACATTGGACGAGGAGGAGGAGAACACTGATCCTGCGGAGCTTATGGACGATCTGCACATATCACAGCCTCCACCTCCACCTAAGCACCAGGCAAACTCTACGGTTCGCCGAATGCCCACCGAACGATCACCTTCTGTCCGTCGGACCAACACCAAGCGTCGTTCCAGTGGCATCAAGCAGCCACTTGGTCTGGACTTGAGCTATGGCAACAGTCCATCTACTGTTAGACAGTTCCGTCGGGTATCAGACAAGGTCCCGGCCGATGTCAAATCCCCAAAACAGGCTCAGGCTCAGGCTTACGACGAAAATGCCAGTCCAAAGGTTACGTCAACCGACTCCTCAAGTAAGGAGGCACAAATTGGACGGCGGGCATACAGCAAAGCCGTTGGGCTCTCCTGCCAAGAGGTTCTTTCGACGACGGGAGATGGTGATAAGCGTGAAGCTATCTCTAGATTGGCTGAGGCCTGGAGCGACCTGGAAATGGTCGATCCGGAGGGTCTTTACCACATTGTCCGAATTATGAACGAGAAACTCCAAGCGTAAGTCTCTCCATCTCAGCTTGCATCGCATACCCCAACTAACGAGAATCTAGTGACTCCCGTTTATCAAATCTCCTCCCATCTACCCAACCTGATTCACCCTCTCGTCCTCGCCTCGTCTTGGCCCAAAACAACCCTCATCTCAAGAGTCACAAGCGTCGCCAATCTTACGTACCCGAACCTCAACCCCAATCTCCCCCATCTAACTTGCCCGGCAAGGCTGTTCCTGGAATGGAACACACCAAACAACTTTCTGAAGTTCTTTACACGCGCTGGTCGGAAGGCCTCCGCAACCGATGGGGCGGCATCTAACCCCAATGCCCCCGACAACAACCTACCTCATTCTCAGCATCACCTCTACCCTTCTTTTCATTCCCTGTATAGACCCATGTGGCGTTCCAAATTTGTTGTATAACCTTTGCCATTGCCCCTGCATCCTTGGTGTCCCTTCGTTGTTCGATTTTACCTTTTGACTGTCACTTTCTATCTCTGGTGGGACTGGTCCCGGAGTTCTAATGATCTGGTGTAATCTTTTTGCCGTCTTCTTCTGTACTTTCTTTCACGACAGAATGCTGCCTGTGCTTCTGGCTGTTTATTGGCTATGTGCCTTGTGCGTTGTTTGGGTATTTTGAGAAATACTAGAATACATGAAACCATGATTGCGATTGTTTTAAATTCTGCATACGTACTCCAGTCCAATTCCTCATTATCATCGAAGTAGATACGGCTTACACACCACGATGATAGCTGTTTTCCAGGCTTATATCATTGAGCCACAGAGGTCACTCTACACCCAGCTACTAGTCCGTCACTTGAAGTTCTACTAAATGATGCATTAGCAAAATATGAGGGTCGGTGTAACAAGTCAAAGACTCAAAATGTCTACTGAATCAATTCAAGTTCTACTGGCGGCTTTCAAGACAATTTTGTTCATAAGCTGGTATCGTTCATTGATGATCTCGATATCATCGATAGTGTTGCTGTATATCGCCTTTAGTACGGATCCTGAAGGTTGTTTTTGAGGTCAATAGATAGATGAAACAGTTCGAGGTGAAAGACTGGGAGACCCTTGGTCTCGATGGAGAAGAGGAAGTTACTGGCAGATAGAATGGTGCAAATAAGGATTGGTCAACTGCAGGAAGACTGGGAGCCTATGGTATCATATCAATCAGTTTATTTTACCGAGTGAGAGAGGGAGAAGTATCTCTAATAACGAGACATTCTTGGTCAATATTACAAGGATTCCCCGTACAATGTCTTCAAACCTTTAAAGGTCAGAGGAAATCCAAATTGGGTTGAAATTATACAGCACAAGAAGGACAGTAATACAAATGTCAATGCACCGTGAATCGAGATTGTTTTGGAACAGTTACGACAAAAGCAAGAGAGACACCCCAAACGCCACAAGTACGCCATCAGTGCCATGACAGGATTCTTGAGAAATATGTCCTTGAGACTTGCATGACACTCACTGTTGATCTAGGCCATGCTGTAGGAACGATGAAGAATGAGCGCCTTCAAATTCATGTCAGCGGCCCATCACCCTATGAGTCCGAAACTCTCCCAGCGCCCACCCAGATTTACACGCCAAATGACCACACAAGAGAACTCTGAGATCTTGCAGTGTCTCTGGACTGTCTCATACAAGATAAAAATGGAGTCATGCTGACAGAACCATGAAGGATAAAAACCTTGAGATCCATGCCAGTAACCCAGATTGCCAACTTTAGTAAAGCCCGCAGAGAACAAACGTATACCACGGCGATAGTAAGCTGACCCAAGGAGCTACCCTGGAGGGCTATTTAACTTGCTCGCAAAGCATGGGGAGGGAGAAAGGTTTGCTCAGAATCAAGTCTCAATACTGAACCATCAAGGATGCATGCCTTGTGGTCCATGTTGACAGTTCATAGGAGAGATTTCCCGGGGAAACTACGAAACTAAAATAGTCGGGAGATTGAAGAGATTGAAGAGATTGAAGAGATTGAAGAGATTGAAGAGATTGAAGAGATTGAAGAGATTGAAGAGATTGAAGAGATTGAAGAGATTGAAGAGATTGAAGAGATTGAAGAGATTGAAGAGATTGAAGAGATTGAAGAGATTGAAGAGATTGAAGAGATTGAAGAGATTGAAGAGATTGAAGAGATTGAAGAGATTGAAGAGATTGAAGAGATTGAAGAGATTGAAGAGATTGAAGAGATTGAAGAGGGAGAAGAGGGAGAGGAAAGGTTGCCGGGGTTTATGCTCTCAGAGACCCGTCCCAATTAGGAAGATCGACCTCTCCGTGACTGGTCGATCTTTTGTTGGCTGGGTTGATCTTGCGCACTTTCCATTAAATGAGCTGCGATATTATAAACTGCTTGATAATTGTCTTCAACATAAATGAGGCCTTGTGGTAAAGCCAGCCCTGCATGACTATTATGTAGTATCCAATTCACCATCTTACATCAGTTTCACCATTAATCTACAAGATATTCAATATGGGCTGTATACTCTGTACATGCTCACAAGGTTCAGACAGCTCTGTCACAAGCCGCACTCTCGCCCACAGGCCTGGGCGTAGAATTCAGCGCAGCTCCTGGTCTCGGTCCGCTGGCGTGGAGCCCCACGGCCGCCCTGTATTGGTGAAGATACAGCCAGCACAAACAAATTCCAAGAGAACAAGTCTACCACTAGGTGGAGATCCCCGAGTCCCACTCCGCTCGTTCAGGTCAAAGCTAACTGTGTCAAGGCTACTTCAAGCAGATGGTCCCTCTGGATTGTGATAGCATTACAGGTGCTGCCCTCGACCCAAATAAGAATGGCCTCAAGATCATGAACCTTTAGACGTCCAGCATACAAAACGAAGACCGGAGACCCTCTCTCAAGGGACACTGTGAAGAATGTCGGCATAGCATCAAGTACAAGTTAGGGCTTCTCGAATGCCAAGACTCACATGGCTTAATAAGACGCTAAACCCCCTGAAACGTGGACCCGCTGTGGGCTGGACTCAGGAGAGACCACACCTGTCAGAGCTATTATTTTCCCCTTTACATACTTGCACCTTTGTACATTCTTTGTCCCTTTCATGTTATCCTGATTCTTCTCTCCTGCTGGCTGGTCCACCATGGAGAGTATTCCGGGAGCGGAGAGCCTCACCCACGGGCCACCGCCGGTTGCGACCCAGACGCCTCAACCGGAGTCTGCTTCCGAGTCTCGCTCACTCACACAGAACAAACGTTTGTCACTACCTTCTGCAAAACCAACAGCCCGTCATGCGAAGCGCCTCACCCTCAATTTCCCTATCAACTTAAACGAACCCGAAGCCACAACCGACGTCTCCTCACCCGGAGCTGCCACTCCGGTTACGCAATCCTCTCGTCCACCCACCGCCCAGCCTGGAACACCCATGTCTTTTGATGTCCCGGATGATGGCTATGACTTTCTGCGGGCTATCGCCTCGCAGGAGCGAAAGGTCATGGAGCTCCGCGAGGAACTCCAGCGGGCTGAAGCAGACCTGGTGACAATTAAGAAGCAATGGGCACTGTCTGAAAAGAACAGAAAACGGGCGGAGATCAATCACGCGGAACCTCTCATGCCGCTCCGATCGCCCGATTTCGCAACACCCGAGGCGTCAACCACACACCACCGAGAGCAGAGTATGAGCTCAGTTGGTTCTGGGGTATCACAAGAACGAATCAGTCGGGATCTCGAGCGGCGTAGCAGTGTTCGCGCTGCCGCAACCAACGGCACAAAGCTTGGGACGAACGGTCGGCGAGTGTTCCAAGGAGCACACACCAGAACCCTGTCTCTCCTGTCACCAGTCACGGCTTCAGGCGGCTGCCCACGCGAGCCAGGTCTCTCCGAAACTGATCGCGTAGGTCGTACTCCTCGGTCTGCAACACTACCCTCAGTCGAACGCAGTAGCACTGCTATGTTAGGTGCGCAGTTGGACGAAAGCCAGGTACCAGAGCATCTGCTCGCCCAGTGGCGAAAGACTCTCCCTCCGCCTTCACGGGAGGCCTTGATGCGTACAGGCAAGCAAATGGCGTCCGATCTAAGAGAAGGCCTTTGGACATTCTTGGAAGACATCCGCCAAGCTACGGTGGGCGAGGAGGGTATCAACGGAACACAAACACGAAACATGTCGCCCAATTCATTGGCACCGCCAAATGGTCGCAAGCGCGATTCACTAGCCAAATCACGGAGCCGAGAGCGGTTGCTAGCAGATGGCAAGCTATCACGATCTTCATCGTCGTCATCGTCGCGGGGGAGGGGACCAGCGGTCGAGACAAAAACTGGTAAAGACACCAAGCCGGCGGAAATATGCGCATCCTTCTGGGACGAATTCGGCATTGATACACCAGCTCAGAAGTCTCCGAACGCTCTCCGCAGCCCCTCCAACCAAGTACCCGCCACAAACGAGGCGACCGAAGCCGAACAACCCGATCACCGCTCCAGCACTCCAGTCGATACACAGAATGACGAGCTCGACGACTGGGATAGCTGGGATACCCCCTCATCCGGAAAAAAGATGCACACGCCCTCGTCGAGTCGATCGACCGTTGAATCGAAGCAAGATCAATCACCCGTGACACAGGGCAGTAGTCCTCGAACAAGCGCCAGGTACCGTTCGACCTTTCATGATTTCATTTATGACAACCTCGTTATGCGCTGACCGCAATCCTAGCTTTGGTGATTGGAACCCAGCTTCCACTGCGCCTGATCACAGTGTCACCGAAGGCATCCCCTGGCCTACCATTACCAAACTGGCTCCCTCTAAGCTTCAACGAACTGCCTCCAATTTGATGGCAGAATGGGAGCGCTCCTTGTCCCCGTCTTCCGAGCAAGCACCCTCTTCTTTGCTAACCCGCAAGGACAGCAAGAAGGACTAAGGATGTTATTTTCTTTACATTCATGTACATACTTACTTCTTTGATTCTCTGGTCCTATCTACCGAATCACGCAGGCCGACGACCTATACCATACGAGAGCGTTGTTTGTTGTCGATGCATTTTCTTGATTTTGCTACCTCAAGTACTGGCCATGCCATTTGCTAGGAAATCTTTTTGAATACCATTTGATTTACTACCCCCTGAGCTACCCATCTATTATTCTCCCACAACCATAGTTGTAAACCACAATGTTTGTAAGTTAACCGTTTCAAGCCCAAGTCAACATCCCGGCGAATTAAATTTTCCGAAAATTTAGTGGCAACCATGTGACTTTATACGGTTCAGGGTCAACTGGTCCGCCGTAAAAATAAATTTGCGGTTCTGTTGGTCGCCTCCGCAAGATCTCCGCGCCTCTAATCTTCACTTGATCCATTCATTCCAAGTGCTTTCTTTCCTTGCCCAGGTCTCGTGGACTGTAAAACAGTCTGCTCTGGATACACCTGATCACTGATTCAGAACGTCTGCACCACTCCTAATTCACATCGACTCCCGAAATGGCCTTTCCAGGCACAACAGGCGGCGTGGCGCCGATGGGCGGCCTCGGAGGTTCTCCCGGTATGCAGGGCATGAACGAGCAGGAACAGGCAATGGTTAAGATGGTTCGTGACCCAATAAATCTATATCACCATGCATTTCTGACAGACGCACATTAGATGCAAGCCGGTATGGAGTCTTGCCCCATTAAGACCGTCATTGCCGGCACCATGGGTTTCGGTCTTGGTGGAGCTTTCGGTCTCTTCATGGCCAGTGTAAGTCAAATACACTCACTCACTGATATCTATCCACGGCACATGTCCTCATACGTTTCTTTCTAGATGTCCTACGATTCGACCTTCACACCTCAGGGTCGCGCTATCGCCGACCTCCCCTGGCGCGAGCAAGTCCGTCGCGGTTTCAAGGACATGGGTGCCCGCTCTTGGTCATCTGCTAAGAACTTTGGTATCGTCGGTGCCCTCTACTCCGGTACTGAGTGTTGCATTGAGGGTCTCCGCGCCAAGAACGATCTCACCAACAGTGTCGCTGCCGGTTGTGTCACTGGTGGTATTCTCGGTGCTAAGGCTGGTCCCCAGGCTGCTGCCTTTGGTTGTGCTGGTTTCGCTGCATTCAGTGCGGCTATTGATGCCTACATGAGAATGCCTGCCAGCGACGACTAAGCGCTCCACCTCACTCGATTTTTGGATCCGACAATCGGACTTGAACGGAAACCACGACTTCACCACGTGATTTGACTTGATATGGTCTGGATCTGTTGTGTTTTCCTCTTTGTATATTTCTACGGCATCTGGCGTTCTGGATAAGAATGGAGCATTGCGGGTGTTTGGGTTGCTTTCCGTCCTTTACTGGGTTTCGAGCCTTTCGGGCTTGTGCTCTTCTTGATGCTTGTCTCATTTGAGACTGTCTGGCCTCGGCATGGTGGTTTCATCATAGATTGCGCTGGTCTTAACTCTTTACTCTTTTGTATAATATCAACTTGTCAGCGTGGACATATGCCTATAGGCTTAGAGACTCACCTCTCCCAATTGATACCATATTGTTTCTGCTCACATCCTTCTTACAGTATTACCCATTCTGTATTTGTGTAAAGATCATTGAATCAAGTAGCCTTTCACTAGTAATCCTTACCTTGACCATTGTCACAAGATGCATAAAGTCCTAGTCCAGTGTGACTCGGGTTGCTTGCTCGTGTACCTGCGCATTCAGAACGTATGGGATCCCCATGGCTAACTTTCTGGCTTATGAATTCAATTTATTTTAAGTTTATGCAGACTTGTTCAATTCATGTTTGATACAGAAAAAAGTACATTTTATTCAGGCTATACACAATCTAAGGCAGCACAATATACTTCTCCAGGTGCTTGGGAATGGAACCGCGGAGGTTCTTACTCTCGAGCCAGGTGTTAGAGAACAGACGGTCCGCATACCGGTAGGCACCGTCACAGAGAATGGTGACAACGGTGCTATCCTTGCCCATCTTCTCTGCAACCTCCTTGGCAGCCACGACGTTCATAGCGGAGCTAGCGCCGAGGTACAACCCCTCTTCATCGAGGCAGCGGTAGACCATCTCGATGGTCTTCTCGTCACTGATGTTCACCGATCCATCAAGAAGACCGATGTCAGGCTGAAGGTTGTCGGTGACACGGCCCTGACCAATACCTTCAGTGATACTGCTACCAGAACGGTCGATAAGAGTGCCGCCACTCTGGATATAGCTGTGCAGGACACTGCCAGGAGGATCGGCTAGGAAACTCTTAACTCGGCCATCACTGGCTTCCTTCAAGTAGCGAGTAATGCCTGCAAGAGTACCACCGGTTCCAGTAGCACAAGTGAAGGCGTCGATCTTGCCAGCGGTTTGCGCCCAGATTTCGGGACCAGTGGTAGCGATGTGGGCTTGGCGGTTGGCAATGTTATCGAACTGATTCGTCCAGACTGCGTTCTCCAAAGACTCGGCATGTCGGCGAGCCTGGTGGTTGTAGTTCTGGGGGTTGTCAAATGCTACTGCGGGGACTGGGTACACCTCCGCACCCAACAAGCGGAGCAAGTCAATTTTGCCCTGCGACTGGGTGTTGGGCATGTAGATCACGAGCTTATAGCCCTTTGACCGACACACGTGTGCAAGACCGATTCCAGTGTTGCCGGCTGTTCCCTCGACCACTGTACCGCCGGGTTGGAGTAGGCCCTTCTCCTCCGCATCCTTAACGACAAAGAGGGCAGCTCGGTCCTTCACACTACCGCCGGGATTCTGGAATTCGGCCTTTCCAAGAACATTGCAGCCGGTCTGCTCAGAAAGCTTCTTCAGCCGGATGAGTGGGGTGTTGCCAATTGCTATGCAAGTCAGCTCCAGCCAAAGACATCTCATGGCCTAGACGTACCCTCGGTCAATCCATTGACGACGCCCTGGGCGGTTGAAACCTTCGTGCAGTAGGCAGTAGAGCCTTCTGTAGCAGCACGCACTGCCGTAGTGGCAAAACGCCTCACACTTTGACGGAACATCCTGTGGTTAATGTAGGAACAACGTGGTGAGCCGCTGATCTCGGGGAATGACGAGCTCCGATGCTCGGCATCACGTGCTGCTTATCGTTATCGCCCATTTTGGGCTGTTTGTTTACCGCCAAGCCCACTCTCTCCTTTGGTCCCGCGATGCTTTTTGTTCTTTAGTTCAACATCATCACCTCATCCACCATGCCTGGCAGAGTCGCCGCCCGTTCGACATCTGCGACAACACGCCGATCGTCGGCACAGCCTTCTGCGTCTGGGCGTGCTGGCTCCGTCACTCCGTCGTTTGCGATCCCCGAAGAGCCCGCAGAGCCATCAACCCCCACTCTACGTCGCGATGTGTGCTTGATTTTCGCAGACGCTCAGCGCTCTACTACAGGTCACCGCAAACTCGTAGTTCGCCTGCGCAAACTGCAAGAGATCTGTTGTGGTATTGCCCAAAGGAAGAATGACAAGAAAAACAAAGACCAAGAGCCCGAGGAAGCGCTGGTTCCTGGCGAGGAAACAGCCGCTGAGAAGGAATTCAACGTGGAGGTGGGTCGCTGCATGCTCCGTATTCTCACCATTAAGAAGACTGAGCCTGCTGGTGACCGCATCTTGCGCTTCCTGGGAACTTTCCTTGGTCATGCTTCCGAGAAGGATACCGAGATGTTCGCTTCTGGAGATGATGAAGACCAGAACTCCGAAACCCCGACTGCGCGTTTGACTTCCAGTCTTGTTGCATTGATGGTACCCATTCTTGGTGCAAAAGACAAGATGGTCCGATTTCGCGGAACCCAGATTCTCGCTCACATTGTCAATTCCCTTGAATCTATTGACGACGAGCTGTATCACACCATCCGACAGGGCCTTTTGAGGCGTATTCGGGATAAGGAGGCTTCCGTCCGTGTGCAGGCAGTCCTTGGATTGGGCCGTCTGGCAGGAGATGACGGAGAGGACGATGGAAACGATGACAACTCCACTGCGCTTCTTGAAAAACTGATCGAAATCATGCAAAACGATACCAGCTCCGATGTTCGCAAGACCCTGCTCACTAATCTTCCTCTCGCACCTGTCACACTTCCATACCTTCTCGAGCGTGCCCGTGATCTCGATGCTCCTACTAGGCGCGCGCTTTACTCCCGCCTTCTCCCCACATTAGGCGATTTCCGCCACCTTTCCCTATCTATGCGAGAGAAGCTTCTTCGCTGGGGCCTGCGTGACCGTGATGAAAGCGTTCGCAAGGCTACTGGAAAATTGTTCTACGATCGATGGGTCGAGGATTGTGCTGGTACCAACAACGACCCGAATGAGGGACCTACTGGTCAACGGTCTGAGCCTAACACCATTGCTCTCCTCGAGCTCTTGGAGAGAATAGACGTCATTAACTCTGGAATGGAAAGTGGAATTGCTCATGAGGCAATGCGAAGCTTCTGGGAAGGTCGTGCGGATTACCGTGAGGCAGTTGTCTTTGACGAGCCTTTCTGGGAAAACCTGAACGGGGAATCCGCATTCTTGCTTCGCTCGTTCAATGACTTTTGCCGCGTGGAAAATGACGGCAAGTATGAAAATCTTGCCGATGACAAGATGCCTGAGGTCACCGCTATGGCTTATTTCCTGGGAAAGTACCTCACAAATCTCTTGGAGCGCAAGAAAATTTCCAAGGAAAGTGGCGAAGCGAACGATGAGGACGCGGTTGAGCATGAGTTTGTTGTGGAGCAACTGCTGCATATCGCCATCACCTTAGACTACAGCGACGAGGTTGGCCGACGAAAGATGTTCTCCCTGCTGCGGGAAACCCTGGCTGTGCCAGAACTCCCGGAGGAGAGTACCAAGCTTGTCGTTGAAACTCTCCGGTGCGTCTGTGGACCTGATGTTGCTGGTGAAGCCGAGTTCTGTAGCGTTGTTTTGGAGGCCATTGCCGAAGTCCATGATACTATCACCACCGAGGACAGCTTTGTCTCTGCCCGGTCTGAGATCAGTGACGATGCTAGCAGCCGCCAGAACTCCGAGGCCCCTGGTGCAGAGGAACCCACGCCCTTCAATAAGGAAGAAGCGAAGGCGAAGATTGTTCGCGAGATCGTAGTCAACATGAAGTGTCTTTATATTGCCCAGTGTATGCTGCAGAATGTGCAGGGCAATCTTCAACAGAGTATGAACTTGGTTACCATGCTTAACAACCTTGTGGTACCTGCTGTTCGCAGCCACGAGGCTCCTATTCGTGAGCGCGGTCTATTGTGCTTGGGACTTTGCTGTCTCCTTGACAAGGTTAGTTGTCTCTCATTATCATGCTGGAACGGACTAAATGCTAACGCCCGATGTCTTATTCAGAACCTTGCCGAAGAAAACATGACTCTCTTCATTCATTGCTACAGCAAGGGTCATGAGGCATTGCAGGTTACTGCTTTGCAAATTCTCTGTGATATGATTACGACACATCCTTCATTACTTGCTCCCATCACCCAGGCCGATGGCGAGACAGTGACACCGCCCCCTATGCAGAAACCATTACTGAAGGTCTTCGCACGAGCTCTGCGTGCCAATTCCCCTAACAGTGTGCAGTCGGGAGCCGCATCCGCTCTCTCAAAGCTACTACTCACTAGTGCATTCACTCCAGCGGGACCGAATATCCCACCGGCAATCCAGGAGCACAACCAAAATGCTGTTGAGAGTTTATTGCTGTCATTGGTTGTTTCCTTTTTCCACCCACGCACTCGGGAAAACCCAGCACTTCGACAGTCCTTGGCTTACTTCTTCCCCGTCTACTGCCATTCCCGGGTGGAAAACACACAGCACATGCGCCGGGTTGCTGTGCCGGTGATCCGCGCTGTCATGAATGCTGCAGAGGAGTACTACTCGCTAGAGGCCGAGGAGGACAGTGATGGTGAGGTTGATGCCAGCGTTGGTGAGCGCGAAGTCAAGGCACTTATGACTGGTGTCATTGGAATGCTATCCGAATGGACCGATGAGCGTCGTGTTGTCGGTCTTGGCGGTGAAAAGATTCTGGCTGGTGGTACCGCAAGCTCCAATGTATGTGGATGGGTGCACCTTGCCTTGGTCAAGGATATCCTCGAGCGAGTTCTTGGCATCAATGCTGGGGCCAACCGCTGCTCCCGTGAGGAACGCAAGCTTCTTTTCTCCCTCCTCAGCAAGCTTTACTTTGCTGCGCCTACAGTTCCCTCGCGGGCAGGCTCCCGGGCCCCCGAGGGCGATGACCAATTCCGAACTAGCATTCGTAGTGCTACCGGTCTTGAAATTGCCCCGGAAAATAATGAGCTTGCTCTCGAGGTCAAGGAGCTATTGGATCAAACCATTGACGAGGGTCTTGCGGGCGAGGCTTCCAGCCGGAACGCCCTTACCAAGGCTAAGAATTCCATCTTAAAGATCCTCGCAGTTGCACAGGATTCCCGTGCTGCTAGTGCTAGACCTAGAGAAGGCACTGAAGACCCCGACAATGATGGAGCCAGTGTTCGCTCCGCCAGTGTCCGCCGGTCTGTGGAACCCACTGGTGGTATCAGTCGCCGCTATGTGTCTGTCGAGCCTAGCATCATGGAGGAGGACGAAGGCGAAGGTGATAGCCGTTTTACGTCTGCCACTGCCAACCGCCCCATTGTCTCCATTGAGCCCAGCATTATGGAGCAGGATGAAGAAGACGACCATGACACCAGTCGGGGGACGATTATCAAGGAGGAGACAGGCGACGAGTAATCATGTTGGGGTTTCCCATTGTTTGGCGTTGGCAAGGTTGTCGGTAGGGATGGTTTAGCTCTGGTTTCACTTCTTGTACATGATGCAACGTCTGGTTTTTGCATTCGAAATACCATTTATACTTTTATTTCCTTCGAGTCCCTTCTTGGTCTTGTTATTTCATGCATGAACGATCCCAGAGTTGTGCAACCTAGCAAGGTAGTATTGGGGTTCAATCTTTGGTTTGTATATCGGACCTTTTGGAGCATCATTGTCCTCCAGTGAGAAATGAGAGGGTCTTGGGGCCAGACACTGACAGACTGCTCCAGGTCTTCTCACCCCTGGCGATATAGGATGTATGTTAGACGTCCATCCAACGCATCTCTCGATCGATTTATATCTCCCAGTTTAACCTCGGGAATGAAGAACTTGGAACGAATTGAGTTCTGCAGAACCCTATTCAGATGTCTTGTCTCAGACTCTGCTTCTATACCAATTGGCACATTCATCACGTCCTGTCCGTGACAACTGACCACCCCTTGATAAACCCCCTTTCCGCCCATTTATAGACTTGAGCTAGCCGCCGTTGGGGGCTCTATACCCCACGTGATGATCCGCAATCCTGTCTGACAGCAGGTCAAGAATGTGAGAACAAATACAATCCTGTCTCAGACTTTGAGATCACTGTCCCACATGGGAGACAGCGGAGGAGGAGGGGGGGGATTCAGAGTCTTGTAACTGTGCGTGTTCATACCGGAGCAGGGATATGGGCCCGGGATGGGGTTGCACCAGAACCAGTCCGAACAGACAAATTTCCAGGGGAATTGAAGAGAGAAGAAGAGATAGAAAAGAATGAGAATAGAATTGTAGATGAAGTGTTGTCTGACTGGTAATCTCCGTCCTCCCCCGTGAGCCCCGAAACTTTTCATTTTCTCAAAACTCCACCTCGACGTCTCTTTTCTTCTCTCCTCCTCCCCCCCCCCCCTTTCCCTTCTCCTCTCCCCCGGGCTTTCTCTTTTGCTATTTATTCCACGACTCTCTCCGGTCGTGTTGAATTTGTCTTCTGCTTTTCCCGCAGAGACCTCTTTCCCCTCCCCCCCGGGTTTCTCTTGCCGCTCCGTTGGCACCGAGCGACAAGTCAGCGATGGCGGCCGTTTCAGCACCAACCCCCAAGCTGGATCGCTACATCGTCATCCACGTTGCAACCACTTGCGACGAACATGGCGTGTATGTCACCAAGGACTCGGCTGAGGTGATTGAGCTGGGATGGATTCTGTTGGACAGCAAGACATGCGAAGAAGTACGCCCCCCAACGCATCTACCCAACATACACAGACTCGCCTCGGGCAGAACCCAATGCTGACATCCTTTCTTTTCTGGTTTAGCTGCACCGTGAAAGCGTTCTCGTCAAACCAGTCAACACTCCAATCACCCCGCTTTGCAGTAAGCTCGTCTTGGTCCAACCTTAGGATGCATTGGGTTTTGCTAGGATGAATGGCTGACAATTGTTGAAGCGAGTTTGACCACCCTGACATGGGAACACGTCCGCTCCGCAGGTACCTTCCGGGATGCCATGTCTCGATTCGACACCTTTGCCACGGAGCACCTCACCAGCAAACAGTTGGAGTTTGCCTTTGTGACGTTGGACTCGTGGGATCTGCGGGTGCAGCTGCCCCGCGAGGCCCGCGACAAGGCCGTCGCCCTGCCCGCATACCTGCAGCACTCCCGAACTTTCGACTTGCGCACCGAATATCAACGCTGGCAGACCCACCACCCCGAGTCGCTGCCTTTCGGTCCCAGCTCGCTTTCTAACATCTGTGCTGCCCTCGAGGTTGAGCCCGTTCAGTCGTCCGCCCCGATCAAGCACAACCTGCCCTTCCACTTGCAGGCTCTGGCCCCCGCTTCGCCGCGCCGTGCAATGGAGGAAACCATTACTCTTGCCCGTGTGCTCCGGGGTCTTATACGCAAGTCGCAGCCGCCACAAGAACACCCCGAGATCCTGACTCGTCCCATGGATGCCCATGCCGACGTCCGGGCCTTTTTGGCAGAGCGGAGTAAGGTCCTGCACCTCAGCGGGTTGCCCCACGACACTACTCAGTCCGAGTTGGAGAGCTGGTTCACTCAGTTTGGGGGCCGTCCCATCGCTTTCTGGACCCTGCGCACACCCGATCAGCACAAGCCTACCGGTACCGGCTTTGCCGTCTTTTCGTCTCACGAGGAGGTCAGTTTCACTCGGACATAGGACCTGCTTTTACCGCTGCAGGATGCCGATGTCCTACCTCACTTTGATATTTCTAGCTAACAATCCCTCAGGCTGCCGAGAGCTTGTGCATGAACGGCCGGGCACTCAATGAGAAGGCCATCGAGGTTTCTCCCTCATCCAGCCGAGTTCTGGACCGTGCCGCCGAGATCCTCACTCCCTTCCCGCCTTCCAAGAACCGCCCCCGTCCTGGTGACTGGACCTGCCCGTCCTGCGGCTTCTCTAACTTCCAGCGCCGTACTGCATGCTTCCGTTGCTCGTTCCCCGCAATGGCTGCCGCCCCCGACCCCATGAACTACAACAACTACGGCTACGGCCCGCCATCGATGATGCCCCCTCACATGAATCACGGTGGCCACGGTATGGGTCACTCTCGTGGTATGGGTGGCAACGGAGGTGTTGTTCCCTTCCGTGCCGGTGACTGGAAGTGTGGCTCTGAGGGTTGTGGCTATCACAACTTTGCGAAGAACATCAATTGTCTGCGCTGCGGGGCTCCTCGCTCCGGTGCGGCAGTGGTGGCCGATTCAGCGTTCCCGTCTCCAATGGATCCTCCATCGCAGTTCAACATGGGCCCCAACTCGATGGCTAGCACCCCTGCCCCGGCTCCTTTCGCCTCCACTGCCGGAGGTTTCGGTGGCTTCAGCCAGCAGTTTGGCGGCCCTCCCAACAACTACGCCCTGCCCTCTGGTGGTCTGGGAAACACCCCTGCTGCCTATCCTCCTATGGGCCAGATGAACTCTGGCTACGGCGCTTCTAGCACCTCGCACTCGGCCGCATCTTTTGCCAACCCGGCCACTCAGGCCGCGTTCACTGGTGCAGACCACGGTGTGCCCTCCACCAGTGCCTCCAACGGTGCCTTCTACGGCTCTGACGGCTCCAGTGACCCCTTCGCCTTCTTGTCCAGTGGCCTCGGTGGTCTGACCGTCTCTGACGACCCTCACTCTCGCCGCAACGGCGCTGGTGCCAACAAATCGCCCGCTTAAATATGGGGATAGCTGTACCTACTCACGCCTAAACTTGGGCTCTCACACTTATGTTGTCCATATTGCAACCCTGCATTGTGGCAGGTTCATGCGTTGGTTGATATTCGGTTGATACGCATTTTGTATAAGGGATTCTGCGGTTCGGTGCATCGGGTTGGATGGAGCAGGCGGGTAGCGTGTCCAAGTCGGAATTTCTTTTCTCGCCTCGCCGTCCTGTTGTTGATGCTTTTTCTGGTTCTGGTTCTGGTTCTGGTTCTGGTTTTTCTTTATCTTGGTCGTGGAGCTGTTTCCCCGTTTTGTGATTCCTTCTTGCGCTTTTGTTTTTATCTCTTGGGGGAGGGTGTATTTTTTTGATTCCCCTATCCCTTTTCTTGTGCGCCTTATGTCGCTCTGGCATTGCATTTTAGAGATTTTGTGCGTCCCTTTCTGCACTCATTTGGTCATGGGAAGCGTCGGAGAATTCACGGTCTTGATCTGGGTGGGATATACTTGGACTCCGTTTGGGGTGTTGGGGGATTTACTTTGAGCTTGACGCCGGCATCGAATTGAGGATCTCTTCGGGGGGCCATCGAAGCACTGTGAATGCAAAAAAGATTGTTTTGGATGTCTATATTGGGGATTTGTACTTGTCCGAGCGGCTCGAGTATTTTCTGTAATTGTCTTTCGATAGATTCATGGACTATATTTATTCGGGTCTTGAAGGTATGGGGAGTAGAGAGCTCTACTGCACATACAAGCACTACATCTATTATGAATTTTCCTGTCTGTAACCGTGTCGAGCCCTGTATAGCATCAATTTGCCCCGAGTCTGTTGAGGCTATCCCAGAGGTACATCGAGTTACTATGGGACTGCCATAGTGGCGGGAAGTACCGAAGGCAGCCGCAGGCTTTCGCGTCCACCGCCCGGAACCCGTCATTGCTCCAACCCAATTGACCTCAACTGCTGAACGCCCATCTACATTGCATTCTTCTGCTCGATCCCCTCGCTTTTCTCTTTTTTTGTCACCGCACATTTTCTATCTCTTCGCCATCTGTCGTCCTTGATTCACAATGTCCGGATACGACAGAGCTCTTTCAGGTAAGTCAGCTAGCTCCCCACAGCCAGCTCCCTTTGCTCCTGATCCCGAGCTGAGCTTTCTGATGCTAACCCATCGCAGTGTTCAGGTATGATGCCTTCGGGTAACACTCCAGCTCCGGTGATCGTTTCTAACCTCCCACCTAGTCCCGATGGACACGTCTTCCAGGTTGAATATGCCATGGAGGCAGTGAAACGAGGTGAGACTGCTGTTATCTCCCTCCCTGGCCCCGTCTACTCGTCCATTCTCGACTTTGGCGACACAGCGATTCATGAGTAGGTGCATTTGCTGATGATGGATGACCGTAGGAACTTGCGCTGTTGGTGTCAAAGGCAAGGACATTGTCGTTCTCGGTTGCGAAAAGCGTTCCGCCCTGAAGCTCCAAGATACCCGTATTACTCCTTCCAAGATCGCTCTGGTCGATGACCATGCCTGTCTCGCTTTCGCTGGACTGAATGCCGACGCCCGTATCCTCATCGACAAGGCCCGCCTAGAGGCCCAGTCCCACCGTCTGACTGTCGAGGACCCCGCCAGCATCGAATATATCACAAAGTATATCGCCAGTGTCCAACAGAGATACACGCAGAGTGGTGGTGTTCGTCCCTTTGGTATTAGTACGCTCGTGGTTGGTTTCGACAAGAATGACGGCACGCCGCGGTTGTACCAAACCGAGCCGTCCGGTATCTACTCGGCCTGGTAGGTTGATTTCGGGCTTATTTTGTCTTTAGATTGGTACTAATGTGTCTTTCTCCTGTAGGAAAGCCAACGCCATCGGTCGTTCCAGCAAGACTGTTCGCGAGTTCCTTGAGCGCAATCACCAGGAGGACATGGACCGCGAGCAGACAATCCAGCTGACCATTAAGTCTCTGCTTGAGGTTGTGCAGACGGGTGCTAAGAACATCGAAGTCGCTATCATGGCACCTGGCAAGCGTCTCGAGATGCTGCCCGATGACGAGATCGAGTCATACGTGAAGAGCATCGAAACCGAGAAGCAGGAGGAGGCAGCTAAGAAGAAGACCCGGACAGGGACCACCACAGCAGCTATTCTGACCCGGCCAGGTGGCGGCGAGTCGGCCGATTAAGTGGACTTGGAGCATTCATAGCCCGCGTGCTTGGATGATGTGTTTCAATTTACAATAGCGTTGGTCTCTTCCTTGACGAGAATCCAAAATCATGAAGTTTTAAAAAGCTCTGGCCTTTTCGTATTGTACACCGGGTATCGATGCTCTGTAAATCACCTTCTATCAACTATCAAACAGTAATCAAATCGTCAACATCATGAAATTCCAACCCTCCATGTTCTTCCCTGTACACAACTTAACCCATACGATCCGACACATCGCGAATGTTGAAGAGAGAGCGTTCCTCGTCTCGGGCAACACGCTCATCCTTGAGCATACTGATTATGGTTAGCCTATGCCGCATGGCTGTATTGTGTGCTCATCATACCGGTTGTCCATACGGGCATCTTCACCCTCAACATGGAGCGAAGGCTTCGGTTCGATAGCCTCAATGACGAAGTGATTATCACAGTGAGGGCAGTACTCGTCGCTAGGAAAGGCGTGGAATTAGCTTGGTGCCACTTGCTTTGGCTATTTCAATCCATGGCGTACCTCTCGTCAAACTCGGCCGCATCCTTGCGGAAAACCTTCTTGCACTTTTTGCATGCAAAGATCTATCATTGCTTTGTTAAACCACGAACCATGCGTACGTATATCGAAACAGGCGCATACCATCTCGGCGTTCTTCTGGAGCATGTGCGACTCGCTCTCGGCATGGCATTCAGCGCAATCAAACCATTTCCGGCCTGGATATTTTGGTCAATTCTCTGCAGAGGGATTTGAGGTTGAACTGGACGTACAGCAGTGCGAGCGGATGGCCACTTGGGCGTTCAAAATGTGTTTACTGTAGAGCGAGGGGACATGTTAGCCGGGGGAATGTCAACCAAGGGGGGATCTTCAGGGGAAGTGAAGACAGCTATACCAAGAGAGACCTTGACTTACCACATGGTGCACGTTGGAGTGCGTATGCAAGTGACGTGAAGATGTCGAGAATCTCTCCAGGCACAAGTGATCGCCAACTCCCGTGATTCTCCCTCCACTTTCCTCCCCGCCACTCCATTTCGACTCTTACCTTTCTTACCTTCTTTACTTTTTCCCCCTTTTTCCTTTTCTTGGAGCTGAGCATTCAGGTCTCTTTACTGAGCTTGGTTTCTTGTTCGGCTTTTGCGCTTATAGTTTATTGCTTGTTGCCGCCAGTTTACCCCCCCCTCCGAAACCCCACGGCATCCCTGTAGCCTCAGCTTCCTGAACCACTTGTTCGCACCAACCCAGGTGATTTCCGCAAGCCTATGATCGACTATACAAAAGGTTTCCGGCGAACTTTCCGCAATAATGGCCATGGCGGGCACAGGAAAACAGCCAGACAGTGATGGCCCTCCCACGGTATGCATACGTAACTGTTTCGTGGCACACAATGAAACTAACTTGGACGCAGCCCCAGAGACCCGTGTCTTCCTTGTTGTCTCATTTCGAGAACCTAGCTCATCGCAGAGCTCCTTCTGCTGCTGCCGCGAGTCCGCGCGCCTCCGCAAACCAATTCCTGACACCCGAAGCTGGCGACGAGGTGCGATCCTCCAGTCGTGCCTCTCTCGATTTGCCCCGGTCACAGTCGCCATGGAACCAGACCGATGAGAGGTCAGAGCAGCCTCAGCAATCGAATGACGAGAGATCGCAGGACCGCGGATTCGCTGGAAGACGGTATGGTCGGCCCATCTCTATGAACCTGCAACGCTCGTCACCACAACTTCCGCCGACTTTGGCGGTGCATTCGCCTCGATCGCCGCCGCGCGGACAAGATTGCGATGACTTTTGGTCTCACAATGAAACCCGCAAAGCTCGGAGTCCTGGACATCGCTCGCGGGAATCGTTGTCTCTGTCCCCCGCGCCTCCCCGGCCACTATCTCCGGCGCCTTCATTCAGATCGTCTACTGCTGGAAGAGATTTAATTCCTCAGTTCTCACCTGGTTCTCTATCCGTCAATGGAAGTGGGAGCATCTCGGAGCGGAAATTGAAAAGTGCCTCGCTGCCACCCCCAGCCAACCGAGCATCTAAGCCCAAGATCCCTGCGAAGCCAGCCATGTTCTCTCACCCTAACTCTTCTCATGCGGATACAAGCACTTTGGCTCCCCAGCCTGAGCGAGCTTCTCCCGATCTTAGCGTATCGCCTTTCAGCACCCCTCCGAGCAGCCCGGAGAAGCCAATGGCCAAGCCGGTCTCTACCGGGAAAATAACCTCCAGGCCGGCACCAGCTCGGCCAACAACAGAGCCCCCTAGCCGAAGTTCCTTTGAGGATCGGTCACCTATTCCAAGTTTTAATGCAAGACATGATGCCAGAGAGTTAGGATTCTCAAGGACTCGCCCTGTTCCAGAGCCCTCACGAGCAAGTAAGCCTTTGATGGTTCAAATTCCGTCCGCTCCGGTGCAACGTCCCATATCTGCTTCTCCGGCTCCACCTCTTTCAGCCCAGCGGTTACGGGCAAGCGACAGTCCTTACGATCGTCCAGGGCTTCCTCCCCGACCTTCTGGAACTCCACGCCGAAGTGGATTTTCACCTCCGCGAGAACCTCTTCGGCGAGAACCTTCTCAGCGCGAGCCCCTTCAGCGAGAGCCTTCTCAGCGTGTAAGGAGTCCTGCGCAAATGACACCAATTGCCAAATCTGCCCCCAGTCACCCAAACCAATTCGAAGCATCAACTCCACGACCAGTTCAAAGACAGTCATCCTTCCACCGTGAACCGCTTTCTTCCTCTCTCCCGGAGCGCCGTATACCCAGAACAGACACGGAAGAAGAAGAACAACCTGAAGAATCTGCCATTTCACGTACCGACTATCCTGATGCTTCCAATGCCAACCGCCGACCTCCGTGTCTCAAATCTGGACCCAGGGAGATTCACACAAAGTATGACACCCGCTTGCTAGCTGTGTGCGGCAAGTATGTTTGTACCACTGGGTATCTGACTCGAGTCTGGGATCTTACTACTGGCGAACAAGTGATGAGCCTCAGTCATGGTGAAACTGTCAAAAGCTTGTCGCTTGCCTTCAAGCCAGGCAAAGGACTAGAGGATGAAGGCCAGCGCATCTGGCTCGGAACTAGTGCTGGAGACCTTCATGAAGTTGATATCCCAAGCCAATCCATTGTGGCAACCCGCTCATATCCCTCCAGGCGGGAAGTCATCCAGATTCTTCGACATAAGAAAGAAATGTGGACATTTGATGATGAAGGCCGACTGCTAGTCTGGATGCCAGACGAGACCGGCTTGCCTAATTTACAGTACAGCTACCACAGCCCTCATGAACGCGTAGCACGAGGCCATACGTTCTCCATGGTTGTCGATGACAAGCTGTGGCTAGCGGCAGGAAAGGATGTCCATATCTATCGCCCAAGTGCTCGTGAAGATACCTCTTTTAAGGTCTTCAAGAGACCTCTTGGTCTTCAGCACTCAGGCGATGTGACATCCGGCACTTATACCACACGAGAAGGAGGTCGGGTATATCTGGGACATGCAGATGGAAAGGTCACCGTCTACTCCTCTACCGACTATACTTGCTTGGCAGTGGTCAACGTCAGCGTTTACAAGATCAATTGTCTTGGATTTGTTGGAGACTACCTTTGGGCTGCCTATAAGACTGGCATGATCTATGTATATGATGTTTCGACCAACCCTTGGACGGTAAAAAAGGACTGGCGCGCCCACGATAGCCCTGTATCCGGATTTGTCTTGGATACAAGCAGTGTCTGGACGATGAACCGCTTACAGGTCACATCGCTAGGCACTGATAATTGCATTCGTCTTTGGGACGGTATGTTAGAGGACGATTGGCTTGGTAAGTCGGGTTTCGACTCTTCATTTGGCATTGCTAACGTACAACAGATGCTCGTATGCAGAAGAGAGACACAGAGTACTGTGGTTTCCGAGAAATCAAGGCTACCGTCTTGACTTGGAACGCAGGCGCTGTAACCCCTGGCAGTGTCAAGACGTCGGATTTCATTCGGAATGCCGTCACGCCGGAGGATCCGCCAGAAATCCTCATCTTTGGATTCCAAGAGTTGGTCGATCTTGAGAATAAGAAGATCACAGCCAGTATGTTTCCCTGTCTATAAATATGTGGTCAGTTACTGATTCAATCCCAGAGAGCTTGCTCCTTGGAAGCAAGAAAAAGGAGAATGGCGAGAAAGAACATATGAGTCGTCAATACCGAGTATGGGCTGATCATCTTACCCGTTCTCTTCACGAATGTATGCCTCTCGAGGAATCCTATGTTCTTCTGCACACTGCAAACATGGTGGGACTGTTTACTTGTGTCTTCGTGAAACACAAGGAACGCCATAATATTAAGAACATCAGCGCTTCGGAGATTAAGCGAGGTATGGGCGGACTGCATGGAAACAAGGTTTATATTCCCTTCGTCTCGCTATGGCCGTTTTCTAATTTGACCAGGGTGCCCTTGTGTTCCGCTTTGTTCTGGATGACAGCTCGATGTGCTTTGTGAATTGTCACTTGGCAGCTGGGCAGACCCAAACTGCACACCGCAACAACGATATTGCGGCAATCCTGGAAGCAGAATCCCTGCCTGCAGAGAGCAATCCTATCATACGAACCAATCAGTTCGCCAGTGGTGGTGACGGCTCAATGATTATGGACCATGAAATCTGTATCCTCAATGGTGATCTGAATTACCGGATTGACTCAATCCCTCGCAATGTGATCATTGATGCCATTCGCCAGAACAACCTCGCGAAACTTCTGGACCGAGACCAACTCCTGGCCTCCCGACGAAAGAACCCCGGATTCCGACTTCGCAGCTTCACCGAGTGTCCCATTACCTTTGCGCCGACTTACAAATACGACGTCGGCACGGACGAGTACGACACCAGCGAAAAGAAACGCTCGCCCGCCTGGTGCGATCGCGTTCTTTACCGGGGCCTTGGCCGCGTCAAGCAACTCGACTACCGCAGGCACGAGGTCCGAGCCTCCGACCACCGGCCGGTCAGTGCCGCGTTCATGATTCGCGTCAAGACAGTCAAGCCTCAGGAACGGGCCACGACCTGGGAGCTTTGCAATCAGGAATTCCAGGACGAGAAGCGTCGCCTGGCCTCGGAGGCTAGCATCGAGTATCTCATTACTGTCCTCGGCACTGATGCCCGCGAGGCTCGCGCTTTGATCTTGGGCTCCTAGACTCCATAGCCGTCTTTTTTTCTTTCTTTGCCGAGTGATCCTCACTTGTTTTTCATCTGCATTTGGGAAGCCTGGCGCGCTGTATATTGTACGACTAATGATTTCACGATAGACATGTATCATGATGATTAGAGTTAAAAAGGAGCTCTTTTTCACACTGTAGTCTTCTCTCCCACTTTATAGCCCTAAGCAGCTCTGATCTGCATTCGAAGGGATCCAACCCCCAGGTTACCTCGATGCAGCACTCGGATTATTGTTCCATTCCACTCCCTTTCACTCCCCTTTTGGCTCACCTCCGCCTCCGCCTCCGAGTATATATGACGCGTGTTGGCCGGCATATGAAAGTAACAGGCTATGATCGACACTGCAATCCCCTGTCCAAGTCCTCCGTATAGGATATCAAGATTCCCATTTATCCGGGGTCACATCGGACTCGAAAATTCCCCGCACGAGACCGGGGTATAAAGCTCTGCAGGTTGACGAGGGTTGAAACACCACGAGAAGGATAATTCAGTTGCATTTCAACTTCAATTTCATGATGCTAGGATCTCTGTCTCTCGTTGTTGCCCTACCCTTGCTTCCAGCAGTAAATGCTCTCGTGAGGATGGATGGTGTTGCATGTCCCTTTCTTCCTGCATGAAGTTATATCGAATGCCTACTGACGGTTAATAGGGCAAACTCCCAGCTTTAGGCTGGAACTCTTGGAACGCATTTGGCTGCGATATAAATTCCACCAAGATTATCACGGCTGCGAATGAGATGGTCAACCTTGGTCTCCAGGACCAGGGATATGAATACGTGAATAGTATGAGAGAAGAGATGTAATCCATCCAAGAAGCGATGGCTAACTCTTCTCAGTCGATGACTGCTGGAGCATCAAAGATGCTCGCAATACAACCGACCATCGTATCATTCCTGATCCATCCAAGTTCCCAGATGGGATCTCTGGTGTTGCAGACCAAGTTCATAAGCTGGGCTTGAAGATTGGGATTTACAGCAGTGAATATCTGCCCCGAACAAAATCCAACGACACTCTGTAACATCTCATAGGTGCTGGCGAAACCACTTGCGCTGGATACCCAGCTAGTTTGGGCTATGAATCCGTCGATGCGCTGTCATTTGCAGAATGGGGAATCGATTGTAAGTCCATGCACTGGCCCCTACACTACTGAAGAACTAATTCCGCAGATCTCAAATACGACAACTGTGGTGTCCCCTCCAACTGGACAGACACTTATACAGACTGTGTCCCCGATGGCGACGGTGTTTTCCCCAATGGCACCTGTCCTGATCTTGATAATCCTGCACCGGAGGGATACGACTGGACCAAGTCTAATACATATACTCGATACGCGACGATGCGTGATGCACTGTTAAATGTGGACCGGACGATCTTTTATTCGCTTTGTGACTGGGGCCAGGCTGATGTGAATTCCTGGGGTAATCAGACTGGGAATTCGTGGCGGATGTCTGGGGATATCACTGGTATGTTCTAGTCTCAAGACAATATTGGCTTGGATATTGACATGTTTGCAGCGGAGTGGGATCGGATTTCCGAGATTGCCAATGAAAACAGTTTTCTGATGAACCATGTCAACTTCTGGGGTCATCCTGATCCTGATATGTTGGAGGTTGGGAATGGCAACCTCACTCTGGCGGAAAATAGGGCTCACTTTGCCCTCTGGGTGGTTATGAAGTCTCCTCTGATTATTGGAACGGCGGTATGTATCTGGTATCTACGACGATGGAGATGCTAATGGATAGGCAGCTTGACTCGATTAGTGACGAGCACTTGGCTATTCTGAAGAATCAGTATTTACTGGACTTCCACCAGGATCCAATTGTTGGAAGTCCGGCACATCCATATCAATGGGGTTACAATCCTGACTGGACCTTCGATCCTGCTCATCCTGCCGAGTATTGGTCTGGAGCTTCGTCTACTCTTGAAGGCACTCTGGTTTTGATGCTTAACTCGGAGAACAAGACCTCCACTCGGACTGCGATTTGGAATGAGGTTCCCGAGCTGAAGGGTCATGACGCATACCGAGTGATCGATGCTTGGACGGGTGCAGATTTGGGGTGCGTGAAGAAGCAGTACAGGACTTCTTTGCAGACTCATGATGTGGCAGTGTTGGTGATCAAGGGGCGTTGTTAGAGATCGACCGACAATGGCGCTGTTCGATCGTTCTATTTCTGAATTGGACAAGTTTATTGTCTTCAACCACTTCAAAGGGATCTCTATATTTTCTAAGAGCAATGTGGACAAAGTCAACCGAGAAATACAATGGCTCTGTCGAGTGCAGTCTCAAAGCACAACAAAGACCTTTTATAGCGAGTCTTTAGGGTTAGTTGCTCGACTCGGTTCCAGTTGTTTCATGACGTCGAAGAACAAAGGAACATACGACCGAAGTGTCAAGTATCAATAGACTCCATTGTTCGAGGATTGGCAGTCGAAGAAAGGCACTGTGTGTGTCTTTGTGAGAACTCTGCTTTGTTCTGCCCGTGGCGAATCCTATATAAGATGCTGGATGTCCGAACAATTGCCTTCTTCATCACACTACCTAGGTATCACTACCAAACTACCAGTTTACCTTACAACTCTTACCAACCCACCCTTCTAAACACATCCAATCACTATATAAACAATCAAATAATCACCATGGTTCGAATCATCCAATGCGCACCCCATGCCGGCCTGCCCAAGGTCTGGCTTGGATTTGGGGAGATTGGAGACCGCCAATTCCAGCTTCAAGCCAAACAAGACGCTTACTTCGATCATGTTGCTCCAAATATCCGTTTTGTGCACCGCAACGACCAAGTGAGCTACTGGTATCTTCACCGTGACGTCTTGTTCCGACAAGCCAAATGGTTCCCCTGGAAGTATAAGGACCCAGCCATTCGTGAGTTTGTTCTTCCACCCATTGTACGTCTAGAACAGATCCCCAAGATTCTACAGTTCCTCTATACTGGCGACTACTCAGTTGAGCGAGACGATCTCCGTCGTTATCAGTTGGGAGAGAGCCCCCAGGGATGTGTGAACTGCCCCCAGATGGCCACGCTATTGGCTATCCATTCGGATATGGTTCAAACGGCTGGCTTCCTGGGAATGCAGGAACTGCAAGCTTTGGCTTTTGTCCGATTCCGTACCCTGCTCGACGCAGCTCCTGTCATGGTCCTGCGCCACGCTATCTGCCATGTGTATGACCATGGTCGTATCTGCCCTGCTACACATCACTCCAATGGATTCCCCATGTTGGTAATGGGCGAATGTGACTACCGACCTCAACTTATTCTTCCTGCTGTTCTCCGATGGTGCGGATACTATCGACTGCATCCCAAGTGGACCTCAGTCAATGGTCGTCCTAAGCATTATGGGGAGCAGCAGTTCACTCAATTGCGCCAGAGAATCCCAGAGTTTGACTCTCATCTGACTCGTGGTCTGTTTTTGGATACTATTGCCGCAACTGCGCCAACGATGATCTTGCACGGCGAGACCCGACCTATTCGATGCGTTGACCCGACGAATAGACCTGAAATTATGTCAATGAAGTCGAATCCCCGTCGATCAAATTACCAGTATGCCACTTTCCTGCAGCCACTGCCTTTCGAAAACCCTGAGTATGAGCAGGAGAAGACGATGGTCGATTCTGATACAGAGATGTCTGACTCCCCTGAGGATGAGGATGAGGATGATGCTTATACTGAGAAGCACAAGCAAGCTCCTGTTTCTAACCGTCGTGTGACTAGGTCAATGGTCAAAACGACTAACATGACCAGCATGAGTTCCGCAGTTTCCGCTAACACAAGGTCGCGAATTACAAAGAGACAGCAACAGTCTACACACAGCGCAGTGCAACGCCCTAAGCACTCTACTCCGGCCCAGGCCCCTACTTCCATCGTCCAGACAAGCATCAATGATAGCCAACTTGTGGCAACACAACAGCAGTCTCAGCTCAACTATCCTGCTGCTGCCCCTGATGCTAATCACTCGTTCCAGATCCAAGCCCTTGAAGGTATCTTGGCTGACACTGCTCTGCAGAACATTGACACTACTATGGATCTGAACACGGAGAGCTGGGTGGACTACCTGAATGCTCCTCTCACCGAGGCTGACTTGGCGCTCGCCAATGAAGGCCTGCAGACCACCGAGAGTCAGACCAGCGTGCATGCTAATGTAGAGTTTAACGAGTGGGTGAACCCCGAGGCTCTGGCTGCCCCCGAAGCTAACATGTCCTTTGATGAACTCATTAACGGAATTGACCTGGAAGACTTTCCCTTGTTCCCCCAGAGCGTTGCCCCCGAGTGGACAAGCACCGACGATGTCACCATTTTCCGCATGCACGCCGAAGAGCGTGACAAGATCTCATGGGAGGACGAAGGAGACCTGGAACGACCCACTGGACCCGAGGCGCCTGTTCAAAGTTCCGGCTTTGACGAGTTCGAAGAAACCTTCTGGAACAACACCAACCGTCATGGACTACGATATATCCCCGCCGGCATGACTCCCTATCAACACTGTGTTGACCTCCTGTGCCAAGTTCTCGAAAAGGTTGAAGAAAACAACATCACTATTCGCCCAGAAGCGATGGTCAACTACCTCCTGGTGTGTTTCCCCGATGTTGATTTGTTCGAGGAAGTTCAGAACTTGATTGATGCCCTTCCCGAGGAGTATAAATTCTCTAACATGGCGCAGCGGATTCCCACTAATGCAGAGCAGGAGTCCCCGACTCGGGAGTCTGAGCTCTCTCTTACTTTGACTGAACAGATTGAGGCTCTGACTGATGCCGATCGGGCAGAGTTCGGCTCGGCCGCTGGGTCTTTGGACTTGGAAGGATCCGAGTGATTGACTAGCTATTTTCTATTTCCTATTGTCTATTTCCTATTGCCTATTTTCTATTTTCTACTGACTTCTTTACTATAGACTGTTTTTTTATATAATATATTCCGTTTGAATTGCCCTTTGTCCGCATGTAGATCAAGCTCACGTTGCCAGTCCCGATCCGTTTTCAGCCCTAACTCCGGCAGTCTGGACAGTCTGGACCCCAAACCCCTGCAAGGCCCCGATCAAGTGGAGCAAAAGCGTTTAATCGTGGCCATGCCATTCGATCTCCGTCTCTGGTTTCTGCGGTAAAATTGGAGACCGTCAGAGGTAACCGTGGGAATGGCCCCCCTCTACGTCAGCTCCAGAACCGGCTTATACTCCGCAACTGGAGGCCTTGGTCTTATAATGGCATTCGCCCATTCTGCGTCTTTTCCTGACCCTGTTCATTCTAGTCATTCGATTCATTCTATGTCTTAGATTTGCTTCTTTCTGTGCGGTGCATTGCATTATGAAATGACCTTTCCACGTTGCCTCGACTGCTCCCCCCGGTCGCGAGTCTTCTATCTTTGTCTAGCCGCCGGCCTCCTGCTTCTCTCCTACCAATTAATCCTCAACCATGAAGTATTTGACCTAGATGGCTGGTCCATGGGCATTTTAGAGTCCCACGATCGCTTTGTTCCTGATGCCATTTCCGAGAAGGAGTTGGTCTTTGCAGCACTGACGGCGAGTAATATGTCGTGGGTGGAGGAGAATCTGTCGGATTGGACGGTGAATATCTATCGCGCCGATGCTGGGGAGGGTTTGACCGTTCCGGTGAATAAAGGGAATGAGGCGATGGTGTATCTCACGTATGTATCTGCTCTCTGTACTCTATATTCCTCGACGTCAGTTAATTCTCGCAGATACATCATCGACCGTTACTGGACTCTGCCCCAGACCTCCGTCTTCCTTCATGGCGGTCGATACCAATGGCACGTCGATAATCCCCTCTATGACTCGGTCATCTCCATTCAGCACCTCCAGCACGCTTTTGTCCAAGAAGCCGGATATGTCAATCTACGCTGCACATGGACGGTCGGATGTCCGCAGGAACTCGAGCCTGCCCGCTATCTTCGTGAACGACCCGACGACCACAGCCATCCCACTGCGGTGGAATACCCCGATCGCTTCATGGAGTTGTTTCCGCGCGCCGAGGTGCCCGAAGTCGTGGGGACGCCGTGTTGTAGTCAGTTTGCCCTGAGCAAGGACAAAATCCATGAGCGGAGTCTGGAGGACTATGTTCGTCTGCAGCGGTGGGTGATGGAGACGGATTTGGACTCGGGCACGAGTGGGCGCATTCTGGAGTATTCGTGGCATAGTGAGTGGCCGTCGCATGGATATCTTGCAAGACTGATAGACTGACCGTGTGCAGTGATCTTTGGGAAACCAGCGCAGTATTGTCTGGATCAGAAGGAGTGTTATTGTCGTACGTATGGATATTGTAATATGACCGACGAGCAGATGCAGAACCAATGGGTGTGGCGTGGCCTGGTGCTACCGCAGGGATGGCCTGAGATTGATATCATGCATGTATAGAAAGGGAAACACAGAAGACGGAAACTATTTACAGAGTCATATCATATCACTTCATGTTCATCGCCACAGATCGCCTCGGCTCAGTCGCTGGTGGCCCTGGCTACTTTGCGGTCGTTCGTCCTCGGCGGGCACCGCAAGGAATCCGCCAAATCCATTGCCCACCAGCACACTTTTGCGCGCATCGCCTCCCCAGGATCGGCTCAATTGGGCTTCGTGGAAACTCACCGGGCGCGTGCGGGAGTCCCGGCGTCCATGGGTCGGTTCGGGGTCGTAGGGTGTAAAGTTCCACTCGAGCTCGTCCAGACCCTTGCTGTACACGTTCAAGGGCTGCGACAGGCCGCCGCGCATCTGGGGTCCATTCTCACCCCCGCCAAAGAGTCGCGGGGGAGGCATCAACAGAAGGGTGTCGGGGAACTCGGCATCGCGGACGTAGAGATCGCGAAGAGCGGGTAGAGCCCGCGACATCAACGAGGAGATCAAGTAGCCATAGTAAGAGGACGCCACCGGTGGGATCCCATGAGTCTCGGTCGGAGATGTAATTTCAAAATGCAGGAGACGCAGTGATTGCGACCCCATCGGCGGGATCTGCTCCATAGGGAACGAACGCGACACTTCTTGAATAATGGAAAGACTCTCCAGTCGAGGTGCCGCGGAGAGAATGTGATGGACTTGCGACGGGACCACGCCAGTCGCTGACACGGTCAACGACTGCAGCGCTGCTTTGTTTCTCGGCATCGAGAGGTATGAGGCAAGCCCGCTTGCCGTCACACCGGGGGTATCGCGCAGGGTCAGAGACAGCACGGCAGGGAATGAAGGCAGCGGCACCGTCATCGCAAACGCCGAGTCATCCAGCCACTCCAGGTCTTCCAGCGTCAGCTCTCGAAGATGGGGGAATGCCGCCAGGCCACTCCGCAGCGTGCCCACCTCCATCTGCAGCCCCGACAGCTCCAACACCTCCAGATTCCTCCACGGTTGCGAACTCGGCAGACGCGCCAAACTCCCCTCGGCGCCCCGTCGATAGCTCATGCGCCGCAGCTCGGGACATCGCACCATCAACTCCTGTTTCAGCGGGAGACACGACGGCTCGTCACTGTACAGACCCACCGGGAGATCAACAAAGCGGAGATTCGGTAGGACGGAGATCGTGCGGGCGATGTTGGCCTTGTTGGCCTCCCGAGTCATATACGGCATCCGCAGGGAGAGCACCAGATTGCCCAGTCCCTGGGACTCTCGCACTGTGCGCATCAACAGTTCCAGTCGCACCTGCGGGGCATCGATCGGGTCGCCATTGCGATCGAAGAAGGAACGGCGTTTCCGCTTGGCGGCTAGTTCAATTTCCAGCTCGCAGTAGTGTACTGGGTCGATCCGGATGTTGGTGTATCTGCAGATATTTGTGTTAGGTTGGAGAGGCTTGAGGCTTAAGGCTTGGGGGCAGGTGGTTCATACAGGAGTTCCCGCGCGTCTAGGAACCATCGCTTGTTGACTTGGGCGCAGTGCGCCAGGTCGCGCATGTCACAGAGCATGCAGCCATCACTGGCAGATTCTTCTGAAGTGCCATAGGTGTTGTCGACGGTGTGCGGGCACACGAGGGCGAAGATGCGCGCCAATACGGGCCGTGGCAGTCGTTTGGTGCAGTCGCGGCCGAGGCGCGGTGGGGATTCTGGCTCGACGATGCCAGCGCTATTACTGCGTCGTGAACTGCGTCGCAGTTTGGTGAATAAACCCATGATGGTTGGAAGACTTGAAGTCCTGAAGTCGGAAGCGTCACAAAGCGTTGGCCCGCAGGGATGAAACGCCGGGCGTGCGCTAAGCGCTGTCACCACTCACATCGTGTCGAGGCGATTTCCCCCAGATTTCTTTGTTCTGCTCAGAACCTGCAGGGTCTAGTCGGCCTGTTAGGCGCATTTATACGCAATACGCAAATGCTCTCGTCAAACCCCGGACATGACATCATCAGCTTCATGGCTTCATTTCATATAGCTGGCAAGAGATCATTCCAACATGATTCCAATGAGAATCCCTTGAACAAGAGGGTCAATTTGACCCTGTTCAGTCTTGTTAACGTCTTCAGGCAGGGGATAATACCTCTGTAGACGATCTACATACTTCAATATATGTCATGGACCTGACATCATGGCCGTCCTTGTTTTGATCTCTATAAATCTCTTCCTTTTTTTTCTACTCACAGTCAATCTCCGTATACCTACAATTCACAGCTCTCAATATGGCAGAAATGGGCATTGAAGGCACAGAAGAAACCCTACCCTGTCCAGCATTCACCAACAGAGTCCCAGAAAACACCCTCGATGACGAACACTGGAAACACCGTCCTCCATACCAGTGCCAGAGTGAGAAGGACTTTGGACCCGTCAAGTGGCGTGCCCACTGCCTCTGTAAGAAGAGTGGCTATGTTCTGAAACAAGATAAGCCTCTCAATGCCAAATACTGTCATTGTCGGGGTTGTCAGATCACCCATGGCGCACCCTTCCAGTGGGCTTCCATCTTCCACAAGCATGATATGCTGTTCACGCGTGGCTCGGCGGGATTGGTCTTTTACTCTTCGACACATCAATCCCAGGAATATGACCTGCCAACCAAGGTATCCTGTTCCAATTGCCGCACGCCGATCATGGATGAAGGCCGGAATGTCTGTCTCATCTTTCCCCAGTTGATTGAAATTGAGGGCTCAAGTGACAAGCAGAGAGAGAAGCGCGAAGTATTCAAACCAACGTAGGTCGATTGGGTCTGCTGTTTTCCCGAGGATGCTAATATCGGTCATAGATGTCATATCTTCTACGAGCACCGCATGCTCGACATTCCCGATGGTCTGCCCAAATGGAGTGGCATGGAGAATACTAGTGATCTCCTCGATGACCATGGGAATTTGATCCAGAAAATGAAGTGAAGAGACGAAAGAGATGACGACGTGGGTGTTGGGAGTATGTACCTATCTGGCTCAAAGCCTCGATTGCAATGCAGTGTACGAAAAGACTAAATTGCAACCCTTCTACAGCTGAGAGCAATACTTTCTGCTACCTGTCTAGTGTATACTAACAATGAATCTCCAACCTGGCCAGTAAATAGACCACACCGTGTAAACACACTTAGTTAAGCTATACTTGGGCATGACATCAGAACCCCACCCCCAAACACTTTTTCCCCCCACGACTTCTTCTCGAGAGATTCACCTGTTCAACCTCCTCTCACAAAATGTCCTGGTCTCAAAAGAACTTCACTCTCCCGGCTCGCAGTCGTGGCTCCTACCTCATCACCGACCAGGTCCTGTCCGAACTCCCGGAGATTCGCGACTACAAGGTCGGCATGCTGAACCTGTTCGTGCAGCACACCAGTTGTGCGCTGTCGCTCAATGAGAACTGGGATGACGATGTACGGGCCGACATGAGTGATGCGCTGGATCGCATTGCGCCTACCGACCGCAAGGGTGACTTGTATCGTCATTCTGCGGAGGGTGACGATGATATGCCGGTACGTGTGTTTAGGGGATGTTCTGGGCGATCTGGAGCCTTGGAGCTCTGGTATTGGAGAGTTAGAGCTACATGACGGATTTTTCTGTTTCATCGGTCTACTCTTCTGCTTGCTGTGTATGGTCAAATGCTTACTTGGATCCTATCAGGCTCATATCAAGTCTGCGCTCATCGGCGCCTCGGTCAACATCCCCATTACAAACGGTCGATTGGCCACTGGTACATGGCAAGGAATTTGGTATCTGGAGTTCCGGACCAGCCGACACAGCCGCAAGGTGGTTGCGACCATCCAGGGCCAAAAGGCCTAACTGGCAGAACGCGGACCATTGGGAACATTGGGAACATTGGGACCATCGTGACTAGACACGGGTGGCTACGACGGATGCAAGATATATATCATAAAGATAGCATGGCATATGATCTAGTGAGAAGGCCATTGTCAGAGTACAAACATTTTCGACATCACTCGAGACACGATCGAAAAAAAGGCAGCAGGTCCATTGATCGATATTCTGTACACGGCCTCGGGCCCAAAACCAATTGTAATAAAACGCAAAGATGATCAACGCCGACAGAAAGAAAGTCATGCTAGTTTACCGCTGCTCCAAGCCGCCCTCGGTCACGCGCTGGGACTCATCAACGTCGACATTGTCGTTGGTGGGCTCGAGGGGGAAGCTGGTGGCGGGCAGGGACTTCAAGTAAGCGCGGTGCTGCTCAGCGGCCTATAAAATGTGAGTTGGGGGTCTTCGGGTCTATAGAGTGGTAAGGCACATACGTAGGGAACACCACAGTATCCACAGGTGGCAATCTCGGGCTTGTCGGTGTTGATGAAGACCTTGGGGTGGCCGAGAGGGCCACCACCACCGTCGCAGCTGACGACCTTGGACTTAGTCCAGCGGACGTGCTGTCTGTGAATAAGGTCGATGGCGGCATAAGGTTGAGGCTAGAGAAGTCAGTCATATTCCGTGGAGTCCGTTCATGGCCAGATCAATTGCGCCAACAATCACACTGGCATCATTCAATGGTACGCACCTGGGTCTCCATGATGGTCTGCTCGAAGCGAGGTCCAACCATGGCCTGCTCACGAGGCTGCTGGCTGGCAGCCCAGGTGGTCGCGCGGTTCGGGGCCTGCATGCTGCGGATGCGCTCTCCAACCTCGGGAGACTCCTGCAGGGTGCCATCGTGACGGCCAAAGGAGTCGGTGGGTGTGGCATTGGTGCCGGAGACAGTCGGGGTCTGCTTCCGCGGGGTCGGGTCGTTGGCGATGGCGCTGTCGGACAGACGAGGCACGGTGGAAGAGTAGGCGCGGACAGCGAAGGGGCGGACCGACGCAAAGGTCGCAATTCGGCGACCGCAGGACATCATGCTGGGCAGATTGAGGATCTGGTGAGAAAGGAGGGCAAAAGGCTGGGCAGGGAGCAACCTCGACAGGCACTGAATAATCCGCGAGGTGTGGTTTGGTGGACGATCACCGCCTTCTGGTTCAGGGTAGCTTGGACACGCCTGGGTTTTCTGCCGTATGATTTTATTCTGCGCTTCGCAGCTTCACGTCCCTTGGATTAATTCGTGGTTGGATTTGATTCGGTTTTTGTACATCATGGGTGCTTCGTCTCCGGCTGGAAAGCCTGAAAAGATCATGTCGTCGAACCTCTTGACGATGAAGGTATGGACTTCACCTGCGGTCAACAACTATAGAACTAACGGTCTCTCCAGTTCATGCAACGTGCTGCAGCTTCAAAAGAGGCCAAAGAAGCCAGGGAAGCAGAAAGCACGGGTGAATCCAACCAGCCCACTCCCAAGCGCCGGCGGGTCTCTACCGAGGCTGAAAGCCCTCGCGCCACTGAGATGCAAGCGATCTCAGCGGCACTTGCTGCGGAAGAGCAAAAGCGCCAGGAAGCTATTTCACGGCAGGCGGAAGAGGCTGGTGAGACACAATGGGTTTTGGACCTCCCAGCTGCGTCTGGATATACTCCGCAGCCTGTTGCATTGGCCGCAGACTCGCTGGACGACGACAGTCAAGGTGGCCGACGAGGATATGGAAATTTCAAGCGCAAAGAGCGCGAGGTGAGACCCTCTGCGCCTTACTCATGGCTCTATTTTCTAACCTAGACTACAGGCGGCCGCTGAGAAGCAGAAGCAGGAGGAGCTTGAAGCCCGAATCAAGGAGAGAAACAAGCCTCATGCAGACACTCACGCAGACAAGAAACTCAATAAAATAACCAGTATCTCTGGATACGGAGGCAGACCGTCGTTGATGGGCGCACCCGACCATAACAAGAAGAAGAAGCGCAAGAGCGGGTAGATCCTGCCTCTATCACTTTGAATCATTTAGCACAGCATGGTCCGGCGTTTGGTATTGACATATCCTTTGCGTCTGTTATTCGACAGCAACCTCCAAAATACAAGTATGATTCACATCTATCAGGCCTGTCGTGTTCAGGGCCACGTCCTAGTATAGCTACAATATGTACACTCCGACTGAAGGCATCAAATCATCAGTAATGCAAAAAAAAAGCATCTACAGCCTCGCCTTCTCCTCATTCTTCCTCTTCTCCCACCCCTTCTGCGTGGCAAAATTCACCACCAAATTCCACGCAGCAACCCCAAACCCAACAGGTGGCGCAACAAGCAACGCCCAAGCCCACCACCGTGGACTAGACGCTGAAATACTAGCCATAGCACCCTTGACGGCCCTCTCCAACTCCTCTCGATCCGAATCATTCCAAACAACCACCCCGCGCGCCGTCGTCGTCCCCCGGAACTCCGCCTGCGTAGCCTTCATGCGCACATCGCCCTGACTGCGCACTCTGTTCTCCGCGTCCTCGGCGGTCAGGTGTGCATCTCGGGCTCGTAGACGGGCCATCTGGATCTCCGGATCATGGACACCAACCACGATGACCGTGCCGCAGATTAAATCCATGCCGCTTTCGAAGAGGAGCGGCACGTCAAGTACAACGGCCCATTGGCCGCGCAGATAATGGTAGATTAGGGCTTTGTAGACTTCCCACCGGACGGCGGGGTGGACAATTCCATTGAGGACGCCGCGGTCGCGTTTGCGCTCTTCTGTGCTGCCGAAGACTCGTCGGCCTAGCGCTGGTCGGTTAAGTGCCTTGCCAGAGGGATGGTTGCCATCTTCTAGGAGGAGATCTGGGGTGCTTGGGCCGAAGTAGTTGACGATTGCTTTGTAGCCTGCTGTACCGGGCTCGACGACCTTGCGAGCTAGTACGTCTGCGTCAATTATTGGGAGGGAGTAGGGGGTGGTCGAGAGAATATTCGAGACAGTTGATTTGCCCGTGGCTATAGAGCCCGTCAGTCCGATGATGAGCATTTTGGGGTTGAAGTTAGAAGTCAAGTCGAGGTCAAGTTTGCTGCGGGGAGAGAGGTTAGCCTCGGCTCCGCATTTGGGATCTATAGTTGCTTGCGTCTGTTGGACTATTCAACTATTCAACTATTGAACTGTTCAACTGTTCAACTGTTCAACTGTTCAACTGCTAACTCCTCACTACTCATCTACTCATCATTCATTTGCGGTTTAATCTCCAGGTATCCAGTATGCAATCCGTAGACATTCTCTGGGCTTCACTGCCAAATTAAAGAGATCCAACGCCAATCAATCCTGACATGCGCAACCAACAATGCATAATATATAAATCAAATTCAGGTCTCCGGCAATCCATGCGACGTATCTTGCGCTTGACCCTTCCATCCAATACTCGGCCATCCTTTGGGCAGCGATGAAAATGGCGGCAGAGCATACCGGTCATCGCAACCACCCTCCCACGGGCAAGTCAGATCGCACAGTCCAAAAACTTTACAGTAGCACTCTGCTGCATTAGGGCAATGGATAGGTTCTTTTCCAAAAATCACTAGGTCGCCGTTAGCATCGATATTCAACAGGCGGAGGTTGCGGAGGGAACATACTATGCCATGAATATTCCATAATTCGTCCACTCAGATCATCCGGCAACGACGTATTCACCAGCCAAGTGCGGAAGCGCTCGTAGTCGCTGCGCGGCCGCTCCAGCACCTTGGAGCGAGATACGCCGAATTGCGCACAGCATGAGACGCCCACTTCTTCCGGGATGGGAACTCCCGGGAAGAGCTCCATAAATCCCGTCTTAAAGTATTCCCCAGCATGAACGGCGTCGCGGTGGGTATCCGTCAAAGGGCGGATCTCCGTCGGGCATCCGAGTGTCCATACACAGCGCAGGTTGACGTATCCCTGCTCTTGGAGATACGGGATCTGGAAGTTTTGTAGCGGTGGAACACCATCGTAGTACGGGTCGTCGTTGTGCCATTGGTATCGTTGCGAGTGGATGAAGAGCATGGTCTCCGGTAGGTTGTCGTAATGGTCGATAATATAGCTAGACAGGAGCTTGGTTATTAGCGTCCGGCTTGCGCGATGGGTTCAGCATCACCAACTCACGTGAGATAGACCATCGACTCGCGCCCTTTTGTTGAGCGGCACCGTCAACGGTGCGCGCTGATCGTTGACCACGTAAATGCTCTTGGTCCAGTCTGGGAAGTATTTCGATAGCCATGACGTGTCATCACTGTTCATGCTGGCCACGACCATATCCTTGCGCTTGCGCATGGCAGGGCGAGCCAGCTCGTCTACCGAGGATGGGGCTGCTGATCCATGTCGTTGCGCATAGCTGCCCGTGTCGGCCTGCACGGGGGATCGGGTGGTGTGGGAGAAGAATAGCAGGTATAGGGCGAGGACAATGAACATGGTCAGGAAGATGGCCTTGAGCCGACTACGGCGACGAGGGCCCTGTGGACCACTAGGAGCAAATAGCATCACGGTGTCGAGGGCATTCAGCCCAGTTGATCAGGTCATTGAGTGTTGTTGGATAATTCGCGGAAGAGGTTGGCCCCCACTCAAGCTTGGCTCGCCGACTTTATACTTGGTTTTTCTTTGGCGCAGCGGCAATGCTATACAATCGTCAATTGTGTGTGATAATTATTGTAATTATGGTGATTATTGTTAAGATGGTTATGATGCTCAATCTTTGATCCTACAGCCCAATCCTCAATCCCAATGTGGAGCGTCGATTCTACTATAAAACACTAACATCCTCGCCCTGGCACCAATTTGCTTTGTTACCTATTTAAAAAAACTACGGACTGACATGCAATATAGGTGAGACTACTGCTGGATGGTATGACCAGCTCTACATGGTAAACTGACACTCTGTCATACATGGTTGGGTGTTTCTATACTCCGTGCCGATGTAAGACCCAGAGCAATCCAATGAGGAACATCCTTGCTGTCATTTAAATAATTCTTCCTGGTTGATTGTATAGAAAGTGACAACTCATGTCCATTGACTACCTAGCAAGGTAAATATATTCAAATCTCATAGACCACCGGAACACGTTCACACGCGTCACCCATAAGATATACCAGGTGCCAGCACCATCCAACATATATCACTTATATCTTACGGTTCCCAGAAGAACCACTCACTTACATTGATCGATATAAACCAAATACCAATTATGAGCCTCAACATCAAGATTCACCGTGCCAGCATTTCCAGCCTTAGAACCCACACCTTCAATAACAGTCACATCACTAGAAGTCACAGTCACATTATTGCCACTGGTAATCCAGTACTCAGGACTTGGATGGCTGAATCCAAAGGAGGCAGGGGGTAATTTGGGGACCACATCGTCAGTATGAGTGACTCGGTAGAGGGTGCCTTGATTGGTGATATAGGTTGCCAAGGCTTCATTGCCTACTCGGGGTTGACCGTATGTATACTAGAGATTTCTTGTGAGTCTGTCTCTCTATCATCGACTGGAATCGTGGAGGGGGGCACTAACAAGTTCCAATTCATAGCCTGCATTCCGGAGGGCAGTGCCTCCAAGAGTGGCGACGGCTGCACCGAAGCTGTGGCCTGTTAGGACGAGAGTGTAGCCCGAGTAGGCTGTCAAAGCTGTTTGAATCTTCGTGGTGATGTCGTCCGCGACGGTTTCCCAAGATTTCCAGAATCCACTGTGAACCTCGCAGCCACTGCATAGATCGCTGGCATCGGTGAGGCCAAAATCCAGGTTCGCAATCCAGGTGCTTAGTGTTCGGCTTCCCCGAAAGGAGAGCACGAGGAGTTGATTTGTCTGATCGGCAGCGAGGAATCCAGCGACGTCACCAAACTCCGTGGATCTTTGGAGGTCAGTCACAAATGCTTTGCACCTGTGTACGATATAGGACTAGGTGGACATACTCATCAAACTCGTAGATCGTGGTTGTATCAGCGGACTGGACGGATGGACAGTTTCCCTCGAGACAAGAGAGTCTGTCACCAGTGGAGTTGACATTGTTCGTGCAATATGATGCCGCAGCATATTGCGCGAATAATGTCAATTCACCAAGAACACCGGTCGAGACATCTATGTCTTTCAGCATCAACTCAGGACAGTGAAAGGAACATAGATCATACCTCGAGGGACAGGTCGAGCAGGAGCAGCGATAGCCAGCACTGCCCAAGCAGCGATACTTCCAACCCGAGTGAAAAGCATAATGGCGAAGTAGATCCCGAAGTATAGCGGCCCAACTGCTCACTTGGAAACATCACCACTGACTCCCCCCAGACCAGCTCTTATATACCCTCATCGGAAGCAGAGATTCGCAGCATATCCCACGAGGGAGCGGGGTATAGACATCTCGATGCCAGACTCAGAACATTCTCCGGCGCATACTTTCGCGTGACCGGTGGGATTCCGGTAGGATCGGCGTTGCTGTCTTGGATGCTTCGGATATGCCCGTCTTTGGTAAGGCCAGTTGCCAAGGAGTCTGCGTACTCTCTGAAGACTCTCTGAGAGTGTGACTGGGTCTTTCATGAGCTTGGCTTTTGCATGGCGTATTTTGGCGTTCTTCCTTGGTGGCGTGAAGAGGGGTGCAGATGTCAGATGCCAGGCACTAGATGTGCCGTGTAGAAGTGAGATGTGATAGGATGATAGAGTGACGGAGTGGCATCGGCCCCCGGTGGTTTATTTTCCGTTTGGGATCTGTGTGAACTCCTTTGGGCTCTTTGCATCGGATGTCGGGGTTGTGTCGGGGGTAGTTGTCGTGGCTTGATGGAGATATATCGGAGGATTTCTTTCTATGGAGAAGATCTGGCTCAACGGTCAGTGTGAGTGCCCCAGTGCACCATTGGTCTACTGGAAAGTATACAGACAGGATAATGGAACGTTAACTATCATTGTTCGTAAAAAAGAAAGCGCTGGCTACAATCGCTAAGCTCTGGCTAAGCTCTGGCTAAATCTGGCTCAAAAGCTGGAAATTCCCTGCATCGTCTACCTAGTGGTGAGACTCAATTCTCTGTCCTTCCTCGACATCAAGCATGCCGGTGTCCTCTGTGTTGTCGCCGCCAGCAAGAACTCGGGTACGGGGCAGGTGCTGGTCAGGACCACCGGGAGTTACAGCAACGACATTGTCATTCTCATCAACAAACTCGAAGTTGTATCGCGAAAGCAGGTGGGGAATGGCAGACAGCTGGGGTCCGTAGCGTGCGGTGTTGTCATAGAGCTCGAAGAGAGGGACGGCGAGCAGCTTCATGTTTTTGGGGACGGAGAGAACCTCTTCAATGGATTGTTAGCACGAGTCTCCCGTTGATTGTGAGAGGAAAGAAGGAACTCACTCTTCTTGGGCAGCTGGATCAAGTACAGCTTCTTGCACTCCTTGGGACGGGTCACATGTCCAGGCAGGAATGGGTACATGAAGGTCTCAAAGTTGGGGCGCCACCATTGCGCAAGTGTGTCACCGATGGTCCAGTCACCATTGACTCCCTCGCCGGAGAATTGCGATCCCACGGGGGCCAGGCGTTCGTTCAGGCGTTTCTTGAATCCGTCGATCTCATCGTCCTCGTGGTGGAGGTAGTCGCCAGGCCTGGAAGAGATGGTCAGAGTCGGCAATGCGCAATTGATTCCCTGGTGGTACGTACAGCTTGAAGAAAGCATTGGCAATCTGGAGCATCAGGACGTGAGGGTGGTTGTGCTCGTGGCAGACCAGGATGCCCTCCGCGGTGCGGCGCATACCATGGAGTTCATAGTGCTCCTCCAGGCGCTTCAGACGAGCTAGCACCGAAGGGTCCTCCTCAGGCTGAGTCTCCTTGGTGCCGAAAGTGTAGTTCGATAAGGGAAACAAGCGGATGGTCTCCGGTTGGAGTGCGGAGAAGTCCATGGGGAGGATGGGTCTAGGGGGTCAAAACAGTCAGCGAGTTGAGCATTGGAGGGACGCGAAATCACCCAAGACATCAAATTATACTCACGGGCGGTCGCTTTGCATCGCCGCGGCGGTGGTAGTAGCCATTTTGACGGAGTTTCGGAGGTTAGAATGCGCAGCCGAGAAGCTCAGCTTCGATATCGTTATCGCGTTATCGGCTCACCGCCCCCTCTAGGTCTGTTTACACCAACTTCAGCACTACGTCAATCCGTAAATTATGTGGGCTTCAGATTTCTAAGGAGAGTGGCATTGAAAGAGAAGGTATAGAGTACAGCGAGGGTATGGAATACATCAAGGGAGAAAATCCTGCCAAGAGAGGATCATATCTATATCTTCGTGGGAGAATTGCGTCTTCGCAGAGTCGCTCGAATGTTGTTGTGAATAGATTGGAGACATCATGGCCACCTTCTTAAACATATGAACGAGTCGTCCGAGGACTTCGTCGTAGTCCCTGTCAAAAGTGGTGAGTGAAAAGTTCCTCCCCTTGCAGCTTCACGTTAGAAGGCACAATAAGTCGGTAGGGATTCCCTATAGTTCAATCAAGTAACAATACCTTGCGTGTCCAAGATTAAATGCCATGAAACTGCATATAAACTGGAAAGCTTTTTTACTCTAACTCCTAGAGCCGAGGGATATCTCAATTAATATGCCCCAAGGTGTATTGTATGATTTATCAGATTCAGTCAATTACCAAGACTTTGATGCGCTTTATAGGTAAAATATAAAGTTAAACATAAGGTGAAACATGAGGTGAGATACGATACTAAAGATGCGCTAATCCTAACGCAAATGTTATACATCCACTGTCATATGGGGGTGTGTTATTAACATGATCCTACAAGGTATGTCCATTTCCTGATTCAAGGCTGACAATAAACGTGATTTCAATCAAATCTGTATTGGTAACTAGCACTCAAGTGGAATTAATCGGTTTCTGTAATATCCATGGATCCTACCACCCAACCCACTCACATGCACCAACCCCAACTCCTCAGCCCCAATAGTATCGCATACATGCTTACAGCTTGGCATCGAAATCCTCAAATTCCGTCAGATCCGTCACAGCAACAGGCCCAGTACTGACAGGTAGACTGGCTTTGAAAGTAGGCACATCGGTGACAGAAATCGTCTTGGACACAGTGCCGTTAGCCGGGCCCTGCTCGTCGGTACTGGACACCAGGCCCAATTCCTTCAATTGAGCCCCGAGATCTTGTTCCAGCTTCTTGATGACCGGTTCAACCTGCTGTGGGGATACTTGCATCTCGGTTGTGAGGAAAGCCCGGAGGACGAAGATCACTTGACTCTTGTCCACCACTGACAGTTCGATTTCATCAAAGGCAGTTGCGAAACGGGTGGGGTCCACCTGGAAGCCGGCGACATCAAGCTGCTTGCTCAAGGCGGTGACTAAACTGGTTCGCTTCTCGGATGGCTTGGATGCATCCGCCTGTGCATTCAGGTGGATGGCAAGCTTGGCGCGGGTTGTGGACGAGGGCTCAATGTACTGGCGGTAGAAAGCAATCAGATCTTCTTTGGTCAAAGTGCGCACGTTGGCGGCGTCTGTTTCGTGTTGCAGGAAATCGAAGTACTCGGATCCAACGTGCGACCAGTAGCGGTTAGTCTCAGAAGCCAGATTCTTGAGCTTCTCTAACCGCTTGTTGATGACACTACGCTTGTGTCCCTCGAACTCTTCCTCGGGCATCTTCTCAAGGATGGGACCGAACTCGCGGAGGAATGACTCAATGCGGGACTCAAGGTAAGGTGCTGAACGCTCACTCTGGATAATGACTCGGTAGCCGAGGGTGGTGGCGTTGTAGCGGGCACCGCTCCATACGACATATCCGAGCTGTTCCTTGCTACGGAGCTGGTCGAATGCAGGTTCATCAGTCAGCTGGGCGAAAAGCTGCAGCTTCGAGCGCAGGAGATCGTTGGAGAACAGCCCGATGTACAAGAAGTACTCGATGCAGTGGTTGACGTTGGCTGGGTCCTTGAGTGCGCGGGGGTAGGTATAGTTGCTTCCAGGAGGCAAAGTCATGTTCCGGCGCAGGTACCACTGCGATGGAGGCAGAGAGCGACCTCCCAAGACCTTCTCAATGGAGTCTGTCATGCGCAGAGCATCCTCCTTGTAAATGTTTCCGTGGGCAAGAACTTCAATATGGGTCTGTTCTAACAACTGGGGGAAGAACTTGATCACATCTTCGCACTCCACATGTTCCAACTCCTCGAGGTAGTGCTCGTTCACCCAGCCGCGCTCAGAGAGGAGGTATCGGGTGTAGTCGCCGACCTGGTAGTAAGGTTGCTGGTACTCAGCGTTGCGGAATGCACGCGTCAGGCGCTCCTTGATGATGTTGAACCGGTCTTGGTTGATTACAAGTCCGCGCATAGTGTTGAGGACCTTGTCCAGCAGGACAGACATCTTGTCGTTGTAACCAGCTACGGAAATATCCAATCCCAGAATGTTAGCCGACAGGTGGTAGTCCAGCCCAGCGAGTTCAGCATCGTATGAGTACTCATCCAGAGAATCTCTCACCAACTCGCTGTACAGTTTAGTCTTGATAAGATTGGCAGGCGTAGCCCACACCAGAGGGTTACGCAAGGTCACCTCAACAGTGGCCTTGGGTACCCAGAAGCGGTCATCCTTTTTGAACCACAGACGCACCCGGTCATCGTGGCGGATCAGCTTGGGGGTCTTGCTTGGCTCATCAACCTCCTTCTTTTCAACGGAGAGTCTCGTCGGCACAAACTCGTTGCGGTGGGGCATGTGAACGTTGGAAGTGCGAGTAGCCTCAGTCGAGTCAAGAGCCTTTTGGATTTCACCTAGGAACTCCTGAGGAATCTTCTCCACCTTGTACTCGGTGCCATACCACTTCTCCTTCTGATCCCAATTACCCGGGAAGTCTTGGGACACGATAATCAAGCGGAAGTTGTCAACGCGCAGGTAATCCAAAGCTTTCTTGATCAAGGCAGGATCGAAACGTCGTAGCAAGGATCCGCTCAGCAGCCATTCGCTAGGTAGCGACTTTTGCATGACGCTACTCAGGCGGCTGGTGAATCGACTCGCCGGGGTCTTCTGCTTGAATCGGAAGTCAACCTCGGCAAGATTCTTCATCTCGTCAAAGATCCACTGCTCTGGCTCGCGCTGCTTGATCATAGCAATGTACTCGAATACCACCTTGGCGACTTCCTGATACTCCTTCAGACCATCGGGAGTCAGTCGCACCGAAACTGTAAAGAATGCAGATCCGGGGCAGATGGGCATGGCCCCGGCAGAGAGACCATTGGCCCAACCCTTGTTCTTAAGGTAGGAAAGAACACTTCCTGGACCCTCGTGTCCAATAAGATGACTGATGTACCGACTAGGCTGGGTATCATGGAGATCCTCCTCATCAAGGAAGGGGAAGTACATATCCATAGATCGGGTATCCATGACTGGCTTGGCAAAGACCTGAGTGCACATATCCTCCTCAGTGAAAGGTTGGACATCATCCCATCGATTCTGAGCCAGGTTTTTGTTCTCAATGTCAGAGAAAAGCTCAGCCACCCATTCCTCCAATGTGTCCAAGGACTCTCGTCCCAGGACGACCAACTTCGCCCGATTGGCGGAGTAATGCTTCTCATAGAAACGAATGAATTCACTGCGGACTTCTAGACCGCGTTTCTGCGGGTCTTCCTTCAGCGTCTGCAGATTACCAGTCGAGAAATGGTGGTAAGGATGTTGAGGGTTGGAAAGAGACTTGTTCAATTGCATCAACCGCCACAAGTCACTCTGGAGATTCTTCTTATTTTCCGAGTCCACAGCCTGCAGTTCTCGGTCCAGAGTCGACTCTAGGAATAACGGTGAAACAAAGAACTGAGCGAACCGATCCAAAGCACCGTAGAGAGGCGACTTGCCCTCTAACCCACTCCCATTCACCAAAGTTCCATTCCCGTTTGTCTCGGCCGGGGTACTCTCTCCGCTGGACTTAGGTGGACTCGAGTCGCCCGTGGCAGACACTTCGAAGAAATAGTTCGTTTCTGTGGCCGCTGTGTATGCATTCGATGAGCCGGAGTGGGCCGCTAGGTACTGGTTGTATGCGTTTTCCTTGGGATACTGCCCATCTATGAGCTTTGGTCCAACCGACAAATCATGGAAGGAAACGACGGAAATCAGGCCCGGCTTACCTTCTTGGTGCCCATGAACAGCAAATGCTCTACGGCATGAGCCATCCCTGGCATATCGTCTTCATCGGAGAAGTTGCCCACATTGACGTTAACGGCTGCACTGGCCTTATCGGTGTCCGGATCATGAACTAGTAGAGCTTCCAGTTTGTTCGGCAGGCGAATGACGCGATATGAGCGATCGTCAAGCTCTGGCTTCTCCAGATGCTCTGCAATGCGCTCGATTGGAGCCATGGTAAAGGCGGTTGTGTAGGTAGGGGAATGCGAGAAAGTCCGTTTCAGAATCGGGAAAAACAAGGATCGCGAGGCGCGCAGCGAATCGGGACGTCGAGCTAGACTGAGACTGAGGAGACTGAGACCGTTGTGACACAGTATAGCTGGGGACCTTGTAGGCATTCGTTGCCAGGGGAAATACCAATGACGTGACCACAAATTCCAATGCGAAGTATGAGACGATGTGCAGGACGTTCCCGTTATATTCAATCTATAGAGAGAAGAGAAGATGAAAGAAGACCCGAGAGTCGTGATGATAAAGCGAGTACTGCCCGGGGGCGGTGATGACGAGCCCTAAGAGCATCAACAAGCGCCGGCATTTCATGTCAGGCATCAGCCATGACAAGGCAGTCTTTACAAGGCAACTTTGGGCGCTTAGATCGCGATTCATCATTCAATTGGATTTCCTTTAGGATCTGCTAGGGTCTTCATTGGATCCACGTCTGATATCTCCAGAGCCTCTCCCCCACGTTCGGCATTGCCCCTCCCCCAGATCAAACCGATCAACTAAATCCGGCGCTTAACACTTCGCCGCACAAAGGTTCAAATTGATACTCGAGCCAGATCCACAATTCTTAGTCTGGCTTCCACCGGGATTCACCCCCTGGGTCCAACAAATGTTCGAACACTTCGTATCCGAGGGCCTGACGACCATAGTCTTGCCAGAGAATGGGTCGCCAAAGACATCCGACAGATCATACCAGACCGTGCCAGGGTCAAGGGTATAAGCAAAGTTGGTCTGTGGACTGCCGTTGTACAGCCCGTTCGCGACGGTGGTGATCTTGAGCGCGATGCCGCCGGAGGCTGCGTCGTGGTGCAGGAGCTCGGTGTAGCTGCCGCCGGGCGCGATGGTCTTCTGGGGTCCCACACTGCCACCGACAGACCAGAGGTAGACGGGGAAGTTGCAGTGGTTGGTGACGACTGCGTTGCCGACTGCGCTGGCGAACGGGGCCAGGGCTGCGACGGAGGCGATGATTGTGGCAAAGTGCATCTTGCTTGATTGGCCTTGAATGATACTGATAATTGTCTGATTGAAATGGAGAGAACGCGTCTTTCGAGGCAGACTCGATCTCCTTTATATATGCCTTTGTTGGCTGGGTAGAGTCTGCCCGGACTCACCTTGCTCTGTTAGCGATTGGAGTATGCCATGAGGAAACACACGACACTTCGAGTCTGAGACATTTCACCCTCCAACTCGAACTAATCGAGGCACGAATCCTCCAACCCGCTTAGAATATTTCATCACAAGACCTGGAGAAGCCATTTCGTCTAACCCCGCATCTCGCAGTGGTTGACAAGACCGAGTCAATACGAGAAAAAGAGTCCACGGAAGCAGGGAAGAAATACGATGTCTCAGTATGTCGAGCATTTCGAGCATTGCGTGCATTCTGTGTCTTTCGTGATCCATTAGAAAGAGTATCTGAAGTCAAGGGTGGAGAAGGACAAAGAGTTTGTTTTTCTTGTTTTCCGGGGAAGTGAGACATAGTTACATTTGGCTGTAGATCTCCTGGTTGAGACTGTCGAGGATCGTAAAGGGACATTGGGGAAGGTAGTCTTCGCTGGACTGTTGCATTCGGCTCAGACAAGTGCTGGAATGTCTCTGATTTCACACGAGCGTGCAACAAAGTCTCGCGTACATGTAGCTTATGCGTCGGCCTATGTTCAACCCAGTAACAGGCTCAAATATCTCATTAAGGCTATAAAAATTTCTCCCAATATTGCAACGCTCTTTGCAAAATTCCAATTCACTCGGCTTCATCGCTCTCGTGAGTGTCGGCTCGGTCGGAAATCCACTGGTAGACCTGCTCCTTATGCTCGGCTAGCATGCCACTCAGATCGGACTTGGGAGAATGCACCAGTTGGCCATATCGTTTAGAATGACGTCTGTCTGCGCTTGACCAAAGGCCGTGCGATTCTGCAACGAAGACGATAGAGTTCTGGTATTCAACATTAGTTTGGTATATGATTAGTGTGGTGATTTAGTATCTTACCTCTCTGTACCATTTGGACAACCAGGTCTGGGTACTTGATTTGATTGCGCGGATTGGGTTCTCGGCCACAAAAGAGATGACACCGTTGACTCGCTTGTACAGATTTTCTGAAGTTGTTAGCAGGGATCCACTTATCCATTTTGATAGGCTTGCTCACCCCTGTTGATCAAAAGATTCGCGACGCCGTAGAATGCATTGCCCACGCCGAGAAGGAAAATATCAGTGGCCTGGTTAGCACTGCAGATGTTTTAGTTGGAACTAGCCAAAAGTTGGATAGATTGTCTTACTCGATGTAGTTGTCCCACAGGTATGCAGCCAGCTCCTCAGTCGCAGTTGGACGATCAAAATCTTCTGGCTCGTATCGACCAGACGGCTGCGAACGGTCAGATCAGGGAGATGTCTCGGGAGTGGGTTAACTTACAATCTCTTTCGATATGTGCTTGGGAATGTTAACATCGATTACAGCGTACCCTTTACCAACAATCCAGGCGATGTAATCCTTCAATGAATCAGCCTTCGTCTTGGTTAGCAGATGTTGAGCTGCGACGGACGTTTTGATGACTTACCATCCAGACATTGTGGGTTTCCAGCTTATTTGTGACCGGATGAGCCTCGCCCATGATCTCAGGCCTACATAGTCAGCACGGCCGTTCCAATGGTGCCAAATATTCAAAACTTACGGGTCATGGAAGATGACAACGAGTGGCACTTCCTGCGTGTAATTCGGACTGCCAGATGTAAGATTCAAGCAATGACAATGATTTCATGTGACAGCTTACCTCGCCAGGACCTGCTTATCAAATGATTTCGAAATGGCTGTGCGATATATGAAGAGGGGCGTGAGCTTGCAGGACTCGTAAAGCTGATTCGCTTGGTAAACCCGGAGGATATCGTGAAGCCGATCTCCGGACATGGCATGAGAGCTCGTCTTGGGGTACAACCGACTCCAGTACCGAGATTGAATGCTTCGCACACGGCGCACCGTGTTAACGGCTGCATCCGTCGGAGAGCTCTTGGCTAAACGTTCCGGTGGTTCGCCCATGAGTGTCTTGGTCACTGCCAACGCCGACTTTGAGATGGACTTGAAATTATATCCTCCCTATTTAGATGATTAGTAAAGTCGCTCATGCATTGCAACGAAAAGATCTTACCTCCAGACAGACAGCAATCTTTCCGTGAGAAAGAGTCATGAGCATGTGGGTCATCTGTGCATAACAAGATGGAGAGACAAAGCAACCACCAAGTACATCGCCGGCTGCAGCGTCGAATCCAGCAGCAACTGTATTTCTTAGTGAGAGTCTTTTAGAAAGTGGCAGTATTCTTACCAATCACCAAGTCGGGATCGAATTCCTGAGCAATGGGCATGACTACTTCCTGGAAAGCAAACATGTAGTCCGCATCACCCATGCCCTGATCAGGCCAGGGAATGTTGACATTTCTATCAAGTGTCAGCATATAGTCACATATTCATTGTACATATCCATGTACGGACCTTCCAGTTCCAGGACCAGAGCCACACTGATCCCAGTCTCCAGCGGGACCACCGGGGTAGAAACGACCATCTTGGTGAACATGGAGAGAGATGTAAAGAACATTAGGGTCGTCATAAAAGGCTTTTTGGATGCCATTTCCTGCAAAGTCTCAGTCAATGCTATCACTGGTCTCCTGGCAGTGAGGCTTACCATGATGAACATCCCTATACCTAGTCAGTACTGACACAACATCAATATACGGGGAATACATACCAATCAAGAATCATAATCTTTCGACAAGCATCTCCAAGCTTCCGCTGGCAAACACGCGCCGCGACCGAGACATTGTTGAAAAGACAAAATCCCATAGCGGCATCATCCTCAGCGTGATGACCCGGCGGACGAATTACAGCGATGGCATTCTTGACCTGGCGTTGAGCAACAGCCATGCAAGTCTCGATTGCCCCCCGGCAGATAAGAGAGCCGTCGAAAAGGTCAGTTTGTTGAAGTAGATGGAATCGCGGTTTTCCTCTAGTTTGATGAGTGTATCATCTGACATATCTATCAAGCACGTTTAGTGTCATTCATCCTCTTTTACACGCGGTACTTACCTTTGGTGCTGTGCACAAAGGCGTAGTGTGCATCGGTGTGAATGAGAGTGATCTCATCTTCGACCGCATAACGGGCAGCAATACGTTGCAGAGCTCGCGGTGCCAACGGCTGAGATGACTCTTCGTCATCGACAAGACCGGCGCGGCAAAGCTCTTTGTAAATGTAGTAGATGCGCCTGGGATCTTCTGGGTGGACATCGCTCTTTGGATGAACTTCACAGTGCCAGCGCATGCGGTGATCATAACATAGACCAGTGGCTAGTGATGCCACTGGCAAACCTCCTCGAAGAGTAAGCTCCTCATCGGAACCAGACCAGTCTGAGTTGACTTCGGCTGGGCTGTCACGCTTTGCTTCATCGGTGGATATGCTATCACCGTCACCGGGCTTTCGGCGAGCCATACCTGCTAAAGAATCTGGAGATGCAGATGTTGGAGGGATGAAAGGTGTAAAGTTGGGGTGAGGGTGATTGCTCAGATTGGGAGGAGGAACTTGGGTGATGGATGTGCGGGAAGGAAGAGAATGGGAGTTAGCCATCACTGTGTCCTCGTCCTCATCCATAATGTGAAAGCTCTTTGTGGTCACTACTTGGCGCTAGGATCTCATCAGGCCCTTCAATAGATGTCCTAGACAGATGAAGCTTATGAAGGCTTGTTCCTTCGTTCGGTGATACACTTCCCCGAAAAGAAGAAAGAAGATCGGTCAAATGTTCCAAGTATTGATCAGATCTTCAATATCCCCAATGAATAGGAGAATGACTTGGATATGACATGCGCAAGCCCAGTGAGCTATACAATCGCCTCCTGCCTTAGATAGGCCAGCCGAGTTGCAAGCTCAGGACAAGTCAAGTGAAAGCGACCGCCAAGTGAGACTGCTGCAGAAGTAGTGCACAGACTGTTGTTCCAGTGGTGGACACAACAGAAAAATGAAATAGTTCAATTGTCCGAGACAATGAGGGTTGAATGGATGCGTATGTTGGATCCCTTTTGGGCCTGTCTTTCTTATTGCCAGGCATTATCCACCTGACCGCTTTTGATCACCGCCGCCTGATCTAGACTAATGAGAGACAGTATAGAGGGCCTTTGGTGATTCAGTATGGCTGACTCATCTCTGTTCACATTATAGATGGCCTATCTATCGGCTTGCTTTCGGCCTGTCTACAACAGCTTTGTTATCTTTGAAAATATTATCCTTGTGTAAGTTTTCATGGCAATAGTGACTAGAAGCTATCTGCCGGTTGCCTATCATAGGTATTAGCAGGAGATATGGATCTCAACCATGCTGTCTACGATGGAAGATTGAGAAAGAGGGCTAAGATCGAGGTCTAGACTCTTATAGAGAGTGACCTGGCCAAATGAACTGGCCGAGACGAGAACTCGACCAAATATAACCCTTTGGACGCGACTGTAATCTCTGCTCGGTAGCACATGCAGGTGCCATGACAGAGTCACTGACTCGCGTCCCTCGGATGTTACATCATGCCATCTTCTCAAGTCAAGCAGGCTACTTTGATGTTGGACTATTGCACGACTACTGGTAACAATTGTAAACGTAAAATGTATTGATTCATTAAATGACGTTATCATCTGATTTTTTTCTATAAGGAGAAAAAACCCAGTCCAGTCCACAGATCTAAACAGTAGATTTCATCCCCTCAAAGAACACTCCTGGCCCCAGGACGCCGTCCTGATTCCTATTTGCTGTCGACGGAGGCAATGTAGGAGATGAGGTCAACAACACGGTGAGAGTAACCCCACTCGTTGTCGTACCAGGAAACCAACTTGATGAAGTTGGCGTTGAGGGCAATACCGGCCTTGGCATCGAAGATGGAGGAGTGGTCGTCACCGTTGAGGTCAGTGGAGACGATCTCGTCCTCGGTGTATCCGAGGATTCCCTTGAGCTCGCCCTCGGAGGCGGCCTTGACGACAGCCTTGATCTCTTCGTAGGAAGCACCCTTCTCGATGCGGCAGGTGAGGTCGACAACGGAGACGTTGGCGGTGGGGACACGCATGGCCATACCGGTGAGCTTGCCGTTCAGGGCGGGGATGACCTTACCGACAGCCTTGGCGGCACCGGTGGAGGAGGGGATGATGTTCTGGGCCGCAGTACGGCCACCACGCCAGTCCTTGGAGGAAGGAGCGTCGACGGTCTTCTGGGTGGCGGTGTAAGAGTGAACAGTGGTCATGAGACCCTCAACGATACCGAAGTTGTCGTTGATGACCTTGGCGAGGGGAGCAAGGCAGTTGGTGGTGCAAGAAGCGTTGGAGAGGACGTTGACGTCCTTGGTGTAGGAGGAGTTGTTGACACCCATAACGTACATGGGAGCATCGGCGGAGGGGGCAGAGATGATGACCTTCTTGGCACCACCCTTCAAGTGAGCAGCGGCCTTCTCCTGGGTGGTGAAGACACCGGTGGACTCGACAATGTACTCAGCCTTGGCGGAGGACCAGGGGATGGCGGCGGGGTCACGCTCAGCGAAGAAGGTAACCTTCTTGCCGTTGACAACGAGACCGTCATCAACAGCCTTGATGTCACCCTTGAACTGACCGTGGGTGCTGTCGTACTTGAGCATGTAGGCCTATTCCAGATCCATTAGTTCTCGGTTGGTCAGGTTCGTCGTTTGGGGGGGTCACCTACAGCGTAGTGGGTCTCAATGAAAGGGTCGTTGACGGCAACAACCTCGACATTGGGGTCGTTGATGCTAAAGACATTGGTTAGATGGGGGAACTTGTTTGTGTATGGGGGATCGTAAATTGAGTGACACTCACGCATTGCGGAAGACCTGGGGTATTGTTAGTCTGGAGCATTGACTGGGGATGATAAGGGGGAACGTACAATGCGGCCAATGCGACCGAATCCGTTGATACCGACGTTAACAACCATGATGGCGGTTTACTAAAAGACAATCTGTTAGTGGGATTGAAGAGAATGGACGGAGCTGACCTACTGAAGAAAGTAGATGAGTAATGGAGAAGATAGTGAAGGAGGATGAGAAGAAGAAGAAAAAGCTGGCGGGGGAGGGGGGAAAGAAGTAAGTTAATGACTGACGCAACGGACCGATCACCCCTCACCGAGCAGACCAGACGGGGATTGCCAGGTCTCCTGCAGCTCTCTTCCTTTTCCCGACTGTTGCCGCTCAGCCTGCCCAGGCAACCTTTCCGGTTTCATACACCGGGCAAAGCAGGAGGAGTCACGATATTTGTCTGCCCATCGCCCCTCGGTAGCTCCCGTTCTACCAATGAGAGCTCTTGACGACGTAGTCGGGTTACTTTAACCTCGGAGCTATTCTCGAGAATGTTTTGCCTGGAAGTCGGGAGAATGAATATCACGATAATCACGATAATCTACTACGTAAGGCATGACCAGATTCCGAGGGGGAGAGGGTTGGCATACGGGATTGGAGGGGTTGGGGGGTTGGAGGGTTGGAGGGGTAGTGGATGATGCTCTGACTTTGGAGGGGCAACTGGGGACACTGGGGGTGGACTATACTGTACAGAGTACGTCTCAGCCCAATTCGATGGGATACACTACACAAATCAATCACTACCCGTTTCAATCCATACAGACTCCTGTACTCTATACTTCCAGCCCTTGGGTCCCCAACATAAGCGGAGTCAGACTTGAGCGGTGGACCGATCGAGTATGGACCATATAAGAATGGGGCTCCCCGTCCTGAAAACAGTCACCGGGGGATAGCACGGGGTCGAGCAAATTTTTTCTATTTGATTGTTGATATGATTGAGGCGACTGAGATTATAAATCGAGATTCGGTGTCTGCTCAGGTGTTTGGAGTTACTGTGAGCTGAGAGCTACAGTGTATTTCTCAGCCACACCTGCACTGGGTATGTCACTGTGGCGAGGTCAGATGTTACAGTGTCAGGTGTCAAGGCGTCAAGGCGTCAAGGTGTCCAGTCGAGGTGGCAAGGCCCTCAGGCAACACGGCAACACGGCACCAAGGTGTCATCTCTTATCGGTGGAATCTCATGGAAATTGATAGTGGCGCAATCACAACACAAAGTACCCGACTACGGCGTACGGTCATACGTGAGGAGGATAGCACAGATGGGACTTGATTACTCGTGTCATTAACAATGATTAACAATATCCAGCCGACGAAAACGACCCAAGATGATTTATAGTACAAGGAGAAGATAATCTATGATCCGGGAATCTCAGAAGGGCCATGACAGAACAAGCCTCTCTTTACTCCTCCTTGACACCACCTCGCCAGTTCTTCTCAGCACTCTCAATGGAGGCCTTGTCACTCTTGGGCTGACCGGCGGACATGAAGCCACCACCAGCCTTGAAGGGACGGGCGAGGTCACCGGTGGCGGGCTTGCCGAAGACGTGGATCTTGACCAGGTTGGACTCGAGGGCGCCCTTGAGGGGAATGATGGACTGGATCAGGAGAGGGTTGGTGTACTTCATGTACAAGTGCATCACTCCCATCATGCCAACTCCCATCAGCTGGCTGCGGATCGCCTGGCGAAGCTGGCCCTTATCGTAGTCCATGTTGGTGGTGGTCACGGGCTTGGGCTCCTCGGTGCTACCCATGGGAGCGGGCTCCACGTATTTCAGGGTAGTCATATCTAATAAGGATCAGTGTTGGTTCGGGTTCTGTGGGGGAGGCACGCGACATACCCTTCTTTTGGCCGATCTTCAACTGGGTCCACAGGTGAATGACCATGATCAGGACGTTGGAGAGGATATAGCATCCGCGCACCAGCATCAGGACCTGAGGATCCTCAAAGGGAACCTTCTTGGCCAGCTGCATCATCACCAAGATGATGGCGAGGTTGGTGCTAAATCATGTTAGTCAAGGAAAAGAGAGGATGTCGAGCAAGAAGGCAAGCATACATTTGAGGAGACACCATTTTGCCGATTGTTCTGGGGAAATTTGAGTATGGGGGAGTACGGAGTTCACGTAAAACTTGAGACGCGGGCCACCTGGCATTTCGGGAACTGCGAGGCGGAGCGGATGAACTGCTGTGCCGATCTGCCTCAGGCGGGATAGTCACGTGCAGACCCTGGTGATTCTGATGGTCCAGCTTCAAACCAGACCAGCTGCAATGGCAAAATCCAACCACCACCACTCAACGGGTCTCCTAGTCTGGCTGGCTGTTACACAATGCTCTGGTCTAGAGAAATCAGAGAGACTGAGAATTGATGCCAATGACCCCTTTAGCCAAGTGTGACATTCATTGCCGCCATGCTCAAGACACCTTCTGGCATCCCCCACCATGACATCTATGGCTCACATAACACAACTGCAAACTATAAGACAGCAGTCTCGACTTACTTTGCAGCAACTAATCTAGATATCCTTGATATTTGAGGATCGCAGAGCATTCGCAGGTTGCAACCTCAGTGGTATACCTAGCTTCCGCTTTGGGCCTAGCGTCGAACGGCGCAAGTGTTTTTGGCTCAGCCGACATTTCTGACTTCTCCATCCATCAACAACGCGTGCCTACTTTGAGCCTCCACATCAACTTCTTTCCGTCTTACTCTCTATCAACTCTTTATTTCCTTGCGATAATCATCCTTTGCAATGCCTGGCGGAAAGGGAAAGTCTATCGGTGGAAAGGGCGGAAAGGGTGATGCTGCGGGGAAGGCCCAGAAGTCTCACAGCGCAAAGGCTGGTCTGCAGGTGGGTTGTTTCTGATTGTGATTCTTCGCTGGTAGTTTGGGAGGTGTGTCGCCGAGGTGGTTCTGCGATGTTGGCGATGAGCTGGTCGATGAAACTAGCCCACGACGCGTCGACTCAGCCCCTCGTCATTACTCAAAAGGGGGGCAAGGTCGTGGACTGTTGTCAAGCAGTGTCGCTTTATTGTCGCATGACCTCTACTCCGACCGTACCCCAAGTCCGGTGTCTCGCTCGACGCGATTGCTAATATGAAGCACTTTTAGTTCCCCTGCGGTCGTGTGAAGCGTTTCTTGAAGAACAACACTCAGAACAAGATGCGTGTCGGTGCTAAGGGTATGTCGCGACTGTTACTCTGCTCATTCAGCCCAGGTTGCTTATTCGGTTTCTTCTCTAGCTGCCGTCTACGTGACCGCCGTGCTCGAGTACCTCACTGCCGAAGTCCTGGAATTGGCCGGCAACGCCGCCAAGGACCTGAAGGTCAAGCGTATCACGCCTCGTCACTTGCAACTCGCCATCCGTGGTGATGAGGAACTGGACACTCTTATCCGCGCGACCATCGCCTTCGGTGGTGTCCTGCCCCGCATCAACCGCGCGCTGCTCCTGAAGGTCGAGCAAAAGAAGAAGGGTGGCCTCCTCGAATAAATCAATACCGGAAAGAGAAGCAGGATGGGCGCGGGTGGTTCCCTTCAACACACAACTCCAACTCTCGACTCCTACTGATCTCCGGTCCATCCGGTGTCCATCTTTCCACTCTCTCGTCTTTGTTCTTAACGGCGCTTCACCTTGATGTCTTTTCTGATATTCCCCGGTCTTTGCTTTCTATTCTTTCTGTCTTTCCAAGTTCATAGGGCGCTTTAATGGGAAAATGGGGATATCCTGGTAGGGAATTTACTGCTTCGATGCTTTAATTTTTGTGTGTGTGTATAGTACGTGTAGTTATTAGTAGTTGTGTTTACGACAATTTTGAATCTCTCACTTTTGGCCCAGTAGGACATTGCTTAGGTGTGACCTAGTATAGGAGATATTGTCGCGCAATCAGCCCACCAATACGTGTTACATTCCAGGCAACATAACAAGATGCTGAAGTCTCCACTGTAAAACTTGATCCCATCTGATGACATAATTCCAATGCATAACTTAACCTTAGTTATAACGTTCACGCTGGATAGATCTCCGTCGATATTCAAGGGTCTTGGTTTTGTCACGGAGAGTGTCAAGGCGGGCCAGGCACGGGGGATCGGCAGGGACAGTCATGCATAACTCGGTAAACACAGCAACCGCGATATTCCTTGGCATTTCGGGCTACGGGCAGGGATTCACCTTTGCAGTTTGCGCTCAAGGGCTTCAAGGCCGAGGATTGCAGTCAGAGAGATCCAAGTACGGAAGTGAATGGGGACTTTGAAAGCTACTATCCAAGTACTCAGCATAAAACCAAATCATTCCTACGCTAGTCAGTCTAATGGTAAAAGGTACATGGATTGTTAAGATCGGTGAAAAGTGGAAAACAGAATGCCTCAACTGTAAGATACCGAACATAGAGGGATTCTCCATCACGGGAGTATATCAGGACCGAGACGAGAACAGGATGCATTACACTCCACACCCGAGCAGGTAAAGTACTCGAATGAAAGAGTTAGAGTGGTCGAGTTCGCCCAAGGCCCCCTTCCCGCGAGACGACATCAGATCAAAAGAGGAAAACAGTAAGCACGCGGAAATAAGGGCGAAAAGTAGAGTAGAGTGAAACAGAATGAGAAGACATGTCACAACCACCCTCCCAGAGCCGAACATGAATTTCCGGGTGGAAACGGCTGGGGAGGGCGGGCCAGAAACATTAAAACAGATGCGAGTCACCCCATGTACAAACTGAACAGACAAGAATATGCAAGATGCTGGTATTTGTCGTTTCTCTGGCCTGTCGGCCGAGGGTCTTTTTGAGTTGTCATTCTTCGTATGCGTCCCGGTATCACCAGGGGGGCGTTCGGGGTCGTCAGGAATTCGTTCCGCGAGAGACAGCATAATAGAAAGCCATGGATTTGCATGCAAGGCGCCCGCAATATCAGAAAGTGTTGAAAAATGAAAAATTGAAAATGGGAAAAAAAAAAGGAAGAATGTGAATAAAGAACAAAGTCCAGAGTTCCCTCGGAACACTGTGAGTCGGAAAGTTCAAAAAAAAGCACGTCCAAACTGCGTCGGTTGGGCTGCCCCAAAAAAGAAGCGTCTAAAACTTGGCTGGATCAGCGAAACAAAGGATTTTCTGGTCTTTTTTTTGGTGTCATCTCGTCATCCCTCATCGAATCGTAAGCCGGTAATTCGCAGAACAGGGCCTCGTAATACAAGTCGTATTCGTGTCGCGGCAAATCAGTCGGATGCTGGCAAAAAAGTGGGGGAGTCGCCATTTTCAATAAGTCGTCCAATGTTTACTCCACGATGATCTCTACTCCGGAGTTGGTGCGGAGCTCATCACTTCCGCGAGCCTGGTGTCCATTCTGGCGGCGAAAGCCAGTGCCCTTGTCGGGGGTAGGGCCACGGGGCTGGCGGATCGGCATGCGCTCCTGCTGACCATCGTAGCCAACGCCCATGCCACGGTTGCTACCAATAGCACCGGCGTTGGAGTGCTGGCTGTCCTGCTCCCAAGAGAACATGCCACGCAGGCGACGGGGGCTCGAGTTGGGACCGCCGATGCCAGTGCCAAGTGAAAGGCCGCCCAGGCTGTTCACCAGCAGGTTGTCATCACGCTGCATGCCAAGAGAAGATCCAGACTGTGCGGGAGTGAGAGTAGGGGTGTTGGAAGTACCGGTGGGTGCGCCCTCATATTGAATACGGGCACCGTTGGACTGCAGTGCGGCGGGGAAGCTGGCAGAAGAAGGCACAGGGGAAGGAGTGTAGGAACGCAAGTCGGCAAAGGACTTGGCAGCGCGCAAGTTCTGGCCATTCGCAAAGTTACCAGGGGAGTCTAGAACGCCCAGGAATCCCGAGTTCTGCCCCCGCAGGGTGTTGAAAGCACCCGGTCCGGCTTCATTACGGGCCTCGTTGCGAGCCTCGCTGAAGTCAATGGTGGCCGCGCGGTTGAGGCCACGGCGAGCAGTGTCACTCGATTGAGCTGAAGGTGGGATAGAAGACAGTGGCGGGCTCACGTTAGCACCGGCGGCAACCTTGAAAACCTGAACCTGACGCTGTTCACCGCTGCCACGAGAAGCGTGGCCCAAGCCCATGTTGTGAGCCAGAGTGTGGACCGTGCGACGCTGGGAGGGGGTCAAGTTGTGAGGGAAAATCACGGAATCACGGACGGTATCTTCCTTGAATAGAAGTAGTTGCGAATAGTACTGGAGCGTCTGGGTGTCATTCAAGTCCACATCTGAACCGAGAGAAAATTTTTGTTAGCCACAGGTCGCATTTGCAATAACCTTAATTGAATGTGTAACCCACCGAGTTTCTGGCCGCGTTGCGACACGGGCGAGGGAGAGGTAGCTGGAATGTGCGAGGCGAGTGAAGACATAGAGCTCTGTGTATGCAGTTGAGGACCACCCATGGGTCGGTGCTGTTCTTCCAGTTGGCCCCGTCGTTCACGCTTCTCGCGCTCGATGCGCTCCCGTTCCTGAAGAGGAAGCATCTTCTTGTACTCGACTCGCAATTTCCGACCCTGCAATTCAAAGTGGTTGAGCATCTCAATCACTGTGGCGGTCTCTTCCGCCGAGGTGAAGTTGGCGAATGCCAGTCCACGGAAAACGCCGTTATCGAAGTGGTAGTTGAACGCATACGGGAGGGGGAGGTTCAATTCGGTCATCAATTGCACCAGTTGCTCCTTTTTCACGGCAAAGGGGATGTTCTTAATCACGATGGCGGTGGGAATCAATTCGTCGTCGTCCGCGGACGATGCGGAGGCTTCCGGTCGCATTGCGCTGCTCTGCATGGGACCGGGTCCCAAGTTCGAAAATGCTTGGGGCATGTTCGGCTGCTGGTCAAGCCACGTCTTGGGAGGGTTAGTTGTGTCCTGAGGGGGGAAATGGGAGACATCGAGGGACATTTCCGTCGACGAACACGAGACATACAGTGGGCAGACCGGCACGTCCACGGGCGTTTGGCTTCAGGCTGGCCGAAGCCGACCGAATGCCTCCCAGGGATTGTGCGTTGGCAAAACCGTTGGGGTTCCAGGTTTGAGAGCCGGAAATATCGTACCCGTAGTTGTTCTGCAGGGACGGGTTGAGACGCTCGAGGCGAGCGGAATCGTAACGGGCCATTTGGTCCTCGTAGGGGTTGACGGGCATGGGACCGTAGGCGTCGAACTGACGAGACGGCTGACGGTGTAGGGGTTGCTGATGCCGCTGAGAGCCAGGGGACCGTGCGGCGTCGTGATACATGTCTTGATAACTCATGAAGGGGAGGGAATGTGGGAAAAAAATGCAAAGGGGGACAAAAACACCTACTCCACCATTCAGTAGGGAGAGAAAACCGTCGAGGAAGACGGGATTGTGCGGATGAGACAAGTTTGAGGGGGGAAAAGTTGCGGACGGGCAGAACTATCGCCGCCTTTTGTTTTTTTTTTCTTGGTTTTTTTCACTGTTCTCAGCAGTATTGCGTTTCTTTTTCTGTGTTTTTTTTCTTTTCTTAGGGGTTTCTTGCTTTTTGAATTCGGGGGGAGAAAAATGGACAGATCAGAGACGCAAGGGGTGCACAGATTCGAGTCGAGAAAAACCGGTGATCGGAGCAGTATGCACGAGGGAATGGTCTATTATAAGGGAGTCAATTCACTAAGACCAATAGTGCCCCTGACAATTAAATTATTTTCCTATACTAGAATACTTGACTATACTATAATCCGTGACTATCATACTATAATCCTATATTTAACTTAACTTACATTGTATACTCGAGGTTATGTTGAACCCGTTGACCTCGAACAGGGAACGGGGGAAGCGTTCCCTGGTTCCCATCTTCACTTCTTGTATACTTGTACTTCTCTTCTCTTTCACCTTCTTAGACTGCACGAGCATAGGGTTCTACTACTGTATATTACTGTTTACTACTGGACTCTCGTTCCCCTATCCTCCCCCTGAAACGGAACCATCACCTGCCGAATCAGAGACAGGGATCACAGCCTCGAATGTCCGTCATTCGACTCCCGATATGTCCTCTGTTAGGCTCGTCACTAGAGACACCGTCTCCGCCGTGGACACTAGTCGACACGCTCATCCCTGAGCCAATTTGTCTCGATTTGTCACTTAGACGGAAGACTTGCTCCAGGGGACAGATCGGGGTCGCCTCCTGCCTCGTGCATGGTGCAAAGACCCTATATTTGACACCGGCTTTGTTCATTTCTGGAGATATCTGGACACCTCTGGCCACCAGATGGGGACTGAACTGTCTCCGTCCTGTATTTTCCATTTTGGTCCTATGAGGATACTCCTCATTAGGGGCTGTCTATAATTATTCTTTTGCCCCCCCTATTCCTCCTTTTCCCGTCCTGTCGACTGCTCGATTCCCTACACTCCGGACTCTCCTACTGGGGCCACTCTTGCCACCAACTGATTCATATTCTCGTCCGCTCAGCCGATACGTTACCAATAATTTGGAATCTGGTTCGGAACGGGCCACCGTGTTCCCCCCCCCCCCCCCTTCGGCATTGGCGTGATTGACAGTACATGAAAGCGAGGCAACCGGTCCCACTCCATGAAATTGGACTTTCGTCTCCGTCTCCACGATCCGCACATCCCCCGTTTCTAGCGTGTAAGCCGATGCCCCCAAGAGGCTCCGGCTGCCCTAGAACCCGCTAGACGCTAGGTAGAACCTTTAGTGGCAGTGCGCCTCCCCCAATCGTGTTGCTGCTGTGGAGAGCTCCGGCACCAGGAGCTCACGACCCGACAATATGGCGAACAGATATGGTATAGCTGCTCCATTTCAGGGTGACGCTAGAAAAGACTACGGAAGTTTTTTCTTCTTCTCCTGAGATTGCTACGTGTTGATCTCCGGGGACTTTGGTGAAACGCGTTGCCGATGTTCTGCGGATCTAGTCCGCGTTGCTTGGCTATATTGCCTTGAATTTGCTCCCTACATTATGATTTCAGCTGAGCAGGGTTTCATACCTACTGTACGGTATGTACTGAGGAGCTGACGTGTGGCTATGTGGTTGATCTACAGTACAGTACGATCTCTCGGGTACAGACAGCGCGCCGATCACAATGAGAGGCAAAATGATTGTCGTACTGTATACAGTACTAGAAGTCGGGATCTACGTGTATTCTGGAACCCACGCCACCGCCAGAGTCATCTCGGGCAATAAGAGGCGAAGATACGAGTACCGTATCGTATGCCATTGGGTGGTTCTATTTTGCTATGTTGGAGTTGAAGATGTAGTCAGAAAGAAGTGAAGACAGCAAAGGTAACTTGGTGATGGCGACAAGGCTTCCAGACTTCCAGCCCTTGATTATGCAAGTCACACGACTAGCTTCAAAAAGCAATATCGTTATTATCTCTTTGTTCAAAATCACGCCTCCGCAGTCTTCCGGAGATAGGAGCTCAGGGCGATACGAGAGCCCCAGTTTACACGTCCAAGCCCCCCTAAAGACCAAAGGGCGTATTACAATGGACTGGGGCCTTGGGTTGAGGAATGGAGACTTCGCATCCTGACAAGGGTCCTGGTTCCTTCAAACAGGATGACAGGTCCAATTTGGTCTCACGAACTACTGTACGAGACACGATCTCCACGTGGGATTTACATTTCATCTGGTCTGGCAGGGATCTGCCCAAGCGCTGAGTTAGTTATTGCAGTTATTTCTTACGTCAGAGCAAAATCAAGAACTTGGACGAGAAGAAACAGACTAACAAGTCCACTATCAGGAACTATTGAGTGGAGTGCCTGAATTAGGGCCTTGGAGCCTTGGAGCCTTGGAGCCTGGGTGCCTGGGGCTGGATGCCTGAAAGATCAGGCCAGATTTTGACCTCGTAAGCCAACAGTAAAATAACCTTGGAAGAGAGAGTACAGTATTCCCAGAATTTTCTAGACTTCATCCTGGCCTTATTTGAAACACCTCATCGAAAAGACAAAGTCCGACTGTAGAGCGTATGCAGGCTTGATTTAAGCTCATGCAGATATTCCTTGGCTCGGGTCTTTATTGGAACTTTCCTTTCTTCTATCTTCTGTCGTCTTTCTTCTTTCTTCTTCCTTTCGGGATTCCACACATTCACAATGAGATTCTGGATTCCAAGTGATCGACAGTCTATGGGGATACGTATACCCCTGCTGAAACGATGTGTCGGACACGAATGAGTGACGAGTGTCCCGGGTCCACCCAAAAAAAACCGAAAGGTTGCAATCGGATTGGTGTGACGACAATGAGTCCAGCCCTGACAAGGCGCAGTTGGCGTTGAGTCTGCATCAATCCTGCCAATGGTGCTAGTGACCATTCTCTCGTCTAACAGTCTCGGGTAGAGCTGCAGCTTGCATCAGGAACCACGCGGCCAAGCTGATCGTGGCTGACAGCCAAGGCTGTGAGTGGGGGCCGGCATCGCTCTTAAAGTCCCGGCCTGCGCGGCTTGCCATCTACGTCGGAATCGTTTCCTCTCTCTCTTTCCTGCTTGCATGCCTCGTGCTGGACAATGAGGACTACTGTACGAGCAGCGATTGCCATTGTGGTGGTTTTCACCGTGTTACTGGTCAAGAGCCATCTCGATTCCATACCGGAATGGCGGCCTGCGGGTCGGAAACAAGCTTCGGCTAGGGATCACTATGTCCTCGATGAATCTGACGCTTATATCGAGCTGGTCTCGGCGGATACTACGACAGCGCCTACACACAATCCGACTCGGCATAAATGGACGCCTACCGGTCGACCTACACCTCCCGTGGTGCCAGATAGGGTCGCCACGAAACAAATTCCCGTGCGGGTTCCTGGCGCGGAATGGGCTGGCCAGGATCCCTTTTTGAGAAATTGGAAATCCAAGTCGAAGCCGAAGAAATTGACAGATTCGCAAAAGTCGCACGTTCAAAACCTCGGTCCTCTGGAGCATGGCAATGTGCAGAAGTTAGCGCCCTCGTCGAGTGCGCCGCCCAAGCCCAAGATTACCCCCAAAACGGATCGCGTAGTTGTCATGGGGAAGATGTCGTATGAGGATACCGATTGGTTGGAGGAGCAGTTGCCAGAGTAGGCCTCGCGCAATGAAACACCCTCAGCCCCCCATGCTAATTCCTATAATAGATGGCAACACGCTCTCTATATCGTCGATGACCCAGAGGCAGACCGTACTGTCAAGTTCAACAAAGGCAAAGAAAGTAACGTCTATCTCCAATACATCCTCGACAATTACGACAAATTTCCCGAGTACATGGTCTTCCTACACGCCCATCAATATAGCTCCCATACCGAATTCTGGGAACAGGACAATGCCATCACCGTGCAAAGACTCCAGCTTGACTATCTCAAAAATGTCGGATATCTCAATCTTCGCTGCGACTGGAGTCCAGGATGTCCCGATGAGGTCAAACCATTCCGGCAAATGGCTGGCCGCACCACCGAATTGGCATTTGCCGGTGCTTGGCTTCGTATTTTCAACAACACCGATGTGCCTGAGGTTGTGGCTACGCCTTGCTGTGCCCAATTTGCTGTTTCAAAACAGCAGGTTCTTCAGCGGCCTCGCAGTGACTATGAGCATTATCATCATTGGCTGATGACGACCGAGTTGGATGACGAGACTAGTGGTCGTGTCTTTGAGTATTTGTGGCACATTATCTTCGGGCAGGATCCCGTGTTGTAAGTTTTGTCCCTGTCCTTGGTTTTATTGGGGATACAATGCTAATTTGTCTGAAGTTGCCCTTCAAAAGCACAGTGTTACCGAAATGTCTATGATATGGAGTTCGACGGACCGAATACACAACCCGTAAACTCCTTTGATGACCCTTTTGATGATCTTTGGGGTAATTGGGACGATGAAGAGTTCCCTGGAAACGATCCTTGGATGTGATATGATTCTTTTACGGATAGATTGTTTATATGTACCAATACCCTCGAGAGCTGCTTTTTTTTAAAAGTGAATATTCTTCAATCTCCATTATATCGTCTTTATTTGAGAGATACAAAAGCAATGTTCTATCAAACCACCACTCATCATGTTCCAACTAAACTACCTAGCATTGTAAACTTCAGGAAAGACATTGAATATTCATACCCTCGTCGTATACATCTCCCTTCATTCATATCATAATCCCAACGGAGTCGAGATTGATGGGTTCAAGTCCAAGCAAAAGCAATCAACCCAACAAGACCAGCCATAGGCACAGCACCAGGAACATTCAAGCCAGCAGCAGCGTCGGTGGTTGGAGTAGACAACGAGGCACTCGTGTTATCAGTGGAGGAGCCAGAGTTGGTGCCAACGCTGGAACTAGTCGAGTCTTGGCTGTTGGAAGTGCTGGATCTCGTACCGTCTGTTGCCGTTGCGGTCGAAGAAGCAGCGGTTCCTGTTCCTTTACTGGTGGTGCTTACAGTTGCCGTTGCTGCAGAGTTGTAGGTTGTTGTGCTGAGGGAACAGGAGTGAACAAGGTCCAGGGCTTCTATTATACATTCAATTGGCTTTCCATTATGGGATATACTGGCTCGGGGGGCTATACATACCGTTATCATCGTCATCGTTGTCGTAGTCGCGCTTTGTGTTCTCGTCATCATCATCGTTGTCGTTGTCGCGGTCATTGTCATTGTCATTGTCATTGTCATTGTCATTGTCATTGTCACGGTCATGATCACGGTCATGGTCATTATCGTTTCTGGTGATGTTGCGATCATTTTGATACTGAGTGATGCAAGCGGCACAGAGAGGAATCTGTGTTTTGGCCAACTCCCAATCACAGATACACTTCAGCTCAGCGTTATCATCGTCATGTCTAGCATCACAACTCTTGGAGATTCCCACAACGGAACCACAGGCGTTCCAGCAGCGGTTTGGGACATCATCATGGTCCAGTTTGGATGCGATGGCCACGTTGCCGGCGAGCATGAGGCCCGCGAAGGCTAGGAACTGTGTAGCACGCATGATTGTTGATGGTGAAGATTGATTGCAAATGATTCAAAGGGCTGTTCTTGTTGATGATTCGAATGAGTTGCAAGAGAGGTGCAGGGCATATTTATATGTGAGGTTGGAGTCCATGCTATAAATGACCTCTGCTTGCTGAACCCTGCCGATCCCAGATTTGCCGGGTGTTTGTCTACTCATTTTAGGGTTCGTTCTCTTTGTCGGTATAGTCCGCAGATGATCACGACCATGAAGCGCATGCCGATCCTAACTGTCTGTTGCATAGCCTTCATGCATTGACTGATGCCCCGCAGGTTGGCAGGGACAACTGCCAGTGTTGATCGAGCAAAAGCAGCTGCCTGTTTCTATATCTCAGCCAAGACTTGGCCAAGATCTACGTGGGTGCAGCCATACTAGACCATGGAGAGCTATTAATATCGTGCATGGAGCTATACTTTGATGACTTCAACAGGTAGGCATTCTAGATCAGTTTTCACCTCCAATAGTGTCTGATTGGCCTATTGACCTCTCGAGGCCCTGAATGGCTCAGGAATGCAACCTCGTTGCCAAGCTATTCCGCTCGAAGATCCTCTCCAAGTTGATCGTCTAAGCCACACACGCGGGCCAATCGGTGCATATTTTGAAATGCGGCACCTCTGCAGGTTTGGTTCTTTAACAATCTTCGTTCATAGTTTGGATGTCATTGACAGGGTATAGTATTCATCCCTGTGGTTGAGAGAACCTCAGGTGGGTGACCAGTTAGCTCCCGTAGATATATTTAGAGCAACCTTGGGCTTCTTAGACATCTTCAAGTGGGCTGTCCTTTAGGCATCACAATTACTGAGATGGCTCTGGATATACCCGTCATTCGTTCTTACTGGTTCTAAAAAAGTGGTGAATATTCTCAAAGTGTAGGGTAGCAGTTCAGTTATGGTGGCTTGGACGCCTATAACGAAGTTAGCCACTAGCGGGAATCGCGATAATCTGACCACAATCTCGTGTTAGTATCGCAAACCATATTGATAGTGTCAAAGATGTCAAGAGTTAGCAAGCGATCGAAGCCAACAGATGCATCGGTCACTGCAGAACTGCCCTGGGAGTGCCTTAGTAAGACCCCCGCAATCATAACATCGCCCACCTGAGGCAACACTCTGCACATGTTTGTGAACCCAGTACATCAGGGCTGTGGACAACTCGACAACCTCGATACTACCCAATTTTGCCATGACTCGTCCAGTGAGCAAGATGTGGGAAAAGTACTGCCTGCGCCCAACTCACGGGTCCGTTTCCACCCTCCCAGTCTTCATCTACGGGACAGCCTGGAAAAAGGAGAGCAGCGCAGATCTAGTCTATACCGCTATCAAGGCGGGATTTCGAGCGGTAGACACAGCCGCCCAACCCCGTCATTATCAGGAACCTCTGGTCGGGGATGGCATTCGCAGAGCTATTGCCGATGGGATCGTCGATCGGGCAGACCTTTATGTGAGGGGACCGTCTATAATTAGGATGAGAAATGATCGTCCACCATGTCTCTAACAATGACCAGGTGCAAACCAAATATAGTCCTGTCTCGGCACAGGATGTGGAAAACATGCCCTACGACCCCTCGGTGTCGGTCACCGAGCAAGTCCATGCATCTATCAAGTCATCCCTACATAATCTGCGCGCAGCAGAGGACCCCAGATCAGTGGATGAGGCCTACATCGACACTGTCGTCATTCATTCCCCGCTACCGACTTTGGCCCAGACGCTTGAGGCATGGCAGGCGTTGGAGACCTATGTGCCCCACCGCATTCGAAACTTGGGTATCTCCAATTGCACAATGCCCATGCTCAGAGAGCTGTGCAATTCATCCATGACAACAGTCAAACCATCGGTTGTACAGAACCGATTCCACGAGGATACTCTGTTTGATGTCCCCATGCGTGCATTCTGTCGCGATAATCAGGTCGTGTATCAAGGCTTCTGGACTTTGACAGCGAACCCTGACCTTGTGCGTTCCCTGCCGGTGCAGCAACTTGCTCGCCATGTCAGAATTACACCTGCTGCCGCGTTCTATGCACTCATCATCGGCCTGGGAAATCTCACAGTATTGAACGGAACCAAGAACGAGTCGCGCATGAAGGAGGATCTGGCAGCCCCCAAACAGGTAGAGGAGTTTACTCAGAAGCAGCCGGATGAATGGAAGCAGATTCTTGCAGACTTTCAGGGCTTGACTGGGGACTCGTTAGGTCTTTAAGGTCATGGTTCACTAGCACGAGTGAGAGAATAGACGGTATGATTTAGCAGCATAACCAGTGAGCTATGAAAAGGGATCTAGACAGAATTGAAGAAAACCCAACTGAAACTTGAATTTTCTCGAAACCATTCCCTCTGGCAATTTCCTGATGTCTAGCAGGACCAACACCAGGATGTACTGACCCTCAGATAGATTGACTTGATCTTGCTTCTATTACATTGTCATAGGCAGTATCATATAATATCAGGTACCAACACAGCCTTGCTAGAATTCTTCCACTCAACATAGTAACTTATCTGTTTCTTACTTCTGCGTCTCATACTTGTTGAGGCACCTTGGGCAGAACATCTTTATCATACTCACCGCCCTTTAATTTCTGCCAACTGATCCCGCCTTGACTTCACGCGCTGATCAGTCGCCTCGTTATCACTTGAATCTTCTATTCTCGCGTTGCCTTACTCTTTGTCGATAGATCTGCGCCGTCGTTGGTGTCTCTGTTGCTTTCGGCTCCGTCGACAAAGACTCCCAACCCCTTACAAAGACTTTTTGAGCCACTCATCCCAGTGACCTGAATGAACGACTTTTCGCATCTTGACTTTGCACCTCGCCATTCTGTCTACTAGACGTTCCTCGGCCATACTACAAGTTATACGAGATTGGCGAAAATTCAAACCGAATTACACCAAGATTCCGATAAGATTCAACACCACCGCGCCCGTTCACCATGAGTTCTCAGAGTGCGACTCGCAAGCGACCTGCCCCAGGAACAGTCCCGGTCGTTCATCCTCAGATGAATACTGTCCCCAATTTCCCGACTACAGCGAACCCTGGCTCCCAGCTTTCAAACGATCAATTTTTACAATGGGGCCAGAACCCCTCCAGCTCCGTCAATACTTCTGCTTTCTCCGATAACTCATACAACCCTGTTGGGTTTGCGCCTCAAGATGTGTCTGCACCGGCTGCGACAGCATCCAACCAACTTGCTCGCCGACAGGCAAATCAGCCCCAGAATCAGAATCAAAATCAGAATCAGAACCAGCTGATCAGCCGGAACCGTGGGTACGAACAGGCGCCCGCATCATATGTTGAAAATGGGGACAACACAGGTAATGGTGAGAGCGGCGCATGGGGCGAGTCGCTGGAAGAGCTATACCGGCGTGCTCAGACTGCGAAGAGAGACGCACAAGCAAAACGAAAACAGATCCCTCCGTTTGTGCAAAAATTGAGCAGGTACGATCAACATCTTACTTTGGCGAGAAAAGGGCTAATCATTCACAGCTTTCTTGACGAGTCTAAGAATACAGAATTAATTCGTTGGTCCGACGATGGCAATTCTTTCATCGTTTTGGACGAGGATGAATTTGCGAGGACGTTAATCCCAGAACTGTTCAAACACAACAACTACGCATCTTTCGTTCGACAGCTGAACATGTACGGCTTTCACAAAAAAGTTGGCCTTTCCGACAATTCTATGCGCGCCAGCGAGCGAAAGAACAAGAGCCCTAGCGAGTACGCGAACCCATACTTCAAACGTGGCCACCCAGATTTGCTGTGGCTTATTCAGAAGCCTAAGAATGCTACAGGCCATGCCAGCAAACCCAGCAAAGGTGGTACTCGCGTGAAGACGGAAGATAATGATGATAATGACATGGACGAGTATACCGAAGAGGGTACACCCACTACTCGTGAGACTCGTTCTCGGCCACAACAGCTGTCTTTAGTCACCGACAGCTCTGTGCCCAATGAACAACTTTCTGGCGTTTATCGCGAATTGCAAGCGATTCGTCAGCAGCAGTCAATCATATCAACCACAATCACCAGGCTGCGAAAAGAGCACGAGCAGCTGTACGCACAGGCTGCCAACTTCCAGGAGCAACACACCCGACATGAAAACTCCATTAATGCCATTTTGACTTTCCTTGCGACGGTCTACAACCGCAGTTTGCAGGGACAAGATGGTCCTCAAAACCTTGCTAATTCATTCGCTGGGGCCATCTCGCAGGATCAAGGCAACATTGTGGACGTCGATGATGACTATCTAAGCAATGCGCTGGGATCTATGACAAGCCCCAATCACCAAAGAATGAAAAAACAGCCATTGCTTTTGAAAGCACCCCCAGCATCTGATGAAGGTGGCCGTGCAAACACGGTCTCACCAGCAGCCAGCGGTTCTTACGACACACGATCTCGGGGCCACAACCGGCAACCCAGTGCTACACAGCCGGGCCATGTGGAAGAGGTCTTCGATCATAGTCCTCGGCCGAGCGCGTCCAACGTGCCAAAAGATCAAACAGATGATGGTTTCCCCCAACAAGATATCATGTCTGTCATCCAGAACTCCAATGCACGCAACGGGGTTCCAACAAACTTCTCCGAGTTCCCTAATGTCCTATCCTCCCTCGAAAACCATGGTGGCAACGTTCCACTCACGGCCAACCAACGCGCGGACATGCTGCGCCTCATGGCCAACGAGACAAACTCTGCCGAACCCAGTGCTGGTGTATCGCCCAACAATGCGCTCATCTCACCAAATCCACCTCCTATGCCACACAACTACTCCGGCCGGCTCGCCAGCACCCGTCAAGAGATCGACAATTTGGTCAAAATGCAAGCCGAACAGGACCGTTCCGTCCAGAACCTGACCAGTCTGCTCCAACCCCTCAGCCCGAACGGGACGATCCCCGGTCTCGACAGTGACGGAAATGTCCCCCCTCCTCCGCTTGACCTCGACCAAATATTCAACAACGACTACTTCACCGATATTGGAGATATGAAACATGCCGAGAACCCAATGAGCCACATCACCGGCCAGAACACCACTGATCAGCCTGGGACGACCCAAGCCGATGACGGCGATACCAATGACCTCTTCGACTTTGACCACATTCCTGCCGACGGCGATCTTTTCGACAACACAAATGCCCAGGCTGACCCAGCCTACAACTACGGCTTTGATGGAGCCGGTTACGATGACTCCGGGCGCGTCATCGAGCAGTTGACTGACAGTGAAGCCACCAGCCCTGCAGCAACGGAGAAAACCGAGGCTGCCGATGATGGTGGTAGTGCCAGTAAGCGACGCAGAAAGGCGTGAGGGCGTGAGGGCGTGATTGATAGCGTTTATTAATATCGTACACGACCTGGGGGGTGGACAAGCAGGTTAGGACTGGAAACAAAACTGGGCGTAACGCAGGCGTTTGTTTATATGGGGGAAAAATCGGCTGGGCTGTAAAAATGAACCATGAATGACTCTTGAAATACAAATGAGATACCTTTGCTTTATACCTTTCCTCTATAATCCCAATGAGTCCTCGACCCTGTTGGAATGGAAGTGATGAGCCCGTCGGATATTATTTGGCCCCTTTCTCCTTCTGGTATGGCTCGATCCATTGCCATGTGAGCTTTGCAGTCCGCGCACGAAGCAGTTCTTTTTCCCGCGCACGAACCCTCTGATTGTGTTCTCTGGCGAATCGCTTTTTTTGTCGTTTTTGTTTTCTGGTTGGTTTTGCTTTGCCCGTCAGGTTCGACTCCGAATCTCGACTAAAAAATCGTTTCAGCTTGGCAAACATGGGGAACATATTGGTGATAATTTAGATAATAAGAAAGAAGGAAGAAGTTGGAGGAAACCAAGAGGCTCATAGGTTGATTAAATAGCGTCGGGCGCCTAGCTTGTTTCGTTGTGGCTGTGTTGGCAGACATGCACCAATGCATCACGGAATAGCTGATGGCAGTTCATAGTATATTTTTTTCCGAAGAATTCAGTGGTTCATTGAAGATATCATATTCACCTCCCTCTCTCCCACTCCAGATCTCCAGCTCGTTCACGCTTCCGCTCCCGCTCTCGATCCCGTTGGTATCCACGCTTCTTCCCACTGCTGCTCCCAACAACCTCCTTCTCCTTCTCACGAGGATCAATCACCATAAGTGAATCAGCTTCCTGATTTTTCTTCTTCCACTCCAAATCTTTGCCAAGCGTATCCTTCCCAAAGCGAAGTTCGTGCGAGAGCCAGTCTCCTTCTGCTGCGGGTTCATCGCCTGCATCTGCAGATGGATCATCCCACGATTGGCAGGATTGGCAGTTGGCGATGAAATGCAGGTCGCAGAGTTGGGCTTCTTCGTCTTCGTCTGCGTCTTTGTTTTGGGTGCTTTCCTTGCCGTTGAGTTTGGTTTGTGATGCGGATGTGGATTCGGGTTTCGCGCCCTCTAGTTTTGCTTTGAAGGCGTTGAAGAGCTGGAGGGCTTCGCGCTCTGCTGAGCTGCTAGGTCCTGTACCGTTGCGACTTGAGCCGTTGGCCGATCCTGGTGGTGGCCGTCGGCGGCCTCGTATGGATGTTTCTGGGATCATGGCTTCAAGAGCGGACTTCTTACGGCCTGTGTCTTTGGGACCGGTGTCGACGTCTCGGCGCATGGATGCCATCAGACTGGCAATCTGTGCGTTGGTCTTGGATAATTTGGACTCCTTGGGTGCTTCTGGGGTGGGAGAGCGAGCCGGCGATTCAGGATCCTGGACAGGAAGCTGGGTTTCGGGCTCCGGCGTTTTGATGCGCTTTTTGCGTTCCGGGGAGGCGGAGGGTCTGGGTGATGGTGACCTTTGTCGCTTGCGAGGTTGTGATGTGCCATTGCTTGAAGCCTTGGGCTTTGGTGCATCGCTTTGCGCGCCTGGCGCATCCGCGACTAATTTGGTGTTGAACTTGGGCTTTGCTGGACGCATGGGCATTCCCTCGTCGCCTTCATCATCGCCAAAGCTGAGCAGTGATTTGCCGCCTTTAGGGGCCTTCTTCTTTTTCTTTGGAGCACCCTTGTCTGGTTTTGACGTAGTTGAAATAGCCTGGCGATCCTTCAGTTTGCCCTCCAAAGGCCCCAATTCTCCAACCTCGCAAGAAGTAACCTTGATTGGATAAATAGGTCGCTCAGTGCCCTCGACACGCTCGGCCTCCGCAATCTTCAACACAGTGTAGATACTATCGCCTTCCAACCTGCCAAAGATTGTGCATTGTCCGTTCATTTCGCGCTCGGTGTTTGCAAGCGTAATAAAAAATTGACTGCCATATGTCCCATCCTCGCTCTTGGCCATGCCCAGCAATCCACGGCGGTTAAAGCGCAAACGACTATGCAGCTCATCGCGCAAGACAACCCGTTCGTTTGGGTCCCGAGCTTCGGGATCGTATTCAAATTCTGGATATTCGTAGATCGACGTGCCGCCGGAGCCTGTGCCCGTGGGATCACCACCCTGGACCACGAAGTCTGGGGCTACTCGGTGAAAAATGGTTCCCGCATAGTAGTTGTCCTTGCAGTGTTGGAGAAAGTTTTTGCAGGTGAGGGGTGTCTGGTTTGCGAAGAGCGCGATTTGGATCGGACCAACTGTCGTGTTGAGGGTGGCCGACGCGGTGGGATTGGGCTCGCTGGCGTATTGGGACGACATGATGACTCGAGCGCCAAAAATGGTGTGCCCACAAAGGTTGGGACTTTGGGGTATCTGTTGAGGTTGCGCCTCTCGTGTTGCGTGTTGAATAACATCTCCGACCAAAAGTTCCAGAGAACGTCATGGCACGTGACCATGCTGTAGCCCTGAATTCCGGTTGCCAGCAGGAGAAAAGCATGCATACGCTAGGAAAATAGATTTGAATTTGACATTGATGGGATAAGATGCATTTTAATATTGGCGATAGCACTACTACTTGACAAAGAGGCCAGGTATTGGGTCGCATTTGGGAATCTAACCGTAATATCGGGCAAAGTGAGGTGCTGGAAGGTCGCTGATGGGTATTAAATGAACAACTGTATGGCATCTGGAGACTTGGCGCAATGGGTATGTCGTGGTGAGTCTTGTGAGGATCTCGATGACTAGAGAGCTGGTCCAGGCCCAGTCTTTGGCGCAAAGAATGAAGATTATAGTTCCCTCGGGGGGTCCTTTGCGGGTGATGCACACCGTGAACTGTGCAACGAAGCCCGTCCAGATCATCCAAGGGTTGGACTGTATCCCGGGATTACAATGATTGCTTTGTTGATGTTGGGGTCACAGGCCGATCCAGTTCACTTGCGCTTGGCGATGTCGAGATCATGATTGTCGTATAGGGTGATAGTTGGGGCGATCAGGATGCTGTCGCAAGGGAAGAGCATGTTGCTTAGGGCCGTGGCAGAAGTCGAAGTAAACCGTGGAGTCTGCCACAATTGAACAACGCAAATCACACCAGTCAATGTTGGGGCACAGGCTGAGCCACCCTAGTCAGAAGTATTGGCCCAGGATCTTGCTCCTGCTGATGATGCTGACTCTGCACCTGCTCAGAAGAAGCTCTGGCATGAAGCCCCAGTTTGAATCGCAGCCGCCGAAGAGTCCGTTCAGAGATGCCGTACCCTTCCTGCTGCAAGACCCTCAGCATGGCCTTGTCAGTCAACCGTTCCTCCATAAAGAGCATTTTGATTCGCGAATGCAGAGCTTCATCGCTTGTTGTTTTTTGATGTCGTTTGCGGATACCCCACTTGCGTAGACGGGACTGGATTGTTCGCTCTTTGACTTGGATGTTATGGTGGCCCTCTAGGGTGTGGCAGATTGCTTCACTACTGACTCCATGGAAGAACAGGGATATGATTTCGTCTTTGTAGGGGTCTAGGTTGATCTGTTGACGAGGCATGTTGGAGATTGGCGATTGAAAGAGAGACAGAGTGTGGTCGATGTTAAGGCGGTGAATCTGCGGGATGGTCGCTTGAAGATATTCCGGGGGAGTTGGACAGGTGTTAGGGCTATCATAGAGTCTATAAAATCTAAAGTCTACAGAGTCTAAAGAGTCTACAAAATGATCCATTTGCTTAGCAATTTGAAGCAGTCAGTAAATATTTGCCTCGGTTTCGAGCGCTTCGGTATACTTCAATTCAGATCCCATTATTACTTGTGTTTCATAGACTCGTCACACATGTTGAACCCCTTAAGCAATTCACAGGCTCGAGGAATACCTCTTGCCTGATCAAACTATTATATTGACCGTGCCACATCAACTTAAGCCTTCTTATCCGCCTCAACAACAGCCGGTGAGCTCATCTCAGGACCGGCCTTGTTCCGCTTGGCGATGCGGAATCCACCAACCAAGAAGAACAGGGCCTGCAAACCAAGAATCACAGCGAGAGTGACCATGGCGCCAATTACACCGGCAACAGCCAGAGACATGCCTGAGCCGCTGGTGCTAGTGCTGGGGGAGCTGGAGGTGGTGGCATTATCGGAGCTGGCGCACTTGCCATCTGTGTTGCCACACAAGCTGCACCAATCTTCATCAGAGGTCACTGCAATCTCCTTGGTCTTCTTGGAGAAGTCGTCCCATGAGAGGAGCTCGCTGGACTGGCCATACAACGGGTAGACGGCGGGCTCAGCTCCACCGGTGAGGGTACCGTTGTGGAACATGAAGCGCACACTGAGGTCGGATGCCGATGGGAAATCAGTACCAGTGGCATTGGTCACCAGCTCGAAGACCATGGATGAGGCATAGTCTGGGATACCGGTGAAATTGACCGAGGCAGCAGGCATCTGCAGCAGGCCGAAGAGCGAGAAGATAGTGCCGTATGAGCCGAATCCGACGTTCAGCTTGGACTTGCCCTTTGTGGCAATGGTGTCGTTGAGGCCTGCCAGAATTTCACCTGCCAGAACAGCACCGTCGATGGCGCGCACCTTTTCAGAGGCGTTATAGGCCAAGTTGAACTCATGGCTACCGGCCAGGGAGATCAACTGGTGGTAGACCTCATCAGTCAGATCGGACTTGTGAGGGAAAGTAGAGGTGGAGTTGTGAATGTTGCCGACATTAAGGTAGTCAAAGATGGTGTAGGCATTTTTGAAGGACATCTGAGAGGAAGAAAAGGCCCCGTCCAGCATGGGCGAGAGAGACTTGTAGAAATCCTGGGTGGAAGACAGCAGAGATGTGTATGATTCCGATGTAAAGTAATTGTTGCTGCTCAGGGTTGCCTTTTGGCAACCGCTGGAACCCTGCAACCAAGTAGCGTCCTCACTGTTCTTGCTCGTCGTCGATGTCGACAGCTGGATGAGCTGGTAGCCGCCCAACGGAGCCTCGACTGAAGAGCCATTGGCCAGAGTCTGGGAAGCTACTGTTCCAACAGGAGGGTATACACCCTGCAAGAAGCCAGTGGCGGAGTTTTGCAACACAGCATCCGAAGGAGCAGTAGCACTAATCTGCTTGGCGCTGACGACCTCTGGGTTGATTCCCTCAATCTGCTTGGAGGAGTTGTCGGAAATATAACGCTGATTATAGAATGAACCAGCGTCAAAGACCTCACGGTAACCCAGATCAGTCAATTGGGTGCTACCAAAGACCTTGGGGGTTCTGTCACCATGACGCGCAAAGATATAAGCACCCAGCACACGCTCTGCCTCCACTGTAGACAGAGAGGTAGCTAGCAAGAGACCAGATGTAATCGAGTACTTCATGATGTGAACTGTCAAGAAACTAAACAAGAAAAGAAATCCCCGAGTGTGTGGGGGAGGAGGGGAGTCCGGGGTCTTTTATCTACTGCGGAGTAGACCCTGCGCGGTCCAGTTGGGTCTTCCCACCCATCAGACCCGGAGAAAACCGATGAACTTACAGTTACAGTCACAGTGACCATTAGTCGAAGTTAGCCTGGATTAGTTAGTAAATTAATCAATTAGTGTCAGCCAAAAAACAATTAGCTAATCAAAACTAACTCCGCGGGATGCCGCGGAGCGATAAATCGTTGCAGTTGGATTGGACTCGTTTTCCCGCTACGGAGTAGTTAGGGCTATTAGCGTAGCGCTTAGGGACGTTCTCTTCAGGCAAGTTCTGCCGTTAGGGTTTGGAGGGTCTTGGCTGTGGTGTCTGGGCCTTGATAGGCTTAACTTGTTCGTATCTCAGTCTATGCCAGGACAACGCCTTGGTCGCCCATTAATTCACACCCATTTCGCACAACTCCGACTAGTCCTCCGGTTTGGATTGCCTCCGAGCCACCCCCGGAAAGACGCCATTCGATCTCACCCAGACCTTCGAGCCAGGTGATACGGGTTTGCGCAGGTACTTCGAGCTGCTGGAGTTGGGCCGCGAGGGCCGATAAGATATCGGCTAGAGCGAGACCCTTGGTAGCCTTGAGGGTTTGTACGGTGTTGAGGCAAGAGGTAACGTCGCTGGTGGACAGGATAGTGGTCATGATTTGTTGGATATCTGCCGGGTGGGGAGCGGCAATGCAGTCATAAATTGTTGCGTTGGTGACAATCTCGGGTTCGGGGCGAGGTGCCTGTGGCGCGTCTCTCATAGGGAGAGGAATACCTGAAAAGGATATATTCGTCAATGGAACTGTCCAACTGTCCATGGTCAAAAGGGGAAAATAGGCAACATACTGCTAGCAAAGCAGGCTTGAAGCACGTTCAGTGCCCGTCGCATGTCACCCTTGCTCAGGGTTACTAAACTGTCAACCGCATCGGGTTGTATTTTGACACCCTCCTTCTCAATCACTTGATCCACTAGAACTCGAATATCTGCCTCCTTGAGAGGACTGAAACGGAATCGAGTACATCGTGAAAGAAGCGCAGGGGACAGCTTATGTGTGTAGTTGGCAATGATGCAGAACCGAGTGTTCGCCGTGTAGCGTTCCATAATGCGACGGAGAGCCATTTGGGCGGTGGAAGTCATAGCGTCCGCCTCATCCAGAATAATCAGCTTGTATCCTGCGAGATTTTGTCCGCCGGAGGCCTGGGGTGCCATGGAGAAGATTTGTTTTGTGCCTAGGTTTCGATGAGCAGGTATTCCAGCGAGAGAAGGGTCATCCACGAACTTGCAAAGGTCTTGATCTGCTCTCGAACCACATCGATACCACGGTCATCACTGGCGTTCAATTCCAACACCATCTGTCGCATGTTCTTGGTGCCATAGATTCGTCTCGCCAGGGCGAGAATAGTAGAGGTCTTTCCAGTTCCGGGAGGGCCATAGAGCAGGAGATGGGGCAGCCGCTGTACAACACGATCAGTCAATTGCTCTCCGTCTGCGTAGGTAGGGTAGTCCTACATTCGTATCCACGAATCGATTGATGGTAGCGAGGATGTCTTGATGGCCGGACACATCGTCCAGGGTGTTTGGTCGATACTTCTCTACCCTGTGCAGTCATTAGCAAGTTGCGCGATCACAAGACTTGGTCCACATACCAGGGAAGGTTATCTTGAGCTTGAATCGGCAAATCTGCGACGGTTCTCTTTTTTCCACTGGCGTTGTCGGAACTGAACTGCACATCCTTGGGCGCATCCACGTCCATTTCATCTTCGTAGTCGGACATTATGAATGGTCAAAGTTATATTCTGGGATCGAAGAGAAATACGCCAAAGTGCACGTCAAGCAGGACAAAGTTGGGAAGTCGGACGCGTGAGCGCGTAAAGAGGCTCGGGGCGGAAAATCATGGAGCTTGGGGGAGACTCCACAGATGACATCCTGCCTAACGTCAACTCGTTCCTCCTCCACCACCTGTCGACAATTCCCCTGTTGTTGCCACCTTCTTCAATATGCCTGTATGAATGACTGCTTTCGCTTGTTGCAGAGAACTCCCTATTAACTTCCAATGCAGGCATACCACTCCATCTTCCTGGAGGACCGCGATGTCCCTGTGATTGGTACGAGATCCCCCCCCCCCAAGTGCAGCACAGCAGCCCAGCAACCAGATAGCACAGTACAAATCACCATGCAGAATCCCAAATTGACTGTCGCATGTTTTTTATATAGGAAACTTCCCTATCCTCCCTCTCCGGACTCGCACTCGTGGCCCCGCATACACATTGCCCCCGCTTCCCAACACCGACGACCTTGAAGTCACCCCCGAAAGTGAATCATATGACTGTGTAGACGAGATCTTGTCACTCTTCCGTGCCAATGTCCTTTTCCGCAACTTCGAGATCAATGGTCCCGCCGACCGCATGCTCATTTACGGAACCCTGTTTATTAGCGAGTGTCTTGGAAAGGTCAAGCCGACAATGAATGCCCGTGAAGCGGAAAAGGTAGGCTGCATACCGGACAGAGGATGCTAGTGGAATGGAGTCTGACATCGAATCATCTATAGGCCCTGATCAATGCCTCCCTCGATAACTTTGCAATCCCCGGTGATGTGTCGTTCCCTCTGAACCAGGCCTTTGAGCCCCCACGCGATCGTCAGGACGCCGAGAGTCTTCGCCAGTATGATCTTTGCCCTGTGTCAGTACGGTTTGGTCCGAGTTAATCGTTGTATCAATTATAGGTATATCTCGCAGGTGCGACAGGAGATTGCGACGCGCCTACATGCTAGATTATACCCCGGTGGCGTTGGGCCCTCCAAGGTATGTCCAAAGAAAGTCGGAACAAGGTCAACTTGCTGACACAAGATAGTTCTGGCTTAGTTTCACGAAGAGAAAGTTTATGGGCAAGAGCCTGTAAACACGATCGTTGCTGTATATTGTTTGATGAAATTCAGCGCATGAATAAACTTGATATTTGATTCCATGATTGCGATTTATCCCGGAGTAGTGGCCTTCAACCTCACCAGGGCATTCTGATAGTTTCTCACTGTGCCACACAGATACAGCGCAATGGTTACGAATCATTCATGCACTGCTTGATCAGTTTATGATACTGGTACATTGGCAATACTATTCTATCTATTTTGAGGGCATCATTCATTAGAGAAGGGCGTCATCTCCACATCCTGATCACTAATCGGGGTAGAGGCAGATGCCGGGCCCGAGTCAATCTTTCGGCGCTTGCGAATATTGCCAGCAGCCTGGATATTTTGCGTAGTGGGGAACACTCGAATGCCGTGGAAGAGGTATCCCTCTGCACCACCACGTCCCATCATGAGAGGGTGGGTTCGGCCGGGCAGCACTTGCCAAGGGCGGATACGCGATGTCTGCAATGTAGGCGGGAGAATGAGCGTCGGGTCAACCACGAATTCTTCGTAGAGGGACGACAGATCTGGGGTTTCTCCTCTGGGAGTGCTCTCTTCCATTTCGCGCTTGCGGTGGATGAAAGCCGTCCTGCGGGCGGTGGAGTACATGTCTGTCAATTGAACCAGCGACTCGACTGTTGGCGAGTAAATAGCGATTGGAGCTGAGCCTGCAAGCAGAGGAACGAGTGTCTTCAGGATGCTAGCTGGATCCAACAAGCTTGATACGACCAAACCGTCAAAGTCTCCTGCGCGCGACTCGTCGACCACGTTCTTCACTCGCTCCCATCGGTTGCGCTTGTGGTAGTATGACGTGCGTTTGCTTTGTTTCAACTCGGTCAATTCTTCGGCGGGTAATGCGGGTGGTTCGTTGGTGTAGAGTGGATCAGAGTTCGGGTCAACCAACTGCATCCAAGAAATGGTTTTGAGGTGAGTGTGAAGTGGGTGGGATTCATCAGGGTTGTTGGTATCGTAGCCGAAGTATTTCAAGAGAGACAGATTTGGCTGTGAGTAGGCGTGGACCACGGTGATTGTGTTGGTTGTGGCAGACATGGGCTGAGGTCGAATGCGTCGCTGTTTCGGTGCAGTCTCATCTGGTGTTTCTTCGGTGTTTTCACTTTGTGGAACGGGCTCTTCCTCCTCCTCCACATCTTCCTCGGCATCGTGAGGATATAGAATTCCCATGCGCTCGGCCATGGCAGCGACCACAAGCCCACCAGTCTCATCGACTATGAAGTAACGGCCATGGGGCTTCATACCTGGTTCCACTTCAACATTTCCACTGTGATGCACATTGCCCCAGCATCCAATCAAACCAATATGTTCGTCCCGAAGCTCCATGGACTTGGACGCATCTCGCTCTTCCAGCAAGAAGTTGGCGAGCAGGCTGACGTCCAGTGGATAGACGGTGAATCGCTTCATATACTTCTTACGCTTGCGCAGGGTGTATTTCGCAAGTGAGAATGCGGTCTTTTGGTCCAAAGCTGTATGCGACTCGAGGAGCTTTGCGACAATCTCTCGTCCTGCGCCACCCGCTTCTTTTTTCAATTCTTCGATCTCCTCCACAGTTAATTTCTGGGTCGATCGTTCGTCAATCGTCTCGCGATTTGTTCGCATAGGTACACCGTCTTCGCCAGTCTCGATGTCATCTCCATCGCCCTCGCCTTCTGTGAGTAGTGTCTCCGCATGCAGCTCGGTGGCTGTCACGACCCGTAGTTGGTAGCCACTTTCGTCGCGCGAGTCCAGGATCTCGAAAGTGAAGTAGAGTGGTCGCCCGATAATCTGGTTGGCCGCAAAATTGCCATATTTGCCCAAGCTCACGATTCTGATGCTCGGTTAGATTGATGGAAATTTCCCCGCATAGAATAGCGACACTCACGTATCGGGGACAATTTTGACAATTCTGGTCTGGTCCGAGGGTAGCTTGACCGCCACAAACTGATTTGGACGAATAAAGGAATGCATGGCGCTGGTGTACTGTAGCAAGCCCTCAAAGCTCACAAAAATATTCGCGACTTTTATTGGAGATAAGGTCCAATCAGAGAGGAAGAATTGGGAGGCTCGGATTATTGAATGATCCGATAGTGGCCTTGCTGCCTTACTGCCTGAGTCAGGCAGCCACCACGTCATTGGCTGCGGTACCATACCATACCATACTTTACCATTGATTCCCAGATCTTCGCATTACAACCTGATCTGCTTCTCCAATACTGTGTAATTCCAGTACATGGGGGAATGCGGGTGCCTGTTCTGATCTATCGGCGGTTGTATAAGTTCTAAGTTGACTTCTAAGCCAGACCAGTGAGGTGTAGCCTGTCCTCACCTTTTCCACACACCACTATTGTGGCGGCCTTGGTGAAATATGAGGTCAAATAAACTAAAATACGCCAAACAGGTCCAAACCATTGAGATTATCGAGAGCAGTGAAGGTGATGAACTCATAGTGAACGGTGGCCCACTCCTCATTCCCTTCCCTCTTGTTTCCGACCTGCGGAGCCTCCTAGAGAGAATGACATATTCATTGATGAGCAGTTCATCTGGGCAATTTAGTTCTCGGATTAATGTCTTCACGTTGGCGTGGCTTTGTCTAGTAGTGCCGCTTCGTAGTCAAATCCACAAGTATAGGATTTGCGTTGTCAAGCCAAGTGATGGCATGATTGCTAAATCCAATGAATGGAGATCTATTGGAACCAGAGCAACAATGAAATAGAAAGTATTGCATAGTGCCCAAATCCGATTGGAGCTGTTCGAACTTCATCTTTTCCTCCAATGCCACTTGGCTGGAGCTAGGCTGAGCCGCCTACCACTTACGTATTAAAGCATTTCGCCTCCCCTGCAGCCGCAAGGCGTTTTCCCTACATTTCTATCCTGATGGCTGATTCTGCTGCTTCTGTTTTTTCTACTTCTGCTTCTCGTTTCAGTAGTGCTTTCACGGGTTGATTTGCGCATATCCTCATTCTTGAGCTCCTGCGAGCTAGTAGCCTTCCGTGGAACTCGACGCGTACCCCAACTTGCACCCCCCGAGGTCAAAGGACGTCTTAATGGGCCTGCGCAAACAGCCCCCACCGCGTCTTGAGAACCTTACGAAATCCACCTCACGGTCGAAAGCACGATCGCCGACTTCCCCTTCCAACTCCTCCTCGTCCCACCGCCCGGGCCGTTTGAACCACTTCCCCTCCGAGGACCCCATCTATTCGCCCGACCTCAATACTTCACCTGCCTTTGATCTGATGCCACTCGAGGAGGCACAGAGGTCGCCGGTGGGCTCTCCGGCCAGCCACCCGCCGAATTCATGGCCTGATCACCCCCGGTCTGACCCCAGCCACCCCAGGCAGAACCAATACGATCAGTATGCGGGGACTTCCTATGATACCACCACCAGCCCCTGGGTTCCGCCTGAATTGATGGCAGGTCAACATACAGGGGCTTCGGAGAATGTATGGCGTTCAAATAATACCGGCGATGCCTCCGCGGGGGAGCTACCAGTGCCGCTACAATCCAACAACCCGTTCTTGAAGTCTCGACCAGCCGAGCAGACCCAGGATCTTTTGGACCGAAATGAGTGGGGGCGTGATTCGCAGGCATCGAACAGTGAGCCACTGGGTCAGAGTATGCCAATTTTGTCCTGTCAATATGGCTATTGAACTAACAGCCCCCCAGCCGAGGGATACATCCCAATGACTGCGCGATTGTCTCTTTTAGACGAGCCAGAACAGAACTCTCCATGGAATGAAACCCTTCATAACGACCAACGCCCTGTGCTGGATGGTCATCATCTTGACAACAATTCACCATGGGGATCACAACAATCCATCAAAGTTTCAGCGCCGCAAGATATATATGCACAAGACGAATCGAATCCGTATGCACCGGCAGTGGTTGTCCAGCAATCTGAGCCGTCATGGGGAACTGAATATGATCGTACGAATCATACTCAATCCACGCATACTGGAAGGCTTGGATCAGATGCCGGAATCAACACTCCCTCTGTAACCCTTTCTACTGCAACCTCGGCTACATCCCATGAACTGATCGATCTTGAGGATGCGGACCCTTCAAAACATCTGGGGTACGAAACCGGGTCTCGCGCAGCGTCTTCAGTCTACTCGTCGGAAGCTCTCGCCAAAGGAGAAAAGCCGATGGACACTGGAACACAAAATCCGATGTCCACCACAGCACAGTCAGGGCTTGCAGTGGAGAAGCAGCTGCAACCCCAACCGAGCCCCGTCCTGTCCGACGCGGAGGCTGCGCGACAAATGGAGCAGAGATCCGAAACTTATACCATTCGTCATGTTCGTTGGACGGATTCTACGGGCGAATTAGTGGAATCTCCAATACTTGTTCAAAACCAAAACGGACCTTGTCCATTGCTGGCACTGATCAATGCATTGGTGCTACGGGCAGACCGTAAGGTTCAGCCACCAATTGTGAGGGCCCTGTCAAGTCGCGAGCAAATCTCGCTGGGACTTTTGATAGAGGCAATGTTTGAGGAGCTGACCACTTGTCTGGGCCCTGATGAGGAGTTCCCGGACATTGAAGCTCTTGCGCAATTTTTGACTATGCTTCATACTGGAATGAACGTTAACCCACGGTTGACCCTGGAATCCACTGATGGATTTGGCTGTTTCCGTGAAACCACTGATCTTCGGCTTTACAGCACATTTGGTGTCCCCTTGATTCACGGCTGGGTAGCTTCGTGGTCTAGCCCTACTCATGCTGCGATGACACGAACCGCGCAGTACCACGAAGATATCCAGCTTCTACCCTTCCGCAGACAGGACTTTGAAGAACGGGTGACACGGGGCGAATCCCTCACATTTGAGGAAGAGAGCACCATGGAGGATATTCAAAATATCCAACGTTTTGTGGAAGTCGACAATGCGACACAGTTAAGTCCATTCGGCCTTACACAGTTGTCCACCATCCTCATTCCGGGCTCTGTCTCAATTCTCTTCCGCAATGATCATTTTGCAACACTCTACAAACATCCGCAATCTCACCAACTCTACACTCTGGTCACCGATGCCGGTTATGCAAGTCATGCGGAAGTGGTCTGGGAGTCGCTAGTGGATGTGACCGGATTCAATACAGAATACCTTTCGGGCGACTTCCGTCCCGTCGGCGCAGGTCCCTCCGCACCATCCCCCGTGGCTGCTCCCCGCACGTCCAGTGCAGCCGCCAGTCCTGCAGAGGATGCTTCAGGCTCTTCGGAACCATCCCAAGAGCAGAGCGATGCCGATTATGCGTACGCCCTCTCGCTCCAGTTCCAGGAGGAGGCACAACGTGAAAATGACAGCAACCCAAATCCACCACTCCCTGATCGTCGCGCCTCGGCTAGGCATAGTTCTTCCAGTCGACCAACACCTTCACCCCGCATGAGCAACGTGCCTAACCGATCATCGAGCGTGCTCAACGGGGCGGGCCCTCAACCCAACCCGCCACCCCGGGAAATTGACCCTGACGATCCCAACGCGCCCCCTCCTCCGTATGAACAAGCTGCCGGTGGTCCACGGTACTCGCCTCCCGATAGAAGATCGTATGGTGGTGCGGCGAATCAGTATCCTGGAAACCGCAACTCGCGCAGCCAATACCCCGCACATCCCCATCGTTCGCGGCCCTCTGTGTCTTCTGGGACCGATCGAATGAACAGAGATCGGAACAAAGATTGCATCGTCATGTGAGCCCTGTCCGATGAGCCACCGCGTGCATATTTCGACATTTTCGCTTTTTTTTTTGGCTTTTTTTGCTGCTTTTCAATACGGCTAATGCTCTATGATGCAATGAATATAACGACTTGATACGCATAAAGGAGGCCATTGGAACTGTAGACTTGATTTTCCTCGGGGATTCTTTGGCGTGTTTCCCTATGTTTCCCTATGTTTTCCTGATTCTCCACGGGCTCTACAAACCAACACGGACCCAGTCCGCTCTGCAGGGGTTCAATATTCAGGAACTCTCAAGCGAGGCCTATATTGCGCGACTCTTTCCGGACTGGTCCGGTGTGGAAATTAAGGAGCAACTAGTAGATCCACCAATAAACGTTTTGCGAACTAGAGGCGCCTTTTCCTTGCCAAGTCTTCAATATATGGCCCCGTCAAGGCCAAACTTCGGAGTTTTACTCTATTTTTCTCAGACTTTTTCTTCTTGTTCTTCATCAATCATGCAGGTCGGTCCGCCGGTCCGATTCGACCAGGGCAGAGCAAGTTCCGGGGAATTTTCCTGCAGAAGTTGGATCTCTCGCGTGGAAGCCTGGTATAGTCGGGATCCACTCCGTGTCTCTCAAATGGCCTGTTTGAGGATGGAACTAAGAATCATTAGGTGGTGATGAATGAACTGGATAGCTCGCGCCACTGGGCACTTTTAAATGAATGTGTCTCACGGGTTCATTTAGGTCGGCTCTTTCGCTGGTATATATATCATCTCGCATCTGGAAGCCAAAAATAGGGAAAAAAACAGAGTATATATAAGAAGCTAGAGCTTTGCTGTCCAGACAATCGTCCTAACAGCAGACTTCATAATGCAGATTCTTCTCTCTGGTGCCCTTGTGGCCCTGGCTGGAGTAGCCCAAGCCCAAGTAGGAGGCTACGGCCAGTGTAGGAACCTTTCTCTTCACCTCCCACCCAAAGACACTAACATCTTCTCTAGGTGGAGGAGAAGGTTATTCTGGAAGCACAAGCTGCACCGCCGGCTATGTCTGTGCTTCACAGAATGCGTGTAGGTGCTGAATCCTGTCTCCTGGAACTATACTGAGACAGCTCCAGGGTACTATCAGTGCATTCCAGGCACAACAAGCAGCAGCAGCACAACCACAGCTGCCACAGTGACGACCACTTCCACCACCAAGGCAACAACTACGTCGACCTCCACCTCAACTACCAAAACAACGGCCCAGACTGCGACTACTACTGCCACTGGCACTGCTGCCGGAGGTGCGACGTGCACGGGAACATTCAGTTCGATTTCCGCCTCAACCTTCGTTTCCAACCTTCACCCGGGATGGAATCTGGGAAACACCCTCGATGCTGTTCCGGATGAGGGCTCTTGGAACAATGCTGCTGTCGTGGCCTCGACATTTGATACTGTGAAGACTGCTGGCTTCAAGAGTGTTCGTATCCCGGTGACATGGGCGTATCACTTTACAGGAAGCTCGCCTGACTGGACGGTGGATGCAGCCTGGCTGCAGCGAGTCTCTGATGTTGTGGACATGGTCACTTCTCGCGGATTGTACGCCATTGTTGATGTGCATCACGGTAGGACCATATCACAATACATGTGAGATCAATAGGGACTGACCGAGAACAGATTCGTGGATTTGGGCTGATGTCACTCAGTCCGGCGCCAATCTCACCATGATCGAGGAGAAGTTCTACCGACTGTGGTATCAAATTGGAACCAAGTTGGCCTGCAAGTCCAACCTTGTCGCCTTCGAGTCTATCAATGAGCCCCCGTGCAATACTGCAACCGATGCGGCAGAGATCAACAAGCTGAACAAGATCTTCCTTCAGGCCATCAATGATGCTGGTGGTTTTAACTCCCAGCGAGTCGTTAACCTCAACGGTGGTGGCCAGGATAGTGTCAAGACTTCGCAGTGGTTTGAAGCTCCTACTGGATTTTCGAACCCGTATGCAATCCAGTTCCATTACTACAGTCCCTGTGAGTCTTCCAACACGTTTGAGAAAGTTTGCACAACTGACCGCCCCTTTTTCTTCTTTCTAGATGACTTTATTTTCAGTGCTTGGTGAGTGTGCAGATATAACAACTTATCCAACTCGTTGCTAACCCTAAGCAGGGGCAAGACCATCTGGGGTTCGGACAGCGACAAAGCCACCGTAGAAACAGACTTCCAACTGCTCCGCAGCAACTTTACCAATGTTCCTATTATCTTGGGAGAATATGATGCATCGCCCACCAACACCGAGCCCGCTGCCAGATGGAAATACGTCGACTTCCTGATCAAGACAGCCCTCAGCCTGGATATTTCCTGCGTCCTGTGGGATAATGGACTGGATCATCTTAACCGTGATACCAAGACCTGGAGAGATACCAACTCGGTTTCCATGATCACCAAGTCTACTGAGTCTACTGCCAACAGTTTGCCTGATAGCACGGAAGATGGTTCTGCGACTACCCAATCTTCTTCGGCCTATATCTTCCACCAATACGGAACTGCCGTTGCCGCGTATACCTTGCCCTTCATCTTCAATGGCAATACGCTTTCGTCGATTAGTGATTCCACCGGGTCGACTTTAGTCTCTGGAACTGACTATTCTGTTTCGGGTGCCAATATCGTCTTCACAGTATCTTACCTGTCAAAGCATCTCTCGGCTACAACAGCGCCAGGCGTCGTTGCTACCTTGACCCTGAAGTTCTCTGGTGGTGCTTCATCACCTATTGTACAGATTGTTCAGTGGAAGACGCCCACCTTGTCCAGTACATCGGCTGTGGCATCTTCAGTCTCTGGATCCGACCTCTCTATTCCCATCACCTGGGGTGGACTTCCTACTATTGCGGCAGTGAAAGCTCTCACCAAGAGTGGAACATACTTGGTTGATGACTGGACTCAGTACCTTGGCCCTATCCAGCAATCCAGAATTGTAAGTTTAAGCCTTGTGTTCGTTCTGTGTGCTGTTTGCTAACTGTTCTATTTAGACCTACAGTGGCCAGTACAATTGGGATTCAACCAATGTGATTCTCACTTCGTCCATTATCAGCTCTGTCATCTCTGCCGGCCAGTCGACTGTCTTCACAATCGAATTCTTCCCGCGGGATAATGGTGCTGTGAATGCTGTCAACTTCACTTTGACCGTTTAGTGTTATTTCCAGCAGTGGGAATGCTGCAGACAGCAAGTTTTTTATTTTATTCTACTTTAGTTCTTGATTTTAATTACTGTATAATTTCGCCAGTCAAAGTTTTATTATATAAACGAGTAGCTCGTAGCTCTGGACCTGTTATAAACTTATATCATTAAATCATTGAATCATCAAATGCCATTCACATCTTCCCAAATCAATACAGAATCTTCCGCTCTCGTAGTGGAAGATGGGGATCGTATTTGTCCCACACGATCTTATTTTTCTCATCTAAGTGGGCACCTTCATCCGTGATCCTGATGATAGACTCGGTTTCCATGATCTCATGACGACTGAAGCCCCATTTATCGCGTGGGATCCATAAAGTTGGTGGTGGAGATGCAATGCACGGTTCAAAGTACGCCGTTCGCATTTCCTCCGGCGTGTATGAGACCTCAGCCACGTTGCGGCGGACCTTTCGGCGCAATGCTGCGTAGTCTCTATAGACGTTTGGATGGAACCATTTCCAGAAGGCTAATGCGCGGGAGTTTCTGCGTTGTTCGTTAATTTCTGCCAGGACGTCTTCTTTCTCTTGGAGCATTTCTTCTTCGGCATCGAGTGATCGTGGGAGGAATGTGTTCAATGGGGCTAGTGCTTCGTTCAGGGACATGTGTGCTAGGATGTTGACAATGAGGAAAATGACCATGATGATCACTGGACCGATCGCACCCTTGATGGCACAGAGACCAATTAGGCAGATTTCAGCCAGATAAAGACCTGTCAATAGATGCTGTAGAGCTCGTGGGTAGACTAGACCCTTGGTGTCGATCTCAATGTCGTATACGAAGAGGAAGTTGTAACGATAAGCCTGGTACACAAGATATAGACCGACGAATGCAAAGCCCAAAATCAAAGGTGCGATGCACGAGTACGTCAATGCTATATGAATTCTTAGTGAGGACCTCCATCTGATTGAAGCATCAATTACTCACCAATCACAGCCATGTTGGTGAAAACGGGAAACACATTGCCCCAACTGAGACTTCCTAGCTCTGCCCACCGTTGAAATAGACGACGCGGGGAATAAGCAAAGAATGTCGTGACAAACTTGAAAACCAAGGCGCTGGCAATCTGAACAAGAGCCATCGAACTCATGCTCAAACCCTGCAGCATGAAGTAGGAGATGTAGAAGTTGGTAGCCTTCGGTAGATTCTGTGCCAGAAGGTCTTTGACTGACAGAGGATCCTTGACAATTTGCGCCGTAGCAGCTGATGCGGCCGATGTCAATGTGGTAACTAAGAAAACTTGAACTACCTGAAAGACGAAATGGGCACTTTGCGTGAATAGTTCAACCCGGGCCGTTGATGGGACTCCTGCCTTCCTGGCACATACTGGTCAAAGAGTTAGTTTGGCTGCATGAAAAGAATATGTCCTTGAAACATACCACGACAAATTATTGGAACCAATGCCATCAAAGCGGCTAATGCTGCAGACGGCAGGAGACCCTCAATTGCGCCAGTGATAAAGCTGGGCAATTTCAGGATAAATTTGAGAAAAGGGATCAGAGTGCAAATATAGCTGATGTTTGAGATTGCACCAACGATGGCCGAGGGAAACGACCAGAAGACGACCAATACCGCAAGGAATCCTTGGACTGCAAATCTGCGGATAATTCGTTGCCACCAGCTCAAATTCAGTGCCGACCATACAACTTCCCGAGGTGACACACCAACGAAACGCGGTGTCATATGGAACGGTTGGTGGTGAGAAAGAGTCTGCAAGGCAATTTGCGCATCGGCTTGGCTGCCAAATTCCACAAAAATTGCAGAAAGCTGCTTCACATCACCAGCCTGGTGCTTTGCTTGGAGAATAGACACTTCCTCGATCTTCTTTGCAAGCTCGGTCCGATACCAGTGAATAGAGTCAACTTTCTTGCCAAAGAATTTAAGACGATGTATGGGTCGCTGGACCTTGTGAGACCAGGCAGGATTGCTTGACTCGCAGTCCAGGCATGTGTCGACTTCCAGATCGCCCTTTTTGATCGCACTTATGCGAGCCTTGTTTGCTCGTCGGATAAGCTTGGTCTCGGCGGTTTCCAACTTTTCAGCTAGACTATCTCGATCCCCAACTAGCGATTTGAGCTTGGAGCAGTCCGAGGTGATCCAAACATTGCGGATAGATCCTCCAAAAATTTGGCGCAACTTCTTCTCATTCTTGTACGCTTCGGGTACAGACATGAAGAGGAGAGTTCGAGATGAAATTCGAGATGCATATGCCGGCGAGTTGAGGTAGGCCTGGCGCAAATTTGCATAATACAAACTCTCTCTGGTGACGACGTAAAACACAAATGCTAAAAATATCAGTAGTTGCTAAAGACTGCAAGCAAAAGGAAGAGAAATGAGCTTACTGAAGTACACGCAACCCACAATCACATTTGCATAGTATCTACTGGAATCCTTGATGTTGCTGAAGCTTAGAATATCAAGCTGGTTGTTACCACCACCGCCGGTAGCATGAATGGGCAGTAGAATGGGCCATGTTATCAGGCAGCCGGTCAGACATGTCGCCGCCAATACTCGCAGGAACCGCAGAAAGAGATACCCATCAAGAGAGGAGTGGTGCAGAACATGGTTGTCCTCAATTTTTAAGAACGTCCCAACCCAGTTCACCCAGCCAGAGGGCAATTCTGGACTCCTTTCATGTTCATGCAAATCAGGCAGATGCGACCTTGGAGCGTACCATCGGCGCTGCGTGCGTCGAAATATCAGAAAGAGACTAACCCAGAAAATAGCGTATACCAGAGCTGGTAACAAAGTCATCACCAGCGCTGAGCCAGAGGAGCCACCACCGCCAGTTAGGCTACTGACAGCATCGCCTGTGGTGGACGACGCGTCGCCACGAGACGACCCAACATTTGGGTCGCTATTTGCATCCTTCGCACGAAGTTAACGACACTCTATGACAGCAAGCTAGAAACCAACGTACCAATGGGTTCGACATTGTGATTGCGCCTTAACGAAATCCCAGAGGAAGCGCGGGTATATCAACTCAGAAAGTGACAGAGAACGGCCTGTACGCGGTAATTTCTCCGTCAATGCGAAAAAAAGCAATTTCGCCCCTCTCTAGGTCCACACTTTGGACCTGTCATTACTGATGAGATAGGCACATTGCACATCGTGCGCTGCAAAGCTGATAGGTGGGTCGATTCGAACCCAAAATCTCTCGGGACGCGTTAGTCGCTCGTCGATCCGATAGTTTGCGGGTCTCAAGGCACACTCCCCTCGACTTGAAAAAAAGGAGACGGCATGGCATGTCCACTTGACTGGTCTTGCAAAAGTTTGACAGCCAGGAATTCATACTGAATGGGCAAGTCAGATTCAGCTTGTTGGGTGGAGCACGCCGATCGCCTGAACTACTGTACTGTAGGTTCATGCACGTCTAGACCAATGAACCCAAAGCCGAGGAGGCATACTGCATGGGACTCTGCATGAATTTGCATCTGAAGTCTGCATCCGGGAGTGGCCGATGTCGCACAAACATTCCCATTGTAGAGAGTTCAACTGATTTGCGAGGCAAGTCCCAGCCTCCTGAGAGATGATCTACAACGCCAGTTAGCTGCGACATCTTGATCGACTCTGTGGCCCCGGGTCCTGACTGTTATTGTGTTGTATGTGGGATGCAAGGGAGAGAATTGACTAGCGGTGGCCACGGGGTGGAATGTGACATGCTGCACTGACAGGCGAGGCCATGCAGTCACATTGATTGGGACTCGGAACGTGCTTCCAGTGATGTCGACTTCCTATGATGCATCGCATTGTCTCATATATCGATCTCAGCCTTGTAATCTGACACCTGGCAACGCGGACTGATCGACTCAAAGGTGTGCCGGAGCACTGGAAGCTGGTCGAGAGCAAACCTTGGGCATGACATAACCTCGACCATTGCAAGATTTAGTTTCGATAGAACGGAGCAAAGAAGGAAAAAGCAGGACTGGCTTGTATTTCATCTGCTCGGCGGTGAGGATCAAAGCACGTGTTGTCTCTACACTTCCCATCGTCGACGGGGAGTCCTGCAAGTATTCAAGTTCCGTATTCTATTGGTTGAAATTATGTACAAACCCAGAAATACTATCGCTCTGGAGGTCTTTATTTTATCCAATGCGCTTTCCGACCATCACACTAACTTGGAGGCTGGCGATTCTCCTTGGACACTGGCAAGAATTTCGTGTGAGAGCCAGTCGCAACCAGAGGACCGAGTTCACCGTCGACAACCCGGGAAATCTTGATGGTAGTAAAGGCCATTGATTTCCCGACACGATCGGCTACTGCGTGAATGTTCAATACATCACCAGCGTGGGCCGTAGATAGATATGAAACATGTATATCCACGCTGGCACCAGTCTTCTCAAATCCGTGGGTTGCAATGGCCATGCCCCCGGCCCAATCCATGATCGATGCAGATACTGCTCCATGGATAGTACCACGAGAATTGACATGATCGGGAGTGAGGTTCAGACGCGCCTGCATCTGGCCGCAAGTGGCGCTGACAATCTCGACATCCGAGAGAAGAAGTCGATAGATGGCACTGTCGTTTTTGGTTCGTGCCCAAACCCCACGCACATGTTCTACTTCGGGCGTGCTCATTGTGAATATGCAAGGAGTTCCAAATGCAATGTATTCGAATTGATCGAGCAGATGGGAGTAGAGAGCGATGAAAGACAAAGGTCCAGTTTGTTGGGAGAAGAAGTTTTGTTTGCAAGTCGGGTTCTTCCGCGCGGAGAGAGCCGCGGAGCGGAGCGGGGCCGAAAACTATCAGATTTCGCATACTACTAACTTATACTGTAGGTCCTCTTTGCTTCTTTCCACCCCCCAATCATCTGCATACTGGGTTCTTGAGGGCTGAAATGAAATAGATCTCAATATCTACTGTATTCCAGCTGCTGCATCTCACACCTCTACTCTCCTTATTCCTGTCCATTGGCCAAAAGAATGCGACCACCGTCAACGCAGAGCGACACCCCGTCTACATAGGACTTTGAAAAGTTTGTCAGATACCCAACTTAACAATTTGATAGAGTGAACTTACCCCTGCCTTGCTGACAAGATACAAAATGGTACCGGCAATGTCCTCAGATCTCCCAGCGCGCTTGGCCGGGACCTTGTCGAATAAAGAACTGAAGATATTTCCCTCGGCTCCAACAGGATTCATATTACTCGGCACAACTTGAAAGCCTAGTGTATTAGTAGAATACCTTGGTTTGCTTCTCTTGTGCACTTACATCCAGGATTGATTCCTATGACGCGCACATAAAATCGATTATATTTCGCGGCCAGCAATTTCACCAGATGATCGGTCGCAGCTTTGCTTGTTGCATAGCTGGTCAAATCCACATTGGTGACATTATGCATACTTGCACAGGAACTGGTGACAACTATCACACCTCTTCCTTCATCGCGACCTTTGATGCCATTGCTCATTTCTTGATCGGCCGCAGCCGCGAGCAGGGGTAGAAAAGCAATGCTGAGATAGTAGTGGGACGTGGTGTTAACTTTGAATGTGTTGACCCAAGCAGACTCGTCCATAGACCACATTGAAGCTTGGAGCTCAGTGAGTGGTGCTGTCAGCACATTGCAAGCTGTGGGGGGATCGCGGCGAATGCCTGCGTTTGAGATGAGCATATCAATGGTTTTTTCTTTCATTGTGATTGCCCTAGCAAATTCAAAGATGAATTCCTTTGACGAAACATCACAAGAGAAGCTTGAAATAGGGTATCAGTTGTAATCTGCCAGATCAAATAAAAGACATACCCTTCTGCATGACCTCCAGATCCTTTCCCCAGCTCGTTCAATGCGTCGACTATCTCCGTTATTGGATCGGTTGGAAGAGCTACCACGTAGACCTTGGCCCCATTCGTCACCAGTCCCTATAGTATGTTAAGTTGGGTACATAATAGACACTGGTGAGAACTAACCTTGCAAATCATAAGCCCTAACCCACTGCTTCCCCCTGTAACAACGGCCACCCTACCTTTCACATTGAATAAATCCACAACTCCCAAAGAAGCCATATTTGATACATAAATATGAGTGATTGAAGAAAGTTTAGTCTTGCAGATTAATACAAACCGAACATGGCACTTTTAAAGCTCTTAAGCGGGGAGCCGACGTGACTGTCGGCCCATCCGAAAGCTCATATCACCCAGAGAGGAAACAAATTCGAACGATGAAGGATATGAAACAAAATGATTTATTCTTGCTTATAGTATCATTTGAAATGTGAAAACCAAATTGCAAGTCTAATTGTTCATACCGAGAATCATGCTCGTATAACTCTTGTTTCTCTGGCCGGACTCAAGAGCCACCACGGAGAGTACTGTAGTGAAAACGCCACTTTAAACTATCTGGATCATCATAATTCAGACATCCTGGCAATAATGGCTCCTACACTGACTATCATGAGTCTGTCCTGTGGAAAAGCAGCTTCGGTTCATATGGAAAAAGGTTACTGGTTTTCTATCTGCGAGTCTTTGCATCACCAAATCTTTGGATGAGTATTCTAGGGCAGCATTCAAACACATCATTGTGGAAGACAAAGGAGGGTATACATAGAATAGCACTTTAATTAAAATTCATTTGAGCTACCCAGATCATTCCTTGTAATGCTCCCGAGTCCGAACTTCAGCAGCATGCAGACATTCACTTGTCATCGCCCCGTCTCTAGGAATCAACTTGACTTTGAAATCCTTGGGAATCGCAACTAATGCTGTCTTGAACTGATTATACTCCACGTAGTCGGTATTCGGGGGGTTGCTCTCACTCGCAACGATCTTGTATGAGGAAATCAGCCGGAGTAATGCGGTGTAGAGTAAACGCGAGGCAATTAATTGACCAGAGCATGCACGCGATCCAGCACCGAAACTGAGGTGAAGTAAACCAGCTGCTTCTTTCTCGACTGGAGGATTAATAGATTCCAGCCATCTCTCTGGGTCAAATTTCCCTCCATTGGGTCCGAAGTGGTCAACATCTGTAAGGTTAAATTGTTAAAATGATATCTATACAGGTGCAGGGAATGAAATCAGACTTACCATGATTGCCAGCTTGTGCATTTATCAAGATCATCGTTTTGGGGGGGATAATGGCCCCATTCCAGTTCACTTCAGTCACTGTCTTTCGGGGAAGGCTCATTGAGCTGACAGTATAGTATCGACCAGCCTCTTTTATGATCGCATTGAGATAAGGCACCTTTTCTTCGTGGATCGCACTAGTCCAAGCCTCACGGATGTCGGGGTAATGCTTCTTGATGTCTTCATACGCGCGATCTTGCCAAACTTGACCCTCGGCCGTAGAAAGCGACCCGATAGCTGAAGTCATAGTTCCAGGGATTGTCTCAAAGCCACCAGAGACAAGCGAGAGGCAGATCGATGAGACTTCCACTCCGGACAGCTTTGTCTCCTCATCCTTCAGAATTGCAGCAGAGATACAAGGCTTGTCGGTTCCCTTGTTGATCATCTCTCGTACTTTATCGAGAAGGAGGTTGAGATATGTATCACGGCGCTCTCTGAGATCCTTTGATCGAGCGGTTTTCTCATTGTTGGGAAGATAACGAAGGATTGGAATGTAGTCTTGCAAGTTCTCCGAGGCACTTCTAAGCAGTGAGATCGCCGAGCCAACATGCAGGATCTCACGAAGAAGATCGTCGTAGACAGCATCCATGCGAATACCATAGCACAAGGTCAATGTGGTGTTGAGTGCATACCGTTGAATATATGGTCGAATGTTGAGTTCGGTGGTTCCGTTTGAACTGTCACGATAGATGTCGCGTACGATACAGTAGCTCTCCAAATCAAACATGGGGTGGTAGTTTCGAAGGGCTGGTCTTCCCAGCGCTGTTCCAGCTGCCTTTCTCTTCTTTTTGCATGACTCGTCCCACGGCGACGAACCAATAGTGAAGCCTTGAGTGCTACTAACGACACCATGGAAGGTGTAGAGCTTTGGCCTATCGATGATTGCATTTTGATGCCCGAGCATCATCTTCTTGCAATCATCAAACGAATTCACTACCACTGCCCGGGTGTTGCCCAGTTTGATCTGGAACACAGAGTAGCCATATTGCCGCCACCAGCCTTCACAAACACTTGCATGATCGTCGCCTAGCTTCAAGAGATGACCAAAGACGGGGACTGCTCCCGGGATTTCTGGTAGTCCCTTGATATGTGGAATGTCCGTTGCCAGAGTCCACTAGAATCCCGATTAGATACTGGATGAAGTAAGAGTGAGTTGAGTATGGGCGCGCTCACCTTGTAGATAAGATATATCAATGGAATGAGCACTAGAATATACGTTCGAGGAATGACTAGGAGGGACCCGTTATCTTCGAGTTGGAGGGTGGACATGGTGCTGTATCCTGGGGGTTGGGTCTACAGGAAGTATGGGTTCAAAGCCACGGCTGAAGCCCAGTTTTAAGTGTCGTTTGTACCGACACAATGGTAAGGACCAAACCAGCTGCCAATATCCAGCAATCTCTTAATTAGCAAAACTAGATTGACGATGCGATATGTTGGTTGATAGTAGCCCCTCATGTTGGTTTGCATTTCGGACAGTCCGACACAGCAGTTGCGCCTATCCAATTGGCCCAATCCTATGATAAGGCGAGAATTCTATGATCTCCCTGTTCAAGATTGAGGACAGATATCATATTTGAAATATATAATTCAGTATCCAAATATGGTAAAGTCCAAGGGCGCAAACAGACTACGGCTTCTGTTGTATGGAGTGATTTGTATCTCAAGTTTTGAGGGGAGAATACTTCCATTCAATCTAATCTTATTCAGATCCTGAACTAGCTCAAGAACTCTCCAATCCTGTCGTCCATCCACTGAGTATCTGTTGGGTTGCACCCACTGCCTGCAAGATGGCCCCAAATCGATGGAATGATAGCCAACTCGGCCTTTTCCATGAACGACACTTCCTTCTCACTTGCTTCCCATTTAAAATATTGATCGGTTTGACAGGGCATTACAAGTACTCTCGTTTTCAACTCTCCAAGTGCTTGTTCAAGCGGGATTTGTTGACCGCGAACAAGACCGAGATCGGATCGTTGCCACATCCCAAGCATGGCCAAAAGGTTATCAGGGTCCCAATCTTCGTAGTTCTTTCCACCGATGACTTCTCCCCATTCCTGAAGGGTTTTGAATCCTTGAGATTCAAAAAGACGCTCTTCGAACCACTCGGCGCTCGCCAACCAGGCAGAGTATGCGCGTCCAAAAGCATGAAGACCCCGAATAGGGGGGCGTTTCAAAGACCGTAAAGTCTCATCTGCATAGTCAATGGAATTCAAAAGAGCGGCTTTGGGCCCCTCGAGAAATTGATAGTTGTGCAAGCTCGTCCTCGCCGATGAACAGATTACAACTGCGTTGCGAACCATTTCCGGGTACATGGCTGCCCAATGATAGGCACACTGGCCTCCCATGGAAAACCCAAGCACCAGATCGAGATGAGATATGTTCAGGTGATCGAGGAGTAGTCTTCGCTGGGCTTGAACACAGTCCGCATAATCGAGCGACGAGGGAAAGTTGAGCGTATTGGATGGACTGGAGGATTCACCATTCCCAAATAATGCGACCACAATCACTCGATAGTCTTTTAAAGCCCCGTCCGAAAAGCTCCACGTGTTATTGATTCTTCCACGAAAACATGTCGGAACCAATGCGGTCGGTTTGCACGTTGGGTTGAGTACACGGTATGCTAGAACAATCGGGATTGTAGTTTGATCTATGAAGGTGAAGTCGTTCGCTTGGAAGTACTGAATTCCAGCGCTATCACGAGAAGACATTGTTTTGCGTATCAGTCACAAAATTAGTTGACTCGGAAGGAATCCTCTCTATTCAGATATATAAGATATTGGCGAACGGATAGGATTTTGTCATGTTCGAAGATCAGCTGGTCGGCGACTCCGACACGCTAAACACACATCTTCATTCTGTCTATACACGGACTAGATCTGCCGTCCCTCAGGACTCAAAAATGGCTGTCACCTTGATTTCCACTGCGAAATGAGGGTCTGGAAGTTCTCTGACTCCAATGGTCGCGCGCGCGGGAGCGCTGGCACGGTCGGACCAGATCTTATTCCATTCCTCGTTCATGTCTGCATATTGAGTTTTCATATCCAGAAGATAGACTGTAGCATCCACGACACTGTGCAGATTTGCCTTTCCGTCGGAGGCGCCTTGAATGATGCTCTCAATTCTGTGAAGAATAGCCGCTGTTTGCTCCCGGACATTGATGGTGAAACTGCCATCTGAATTTTCGGTGACCCCTTCATGGACCCCCTCCGGAGAGACTGCTGCAATTCCAGAGACGTAGATTGTGTGGTATGTAGAAGGCTGGACCACGCGCGCATGGGAATATCGCATCGACCCGACGCTTTGGGGGTCAAGGAGGAATGATCGGCCGTTGGGAGACATGATTTTCTGGAGATGATCAGATTCAAGGGACCACCAATGTTCTTGTTGTGTTATTTTTTTGGAACAGCCAGTGGAATGAGGAAGTCTACCCTTATATTGACAAGGGCTCCTCCACCAGTATAGCGGTCCCTCCGATGTGCAGTATAGATCGCGGTGGCGCCGAAATGGCTGGGGAAATGGTCTCCGATCCCCCAACTAGTAGGGACTCAAGATAGAAAGGGCCATGACCGTATTTCTGTCCATTCCTCTGTATGGTCTTGCAATGGCCTCATGCGGGTCTCCGATCCAACCTCTCATCAGAGGCAGTGATTCTCCCAGTGTGCGGCGTAATGCCAGCCTGTACATACACATACCGTACACTCGTCTTTCTCGACCGAATGCCACTTGACTTTTGCTTCTTCGTAGGACCATGAATTCCAGGATTGTCAGGATTGCCAGGACTGCCAGTGTTGCAAAGGCTGCAAAGGTTGTAAAGGTTCAAATCCCCCGGCTTATCTCGAAGCTATCGGATTGGGCAAAGCGTCTTTCCTATCTCCCCCGCACAACGAGCTGCGAGGCTTTGGGCTTCTTCACAGTCATGGACTATGCGAGGGCTGAGAGCTCCTGCAAAAGATGTCATCGCAGGAAGAAACGTTGCGACAAAGTCCTGCCGGCGTGTAAAGCATGTCGGCACGCCAAGGTGGAGTGTAGTTTTCTAGAGGACGAAACCCAGGTCGCCTCATACCCTGTCGCGTAAGTCAAGAGGTGGACGATTCAAGATATGTGCAAAGAACTAATTGTGTCTAGTTATGTCCGGGGCTTAGAGCTTCGGGTCAAAGAGTTGGAGCAGCAGCTCACATCATCCTTGACGCCCCAGGATTCACACGAGCCATTGTCAGGTCCCTGGGACCAAGAGGCGGATATCGGCTTGGAGGAGGATTTTCTACTGTCGACTAATCCAATAGCTTCCTCGCCTCAGCAAGGTCCGAATCATAATGGAAGCGCTCCCGATGCAGGGCCCATATCGCCACATGGCCTGGTTCCTTCGAGGCCCAAAACGGAAGATTTGGCGGAAGAACTAAGGCTACTTTCGTTAGAGGCTGCGGCAGAAAGATATTTGGGATCATCATCGGGTCTCTCCTTTGCCAAACTGACTCAAACCGTGCTTCGACGACTATCGCCAGACCAAGACGCATTTGTCTTTGATGGTGATATCAACGGAAATCAACACAATACTTCGACGATAGCCGAGTCGCCAACCTTCAATACTACAGCTTATGAATGGGATGCCTCTATGCTATCACCGCTGCCTCTTAACTCAATACTTGGGAATCCCGCGGAGGATTACCATGACTCCATGGATCTAGCCTTATTGGAACCATCCCATATCAGTTATATATTGGAGTTCTATTTCGCCCACTCACATACTCTTTACCCTATTATCCGCCAAAATGAATTCACTTCGGTACTATGGAGGGTATATGGTGACCCTTTGGATCCCTTGGCCCAGTCGCCGTTATGGCAATTCAGGATCTGGATGGTCTTAGCAATAGGATCAACGACATATTGCTCGGTGTCCTTGATGGACGAATCTGAATCCGTTCAGTTCTTCAATAAGGCCATGGCATACTTTGAAGCTGCCATGGGATGCGGTGATCAGGTAATCTTGCTACCATGATTTTTGAGATGACCATTCTAATTGTCTCATGCGATTAGGGCGGTTTGGAAGTTTTGATGCTTCAAGTTTCTTACTCGTTTTTCAACAAAATTGGACCCAGTATGTAATAGCCGACCATCTGCTGTCAAGTCCATCATCTAAAATTACTCAGATACCTGGTTCTTGGTTGGAGTAGCAGCTCGCATGGCGACTGGAATGGGGCTCCATACTGCTGAGGTCTATCATTCGCTAGCCATTGATGTCTCCGAGCAACAAAAGAGACTATTCTTTTCTCTGTATATGATGGATCGGTATGTTCAGGTCGGTTGACTCTCGCATGCTGAGGCTGATTGGTTCCAAGGGTGGTTTCTTTGGCTTTGGGTCGACCCTTTGCCATACAAGATGACGATATTACGGTGGAGGTATGTTCAATCTCACAATTTCCTTTACTCTTCAGCTAATTTTCCCTTGAGCCATTTGCAAGCGCAAACGATGAAAATATCCAGTCAGATGGCATCACTTCATCATCAACATTGGAACCATCGACCATGGCAGTCCCTCTCCATATCCTCGCTCTTCGAAAGATTGCAAGTGACATTGGAAGTCAAGTACATTCAACCAAATACAGCGAGCGACAAAGCCCGGAGAAAAGAAAGGAGACCGTTCAAAGCCTCCACAAAAGACTTATAGAATGGCGTCGCAATATGCCCTTCCCTCTGCCGGACTTACAGTCCAAAGTACCACATCTTTGTACTAGCTGGTTTGACTTGAACTACTACACACATGTGATCATGTTGTACCGGCCATCGCCTCTCTGTCCAACACTTGACCTTCAAAATCTGAAGACTTTAGCCGAAGCATCTGGTATGGCTATTCGGCAAGCAATCAATCTACATAGACAACATCGGATTGCATATAATTGGCTTAACTTGGTCACTGTGTTCAACTCTGCGCTGTCTCTCATGTATACGGCCACTGCTCAGCGCGAGCAGCTATCCTTGCTCGGAGAAAGTGCCAAGGCTGCAGATGATTTGGAATTAGCAGTGGAGCTGCTGGAAGCTTTTGGTAAGAAATTTCCGTCCGCAAAGAAGATCCAGAATATGGTCCAATCGGTTTCGGCCAACCTCAAGATGTATAATATGACGGCCGTGTTCTGATGAAATGGACTTGAGATACGAGATTTGATTTGATTTTTCTGGTGTTTGGTAATCCTCTTATAAAGCATTGATCGATCACGCTTGCTTTCGACCGTAGTGCCGATCTAAGGCGACCCTTTTGATCAGACCATCAGGGAACGCTGTCGGGTCGTCCGAAGCTTGGAGGTTGGTGTTGCTAAGGATCCTCCGCTCAAGGGGGATGGTGAAATTCAATGTCCGCACTTCCAATGAAATTCCACCTTCTGGCATATTCAACTCTTTCGCACTGGGATCAGACATCTAAAGAGGACTATCAACGAAGTATAATAGAAGTATGAGTTTAAGCCTCAGCAAATGTGGGGATGTGGAGCTCAGTGGGGAGCGGTGAACAACTGATTGCAGAAAAGGGGAGACGCCGACAACTCTTTCCTTCACTGATGGACTCGTTCAATTCCTCTTTTGAGGATAAGCAGCCCTTTCCATTACTGCCTGATGGCCCTGGGTCTCCCGATGACCCCCAAGAAAGCTATGATGAGAGCGTCACCTCTCCCGGCTACGACGAAATCGAGGTGGAGGATGATGCAGACTTCCAGTCTCACTACTCACTAGAACATCAATCGTTCTCTGATTCGGATTCCGATGAGTCGTCTGAGAATATTGGACGAGATCACCCCTTCCGCCAGTCCTCCAGCTCGCTCCATGGCCCGAATGCATTTGCGCCGCCATTCTATAACCGTCCGCCGACCCCTCTACCACCCTCTCCGTCACTTACATCCCTTCTCCGTCCACCCTTCTCGACCACTACGTCACGTCCGACTACTCCAGATAGCTCAGATGTAGAGACACCCAACGATACCGAGGCGGCGGTCGCCAAGTCAGCGCGCCGAGCAACGACCGTGCCACGCGCCAGTCCTAAAGTACCCACCTATGAGTACTACGGCTTCGTGTTATACTTGGCTTCTTCCTTGGCTTTCTGTACGTATCATGGCCATCATATTGTGCAGCTCTGCAGTGTCTAATGCCCAGTTCAGTATTCTACCTCCTATGGTCTTATCTACCGTCCCCATTCCTGCACCAGCTCGGTATTTACTATTACCCTAACCGTTGGTGGTCGCTAGCGATCCCCGCGTGGCTGGTGATGCTTTTGATTTATATATACATCGCGCTCGCTGCATACAACACTGGCTATCTCACATTACCTATGAACAGCATCGAGAACATGGTTGATGAGGTTGCAAATGTATCTGTCATTGATGGAAAGGCGCGGCGGCGGCCTGGTGGTGCATCGAAAATGAAGCCTGGTGCGACCTCATATCAAATCATGGGTCCTCAGAATCGCAAAGTCAATTGGGGAGAAATTTGGAGTGAAGGAACAGACGCTGTCATGGATGTCCCGGTAGGGGGTGTATGTGAGGTTTTATATGGCCAGGATCGTGAGGATGATTTTGACTATTCAGTACCAGACTCATAAACTGCAATAGCCAAATAGCCTACTTCAACTTGAACTGTTCCCTGGTATCTTGAAGTTTTCACTTGTATACCAATGACGTCGTGTCGATAGACGTTCACGTGATTCAATAGACAGGCCTTCCGCCTTGGATCTTTAATATTCTTCGCTTCAGACAAGGACAGGCAACTCGTTGAGAACATATTAAAATGTCACAACGGCCTTCAACTCCACCTCCACGGTCTGAGGGCTCTGGAGCCGGGCAGCTTCCCCGCGGTCCGATCACTCCAGAGCAGAGGCGCAGAATAGTGAGTCACTTGCGAAACGATGACTGTTACCCACACTCGGTTCATACTAATACATCTACTGATAGGAAATTAACCGCATGAAGGCGAAAGCTCTCCGAGAACAACGCGAGGCCGAACTGGCGCAAGCTGATCTTCGTGCGCAACCCGCCCAAGGCGCCAAACGCTCATTCACAACTATGGCCGCCTCGAATCAACCTGCCAACGTGCGTGATGCTCGCGCAAATAATGCTGGAGATCGTCCAGATTCGATCAAACCGGCCCGCAACTTCACGAGCTATGTCGACTATGATTTTAGCAAAATGACCGATACAAAGGGTGGATTCTTGACCCAAGAAGATGACCCATTTAATAAGCAACTTCATGTGAAAGATGACAAGGAGGAACAAAAACCCGCAAATATGACCCAAAAGGAATGGGAGCGCCATCAAATACTTCAAAACCTAAAGCGGAATCGCGAAGGCCCTTTCGAGCCTGGTCTTAGTGTGCTGGATGATAAAAGCAAACAAAAGAAATGCCGCGAATGCAGTAGTCTCGAGATTGACTGGAAATGGGAAGAAGAGCTGAAGTGCTGCATCTGCCATTCCTGCAAAGAGAAACACCCTGAGAAATACAGTTTGTTGACTAAGACCGAAGCCAAAGAAGATTACCTTCTTACGGATCGTGAGCTCTTGTACCTTTTTATTTGGCTTGACTGGTTGCTAACCGGATTCTATAGCTGAACTTAAAGACGAAGAACTACTTCCTCGTCTGGAGCGTCCTAACCCACACAAGTCTACTTGGAACAGCATGATGCTATATCTACGATACCAAGTGGAGGAGTATGCATTTTCAGAAAAGAAATGGGGTTCAGCTGAAGCCCTAGATGCCGAGTTCGAACGACGAGAAAGTGACAAGAAGCGCCGGCGAGAAGCCAAATTCAAAACCAAACTGCAGGACCTCAAGAAGCGCACGCGCGTGGAGGCATACCGACGCAATCGGCAAGGTGCTGCTGGAGGAGACTTTGGCGACGATCTCGGCTCTGGAAGGAAGCATGTTCATCAATGGGGTCGAGCAATTGACAACCCAGAGACCGGGATTGGGGTCAAAACCTGCGTAGATTGTGGGATGGAGGTGGAAGAACTGGAGTTCTGAACGAAAGGTGTATAGTGGCGTAATGGTCAGGCCATGGAGCATGAAATATAACTTTTGAATCCATCAGGATTTGGCAATCTATCTTGAAGTCAAATCTTTGAATGTGTCTCCCGTCGATTTATATATATGCCCTGATCTAGTATCAAGTCCTGGGCTTGAATCAACAAGGCAATTGAGGACATGAACATTGATCCCAAGACCTTGAAAACAACATCAAAACGCTCAATATGCTCAAGCAAACAAAACTTGCACGCTTTGCTAGCAACTAGACATGATGGTGCCGATCATTCCCCTAGGATATCCGCCACAAATAGTGAGATCAAGCTCGAATGTTGCCTTCTCAACTTGCCCTCTTCCTGTCGATCTCTATCAATTCCATGAAATCTTACACTTACTATTTCTTGAGCGTCGTGTGAGAATCTCAGCGCTGGCAAGCTGCCCTATTCGACTCTCTCATCGTTCCCCCATTCAGCAGGCGGTCAGCAACCCCCAGTCAAACCAGCCAAACCACCTTAGCCATAACAAAAGAAGGCACGCTCATCCCCAACTTGATTGCTTCACCTCTCTCCTCTCCTTTGGATCCTCTTCATTAGGATCTCATTACCCACAGGCTGGCACGGCGTGGAGCGGGGTTCCTTGCTGTTGTCGCCCACTCGGGGAGTTGACTCGCTTACCGCGGATACGATTTACGGGGATCAGGAGAACCGCAGCTTGCATCTCATCTCGATAGTCGCCCGGATCTCACACTGCTAGGTGGCCCGCTTCGCCTACGGCCTCTGATACATTTAGTTTGACTTTCCGGGCCTGGTCTTGTTCTGAAACGTTCATGTCTTGGCAGTCCTCGTCAGCTATGGCTGGTGCTGGAGGAATGCCTGGTGCGATGGGTGACTCCAGCAGTGGCCCACAGGGGACCGAGTACACACTGCAGGGTAAGTGAGAATTGATATACTTTCTGGATAGCCATTGACCCATATCTGTACACAGGTGTTATGCGCTTCCTGCAGACGGAATGGCATCGACACGAGCGCGACCGCAACGCCTGGGAGATTGAACGTGCGGAGATGAAGTCTCGCATTGGCAGGCTAGAGGGAGACCTACGCACGAGCAAGCGCCTACATGAGTCTCTTGGCAAACATGTTCGATTGATGGAGACGGCGCTCAAGAAAGAAAGGGAGAAGGCGAAGAAGCTCTCCAACAATGAATCGATTGAGGACATGAAGGACCCGAAAGAGGTTGCGCGTGAGAGTCTCAACTTCTTAAAAGGTAGGGGAATTGAACTTTTACCAAATCTGTGCCCTGAGTACTAATCGGATTCTTCGTCAGCTCAACGCTCCCAGTCAAGCCCAGCACTCGAAAACGACCAGGATTCCACCAACACAAATTCGCACGAAGATCAATTAGAAGATGGCATAGATCAAACTCGAGGTTTCCTGTCCAAGGCCTCCCACGAAATTGCGTACCATGTTATTCCTTCTTCTCACCCGCCGCTTGATCTCAACGACTCCGATCTTTCCAGTCACATCTACGGCAATCAGCAGCTCTCGCAACAGAACCTGGAAGAGGCATACCTCCACCAGCAGCGTCAGAAAGCGAATCATATGATGGCACGCGACATGGCAGTACAGAATCACCAGCCCGTATCCAACCACTACTCTGAAAATGTCATGGCTGGCGGTCCGAACCACTACATTCCTCAGGATAACATGAATAGACGCCAGCTAGACCACCAACAAGCACCCGTACCGACGATCGAAAACCGCAGCCACACATACGAACAGGGCCTAGTTGATGATCGCCAGAACCAGGCATATGAGGTCCCAGGGCCTCAAGTAATTGTCAAGGAAGATGCGGGCCCACAGAATCAGGAGGAAAAGACCGAGGATGTGGATGGTTGGAACTTTGATGAACCCGCGGAGCCAGAGCCTACCAGCGAGCCCATTCTGCCTCATCGGCCGGATACTGATGCCTTCCCCAATGCCAATTTTGTACGTTCCGAGGCGTCTAAGAGCGGATCACTTCCTCACCGAAGGAAGAGCTCCGGATCAAGGCGCAAGAGCGACGGTGCAATCGATGCTCGCGAAGCGGGTGCGACATTTGGACAGCCACAGGATTCGAACTTCAAGGTCCGCTTTGCCTTACGCGGTCACTTAGATGTGATTCGGTCTGTTATCTTCACCGGTGGAGGTAGCCCTTCAGAACCCGAGATCTGCACTTCTAGCGACGATGGAACGATCAAGCGATGGATTATCCCAGCCACCTATGGTGGCTTTGGAGCCCATGGCCCTAATTCTAGCAACGATTTGGATATCACAAGCTACTTCACTCACCGTGGACACGAAGGCGCAGTCACCTCGCTTGCTGCATGTTCACCCTCACAGAACATCTCCAACGGAGGCCGTGTTTTGGGCGACGGATGGGTGTTTTCAGGTGGCCAAGACGCCAGTGTGCGCGTGTGGGAGCGTGGGCGTGTTGATCCTAAAGCCACTTTGGACGGACACAAGGAAGCAGTTTGGGGACTCTGTGTTCTTCCAGGCACCGTGGGGTCTGTCTTTGATGATTCCAGTAACCAATATGGTGGGCCTGATCGCATCTTGCTTGCTTCCAGTGCAGCAGATGGACGCATCTTGATCTGGGCTGTCAGCGCTCCTCCTCAAATTTCAGCTCCTCCTGCTGGCTCACGCCGTCAAGGGGGAAGCCGCCGGGCGAATTCCATATCCTCCGGTTCCAACTTCCCATCTTCTCCCCAGCCTAGTGTTGCTACAACCACGCCATTCCACTTCACTCTTGTTCACCACATTTGTCGTGCCGAGTCTCCTGCCTCAACATGCATCAGCCCCTTGTCTCTTGCAGGTGTCAATTTTGTTGTCTCATACTCGGATGCCTCTATCCTGGTTTACGATACCCGGACCGGCGAAGAAATCGTAGGAATGGCCAGTCTTGAAACCTACGACGGCACACCTTCTACTGGTGTCAACTCTGTTGTCACGACCACTGTCGGCTTCGATGGAACCGCTAACCTGGACCCTAATCGGGCCATGGCCGAGGAAGAAGTAGTCCACGGTGCTACTGGATCCAGTAGCGTTGAGGGCGTGATTATTAGTGGATACGAAGATCGCTACATCCGGTTCTTCGATGCAAACAGTGGTGAGTTCCAGCGCTTATTTGATTTCAAACAATAGCTAACCTTTGGTGTAGGTCAATGCACATATACCATGCTGGCCCACCCTGCTGCAATCGCCTCATTGTCACTGTCCCCTGATGGACGCGAACTCGTGTCAGCTGGCCATGACGCAAGCCTACGCTTCTGGAACCTTGAGAAGCGCAGCTGTACTCAGGAGCTGACAAGCCACCGATTGATGCGTGGCGAAGGCGTCTGCGCCGTGGTCTGGAGTCGTGACAGCCGTTGGGTCGTCAGCGGCGGCGGAGACGGTGTGGTCAAGGTTTTTTCTCGATGATCCAGATGATCAGACGAATCCCGTGTATGATTCATCTCTGTGTATTTCCTCACCTCCCTCTCGTCGTTTGCTATATGATCCCATGACCCAGATGAGCGATTGACCGGACCAGTTCGAGCATTTACGACGGTGTTTCAAGCTGCATGGCACATGATAATTTTCTACGTGATTTTTCTCTTCTTTCAAATGTGTACTTTTTACCTCGACGATAGCATTCCGCTTCCCAATGATTCCCTGGCGTATGTCAATGTTTTGTTGTCTCTACTGCTTCGGTACATGTTCAACTTTATGCGGATGGGCACAAGTCTTGATTTGACCGCTGCTTTGTTTGCTTCTCTGATGAGGTCTGGCTTGAGTCCCAAGTGCAACTTGATGGGCTTTTGATATGATCAGGATCTTTGTGTTTGTGGTGTACGGGTATTTCTGTTCTGCTTGGTGTTTGACTTGTGTCTCAACCTCCAAGGCTCGACTTGTATGTGTATAACATTTGAAATCCTAGCCGGATGAACTAGACAATCTTTCATTCTTGTGATCATAGGAGACAACCATAGTTTTCTCTATGAAATGACAGGAGTGTAGTAAAGTAAAGGAGGTAACACTTGATATACATTATGATCTTATTTTGCCGAGCTCCATGCATCCTTGAAGAGCGATCTCAGCCGCTTCGCCTCTTGTTCGTCCTTCAGTCGCTGCTCCAGATAACCTTGCAAATCATCCCAGAAAGCATCTGTCCGCAGAACCTCCTCGCCACTGGGACCTACCGCAGCCTTGGGCGGCGATTCATCCCGCTTCTCTTGCATCACTGGCGGGGCCACTGCCGAGTCGATTACTTGGGCACCGCCGATAATCATCACTCCAATATCGACCGCCTTACCACCTGCCAACACTGCAGGTTCGTCTGCTAATACTTCGGCTAGTGTCTTTCCTGTTCCGGGCACTGGCTTGCGCTTGTACAGGATCTTAATCTTGTCTAGTGAGACTTGACCGCCTTGGGCATCGGTGACGCGCGCTTGCACGGCATCCCGCAGATCCTGGATCGAGGTGGTGGAGATAGGGGCGTTGGAGATGGTGAACTCGAGAGCAGGGTTGCGAGCAGACTTGATGCAGACATTGATCGATTTCGAGGAGCCTGGTGCCTGTGCGGACTTCACTTTCTTGGGCATTGGGGGGTGCGGGGCTGAGAGGCGGGGGAGAGTGTACTACAATTGGAGGAAGGTGTTAGAATGAAGCGATTCCATGATGGATGCCGAGTGAAGCATAATATTCAAGACTTACAGGCACCCGCAGTCCAACCTGCTCCGGATCGAATACATGGTCAGCGCGGAGCTTGATAGGCCGGGAGTCCAGCGTGGACAAAAAGGATTTGGTAAATGCCAGTTCGGACATGGCGAGTGATATATGGAAAGGAGGATCTCCGAGAGGATCAAGCAGAGGTAGAAATCAAATATGGGGAAACTGGAGAAGTGGATGTTGTAGTCGCTGTTGCGCCGCTGTTGTGTCTGGGTTGACACCTGATACGCAAGGCAGAAACATCTACCTCACACCGCCTGCCCTGCTTTTCTTACTGCTGCCGTTCACCGCTCGAAGAAAAAAAAAGACGGAAAGAAATCACAGCTCCCAACACGCAAACATCCCAAACGTTCCATATACACCAATCTTTCACAATGGGTGTCGGTCGCCGTATGATCAAGCAGGGCCCTCCGCCCCCGCTTGACGAGTCGAAGATTACATTGTATAAGAAACGCAAGTCTGGCAGTGCTGAAGCGCCTCCGAAGGCTACATCGGCGAAGCGTCGCCGATCCGATGCCGATGAGCCTGTGACGAAGAAGGATGCCCCCAAGAAGAAGAAGGTCAACGTTGCCGCCAATGCTGCACCGACTAAGCCTGTCAAGGCTGACAAGAAGAAGCAACCGACCAAGGCCAAGGCCGTTCCTGTGCCTATGTCTGACGACGATGAGGATATGGAGGACCTCGACGATGAGGAATTCGGTGACATTGATGGAGTCAGTGACGGTTCAATGGATAGCGACGATCAGGTTGAAGGTCTGTCCGACTTGGAGGACTCTGATGACAACTCCGTTCTCGACTCCGATGAAGAGGGAGGCCGCACCCGTGAAGCTATGTTCTCTGACGACGAGGATATCTCCGATGCCGAGGAGAGGCTGACCGCTGCCAATATTGAGGGTCTGTCCCGGAAATTGGATCTCGAGCAGCAAGCAGAGGAGGAGGAAGCCGAGGCCGAATTGCAGGAGGCCGCTTTGCAGACCAACATCGCCGGTCCTGATGTGTTCGCCGACCAGGACCAGCAGGGACTCGCACCTGATCTGCAATTGCTTCGCCAGCGTATTACCGATACCATTCGTATCATGGGTGATCTCAAGACTCTTGGCCAGGCCGGCAAGTCGCGTGCCGACTACATCGATCTTCTTCTTACCGATATCTGCACGTATTACGGCTACACTCGCTTCCTCGCCGAGAAGCTATTCAACCTGTTCACCCCCATGGAGGCCTTTGCATTCTTCGAAGCCAACGAGACCCCTCGCCCCGTCGTCATCCGTACCAACACTCTACGAACCAACCGTCGTTCCCTCGCCCAGGCCCTCATCAACCGTGGCGTTGTCCTCGAGCCCGTTGGAAAGTGGTCTAAGGTCGGTCTGCAGGTCTTCGAGTCTCCTGTTCCTCTGGGTGCCACCCCCGAGTACCTGGCCGGTCACTACATTCTCCAGGCCGCTTCCTCTTTCCTCCCTGTTATGGCTCTTGCCCCTCAGCCCAATGAGCGGGTTCTTGATATGGCCTCTGCGCCCGGTGGTAAGACAACCTACATGTCCGCTCTGATGCGCAACACTGGCTGCGTTATCGCAAATGATGCCAGTAAGCCCCGTGCCAAGGGTCTGATTGGTAACATTCACCGTCTCGGCTGCAAGAACACCGTCGTGACCCACATGGATGCCCGTACTGCCTTCCCCAAAGCTATGGGTGGTTTCGATCGTGTTCTTCTCGATGCTCCCTGCACCGGTACCGGTGTTATTTCCAAGGACCCTGGTGTTAAGACCTCCAAGAACGAGCGCGATTTCCTCGCCATCCCTCACATGCAGCGTCAACTTCTTCTCGCTGCCATCGACTCCGTTGATCACGCCTCCAAGACCGGTGGTTACATTGTCTACTCCACTTGCAGTGTCACAGTTGAAGAGAACGAGGCTGTTGTGCAGTACGTTCTGCGCAAGCGCCCCAATGTCAAGATCGTGGACACTGGCCTTGGTGACTTCGGTAGCCCCGGTTTCCTCAGCTACATGGGCAAGAAGTTCGATGCTAAGATGGCTCTCACCCGCCGCTACTTCCCCCACCGTGAGAACGTTGACGGTTTCTACGTCTGTAAGCTGAAGAAGACTGCCGTGACTCCCGTTTCAAAGACAGATGAGTCTGCCTCCTCCGCACCCACCAAGTCTAGCTCCAAGTCTGGCTCCAAGTCTTCTCGTGCTTCTTCTGCCGCCTCTACAGACGACGAGGAGGTGTATGACAAGACCCCTATTGTCGATGAGAATGGCGATGCTGCCGACTTTGAGGGCGGTGCTTTCGCTTCCTTTGAGGACCCCCAGGATACTGAGCGTATTGCTCGTGCTGAGCGCAACCGTATCCGTCGCAAGGGTCTCAATCCTAAGGGTGTCTTGAACAAGCCTAAGAAGACCAAGTCCCAGGCCGAACCCAAGACCAGCGACTCCGTTCCGCCCACGAAGGAAGAAGAGGAAAAGACTGCTGCTTCCAAGAAGTCTACCAATGAAGGCAAGGGCGAGAAGAAGACTGTTGTCAAGGGAAAGGAAGACAAGAAGGCTGTGACCAAGTCCAAGGACGAACCCAAGGACGAACCCAAGGCCAAAGAGGCGAAGAAGACCGAGGCCACGCCAAAGGCGGAGAAGAAGGAGAAGAAGGCCAAGAAGGCCAGTAAATGATCAATGAGCTGATCGTCTATTTCTTTGTTTTTGTATAATTTTTCTTCGGGCAAGTCAAAAAGCATCATGTATTAGGTCGGGGCCCGGCGCATTGGATATACCTTTTGTTCAATAAGATCAAACTGTGTTTCAAAAATTATACAAGTGCAACGTAAATGTAAATGTAAACGTCTGTAATGATTGTGCTCAATCTATCAACGATCTATAACCACGAATATAGGTGGCATGCGTATATAACCAAAATGAGGGAATAGAATGAAATGCGCAACTCCCCATCCCAAATCACTGCTCGCTAAGAATATCAATGAATGTAAGTCTGTTCTTCACAAAAAGCGGTTCCAACCAAAATGCAAATGTTCCTTTTAACTCCAACCCAGGCAGATACTCTATGCACGGTAAATCTTGATCACCTTCTTGACGTCTTTGCGACACATGGGGCAGAGACTGACAAGGTTCGCACAAGTCACGCAGGAGCAGAAGTGGCCGCAGTCAGCGAAGACGGCGTCCATTTCTTCAGTGTAGCAAATCTGGCAAAGATCCAGCTCCGCATCGGCAACTTCCCAGTAGCTGATACCCTTGCCGTGACGCTTGCCATCCTTGAAGCCACCCACGTACTTGTTGCCCGTGGTCTTTTCAATGAAGGTACCTTGCCCGTGGCACACATCTTCGACCCAGTCACCGTTATAGGAGTCACCCGTAGGATAATCGAGCTTTCCTTGTCCGTAACGTCGGCCGAAAATAAATTCTCCTTTGTAGACCATGCCGGTGCTGGAGATGTGTGTGCCTTTGCCATGATGGTAGCCCTTGAGGAAGTCACCGCTATAGTAGTCGTTTGTAAAGGTGGCTTCCATGGTCTTGTTCCCGGTGAAACCCTGGATAGGATGACGGCGAGAGTCTGCCCACAGGTAATGAACCAGACGATCAGGGCTGGTGAAAGATCCCGTAGAAGCAAGCTGTGAGCGCCTAGTGTTTAGGTTAGAATTGAGATATTTGTATCTCTGGAACTTGACTTACTTGTCCTTGGTCAACTTGTCTCCTACAATGAAGCAAGCTCCGTGGGGAACCACTACATCTTCGAAGGTATCGGCGGGCGAAACCGTAGTGACATTGGCACCATCAACTCGTTTCCACATAAGGAAGTCTTGACGAATACCTCTCTTTAAATGGCGCCTGAGCGATGCTTTGACGTTGGAGTCGAGCTTCGAGAAGAACGAACCAACAGTTCGGAGAACCTGATTGTCGGCATCGAAAATTTGAATAAAGTAGTATGCATGTCCAACAGGCAACTTGACTTCGGATTCCGTCGGTGCCAAGGAAGCAGATTCCGTGGATCGTTGTTCGCCTGCAGAGGCTGGAGGGGGCGAAGAATCGGCGGCTTCGATGGTTTGGGTAGCCGAGCCAGCAGCAGCTTCTTGGTCGTGAACAGCAATCACCCCTTCCTGTTCCGCTCTCTCAGCTGAGATAGCATCATTCTCCGGAGAGGCAGTGGCCAGCAGAAGCTCATCGGACACCGCCGGTTCAAAAGTGGCATCGACTTGCTGACGAGGAGTTCCTGATGAACTAGCAATGGCATCACCTTCTGCTACAAATGACAAATCAGCAGAAGGCCCAGGAGTTGAATCTCCAACACTGCTACCATCGGCTTTATCATCTGCAGTGGTGACTGTAGGAGGATCTGGGATTGCAAAGAATTGAGCATCCTCTGTATATAAAAGTTAGTGGGATGGTATACCTCGAATGAAGTGGGGTTCCTTCACTAACCCTTTGAAATAGTTTCCATCCAGAAACGGATAGTGCTCAATGAAGCATCGAGTGGGACATCTAGATTGGCAGTGCTGTCAAAAGCCAACGATGACCCAGATGGGACCGAAGAGTCCCCAATCTGCCAGAAACGGACCCGCTCAGGGCCAATTGGTTCAGAGGTTGCAGATTTGCATAGAGAAATCCTCTTTCGTAGATCTACCAGTCGTGTGGAACGAGGTAGAGTCATATACATGACACTATTTGTCGTTCTGGCTTGGGCCATGAGATTATAGGTATCAAACAGACTCGGCAACTCATCATACTCTGGTAGCGAATAAACCTCAATCTGAACATGCTCCGCAGGCTTTTTCCCAGTATGATAGACGCCAGTCTCATAGTAAGTCTGTAAGGCTTCAGAGGTCTCCCAAGGACCTTGGGGGCCAGGCAATAGTTCCTGAATCATGTCGGCACGAGCATACATGGCAACAACCGGGATATCATGCCCCTTCTTGTGGTCCACAGTCTGGGAAGACTCAAGACCAAGATGGGGGCCCATGGCAGTCTTTTGAGTCAAGCACTCCACACGGTTGTCACTGCCATCATCAAAAGCAAGCCATGTAGTACCCGGTCCGGCTGGACGAAGAATGCTGAAGAACTTGCCCGAGGTGCGGCGACCACGGTGGACGACATAGCCATAGAGAACATACTGACTGCCCTGGCCATCGACCACCCATGGGGCCAAGTCTAGCTCCTCATCCATGCCTACCTTGTCATAGCGCAACTGCCAACGCTTTGCCTTGTCCAAAGTGTGGCGGCCGAACTCTACATGGAGAACTGGTGGGAGCGACCAACGTCCGGGCTTGGAACTCAAATATCCCTTGACAGCTTCGCCAGTTGATTTGGCTTGGTCAATTGGCATATAAATCCGGGAATTGAAGTCGGTGGGCAACATGTTGACGATTTCAGACGACATATTGCTCACGACGGGACTGTCGAATAATCGAGCAAATTCTTTGCCAGTTTCAGTTCCTTCTAGCTCGAGCTCCATGGTGCGTCGTAATCGCTCCCAAAACTCAGATACATCATTCGAGAATTCATGCAAGTTCCGGAGGGTAGTTGTGACAGTATCGGTGTCGACGTAGCTTGGAGAACGTTTCTGGCGTCGCAGGTGCCAAAGAAGCTTCTGTAGAGCATCACAAAGAGGCTTGGGCTTGGCTTCGGCGTTAGTAAGGTGTTCAATGGTATCGACACCCTGGATGATCTTGCTAATTGGGCCAATGTGTAGCCATGAAGCCAATCCAGCTACCTCTGGGCTGTGGTTTACAATAGAATCGCCCAGAGGGCGATAGCCGGTCAAAGCCATGCTATCCCAAGTGGGCTCGGAGTCACTTGGATGCCACCATAGGGACTTGGTAGGGTCATTGACGACCCGAATATAAGCGTCGAAAGAGAGTGTATCATTGTTCAAAAGAGCACGATGTTGACCGCGACGGCGGGAGTGGATTTGATCCCATGGGCCGTGGAAGTAAGTCCACCCCCAATCTAAGTTGTGGGGGTTGAATTGATGACAAGACGACTGCATCCATCCGGTCCGGGGCTCTTGCGGGTTGTACACAATGACGCCAACTTGGGCTGGGACTCGCCAGGCGCCTGAGGATTCGTTATGAACAGTTTGGGGGGCGTTCCTAGCGGCAGGATACTGAGAAGCATAGTCCTCAAGCCAAGTGGCCGGATCATCGGTAGCTGCCGATTTCAGATGAACTTCTGGGGTGCTTTCATCGAGTGAGGCATCGGGTGCCCCTCTCCACACCGTAAATTCGGTCTCTGGAAGGATATCGTCCGGAGCAGGCATCGTGGTGGAGCACTCAAGGTAAACGCTCAATGCATTTACATTGTTTCCCCGTGGGTAGAACTTGATACGCCACCAGTATCCGCCAATGAAAGCCGCAGGAGAACGAATGGTCTTAGCACGATTGGGATTTTCGGAGGTACCTCGGACCCCCTTGAAGGTCCACGTCAGACGAGCCTTCTCGGCGGGAATATATTCAGGGTCTCCGAGTTCCCGGAAAAAGTTGTTTTCCCAGTAACCATCTATTTGTGTGGTTAGTGAGTTGCAGTTTTCATTAGGAGTTCAACATACGATCCCCTGCACTGTAGTCCGAGTCACCCCCTTCAATCTCCTTCATCTCATCTTCATCTGGAATGGTTGTATCCTCCTCATATTCGGCCCAATATGCATGTTCGATCTCTCCTGAGGGCTGGGTTGAAGACGCTGATTCGGACGAGACGAGACGATTTCCATCAGACGGTATATCGGGGGTCACCGTCGTTGTAGTATTGCCCGAAGTATTGCCCGCCCTCAAATTGCTGTCAGCTTCGATGTCGGAGACCGATGGCTGCGAGTTGGTCATCGAATTGGGTAGAGGGTCCATAGCGGTTGAATTGGGAATCCCAATACTTCCAAGGGATGGGATTCGAGAACCAAACACAAAACAGTGAACCAGTACACCGATCAAAGATTAGTGGAAAGTGAGACCAGGTCTCATACGATTCAACAGAGGCTCAACACGTTGTATGTATATAGTGTAAAGACTGGCGATAAGCCGTTATCGGATCACGCGAGATGATATGGGGATTGAAAAGCGAGAGCGAGAGAAAGCAGATCGAAAGAATGAAGAAACCAAGAACAAAAACCGAGACAGGGTTATAGAAAGAGAGAGAGAAGACAGGACGAGGAAAAAGACAAAGAGAAGAAGAAGAAAAAAAAGTTGGGGAAAAAGATAAGAGAGTCCGGGGGGGGGGGGTCGGAGGCGGTGGGTCTGCCTTGGGCTTCTATACTTGGGATTCGAGCGAATGAGGTCGGATTTCACAGTGTATGATATTGCTGATATGCTAATTGCTCTCGGGTATTCTTCTCTTGAATCTCTGTCTCTTTTCTCTTTGCTCTGTTTTGAAATTCGTTGCATTTGGTCTCTTTTTCTGCCTCCTGATCGGCCGTAGATCCGAGAAATCTCCACTCAGGGCAGCCAACCTTATATAGTGTGGCAAATCGGCATATCAAGTCCGAGTTCTTCCCCTTTGCCACTGGTGGAGAACGCCACCCAAGCCCGACCATCGGCGTTCCTGGACTCTGTATGAAGGGTTCAACAGGGGGTGCTAGATTAGGGGGGACTGAAACAATTGCGCGATCAGCAAGCCTGTGATTGATCAACGCTTGTCAATTGAAAGACTTTGAGATGATTGGCTCTGGGGGATAAAATCCCCCCCCCTGTACTGTACTGTACAGTACTGTAGCTCGCGGTGTGCCGTGTTGCTTGGCACCAGCGGTATCACACAAGGCTCAAAAGCCTTGCATTCAGTTCTGGGATTCCGCACGAGCGAACGAAGCAGCCACAATCATTGGAAACACTGCAGTGGCCTCGGCGTATACCTATTGGGGGATTAGCTACACCGCGTGGAAAGGAGTTGACCTGACTCACCTTGACCGATTTAGCATCCGCCTTGATCTTGCCCCAGCTCACCGCTTCATCCGGCCGTGCGCCCGCATCGCTACCGTCGAACTCCTGAGCAGTGTTCACATATACTGCGTGCTCGGCACCGTTACGCATCAGGCATGCATTTGCAATATGGTGCTTGACTACACCGCCACCGAGGATAATCATGCCAGCTCGTGTGGCCCGCACTGCCATGGTGTTGATACGGCGAACATCATCCACGATATCCACTCTGAGTCGCTGAGGAGACGACTTGAAGGTATGGAAGTAAAGCATATCACCCAAGGATCCATCTGTCAGGGCAGGACAGAACACGGGGATTCCATTCCGGGCGGCCCAGTAGAGAACCGAATCCTCATGGTTGATCTCACGACCCAGCCGCTCGGTGATACGACTTGGGGTCCAATGAAGCTCGTCCTCCTCATCACCAGTTTCCCGAGCCTTGGCCTTGGCCGCCTCCTGTTCCTCTAGCATCTTGTCCAGAATCGGAACCACCCAGTCCTCAAAGGAACAGTAGTTGTTATTGGGAACGAGCAGATTACCGATGCGGTTGAGGCCCTTGGCACGAAGTCCAGCCCCTGGTGTAGAAAATGATCCGAGATATGTAGGCGCGAGACATTTGATCAGATCCTCCTCAACACCACCCGCAGTGGTCACGATGGCCGACACATGCTTGTGTTTCACGAGATAACGCAGGGTATCACGAAGACCGGAGGAGATCAAGTTGGAAGTAAAGCCGAGGAAGATGGTGGTTTTATCTCCAGTTTCAGGGTCACGGAAGGCGCGCTAGTGAAGAGAATGTCAGAATTTGGCATAATAAAACTGGATTCCTATTCAAGACTGACCATATCGTTGATGATGCTGGCTGCCTCCGAAACAGCACTGCCCTGGAACCCTGTGTAGGCCAGGTTATCCACCATCTCTGCTACTGTGATATCTCGACCCTGGAACTTGTCAAAGTCCACCCCGCGAACTTCATGAGATCCCTCCGGCACGGGTTGGGAGCTTTGCAGGACGGACTCCGTCACCGAGGCAGGGACCGCTGAGGGTTGGGCAGTCATGGTGAAGACAAAAGAAAGAATAGTATACAAGCAATGGAACAGAAAGCAAATACAAGGCAGTCAAATATGCAAGTTTGAAGTGATCAACAGAAGAGGGGCAACTTCTCCGATCTATTTTTTTTCTCGGCGGGGAAAGACCGATTGTGGCCTGAGGCATCAAGGGGTCTAGACCTGTATGCCTCAGGCAGAAATGGTCATTCGGTCGTCAGGCCACAAGGCTCCAAGGCCACAAGGCTGCTACCCAGGCCACGATCGGTGACATTTTCCACTCAACCCGCTGTTGGAGGGCCTCCACGCTGAGATCCCCTGGACCAGAGGTGTTCGTACTCGGATTTATCGCTCTGGATCACGTTTGCTATTACGCTCCTTCAATTCCTCCATGCCCCTTCATCTTCCGTGCACATTGAAGAATTGAAGATCCCGATAGAGTTTGGGAGGCGCCAGCATCCCCGAATCCACCGCACTAGTCCCACTGTGATTTAGTGCCACCCCTTGAAGTCTCACTCCCTTCCCTTCAATCCCTCTCTCTGCTTTCCCCATACCTGCAAGGAGCTTCGGAGGATTCTTGGTGAATGTGTTTCATAGGAGCCTGCACGTTGCTTCAAATTCATCATCAAACTACGCACTCCACCCCCCACCTCCCCCGCCGGCTGTCGGGATTCTAGCTGCCAACTGTCATCAAAGAACGTGCTTCGATCCCAGTCTCTCCCCCCAAAAGTTGGAGATACGCCTTGCCTGATCGGGTAACCTTACCTAAGCCATCACTTGGTCCGTGCCTGTCACGTGCAGACCCTCGTCGTTCTCCAGTATGTGACTGGATTCTACAAGCCATTCCACTTTGTATCTGGCGTTGGAGCCGCTAATCCATCTACAATTTATAGCATGACGCGATAATGTCAAATCGATTCCCCCCATCGTCCGGGTTCAATTCCCGTGATCGTTCTCCGCAGCGCTTCGGTCGTCCACCCGTTGGCCCTCGTGGTCCTGACGATGGCCCTGCCCCGTTCAGAGATCCGCCCCGTGGTCCTCGCGCCTTGGTAGAACCGTCTCGGGGTCACTTTAGTGGTCGTGGTAGGGGTTATGGCCGCGGTGAATTTCGTGATCGAGACAGAGATCCACGAGACCGAGACCGTGATTTTCGAGACACCCGCGATGGTCCACCGTTCCGACGGGAGATGGACCGTGACTGGGGTCGCCGTGACCGTGATTTTGATCCCCGAGACAATCGCATTGGGTTTGGTCGAGGACGCTCCCGATCTCCGACGCGCGACTTTCGTGATATCCCCCCGGCCGCGACTTTGATCTAGGCCGCATCCGACGCAACTCTCGCGACAGCATCCTATCCGCATCTTCAGGAGGCCCAGATGGCCCACCTACAAATGGCAGTCACATCAACCGAGGAGGCATGCGAGGGCGCGGCCGTGGAGACTGGGAAAGTGGACGCGGTCGAGGCCGCCCGCCCTTTCTCAACGACGACCGCGATCTCTTTCGCCGACGAAGCCGTTCTCGCGAACCATGGCGCGGACGCCCTGATCGCATGATGGATCGTGACCGAGACCGAGATATTGACCGTGATCGTAACCTAGATCGGGATCGCATGATGGACCGGGACCGGGATCGAGAACTTCCACGACCAAGAGACCGAGAAAGAGACTTGGATCGCGACATGGATCGCCGAGACCGTTTTAATCGCCGAGAAGATTGGGAGCCCCGGCGCCCCGATCGCGATGACCGAGAACGCCCAGTCGACCTCTGGAAACGTGACCGTCCCCCGAGTCGGGCAGAAAGCCGTGCAGCCAGTGGCTCGACTACTTCTTCTCACCCCCCTGCAGCATCTACCACGGGTCCAGCTCCCGTGGATCGACACCCCGAGCCCCCGATGGACCCAAGCCGGAAAGCATCGATCATGTCAACCGCCCCAGGACCAGAGCCGCTACGAGAGATGGAGCGCACCGAAGTGATCCCAGCTCGCCCAGAGCCTCCTAAGGAGGTTTTCAAGGAGGCTCTTAAGGAGGCTCTGCCTCTTGTTCGACCTTCCCCTCCAGCTCCTCCCCAAGTACCCGCCTTTGGCTCAGTGTCAACTTCTATCCCCACCTCAGCTGTCGACAAAGAACTCACAGAACAGCGAACCGCCCCCTTTCCCTCTCGGTTTACTGAGAAGGACCGAAATGAGACACAACGACCAGTCGTCCAACCTCCAACGGGACCGAAGGCAGAAAGAGGCGATCACGCAGCTTCCTCTGAGCCTCGCAATCGCCCCGAGGCTCCGTCAGAGCTCGCACATATGCAGGGGCCCCCGCGTGCGCCACGGCTATCTACAAGTATCTCCGACTTATCCCCACCCACCGCTCCAGCCGCGATGTCCAAGCCGAACTCAGGTCCTATGCCAAATGAGGCATTCGGTGTTCGAAGGTCGAGTTCACTGGTTTCATCTCCAACATCCACACGATATCCAGCCCCGGTTCCGCGTGCGGCATCCCGTGAACCATCTATATCGCCTCGAGTACCTCCCTCCGTCATTCCCACCGGACCTAGAGCACTGCAACGGCAGGCCCCATCACCGCGCGGAACAAATAGCAAGCCATGGATGCATTCAGGCTTCCCGAGAACTTCATCCGTCTCCAACCCGCCTCCCAAACAGGAATCTGTCGATGAACGGGACGCTTCTGCCTTTGAGCAAAATAATCGCAACGTTCCAGGACCTCCGTCTTCTGTCGCAGATGAGCCAGAAAGTGGTGAAATTCTGCCCCATGAAGGTGAAATAATCAAGTCTCCTGTCTCCGATTCAATGAAGCTCCCGCTTCGGCTGAGCCCCCCGTTGGATTCTAATGTTGAAGAAGGCGAAGTGAGTGAACACTCCGAGAAGGACGACAGGGAAGAGGAACCTGCCATGGTACCGGACTTTGAACGTTCTAGTGATGAAGAAGATAGCGAGAGTGTCTTTACCCAGGAATATCTCGATGAAAGGAAACGAATCTTTGAACGAGACATGGAATCACTCCGAGCTGAACTTCCTCCTTCTCCTTTGGAAGACCCGACGATTGTATCTCTTCTTTTGAAAATCCAGCTACTCGGCATGTTGGCCAACGAAATGTCAGTGGAAGAGCCAGTTGAAAAGGAAGAAGTAGAAAAACGAGTGGAGCAACCCGTGGACCCTGTGCCATCAGTGGAGGACGAAGAGAACGCCAATGCTCCCGGCGGTGAACGGGTGGTCTCTTTCGCTCCCACGCCAGATGAGCGTGAACTTGAACTCGAACCTGAAACTGAACCTGAGCCTGAACGCGAACCCGATTCCGAACAAGAAGTTGAGATTGAGCGCGAACCGGAGCCTGTCATCGAAACTCTCATCCCACTTGTAGCACTGAGTGATGAAGTTACCGTTGAAAATCTTCCTTTCTTACACTCTGGTCCTCCCACTCCTCTTTCGGATTTGGAAGTCTATCATGACAATATCGCTATCCAGAACCGCCTCAAGCAGACCTTCTCTAACGAGCTTTCCAAGACACAGCAAGAGATCTTCAACAAGAATGCTATTCTTCGAGAAGAGTATATGTCTCACTACAAGCCCTGGCGATTGGCCATCTGGGAGTTGGACCGTCTGAAGGACAAGAAACCTGACACCCCAGCACCAGCCTCGCCACCAGTTTCCACGCTCCCAACGACCCCAGCTCCCATGCTAGAAAGCCGCGAAGGACGACGCTACAAAGGAAACAGCGAACTAGATTTCCTCAACGCGCTCAAAGCCTCTGAGATCTCGGCGCAAGAAGAGCTCGAACGCCGACGAACCAAGATGGCTACTGCTCGGCCCGATTTGGGACGTGAGGCAATAATCCCTAACATGCTCGAGCCGCGTGAGGAGAAGGCATGCGTTTACAAAGACGTCAATAATATAATCGAGTGCAATAGGGCCATGGATGTTTTCGGTTTCCTGCCACCTCCCAACGATTTCACTCCGGAAGAGCACGTCACCTTCACAGATGCATTCATGGCTTACCCTAAAAAATGGGGCAAAATCGCAGAATCTCTTCCTGGGCGCACTTTCCAGCAATGCATTGTCCACTATTATCTCACCAAGGAAGAGATCAAGTACAAGGCCAAGCTCAACAGACGCTGGAGTAAACGCAAGGGCCCTCGAAAAGGAGGCGGTGCGGCACGGCCCAAATCCAATGCGCTTATCGCCGACTTGAGCGTTGTCAAGCCTGACTTGGACGGCGAGGACTCAACACCCGCTGTGACCGACACGGGTCGACCAAGACGTGCTGCGGCTCCTAAATTTGGCGGTGAACCTGGTGAAGTAGAGGACGGGTCAGCAGCGGGCCGTCGTGTCCAGTCTGACCGCGATATTGAACCCGTTGAAAAGGCGCCTTCTCGACGAGGGGGACGCGGTGGAGGAGGCAGTCGCGGCGCCCGTCGCGCGAAGACCACGCAACCAGACCAGAAAGGCCAGGTCTTGGCCACACAAGAGACTATTCCCCCTCCTCTCCCTGGAACCGAGATGGAAATGATTCCGGACACCAACATGCAATGGGGGCTAGATGGCAGAGTAGATCGTATGGTTCAAGAACCACTACCAACAATGCCGCGAGGTAGGGGACGTGGACGCGCTAAAGACGGGGTCTATGTCTTCGAGTCAACCGAAATCGACCCTCCTATGGCAGTCAAGCAGACTGAGACGGGCTATGGGTCCATGCAACCGACAAGCTATTGGTCTGTACCGGAGCAGCGTGATTTCCCTGCCTTGTTAGCACACTTTGGCCGTGACTTCGAAGGCATCTCAGGTTGGATGAAGACTAAAACCACGGTAATGGTATGGAATTTTGACGTTTTCAATATTCTTATTGCGCCGTCCGCTAACATGAACACTATAGGTCAAAAACTTTTATCAGCGTCGCTTGGACAGTGGCCACAAAGACTTCGAGTTGATTCTCACGGAGGCAGAAGACAAGAAAGTCCGCGGTGAACTTACAGGTCCCCTTCCCATTCCAAGTGTTGCCCCTAAGCGACGTTATGAGGCGACGCCGTCTTCCATCATTCCTCGTCCTCTTGCTCCTCTTGGCGATCCCATGACCGAAGACGAATCCCGTTTCTCCTCAAAGGTCAAGCCTCTTGCCCTTTCGCCACAGCCCATGCCCATGCATGGACGGCCGCCGTCTGAGAAAGATCGCAATTCCGCTCGCTATCAGCCACTTGCGCAAGCTTCCACGGCTTCTCCAGTGCCATCGACTGCGACTCTCATTGAAGAATCAACCCGGGCAATCCGCGCCCAGAACGCAGGCCAGGCTCATCGCTTGTCGGGTCCACGCCTCGGGTACTTCACAGAGGACAGACGAGACTCCACGATCCTACCTCATTCAACCTCCCGTACACAGGATCTATCTATTCCCTCGCGCCATCCCCCTGGCTCAATGCCACCCGATATGGCCCGAATGGAGCCTATGTCTGCACAAGGGTACATGTCTGCGCAGCAGCCACCTTCACTGCTTTCGTCGGCTCATTCTCGTCACCCCAGCTTGACCCAGCCTGGTTCGCCAACTCAATTGCCTAGGCCTGAACTTGACATTGCGTCCGTTCATCGCGATCCCTTTGCCCCAAGACCCTACTACTCTTACGCAGGCCAAGGGATGTCCCAGTCGCCTCGCCCAGGTTTGTCGCCAGTCAAAGATGCACCTCGCCCGAGCGTCACTCCTGCTCCCGATGCATCTCGCCATGTGCCCGCCAAACGGTCCAACATTATGAGTATTCTGAACGATGAGCCCGAAGAGCCACAGCCGCGCAAGCGCTTTGCCGGTGAGCAGGTTCCATCTGCCGCTCCTTCAACTTCAGCTGCAGCAGGAAGACCGATTTACCAGACCACACCGTCGTCCCGCCATGAAGACGCTGCCATGCAAAAGCCCTCTAGCTACACCCAGCAAGGCCATTATCAGTCATCTTCCCGTGGGTACACAGAGTACCCTGGCTATGGTCCCCCTCAGAGCGGCTCCGGTACCTCGGCAAATAATGACTGGATGGCACGATTTGATCCACGGGCACAACAAGCACCTTCGCAGCCTCAGGTCCAACCGCCACCAGCGCAGCAGCAGAGCAGCCGTCCTGCGGCACCTTTGGCTCCCCAGAGCTCCTATGCCTCATATGTCTCAGCCCCGAGCCAGTCGTCAGTGCCTCTGACCAATCTCCCCGCTCCATCTCCAGCACCGACTCCCCCGCCACAAACCGCTTCTCAACGATCATCATATCCTAATGTGTTTTCTCAGTCGGGTTCTGCTCAGCCATCTGGGGCCTCTGGCTCTCGCGAGATGACCTCTCAATCCCAATCCTATCGAGCAACATCACCTGGTCCACGTGCTCCTATGGCGTATGGATCGCGGCAGGAAGGACCAGTGGCAGCACAGTCTACTGCAGGTCTGTTTGGTGTTCATCCGCGCCAGTCTGGGGTGCAATCGTCATACTCAACCGCGTCCACACCAACCCCAGTACCATCACACGGCTATCAGCAGCATGTACAGACAATGGTCAGTGGGTCGCATCAGCCCGGGTCCCACCGCTCCACTCCTGTGAGCTTGCCCGGTGGTCCCTCTCAGTATGGACATAACACCCCACCTCCTCAGTCTCAGCCTAGTCGATCCATGGCGTCGCTGGCGAGCCTTGGGCGCTCGTACACTCCTCCATCTGCTATGCATCCCTCTATGGGCGGAAGTGCCGTGAGTGGTTATGCTCCTCCCCCACAATCTGTGTCGGGGTCTGTCCCACCACTTCACCAGCGTCCTGGTGTCCCCGGTTCCCTCGCTGAAGCTGGGTCTACACCCACTCACCACCGTGTTTACAGTCATAGCTCCACTCAAGGTGGACACTCAGGCTCGTTGCCGCCACCTTCCCAGCCACCTCGTTAGAGGAGAGGCTCGTGTATGATTAGTATGATGGCAGTGGCAACCCCTGGCTTGCGATCGATTGTACATTACCTTTCTGTCTCTCTACTGTTTTGTTACCTAGCGTGTTATCGCCTTGCCAGTGAGTATTCATATTCGATCATGGTTCGTATGTATAACTAGATGAATGACTTATGTGTGATTAAATGATGTTCCATGTTATACATTGTAGACGACTATAAGCTAGGTTCTGCTACGCTTCGGTCCAGTAGGGTAATAAAGATGGATCCATTTGATAGGCACCAGTTTCATATGCCAGTCGAACCCACCTCAGCGATCCATCTGGTTCATATGACTAGGCAGGTTCCAAGGGTCATAGTCCAAATGCACAAAAGCGCGATCAACAGTCGGCACACTCTCAATGATGTACTGCAGGCTTTCGCCGACATCGTGACTGTCCCGCAGGCTCATACTATCGTCTACAACAAGGTCAACCTCGACATTAAGCTTGTCGCTTGCATAGTAAGCCTTCAAGTCTTGAATCTTGAGGATTACCCGGGAGAACCGCATAGTCATGTAAAGCAGAATGCTGTGATCATCGGGGGAGGCAGCTGCGCCGGTCAACCGGCGAATGTATTCTGCGGCTGTTTGACCCCAATTCCACATGATGTAGATGGAGAGAAATAGACCACCCAGAGGATCCAAGAACCAGAGATTCGCAAAAGTGCCAACTGCCGAGTGGTGTTAGCTAGATGCTTCATCCATTGGTAGAGAGAATAGACTTACTCAGCGGGAAGATAATGCTGAAGATGTTGAAGATCACATCTGTCATGGCGTCCTGGGCCAGGACCTGCACACTGGGGCTAGGGATCAGGCGACACCAGATCCAGCAGAGCAACTTGACGATTACGGTACCAGCCATCAGCGCAAGAGATGGAACTGAGAGCTCGACGACCGTACGATCATCCCCAAGAAGTTGCTTCATAGACGATAGTCCCACCTGAAAGAAAGAGGTCACCATGATCACTGAGAAAATGAGCACGCTGACAGGTTCCAGGCGTCGCCGCGTGATTGGGAATCGGTTGCGATCTTGTCGGCGAATCATGATAGTGGTTACCCAGACGATGACAGTACTCAGGAAGTCCAAGACCCCATCGACAAGACCGGCCAGCATGGACATGGAGCTGGTCATTGCCATGATGGCGATCTTGGAGCCAAGAAGAAGAACATTGGCGGCGAAGTTGATCCGAATGGCCCAGTTGATGATGCGCTCCTCTGCCTCTGGCGACAGGCCTCTGTGTGATTCCAAATCTGGCAGAGATCCTTCCGGGCTGTTCTCTTCGGATGCAACCAAAGGAGTCGTCTCGTCGGGGATCCGATATAAATTATGTGGGGTGCGTTTTATCTTTCCCGTCTTGGGATTGATTGTGTCGACATCATTTCCGTCTGAAGGAGGCGGTTGGTGGAAGCCATTTCCTGCAGAGTCATGGTGGTGACACCCATTATATTCCTCGATTAAATTGTGAGGGAGAGATGAGTCCAGCAATCGGTCAATGTAGAGGTATTGGGAGATCAAGGAGTTCGTGCGCTCGTAGTATTCCCGACTTAGATGGTCAGTTTCTCTTGTTTTCACATTCAACCATAGCACATGGAGACCAACATCTTCTTGGGGAGATCCTTCAATGACTCGGGGGATCTGTAGTAGCGCTGCCTATTCGAAGTCAGGACTGATCGCGTCACAGATCCAAGGAGACTACCATTCATAACGCGGATTGCTGTGTCCAATCAACATGGATCCACGTCGCAGCAACAACCGTCTCTCCGATGCATCGTCATCGAGATCATGCAAAGCAAGGCTTGACGTGCGCGTTGGTAAAAAGTTCACCAAGCGCTGACCCCTGGTGGATAGGATTTCCCGCTCAGGCTCCAGACTCGGTCGCCGTGGGCGCAATACGGGCGAAATGGAGTCTGGGGGAGAGGAGAGAGGGAGAAACGACTGCGAAGACATGCTTGCTGCGTCCATGTCCAAGATTGAACGCGGAGATTTTGCGGAGATTTACCACGTGCCGACACCTTGGCGTTGAGGCATCTAGTTGAGCTTGATCTGCTCGTGGAGACCAAGGTAGACCGACACTGTAGAGATAGACACGAGAACAATGTTACCCCAATTGATCTACTATCTGCTTCCAATCCCTACAAAAACCACAATCGAGGGCAATTGAGGCTCACTATAGCCTCCCTGAAGCGGTAAAGCGCCGTGGTCTCGGCTTCACCTTGTCTCAACTCCCCCCAACTTGCCTGGAGATTGGCCATGTCAGATAGACAGATCGCTTTCGTCTCTGGTCCTATCGACACGGGGCCTAGTGAATCATACTTCCACACCCACTATGTGACCAAGATCAATGAGGCAATCGAGCGGGATCATGACTTCGTGCTTGGTCCAATCCCAAGCGGTGTGGATGCGGACGCGCTCGCATACCTCCTCCTCACTGTTCCGGTTCTTGATCGCATTACAATCTTCGTGACTCAGGCTGAGGATGGCATGTGGGGGGAACGGTTTCGCACGATGGGAGTCCATGTGGAGGTGGTGGAGGGACAAATGACTCGCGATCGAGACGCCGCCCTAACGAGAGCCAGTACGTATGATATTCTACGCGTACGAACCAAAGCAGAGGCTCAAGCATTGTATGGTTCTATGTGGCGTGAAGGCCATATCACCAATACCGAGCGCAATTGGAAGAGACGACGGGGAATCGCGGAGAATGAGGTGGTCGCGGAGCAGGAGATCAATCGTTCGATGGGATACTCTTCAGATCCAGCTGTGCCAACCAAACCGATAGGTCGTATTGCTCGATGGATGAACGACGTCTTTCAATTCAGGACATAGGAGCTGTTGATGGGATGTGTATAAACCGGGCTTCTGAATCGCACGCACATGAGCAACGAGGTATCGACAGCGAAGCCAAGCAACTCCAGCAAATCCAGCCACCGTGAAGCATCTGTTCATGCACCAGGGAAGGGCCATGGGGTTATATCACTCATAGTCAACGATTGGAGAACAGAATGCAAAACCCTATCCTTCACCCTATATCACCCTATCCTTCACCCTGGACCCAAGCTTGATTCGACGCAATCCAGTCCCAACCAAGTCGGACCCCATTCCCATCGGCCAACCCAAATGCTCTCCAATTCCGACACGGGAATGCACAGCTCAATATTCCGTGGAGACCACGGGGGCGGAATGCCCGTTCCGCCCTTCCCGCGCAGTGGAGGCTCTCGGCCCCCCGGACTAACCTGTCATCGCTGCCGTTTGCTGATTCTCTGGTATCTCACTGGTCAACTCAATGCCACCCGATCTACACTGTACGGCTCCGGTTATAGCCTTAGGTGCCCTTGGGTCTGACGCACAAGCTCGGAAATATGCCGTCGCACATCGTCCTGGAGGGGTTATAAGTTAAAGAGCTGGAATCGCACTGGATCTGAATCTCTGTTCTAGTCACATATTCTTTCACCCTCCCCAAAACATGACGCTTCCAACACTGGCGCTCACCGTCGTTACGGTGCTATATTTCCTTATTCGGTACTTCAATCGCACCGACATCCCCAAGATCAAGGGTCTTCCGGAGATTCCTGGTGTGCCCATCTTTGGCAATCTTCTACAGCTTGGTGATCAGCATGCAACAGTGGCTGGGAAATGGGCAAAGAAGTTTGGCCCGGTCTTCCAAGTGCGCATGGGTAACAAGGTGAGTGTTTCACTATCGGGCGTGGGGCGGAACTAATGCATGCATTAGCGGATTGTCTTCGCCAACAGCTTCGACTCGGTTCGCCAGCTGTGGATCAAGGACCAGTCGGCCTTGGTCTCTCGTCCCACTTTCCACACCTTCCACAGCGTTGTGTCCAGCTCGCAGGGATTTACCATTGGCACTTCTCCGTGGGATGAGTCTTGCAAGCGCCGGCGCAAGGCCGCGGCAACTGCGTTGAATCGACCGGCGACGCAGTCCTACATGCCGATCATTGACCTTGAATCCAACTCCAGTATCAAGGAATTGTACCGGGATAGCAAGAACGGCACAGTCGATGTGAACCCCACTGCATACTTCCAACGATTTGCGCTCAACACCAGTCTGACTCTCAACTACGGATTTCGCATCGAGGGCAACGTGGATGATCAACTGCTGCAGGAGATCGTGGAAGTGGAGCGTGGCGTGTCCAACTTCCGCAGTACCTCGAACAACTGGCAGGATTACATCCCCTTGTTGCGAATCTTGCCTAAGATGAACAACGAGGCTCAAGAGTTCCGCGCACGCCGCGACAAGTACTTGACTTACTTGCTGGACATGCTGAAAGAACGTATTTCCAAGGGCACCGACAAGCCTTGCATCACTGGTAACATTCTCAAGGATCCCGAGGCCAAGCTCAATGATGGTACGTGAATGATTAGAGATGTGGTGTGTGTGACAGTCAATCTAATTTCGTTCTCCAGCCGAGGTAAAATCTATCTGTTTGACTATGGTGTCAGCCGGTCTCGATACCGTGCCAGGAAACTTGATTATGGGAATCGCCTATCTCGCTTCAGAGGATGGACAACGCATTCAAAAGAAGGCTTATGATGAGATCATGGCGGTTTACCCGGATGGGGACGCTTGGGAGAAGTGCCTGATCGAGGAAAAGGTTCCCTACGTGACTGCTTTGGTCAAGGAGATTCTTCGATTCTGGACTGTTATCCCTATCTGCCTGCCACGAGAGAGCACCAAGGATATTCAGTGGGATGGCGCTACTATCCCGGCTGGAACTACATTCTTCATGGTTTGTCTCAATCCCAGTGCTCAGTGAGAATGATACTAACTTCTCCAGAATGCCTGGGCCGCTGATTATGACGAGGACCACTTTAAGGACGCTCACAAGTTTATCCCCGAGCGCTACCTGGAGCTCAATGAGGGATCGGGTACTCCCCACTATGGATATGGTGCTGGCTCCCGCATGTGTGCAGGTTCTCATCTTGCCAACCGTGAGCTCTTCACGGCCTTTATCCGCCTGATCACTGCCTTCAAGATGCACCCCGCGAAGAAGGCTTCTGATTTGCCAATCCTAAACGCCATCGAATGCAATGCCATTGCTACTGCCCTGACAACTGAGCCCAAGCCATTCAAGGTCGGCTTCAGCCCACGCGACCCTAAGAAGCTAGAGCAATGGATTGCAGAGAGTGATGAGCGCACTAAAGATCTGTAAGAGGATTTCATTGAGCTGGTCTTTATCCTCAGAATGAGGGCTTGTATATACTTCCAAAATCATGGCCACGAAGCCCACATACAGTAGATATAAATTGGATTTGCGTAACAACAAGCTACCCTACTAGTAACCTACAACCTGGCGAAGAATTCAAAAGCATCACTTTCCCAATCGCCATGTCCTCTACGAATGTCTATCTCCTATTCTTTTGGCATAACCCTTCTTCTCCCCCGTTCACGAATCCTTTGCCTTGGGTGTGGCGCATTTTTGAGTCGTTGTGGAGCCTCAGGACGGAATCCCCCGCATCTGCCACCTCCACACCATCTTCCCCTTGCATCTGTTCGCATGTTCACTTCACTTCTGACATGTCTGGACTTGACTGGGATAAACCCCTCTCTGTGGAGGATGATCACCCGCGGAAGAAGCGCCGCAAGTATATTGCCAAAGCCTGGTGAGTTTGGAGATGCGGAATGACGGCCACCAACTAATCGCCTCGCAGCAATGAATGCAAGCGTCGCAAGATTAAATGCAACGGCGAGGCACCGTGTCAGCGCTGCGGACGTCAAAATATTGAATGCATCTACGTTGAGAATCCCCAAAGGGACAGCCCGAATGAACAGGAGTATGTTCGCGTGAAATTGGCAGAGTTGGCAGTCACTGACCTCCTCAGAAATTTCGAGCGCCTTTTCGATCAAATGAAAGTAATGCAAGACCAGATTTCCTTGCTATCAGCCACTGTTCGGTCGATTGCTAGCAATGAGCATTCTCCTATTGGAGGTGTTCCCATCACAAGTAGCTATGGATCTGGGTCTACCCAGCGGTCTCTTCGGCGTGTATCTACAGCCAGAGAGACTACATTCCAAGGCCCGACAACTTCGGCATTCAGCTTGGATCTAGCCAAGTCTAGTTTGCAGCAGCGCGGGATTGTGGAACGTGGCGAGGCTCTCGATGAAGCCGATATGACGCAGGAACCTTCACCGGTGGCATCTCCATCAGCATCGGCCAGGGAACATCTCACGAACCAAGTCGTGGATCCCCTCTGGACTCTTAATAAGAACGAGGCACTGCGTCTTTGTCAAGTGTACGAAGAAGAAATGGGCATCATGTACCCTGTCTTGGAGCTCGTGGAGCTCTTGAGCCAGGTGCATATGTTGTATGGCCCAATAGATCGTGCCCTTGAGCCGGCTATAAAACACAATATCAATGGAGTAGATCGTGAGGATGTGCATATTCTCCGTCTTGTGTTTGCTTGTGCTTTGACAGCCGAGGCTAGCGGTCGCAGTGAGCAGGCTATTGCACTCTTTGATAGTGTACGAGAAGTCCAGGACAATTGCGTCTGGGGCCCGCCTGAAATCAAGAGTATCATCTTCTTGACTCTTGTGGTTTGTCGCTCCCAATACATTTGCTTAATCACCTTACTAACCGTGGCAGTCGATATTCTATTTTCAGATGGATGAGGAGACATTGGCGTGGCGCACCATTGGCATTGTCGAGCGCATGTGTTTAGAGAAAGGCCTTCACAGACGAGAAACTCTCAACCAGCCAGCTATTGTGGCCGCTGGAAAGGAACGTGTCCTTCGACTCTTTTGGTCAATTTACATCCTGGACATGCGTTGGAGTTTTGGAACCGGCATGCCATTCTCATTAGAAGATACAGACATCGATCCATGGCTACCAGAGCCCGCCGAGAAGACTCCATACCTACGCGTCATGATTCGATATAGCCGCATTGCAGCCAAGGTGTGGAAGTTCATCTCCGCGTTCAACAATACCAATGAGATCAAAAAAGACGAAATGAACTATTTGGATTGGCAAGTTTTGAGCTGGGTGCATGCCATCCCCGAGTCATTGCAATTGGATCATCCAAGTTCCACGGAGTCTGCATCCGCCACCGATAATTCAAGAAGCATGCGACGACTCCGTGCCTTGCTTTACCTTCGCGCTAATCAGCTGCGGATGCTCATTCATCGCCCCGTTCTTCATACTGCAGCACATATTGTGCGATACCCATCTGAGTCAGAGACCGTGGTGGAAATTGCCAAAGATACAATCCGCTTCATCACTCGCTTGAATGAAACTTCCGATATCTACCAGCTGCAACAAGTCGCCTTCAATTGGTTCCTGGTCTCGGCCCTTGCAGTTCTTTTCCTGGCAGTGGCTCAGGCTCCGACTCAATTCAGTGGTTCGTGCAAGGAGGAGTTCTTCTGGGCATTGGAACTGGTCAAGGGGTTCTCGGCCCAATCGTACATCTCCCGCCGACTATGGAATTCAATCCGGAGCCTTCGCAAGCTTGGTCCTCAATTGGGACTTGGCGTGCAGAAGCAGCGACTGGATGTTCATGCTGCAGAAGGTAGTGATCCCTACAACGCGAATCTTTCACCTGCGTTGGCTCCTACTATCAGCACGCAAAGCCAGACTCCATTAGACGGTGCACAGATGACGCAGGAGCTGATGGAATGGTTCGAAGCAGTAGGCAATCTTGAGGATCAAATTATGGGGATGGGGACAGGTCCTGCGCCAAACGGAGGACCTTACCAGCCGACACCTAACGGGGGCTTCGTGTTTGACTATGGCGAAGAATTGTCGAGTGTGATGAAGGAATGTTTTTGATCATGTAGTATATAGGGAATACGAAAAGATTCTCGCCAAGGAATATTGGGTGCAACTCGGAGTGAAATGCGAAATGCCCAGTGCTCCCACTAACATCGACATTGCCGACCGTGAAAAAGTGCATGATTTGGCTTCAAAGTCCTTGTAAGAACTTGTCCCCTCAGAGGGATGCTCTGGGTGATGTATCTGGGAGAAAGAATCGCCCTGTCGCTCAGCATCGCCGCCCTCCAAATCCTCCCCGACGCCCAAAGCCCCCGGGGGGACCACCCCCTCCACGGCCCCCAAACCCAGAGGCATAGCCATAACCGCCATGCCCGCCATGTCCGCCATAACCCCGTCCCCCATATGCGTGTCCATATCCGCCACCTCCCATGCCCATTCCACCATGATATCGACGAGGAGGCGGCATGCCCATACCCATGCCCATGCCTCCCATGCCTCCCATAGGTCCCATGCCCATGACTGGGAAGCGACGGCGCCGCGGAACAGAGAAACAGAGACCCATTGGTGTTCAAAAGACAGGTTATATTGCTTTGTTTGTGGAGGTACGTATAAAAAGGTTCAGGATCGAAGGCAGAACAGATTTCTGAGATTCTGAGAATCGCTTGCTGAAGTTGTACAGCCCTCTGAACGAGATGATGGTCTATTATATACAGATGAGAAGTCTTGTGCGTCATCGCTCGACTGTTTCTTGCCACCGGACTAATAAAGATACTTGAAGTCGACTGCTCCATCACCGGTTTGAACTCGTCGATTGTCTTCTCTTTCTTCGCAGAGAATCTGTTCTTTCATCTTGTTCTCCCGTCTCAGGTATAGTGCGTACCCGGTCACGGCACACTGGGAGACAACGAGAGAACCCAAAGAAAAGGCATTCCCTAATACATATGGCGAGCTGCGATAGACCTGGCCAGCCACGATGCCAGCACAGTTGCCCATGGTCTGCTGCAAGCCGATTTCTAATGCACGGCGATATTGAGGGGCGATGTTGACATTTAGCCAAGCCACGTTCAGGCCAACTGATGTATAGGTAGTAATTCCTATCAGGAAGGTCGCAAAATATTGAACAGCGGTGTTCTTGACGGTAAGAAGCAGGATATAGCCGATAATGCCAAAGATATTGGCTGTGAAGATGTACTGTGATGACTTAGCACATAGTGCTCTCGAGTTAGGGTAGTACTCACCGAAGCAAATTTCGAATATCTGTCAGAGCAAAAGGCGATGGCAACGAAGATCAATGCGGCCCAGATGTATACAGGCACAGTCAAGACATTGCTCATCAACGAGCTATAACCCATGCCTCCCAATATAGTTGGCAGGAAAGTACTGAACCCGTACAACAGGATATCCTGACAGAACTGGATTAAGCCGCTGAAGAACAGCTTTGGATCACTCAAAGCAATACGCATCTCTTCCCAGCTGAATTGACCACTTCCCATATATTTGCGGCGCTGCTCATTGCGCACCCGCATCATCCACCTCTCCTCCTCGGTCAGGAAGTAGGCCTCTGCAGGGTCGTTGGGCAGACCGAACCAAATGAGAATCGCACACAGGGCACTGAAAAGACCCTCAATGATGTAGACCCATCTAACCGTCGTTAGTGCCAATGGGCCGTGGAAAACCGCAAATGAACACATACCTCCATCCAGCTTTGCCTCCAATGCCATCCATGTGTAGGAGTCCATAGGCCAACAGACCGCCCACAGCGCCCGAAATGGCAGCACAGCTCATCAAGTAGGACACACGCTTCGCCTGCTCCTCTCGGCGATAGACCATTGTTAAATAGAGATTGAGACAGGGGAATAGTCCCGCCTCACAAGCACCCAGGATGAGGCGAGTCGCATAGAGCGAGCCTACCGACTCGATAAATCCGGTGAAGATTGTGGTCAATGACCAAACAATGCACAGTGCCGTCAGGATATTTCGCGGAGTCAATTTCTTCATCAAGACTGCCCAGGGGGCCTCGAAAAGAACATAGGTGACATAGAAGATTGACACGGCCGTGGAGAATTGGCTGTCTGATGCATTGATATCCTCGGGCATATGAGCCACCTTGACATTTCCTGGGTCCTCGTCAGCTCTCGTCACCTCCCCAGGGGAATCATAGTTACCAATATTGGATCTATCTAGAAAGCAGGACAGGTAGGTCAACATAATGATTGGCACAAAGGCTGCATCCAACTTGGCCAGCAGCTTCTTTTCTTTCTTTGGATCGAGAATCACATCGCATGTCTCGCCATTGGCGGTCTCGCCTCCTAAATCGGGGTCATGGTCTTTTTGGATGGAGGTCTTCTGCTCCAAGGGGATATCTTGTTCGGGCGACATGAGATGCGAATGTGTCAAACTGACCAAAATCCAGGATTGCACTGCACGCAGTATTATATTATCAGCATGAAATACAACCGACTGATCTCCCTGCTCTCTCTTCATGTCCTCTGCCTGTCCTCTCTATAAACGGAGGCTTTCCTATCTGTCAAGTGGGTCCCGAGGTCATCGGGCCGACGAAGCCCTGATAAGATGCACGTTCAGGCAACTGATCAACCGCGGAGGAGGCCAATTCCCGCTTGTACCCAGTGTTTGCTCAGATCCTAACTGTTTCAGGAATGGTCGTCGATAAGAGAAAGCATTGGCTCTGGGCGAAGTGGAGAATTCACCCCCGACTTACCCCAGACCATCGGCATGTGGATTCCGACAGAACCGGGGGATCAAAGGAAGTGAAAAGCCATGGCCGTTGGAGGGTGTCAGGGATTCAGAACTGGACACTTGCATGATGGGAAGTATAGTCTCGGATTCTCAGCAGGCAAGGCTGTGCTGTCGTCGCAACCAGTTGACCAATACCGCCGGGGTTGCTCCAGGGTACTTACAGGCCAACCTTTTGGTGCTTCCTGCGAAATATGCAGCCGATTTCCATGACCTGTGTCTTCGGAACCCAGTGCCTTGTCCTCTGTTGGGAATGACCGTGGTTCCTGGCGACCCCAAGCATATCCGACCAGCTCAATGCATCCAGTCCCAAGACTTTGACATTCGGACCGACTTTCCCCGATATCGAGTATATTCAAGTGGCAAACACATCGACACTCGCCATGACCTATTGGATTCGTGGACTGACGATCATGTGGGCTTTTTGATCGGGTGTTCCTTTTCTTTCGAAGATGCCCTGACGGCAGCTGGCCTGCCACCACGTCACCAGAAAACGGGAACCATTGTTGCCATGTATCGATCCAACATTCCTTTACTGCCAGCGGGGATCTTTACTGGAGGCTACTGCATTGTATCTATGCGACCGTATCGTCCAGAGCAGATTGAAAGAGTCAGAGAGATCACAAGGATATATCGGTCCACGCATGGCGAGCCGGTAGCCTGGGGTTGGGATGGTGCGAAGCAACTCGGAATTAGTGATGTCAATGCACCAAACTTTGGCGAAGCACAAATATTTGAAGAGGGGGAGGTTCCTGTGTTCTGGGTAAGGCTCCAGTGATCTAATCTGCCTGTTTGACATCCATCTAACTTTACATTAGGCGTGTGGAGTGACGCCTCAAATGGCAGTCGAGGCTGCAAGTAGCAAGATTGATGGACTGGTCTTTGCCCATGAGCCTGGACACATGCTGATCACCGATTGGACAGCAGATGATTTGAAGAGCCTCGCGCCTGGGAGCATATAAGTATGATTTGTGTCTCTAAAATCAAGAGAGCATACGTATATTCTTCCGAAAAATCTATGTACAGGCCTCTAAGCATCGATTTCAAAGTCACTGAACTTCACCTCATTGCCATCCCCTAAAGCAAATACTCCGATCACAGGACCAGTGAAGTCGTAATCGGTTATCAAGGCTGTGTCCACCGTATATAGAGAATTCCATGGCATTCCAGTCTGACTGAAGGAAAATTCCAAAGAAGCTTCCGTGTATACTATCTTCAAGGACAAAAGATCTTGAAACTCAATGTCCTGAGTCTTTGTATGCGAGAAAGACTTTGCTTTGTTCAGTCCGTGGAAAATGACCTGCTGGCTATCAAAGTCATACTCGATAGACAGAAACCGATGCTCATCTTTGTACAGAGCCAGACCCGCTCGAAGCTTTCTAGAATCTTGTGCCTTGTGTAGAACCACCGACGCGCTAGCATTGATCTTACGTTGTCGCTGGCCAACGAACGTGACTGACTCCTCTGGGCTGGTCAGTTCTACCAAGTCTGCGTGCAGCGTGATGTTGTTTCCTCGAATTTGGTATCGATCGAGCTTTGCATCTCGCAGATAGACCCACGAGACAAAAGATGAAGCATGAATCAGAGACAAGTTGGGCGCTACGCCCGCATCGCTGTCGGCTACGACTGGATCAATAGTTGGCCAGCTATTGTCAGGCCAAGTCACGGCTGTGAGGAAACTCTCCCGGCCCATGATGGATCGTCCTTGTTTCTTGCGGACTCCCAGCAGCACAGCCCACCACTGTCCACGCTTATCTTGAAATATATCTCCATGTCCAGTGTTTTGAACATAGTTTGTAGTGTTGTGGGCTGTATAAAGTGGGTTGTTCTCGTAGGATGTGTATGGACCCCAAACGTTTCTTGACCGTGCGATGCTCAACATGTGAAAGGAAAATGTGCCCCCTTCAGCACACAGCAGATAGTACCAGCCGTCCTTTTTGTAGATGTGCGGTCCTTCTGTGTATCCTTTCTTCCATCCCTCCCATATCAAGGTGGGTTCCGAGATCATCTCCCCCGTGGTAATGTTGATCTCGAAATTATAGATCTGGAACTGAGGTCCTGTCTTGCATATTTGAACATAGACTCGACCGTCATCGTCAAAAAGTAAAGATGGATCAATTCCAGGAAAGGGAAACAAGATGGGATCAGACCAGTTGCCTGAGCGAATGTCTGTCGTGTGAATGATAAACTGTTCACTTCGCTCATCCCCTGAAACATTCGAAGGACCATGGATAACGTTGGTGCAAATTATATAGGTAGTTCCATGACTATGTCGAATAGTTGGCGCATACAATCCCCCAGTGGCTACCATTGTAGTTCCATCATCCCATGGCGAGAGAAAGGTTGTCGCTCGAGCTAAGCATAGTTGCGATGGCCTGTTGATAGCGTTTCCTATTGAACAGTCAGAACAAAATACAATTCGTAAGAGGCTCAAAATGGTACCAGTATGCGTCCATGAAATCAGATCATCTGAGCTGTAAATAGGCAGACCAGGGTATAGGTGGAAGCTGGAGTTGACCAGAAAGTAAGTCCCATCAATTAGGCAAATTGATGGATCAGGAGCGAAGCCAGGAATGATGGGGTTATGGACAATAGAAGTCATAGTTGTACTAACAAACCTTTCTCTCTGACTGAAATGATTTCAAGTGGCAGGTTTGCTCGTGTGCATTTATGTGGCGCCAGGATTTAGCCGGTTGGAACACGGCGTGGCACCCCGACTATATCACAAGAGCAACGTGCAGCGCTCACCCCGCAGTTGATCATCCGATTAGCCTGATAGTGGTAGTTGAAGCTGTATATAGCTTGCTGCGAGGCTAAACTACCTTGTCTTTGGCGGAAGAGAGCAGATTATGATTGAACCGGGTATATAGAACAACCCGGGGTTCGTTCAGGAAGGACTATATATTCTTACCAGACATTAAATGTCCTGGAATGCCATTTGCGATCGAATCTGTTCAATATGGCTCTGGCATATGAGGCTGTCAAACCACCCAAAGGCCATTTCTACCTGGCAGGGAGACTGTTTCCGCGGGTGAAATGGTGGAAGCAACGGAATATGCGCGTGTTATACTTCTATATTTTGGTCCTTATTGCGACAAATACGGCTAATGGATTTGATAACTCTATGATGTGAGTGCATAATCGGAATGAGGACATAATGGCGCTTCTAATCTTGGTGAAACAGGAATGGCCTTCAAACTCTCTCGTACTGGCAGGACTATTTCGACCACCCGAAAGGGCCGACATTGGGATTGTTCAACTGCGTCATGAGTGTCGGTGCGTTGGCTGGCCTTGTGATACTGCCATATATGCTTGATCACTTTGGTCGAAAGGTCTGCTTAGTTTTCGGCTCGTTCTTCATGCTGTTGGGTGTGGCCTTGCAGTCGGGCTCCATAAACTTTTCCATGTTCGTCGGCGCTCGATTCATACTTGGATTTGGAGATATCATCGTAATCTGTACGGCGCCTCTACTTATTACGGAGATCGCTCCCGCTCAAGATAGAGCAATCCTCGTGACTCTTGCTGGCGCCACTTACCATTCTGGAGCCTTTATCGCGGCCTGGACTACGTACGGAACATTGAAAATCAAAGTAAGTGGGCTCGCGTAAATGTGATACAATATACAGGCTAATCTTGGCACAGAGTGAATGGTCATGGAGAACTCCCAGTCTCATCCAAGGGTTGTTTACTTTGATGATGCTGGCCGTTGTATGGTGGATTCCAGAGAGTCCGCGATACTACATATCCAAGGATCAGCCAGAAAAGGGATTGGAGATTTTGGCATACTACCATGCTGATGGAGACTCAACCGATGAAATTGTGCAGTTGGAGTTCACAGAGATCACCACTGCTATTGCGATGGAAAAGAATGCAGATCATTCTAGCTCCTATGTGGATTTCCTCCGGACCCCTGGAAACCGAAAACGACTATTGATCATTATTACTATGGGCTTATTTGCGCAATGGTCTGGAAATGGGCTGGTCTCCTATTACCTGAACCTCATCATGGACAGCATTGGAATCAAAGATGCCAACCGGCAACTGCTTATAAACGGTGCGCTGACCTCGTTCAATCTTGCCACCAATCTGTTCTTTAGTTTCTTTGTCGATAAGTGGGGACGCAGGCCAATTATGCTAGTCAGCTCGGCTGGTATGTTGGTTGCCTTCGTGGTATGGACGGTCCTATCGGCACGATATGATGCCCATGCCAGCTCAGGGCTGGGGTCTGGTGTTTTGGGGATGATCTTCATCTACTACCTATTCTACAACCTGAAGTAAGTTTTGAGATGTGAGATTCTGAAAGAGATATCTGATCAATTTTAGGTCTGGATTGATTGCCAGCTATACTACCGAAATCCTTCCATATTCAATGCGGGCAAAGGGGTACACCATAATGGAGTTTGCCATGTACGTTGCACTCTTTTTCAATCAATACGTGAACCCGATTGCACTAGAGAATATCCACTGGCGGTATTATATCTTCTACTGCTGCTTCTTGGCTGTGGAAGTTGTGGTCATCTGGTTCCTCTACGTGGAGACACGGTATATGCCACTGGAAGAAGTGACCAAAGTATTCGATGGCGCCGATGTTGCTACAGCTACAAACCTTGAAATGGAAAAGATTGGAGACTTTGGGAAACGAGAGGGTACTACAATTCACATTGAAGAAGCAAGAGTTTGAGGCTGGGCTGGGCCTGTTTCAAACACGGGGCTCATTTAGAAAACGTTTAACCATAATCAGAGATAGGAAAATAGGATGAAACAATCCACAGGAAGCATATAAATTTGGAGAATTAAGGAGTAGACTATCTTCAGGTCTCGCAATCTATCTTCCAGATGTCAGACTATTCGGACCTACCAGATCGTTTGCTGTCCTCTGCATCAAAGACCTTCTGTCGCTTGTCTCACCATTGATTTACACCAACTTCAAGAAAATTCTTTGAATAAAATTGCATATCAATGACAAAAAAATGGGCTGGAATCTTGATTTTAATAATGCTGCCGAAGAGTCTGCGAACAAGGCATATACAGCTCCAGTAGTCCCTGCCCCGAGACAATAGTAATGAGAGATACGGCATACGTGACATTAGTAGTGTTTCTAATTACCAGATCAACGGTCGGCCGTCGAGTAGTTGCGTTGTTCAGCTTAAGTGCTGCAAAAATATTTTGTGGTTAGAGCATCAGGCCCGAAGATCACGCCTACGGACGATCTCCGCAAAAGCCCGCAACGTCTATGTCTCATATTGGCACTAAGTCATCAACATAAATGAGCAAGTGATTGTCTGTAGTCGTGAGCATTCAACAATGCAGAGCGAAAGTGCATAGGACTTCCTGTCTTTATTCTCTCACTTTTCATTTTCCTTGTTGTATTATTGTCTCCAAATTCCATCACTCAATTGAATTTCTCCCGACACTTTTGTCCCGAGACCTAACTAGATGACTTTCATGAAACGATTCTGTAAAATCTTCTAAAGGGAGAATTTTTAGCTTGAGTGACCATATAACTCATAAATAACCGAGTGTCTTTACAATCAACGTCCGTCTTCTACAGAGCTCGCTGGAATAGCTATTGATTAAGCTTACTGAACGTGTTTACCAATCAACAGATTTCCAGGTGCGTGACAGACTCAGAAGTTCCTTGCAAAATGTATGTAGGCTAAAGAATAGAAAGATGTGCGGGCTCGATATCCTATATCACACTGGTCGATATGGCTGTGGACATTTTTGGATTTCAGATCTCGACAGATGCTATACAGCCCAGTGCCGGGGACAATTCTCTGGGTGTATTCATCCTTCAAGGAGGAGTATTGTCCCTTACTCCAGGGATTGGCAGAAATGGGTCAATTATTTCAGACCAGGCTATGCCAAAGTGGCGACTGTGTGTGAAGGTTGTCGGAGTGGAAATCACCGCTGGGATGGTCCATACTAAGAGCGGCCACGCGCAGGTGACATCTCATTCTGACTGTCAATGGGAATATTTATAACCACTATTCCTCTCCTATTTAATTGTAGAACGTCAAATATGTTTTGTATACTCCGTTTCCTCCAGGGCTTTCTGTATACTTGCACCCGGCAGGACCTTCCTAAAAGGGATGGATACACGTGATGTGCTCCTGGCTGCTTCTCGACGCTTCAAATGATCCTTTTGGCCTCAGACGCGCTCATGTCACACCAGATAAAACAGTAATGCCGGCGTCAAAGGGAACGAATGCGGTGGTATCGGGCGAGGTACCATCGTATCGCCGCCCTCGCCGCCGACCGGCCCATCTACGCACCAAGACAGGTTGTCTAACTTGTGAGTCAGGGATGCACCAAATCTCATCGACCTATGTCGCCAAATATGGAGTATTAATATTTCCCAAGGTCGTAAGCGAAAGAAAAAATGCGACGAAACAGCGCAGACCTGCGGTAACTGTGCAAAACAAAGGCTAGAATGCATCTGGCAGCTCAACCGGCGACACAATGCTTCCGGAATCTTACCTGATCGCAGCTTTCCCAAAGAGGCCCCGAACCTCTCTACCCTGGACGTGGTTGATCCTAAGTTGGGTATGATGGGGACGTCTATCAGCAAAAATGCCCAACAGTCTGATTCTCACTTGATCTCTTTCACATCACCACAACCAGTATCGTGTTGGTCTCAGATCGGCCATATCGACCTCAGCATTGAACAAAAATACTTTGTCACTTGTGGCCTTTCATCTGCTCTTACACCTGGTAGTGCTCCATTATTCGACTTTCTCACGTCACGATTCCTCCCGCAACTGATTCGCCCTGCTGCAACTTCTCGCGTGATTGATTTGTTCAGTAGAGAATCGATGGCTATGGCAATGAAGACGCCAGCTTGCATGCACGCGCTGCTTGCTTGCAGTGGTGCTGAAATTCCTACAAAAACGTCTCGCTTTCGAAATTTGGCAAAGTTTCATTATGCACGGGCTGTGAATGAGCTCCGGAATGATCTGAAGGAAGATAATATTAAGAATGGCTGGTTGGTAATCATGCATACAGTTCTTATGCTTTGCATATATGAAGTGAATCTCGTTTTCCCATCCCCCTACACATGATCACCCTTGGTTGACCAAGAAAAACAGAGATCCAAACCACGAGGCTCAACAGGTGTCGAAATTCACCTGACTGGGGCAGCCCAACTTATTCGGATTGCCTCAGAATATTGCAAAATCGACCACGATAGCCCCGAAATCGAACAAGCCATGCATCGGCTCGTCTACGAAGCTTTTATCTTCCATGTTGCAACAAGCCTTCCGTTCCAATATCATACTTTGGACCACTGCCAAGTTAATGCAGCCTTTGCAATAGCAGAGACTAATCTCGGAGGACATTTTCATTCTCCTTTAGCCTGTTACCCAGACTCCCCAGTGCTTGGGGCTCCGCCTCAACTTTTCCGATGCATCTATACTATCTATCATCTTTACCGAGATATTCCTCCCAACGACCTTGATCTTGAAGTTTGTCAGAAGCTCGAGAATGATCTTTTGCGGTGGAGCCAATCAGCAGCAGCAACAGCGCCCAGTGCCTATGATTATGATGGTTTGGAGAACAACGTTGAAAAGACTGACTCGGTATCCTGGCGCCAAGCGGCATGGAAAAGCCAAACCGCTGTGATTGGGCCCCGACTCTACGTTTTGGGCTCTCGGATTCTGCTTCAACGTATGGTATACAGTAACATCAGCAAAGCTCATTCAACGATTGACGAGCTGATTCAAGAAGCGATGAGCACGGTGAAGCAGCTACAACCAGACATTGACTATTTTGCTGAATACTACTGCTGGCCATTCTATGTTTTAGGAATCAACCTGCAACATTCTGTCGATCGCCAGTGCCTGATGGCTCAAATCTGGGCCTTTCACGAAGCAACCAACAACGGCACAATGAAACGACTATCTGAGATACTGAGCACTCATTGGAATAACTCTCAATCCACCCTGCCTGGATGACCAGTTGCTTTTCTGGTCTCTATTCCAGACGCATAGCTTACTGATAAATAAGCCTGCTATAGATTTGATGTTCATCACGACAGTCGGCTGTTCGGCATTCTCGCCGGCATCGCGGGGCGACAGAGTGAATTTGTCAGCACACAGCTTATTAATGCGCCTCGGGGGGCTTATGGAAATGAATATAAAATCACCATATTGCAACCATTGTCGGTATCAGAGACGATAATCACACAATGGGCTCTATTTCATTCCAGTCGCCACCAATCGTGAAGGCCCAGGGTCTTCCATACTTCACCCCCGCCAATAATGCGGGAGAAGCCATCAACCCTGAAGACCCTAACACTCCGACATTGTTCCGCCCATTGCGCATTCGAGATGTAACCCTCAAAAATCGCGTGATCGTGGCACCTATGTGTACCTATTCTGCAGAGTCAGATCCATCTTCGCCCGCTGTCGGGGCTCTAACAGACTTCCATGTTGCTCACCTTGGCCATTTTGCCGTTAAGGGTGTCGGTTTGATCATCATCGAAGCCACTGCTGTACAAGCCAATGGTCGTATCTCGCCCAATGACTCTGGCCTCTGGCAGAAAGGCGCAGACTCCGAGCAATTCAAGGGGCTGCGCCGTATCGTGGATTTCGCTCACAGCCAAGGTGCCAAAATCGGCATCCAGTTGGCTCATGCTGGCCGCAAAGCGAGCACAGTCTCCCCTTGGTTGGCAGCCCAGGCTAAACAGCGTGGAATCAAAGCCGACGAGAGCGTCGGTGGCTGGCCTTCTAATGTGGTTGGGCCCTCGGGTGGCGAGGAGCACATCTGGGCACCAGGTGATCAATTCTGGGTCCCTCGAGAGATGTCCACCATCGAGGTGGAACAGCTGGTCCAAGACTTTGCTCGAAGTGCGCAGCTCGCTGTGAAAGCCGGCGTGGATCTGATTGAACTGCACGGCGCGCATGGTTACTTGCTCCACCAATTTATGAGCCCTGTTACCAATCGACGGACCGACAAATATGGAGGCAGCTTTGAGAACCGCATCCGAATTGTTGCCGAAGTGGCCACTGCTGTTCGTGGTGTGATTCCTACTGGAATGCCGCTGCTGCTCCGAATTAGTGGCACTGACTGGCTGGAGAAGGCGCCTGTCTCGGCGGAGACAGGAAGCTGGGACATGCCCTCGTCAATCAAGCTAGCAAAATTGCTGCCCGATCTTGGAATTGACTTCCTGGATGTGAGCTCTGGTGGAAACCACAAGGACCAACGAATTGAACCCCATTCGAACTACCAGATTGATCTGGCCGGCGAAATCCGTCGGGAGATTCGTGCTGCTAATCAGAAGACCTTGATTGGCGCCGTAGGTTTCATCACTGAAGCAGAGTCCGCCCGCAACATTGTTCAGGGTGCAGAGGAAGAAGCTCAGGCCAACGAGCAACTGTTGTCCGCACACGATCCCAAAGCTGACGCTGTATTAATGGCTCGTCAATTCTTACGAGAGCCCGAATGGGTGTTTACGGCAGCCAAGACCTTGGGTGTGAAAGTGTTGCTTCCATCGCAATTCGCTCGGGGCTTGTGAGCTCTATGTACATATTGCTTGACATAAAGCACTCTGTGCTTTGCATGATTTCCAATTTCTGTGCCGACGTGGAATAGAAACTCTTCAGCTAGACGATCCTTTCCCCATTCAAAGCTTGTCATTTAGAACGTTGGCTCGGAGTGCCCATCTAGGGCTCTGCTCCGACGCAGGTGGCCTGCAGTAAGATATTTTAGGAGAATTAGGGCGAGTCTTCGGGCGTCAAGGATATTGTTATAGGCTCATTCTCCGCGGTGTCCAGTCAGAGGCCAAGGATCTCCCAACGTGCAACGCCAAGCACCGGGCCAAGACTCGGACTGCGCCGATGTTTTGGCTCGATTGCACTTGTATGCGAGGGGGGTTGACTTGTAACAGCTATGGGAGAGGATATAAAGATGAACGCTGGGCTTGGGGATTTCGATGCTATCCCACCGATAACATCGTTCATTCTTCGGTCGTTGGCTGCGACATTCCAGTTGGAATTGGAACTCGTCCAGGAATTCCTCCTCTCAACTATCCAGCAATATCTTCTACTCTGCACAATGATGATCCCTTCGGTCTGGGTGGTGGCATTTGCTCTTCAACCGCTGCTAAGCACCGCAGCACCTGCGCCATCACCGCCAGGTATTCCCTCCTCGTCGACTGCGAAGAGCGAGTTAGCTGGCTTGACTGTTGCCGCCCAGGGATCACAGGATGGTTATGATCGCGACCTGTTCCCTCACTGGATTACTAAGAATGGGTCAGTACACATTCAGGATCGGACTAGTATCTGCATCTGATATCTCCCATAGCTGCACAACACGCGAGAGTGTACTCAAGCGGGATGGCTCGAACGTGGTCACCAGCTCTAGCTGTGCTGCTACTAGTGGATCGTGGTACTCGCCATATGACGGCGCAACTTGGACCTCGGCGAGCGATGTCGATATCGACCATCTCGTGCCCCTTTCAAATGCGTGGAAGGTAATCTAACTCTGATGTTTTACTTGGGGAAAGGCTAACGCCTAGTCACAGTCGGGTGCCTCTAGCTGGACCACAGCTGATCGCAGAGCCTTTGCAAATGACTTGGATAATCCCCAGCTTCTGGCGGTCACTGATAGCGTCAATTCCCAGAAGAGTGATGATGGACCGGAAGTCTGGAAGCCCTCACTCAGTAGGTTCTATGCCCTGCCTCTTTTTAGCAAGTATATCACTGACTCAAGAAAGCTTCCTATCACTGCACGTATGCTGAGATGTGGGTGAAAGTGAAATCAGTTTATAAGCTCACCATCACTTCGGCTGAAAAGGTTGCACTCACGGATATGCTCAACACATGCTGAAACATTTGCATTGAGTTGATCATGGATTGTTCTTGAATTGCACGGAAATGCGAACGAGACGATGACAGAGTTTATTAGAGTATTCGGCATGTTGTATGGGATATATGCCGTGTCTGTGCATGCTAGACACGGTTATTGCAGTCAGAAATCATCAAGATCAGCCGAATATAAACTAAGAATGTTACATCGAAAATTTAATCAACATCCAATGAGACAGCACTTGAAATGCCCAATGAGGAGCCTCGGATGAGCACTAGTATGGCGCGCAAAAGCCAGTGATTGGTGGTTTCCCTGCAGTGGAACTATGCGAACTATAGAGACACATGATTGGACGATTTCATTCCAGTGATTTGGATCAAAATGACATGTTTATTGTATGGAGCGTCCCCGCCTTGGAGTGAGGTCTATATAAACCCCCCAGGATGAAGGAAGACATAGAGGTCCAGGGTCTCTCACTTCATCCAAGCTTCTTGTTCGATCCATTCTCCGAATCTGGTTCTCCAAAAGAATCACTTTTTCCTCTTTTTTTTTCAATTACTTCGTCACGTCGTTGTTTGCCTTCTAATTTCCAAATGAGTGCCCCCAGCTGGCAACAGAGAGCCGAGGCCAAACGGTCCGAGGTAGCGGCCAAGATCCCCACAGAATGGCAGGTTCCCAAGTCCATCCTTGAAAAGGACTCTTCGCCATTCGATATTCCCCGGGAATCTGGAATACTGAGCGAGCGTGAGATTGCTATCACCGAGGATCATGATGCCACCGATTTGGTCCACAAATTGGCATCGAGGGAATACACTTCTCTTGAGGTGACAACTGCCTTTGCCAAGCGGGCTGCAATCGCACAGCAACTGACGTCCTGCTTGACGGAAATTTTCTTCGATGTTGCCCTGCAACGCGCGAAGGAGTTGGACGAACACTTTGAAAGGACTGGCAAGACTGTCGGGCCTTTTCACGGCCTGCCAATAAGTATCAAGGAATCTTTCAGCGTGACTGGGATCCAAACAACCTTGGGTTTCGTCTCATTCTTGGACCGTCCTGTATCAGAGAAGAACTCTGCTTTAGTTGACGTTCTACTCGCAGCGGGTGCTGTCTTATATGTCAAGACCAACATCCCTCAAACCATGATGACGGCTGACTCGCACAACAACGTGTTTGGTCGAGTTCTCAATCCGTACGGCAAAGACATCACCGCAGGAGGTAGTAGTGGAGGCGAAGGCTGTCTCGTTGCGTTGCGAGGATCTCCCCTTGGGGTCGGTACCGATATTGCAGGCTCAATTCGCATTCCTGCTCTGTGCTGTGGCCTGGTGGGATTCAAGCCAACTGTCGGGCGTGTTCCATACGGCGGGCAAACATCGGCAGCTCGGCCGGGAATGGTTGGTATTGCCCCGACTGCAGGCCCTCTTTGCCGCTCTGCTCGAGACGCAGAGCTCTTCTTGCGGGTCGTATTCAACTCGAATGCTGCAGACCTCGACAACGGTGCCCTGGGAATTCCTTGGATTGAGCAAAACCCTAGCTCAACTCTCACCATCGGCATCATGCCTGAAGATCCAGCACGTCCCATGCACCCTCCTATGAAGCGTGCATTGGCAGAGGCGGCACAGAAGCTGAGCGCATCTGGACACCGAGTCGTGAGCTTGGACAAGGAAATGAAGTTTATAGCCAGGGCGTGTGAAGTTTCATGGGAATACTTCTCATTGGATCCTGACCGAACTCCCCTTGGTCATATCGCCAAAGGGGGCGAACCCCATATACCTTCCCTTCACTTCACGTATAACTTAGAGGAAGTTGGCCCGGAGCCAAATCTCCGCAAGCTGTTCCAGCTGAATGTTTCTAGGGATGAGATTACAGCTAAAATGCGACAGCTATTTGTGGACAATCAATTAGACGTCATTTTGGGTGCTGGATATCAAAGCTGTGCAGTTGAACATGACGCATATGGGTTGCCACTTTATACAGTGTTGGCAAATCTTGTTGATGTAAGTTGACATTCCCGTGGCTACAGGGACTTGACTAACAATATCAAGTATCCGGCTTGCGTGCTTCCCATCGGTAGTGCAAATAAGGCCGCAGACAAAGCGTTTATCAGAGAAGTTGATTATGTGCCATCTTGTATGAAATCATATTGTATTGACAGGAAATGCCCAGCTAACCGTTTATAGACCAGCCTCGATTGATCGAAGGTGCGCCTTGTCATGTTCAAGTCATCGGCAGAAAGTTGAAAGACGAGAGTCTTATGCATGCAGTCTCAACAATCGAGCGGGCTTTCCAGTAAGGAAACGTATCTTCTCGCAGTGCATGAGACTTTCACAGAGCATTGATATTTCCAGAATGTCATGGATTCATCAACACAAGTTGAAGAGCATCTGACTTGATCTTCAACCTAGCCATCTTCGCCATCACCATCAAGTAATGCTTGCAGACCTAAGATCCTGCCATTCTGTGGGATATCATCTTCCATTTTGCTGGTGACAGACCAAATTTTTGTTAGTCGCTTCTGCACCCACCTTGCCTGGCCACCTGGCTTTTGGATAGAGATCAAAGAAATGCAAGTCTGTACCGTATTTCTTTCAGTAGAAAATATGCACACCGATCCTAAGATTCCCAGTGGCCATAATAAATAGCTCGGAAAATGGTCCTCCAGAGTAAGAAAGGGAATATGCTTCAACCCGGCTTCAAGGCAACTTTTTGCCTGCCGATTTCTCTCATCATCTTTCATACTGGGGTTCGTTTTCAGCAGTAAGATCTGCACAGAAATTCCGTACAATTCTGCCAGCACGTTGTCTTCAATGTGAAGCACCCTAGGGCAATGAGACAGCTGTTTTTGGAGCCGGATCCAGGCTGTGATTTCAGAAGCATTCAATACACACGATATGCGTGCAAGCTTTGTGATATCAGCGATCAGTAAAAAGAATTTATACGGCGCGTAGAGAATTGGTTGCGTAGAGCTCTCGAATCTCCCTTCGGTAGAATTACCATGTCCCAAACCTAAGGAGTACAGCAGCAGGTTGGAATCATTCCGAAGTTTAGATAGCTCATCGACTGTTGGATCAAATAACATCATTAACGACGCATGATATATGAATGATTCCGTGCAAATGCGATCAAAGACCGCTGTCTGAGGACAAGTCATCCTTGGGCGGCGCAGAGCCAAAATGATTCTCGAGGCCGCAATATGAGGCGCACTGGTCGGTGAAGAATCATGCCGTGAGGTCTAGTTTCTGGTTAATCGAAAGCTAATACGCAGAAGGGGTCGAGCGTACCTCAAATACCGAAAGTGAAATTACCGTAGCTAAAAGCGCATCATGAGAGCCTATATCTTCAGCACTTTCAAGCATGTTTTGAAGACCACTGATTGTGTAAATATAGCTTCGTACTGCACAAGATATTGACCAATGGGGAGCCGAAGCTAAATGCATCCCAGCAATCGCGATCATCGCGCCCATTAAAGGCGGAAACTCCAGTGCCAAACGGAGCATGTAGGATTGATCCGAGAAATGGGACAGCGAACTTTGACGAACGAGGCGTGAAAGAACCGTCGATGCAAAGTATCGGTAAAGATAAGAGTGCTCCTGGTGTTGAAATGGACATGGCATAACAATAGGCGGCGTTAATGTCACCGACAGCGCTGGATCGAGAGATACTCTCATAGAGTCCGAAGTGTCTACAGGATTGCGATGTCGCAAGCCTCTTCTTCTATCGTACTGTTTCCCTGTTGGCCATTTGCAACTGAGGTCATTGCGAGTGCAACCCGAACACCTCGGTCGCGTCTCGTCACATTTCTTGCGGCGCTTCCGGCCTGTTTGATCTCAGCTTCAAATCAGTATGTTATTTTTTTTAGAAAAAAGCCCACATAGAAAACACCCCGTTTGGGTTCTGAGTTTGGCTGTAGATGACATTGAGGAGAAGGGAAGAGAAGAGAAGGGAAGAGGAAGAGAGGAAGAGAGGAAGAGAGGAAGAGAGGAAGAGAGGAAGAGAGGGGAAGATGGGCGGAAGACTCCGGCCATCAACAACCATTTCGTTGTATTTGCTCAGTCGCTCACTTTCTATTCAAAATCCTCCGAAACTGTCTATTTACTCATGGGAGATTTCTTGCTTTTCCAAATGCGCAATGATCATCTTCAAATATGCGGTTGCACGGGGCGTTGTGGCCTCAACACCCTCTAGTTTCGCGGCATCATCCCACAGTCGAAGAGAAACCATCTCATCTCGCAACGGATCTTCTTCAAACTCTTTTAAATCCAGGCCCTCAAAGGGACCACCTTGGAATGCCAGCGATTTTTGAGACGCCGACGATAGGGAGTCATAGTACGCATGGTTGACTGCAGTGAGATACCTATGCAAGATTAGCCTGGGCTTGATAGACGATATACAGAGAAACCTACCGCTTTGCCGCAACATGACTATTCACGAGTCTGCAAACGGTCTCGCCAAATCCAAGAGACCGAAGATATGCAGCGCCAATAGCTTCATGGCCGACGCGGCCAACATTTTCCTGGCTTCCGCGCAGGTTCATGCGCGCCTCCTTGGTGGTTTCCAAGGGAACGATTTGACCAATGTCGTGCAATAAAGCGGCGATGACTAGCTCATCTCGGGCCCCTGGAAAAGACCATTAGCTTGATATCTCCAGTGCTCTTCGATTGTAACTGACCGGCCTTTTGTGCTTGATGTGCTGCTTGTAGACAATGTTCAAGTTGGCTAATGGATTCACCGATGTAGTCGCCTTGGCCATACTTCTCCAGAGCACCAACGATCGCGTCTGCCTTGTGGTATATTTGTTGAGCCATGGCAAGGGAGGGGGAGAGGGAGACAGGTAGAGAGAATGTATGACAATGTAGAAAATGGAATCAGGACAGAAGGAAAAGTCTCAGGTGGGGGGTAGAAAGAATTTATACGTGATCAAAGTCCTCGATCCATTCATTGGTTCTAAAAGAAGGGTACACACCTGCGCTACTTATCTCGACATGATTCATTTCATTCTACAGGCGATAGCAGTTTGCGGACCTCACACCGATGGTCTTCGTCTAGCTCCAGTTGAATCGGCAAGACAGAATTATTCTCTTGGTTTTATCACTTCCATTTTTCGATTACATCACTTTTTAACTTTAGACCCCAAGTTCCAGTAGCCTGTTGTCTAGTTTACAAGACTAACTTATATACATAACTATACAGGGATGGCCTCTGAGTCCACCGTCAACATGGGCGAACCAAAAGCGTAACGAGCTCGGCCTTCTTCGTAGGATTCTCCTTCCTTCCGCATGTGAGTTGCTGGCCAAAGCTTCTGGCGATCTATATAGTACTGATCATGCAGATTTCCGTCAGTGGCGCAGTTGTAAGTTGCGTAAACCGCTCGACGATCCTTGGAACTGGTATTGGCACCGCTTCTATGAGCCAAATATGAGCCAAAGATCAAAATATCGCCTGTTTCTATCAGCATAGCTTTACTAAACGCGGAGCGAAATGTAGTTACCAGCTTCAAGCTCGGCAGAAGTCCAGGTGTTTGATTTCACCCAAGTGGGTTCAATGCATCGATCACTACCGAGAGGAATCTCCATACGATGACTTCCGTCGACAACTTCCAAACCTCCATTGACGGAGTTCATTGCGTCGACGGCAGCCAAGATTGTCAAATGTTTGATCATCTTAACGTGGGTGTAAGCATTTGCATCGATATGGGGGTCAAATCCACCTACAAAAGTAAGTTAACAATGTTCGCTATAGATGGGATTCAAAGAGTACGTACCACTTCCGGCCAGCTTGTAGTTGATTTTCTCTTTGAAAAGAAGCATTTCTTCTCCGGCGAGCTGTTGCAAAATACTGGTAGCACGCTGACCCCGTAGGAAACTATCGAATCCTGGGTGGGAATTCGCGAAATTCTCCGTGCGACAAAGCACGCGCTTTCCCTCGGCGTTCACCTCTTCATAAGGCATCCATGGTGTATCGGGAGTACAAGGGAGATCGTGAACCTCTTGTGCCCATTGCTGTAGCAGCTCTGATTCACTGGGAGTAAAGAACTGCCGCACTAGCAAGTAACCTCGCTCCTGGAAACTCGAAACTTGCTCTGCAGAGAGAGCATAGTGATGATTCTCCATGATGAGCAAGCCAATGCGGTGATGTACCAGAGGCGAAAAGAAAGTGAGGCTCATGAAGCACGTTTTATACGGGCCAAGTACTCGACCATGCAGCGGCCACGAGGCCTCGCACTTCGCACCGCAATAGAACCCAAACAGGTTAAGGTCCAATCTGGCGGATCGGAGGCCGACAGGTCTAACAGGCCACATGGGTGAAAGATAAGCTCCGATAGGCTTGGCGCTCAGGTCCCACCGTGGGAGTGGAGCGCCAAGCCGTGAGAGCGGAGCCCTACCGCTGTGGGTTTTCATGTGCGAAGTATGGGAATGCTACTGTAGGCACTTGAGCTTGGACCTATGAAGCTTGACACTTCGCGCTTCGTCCCGGCGTAACATTTGAAGCTTCTCGTGCATCAACGTCAGTTTGCTATTGGACTCTTGCAATACATGCCACACTTCACCAGAGTTTCTTGAACATCTACTTAACATGCCCTGAATCCAAAGAATCCCTAGTTCCTTTCCGTCTTTCCGTTAAGCAAAAGAGCGTGGCCATGGCTATTTTCACTCATGACCCGGTGAAGAACTGTCCCAAAGTCGAAGAGCCTGGCGCGGAGGACCATGACATTGAGCAAAGTGAAACCAAGCGGAAGAGCTCCGGTGTACTGAATGTGATCGTCTCCGGTCTAGCATTGTTTAGCGATGGATACAATGCACAGATCAGTATGCCTCCCGCTCATTATTTTTGATCATCCTCTAATCTTTCTCCAGTTGGCTACATGGAACCGTTGTTCTCAGTACTGTGAGAGACCTGATGTTTTCTGTGTTTGGCTCTATTCACTGATGGATGATACAGGTACATGAAGGGCATGTCTTCAACCATCAAGTCTCGCCTTTCCAACTCGTACTTGATTGGTGAGATTTTCGGAATGCTCTTTTTTGGAGTCTTGATCGACCGGATCGGCCGTAGAACCGGAGTCGTTGCTGCTACAGCTTTCCTTATTTTGGGAGTCGTCTTAGCTACTGCTTCACATGGAAATACTGAGCTGGAGTGAGTTGACCCTCCTTCCTTGTTAAAAAGAAAGAAAATGCACGCAGGTCAGAGGAACGCAGATCGCTGACAAGGATTGAAGCATGTTTTGGATGATGATTGTTGCACGAGGCATTGCTGGATTTGGTGCTGGTGGAGAGTATCCAGTCTGTGCTACGAGCGCCACCGAAGCTGCTGATGAAACAGCAAAGCTCCGTAAACGACGTGGCTTTCTCGTGGCCGTGACAACGGATTTTGCGGTTGATCTGGTTCATACTTCCCAGCCTTTGCTTATCACGCAGATTGCTAACGTCTACTTTAGGGCTTTGTCGCAGCTGGTTTGGTTGCCCTGATTGTGTTAGCCTGCTACAATCAGCAAAACTCAGAAGGTGTTTGGCGAGTCTGCTTTGGCCTGGGTATTGTAGTAAGTCTTTTGGTCTTTCTGAACACACGATTGATCTTTCTAACCTCAAGACAGCTCCCACTTTCCATCTGTTTCTTCCGTGTACGGATGATAAACTCGACGCAATATCGAAAGCACGCCATTAAATCTCAGTATCCATACATGCTGGTACTGCGTCGTTACTGGAAGCCGATGCTTGGAACATGTAAGTACTGGCCAACTTCATTTTATATATTCCGATGAACTGGTTCTCACACCGAAATCACAGCATTGGCCTGGTTTTGCTATGACTTCGTGACATATCCCTTTGGCTTATTCTCATCGACAATTATCGAGCAACTGAATCCTAACAACACCACGGTTCAAAACATTGGATACGGAGTAAGTCTTAACCGAGCGAAAAAGCCAAATTTCCTCAAACCCAACTAACGGCAATCAGACGGTTATCAATTGCTTCTATCTACCCGGTTGTTTACTTGGTGGATTACTGATGGATCGCCTCGGCCGTAAGCAGACTATGACCTTGGGATTTATGCTCTGGGCAGTATGGGGCTTCATTATTGGTGGTGCCTTACATCAGATTCAGAGTGTTTTCCCCCTGTTCATAGTCATGTACGGAATTTTCCAGGCTCTCGGAGAGATGGGACCCGGTGTCTCGACATTCCTCTGCGCTTCTGAGTCCTTCCCAACACCACTACGGGGCCATTTCTTGGGCTTTGCCGCCGCGGTTGGCAAGGCAGGCGCCTCCATTGGGACGGAGGTTTTCACTCCAATTCAGAACTCGTTTGACTCGACTGAAAAAGGTCAACAGGCGGTGTTCTTGATCGGTGCCGCCTTCACTGTCGTTGGCGGCCTCATTGCCTGGTTCTTGATTCCGGATATGTCTCGGGAGCTGGAAACAGAAGATGTTCGCTTCAAAGAGTATCTGGAACAGAATGGCTATGATGTTAGCCTCTACGGCGAGGCATTGGTTATCAATCCACGAGATTAGAATCTAGTCTTTGCTCAGGTTGTTATATAGTCTGCGCGTCCAAGGAAACTCTAAATAATTTTACGAAATCTCAACATCATTTCAAGATAGCCGGCAATACTTCCCTCTTCTCATGATTGGTGTTTTGGTATTTAACTGTTTGACTTCAAGATTAAGTGTCGATCCATGGGAAATAGTAAGCCTTGGCGTCATGGGGTGGATGAATGGTTGATTGTGGCCGATCCTGGATATCGCCGCTCAATTGATTGGGTAAACGCACGAGAACCCCGAGTTCCAACAAAGCCAATCGCCAAACCAAGGTCGGCTGTACAGTATAAGGCGAGTATCGGGTTGCTCCATAGGGCCTGCGGTAGGTCAACTGGTGCGAAAAGGGGCGACAGCACAGTCCCGAGGGGAGAAGAGGAAGTGAGAAAGAGATGAGGGATGACGTCGGTCGTCGGTCTCGGAACAATTATATCCCGGCCTTGGAATGCGCGGTTGAAAGCATGGAGTTCGCAGACCATTGGCAAATGCAATTGCAGGACAGTCAGGTCTGGGGATACCGGCATTATGTCCGGGCAATGGATTCGATGCCGATTCTCCACACATTTCCCTTGGAGAAATCAAAATTGTACGTAACGGTGCAGAATTATACGGAGGACAAGCCGCACATCCGAGTCCCTAGCCAAATATGCGGAGAGCACTCGCTCCTGGAGCGTTTTACCGGGGATTTAGGCGAGAATACAGGATGACGCCGATGGAATGTGAAGAAGCGATGCTCCCAACGCTCCCTCCCATTTCAAGCGTGCAGCGCTTTTCTCGGATTGGCGACGCAGGTATCATCCCTGCGGGTTGTCGGCGCGAGAAGCAATCCAGCCCGTTCCCCATGATCATCACACAGAAACAAGGCGAGAATTACTAATGTCCACACCGAGAGGCCAAGTGGAGACGGCGTGGAGTCAACTGCAGCCAAGCGATTGCCAATGATGCTTCTTTTCGGCACGCCGAACCACAACTGATGTGGCAAAGCTTTTCCTGTCTCGGTAACCGGGGTTAGTATGGAGAATATGGAGGGTTTGGGGCTTTCGGTCCACTGGTCGCCCCTTCGTAGGGCCCGTCCTGGTTCCCTTTAAATGCGCCATGCCTTGCATATCTCGCCCGACATTTCTCTCTCTCCTCCCAGAATTCCACCATGGTTTCGGAGGACACGCGACCTGAGCTTCCCGACGTGGAGAAGGTCTCAGACGCTTGTCGCGAGAATTCGACCTTAGTCTTGTCAGAAGAACAGGCCCTGGCAAAAGCCCGCAGTAACCCCGATGACGCACTACCAATCCTCATCGGCTACGCGGTAGACGACCTCGACAACCCTCGTAATTGGCCAAAATGGCGCAAGTGGTATATCACCATCGTGGTTAGCATGCTCAATGTTTTCACGTATGTCATCTTTCAATCCTCTTGCTTCTCCATCCCTGTCTAACCACCGTCATTTAGAACATGGTGTGCCGGTGGCATCTCATCGGGCGCGACTGGCATACAAGAGGAATTTGGGGTCTCAGCGGAGGTGACAACCTTATGCCTGTCTCTCTATGTTTTAGGCTACGCCATCGGCCCTGTGCTTCTCGCTCCTCTCTCGGAATACTTTGGTCGCCAGCCGGTGTATGTGGTATCATGGTTCTGCTTATTTATCTTCCAACTCCCTCTTGCCTTGGCCCCGAACATTGGCACTATTCTGGTGTGTCGCTTTATCGCTGGATGCGCTGGAGGTGCGCCCTTGACAAACACTGGCGGTAGTATCAGCGACCTGTGGGAGCGAAATGAGAGTGGAGGCCCCATGGCTGTCTATGGCTTGAGCAGCACCTTTGGTCCTCCCATGGCGCTGGTAATCACTGGATATATCGGGCTCAATCTGGGCTGGCGATGGATCTTTTGGGTATTGATGGCCATGACGGGTGGCGTGTGGGTTATTCTAGTAACCACCATTCCTGAAACACGCCACACCACCGTGCTCCAGAACAAGGCGAAGCGCGCACGAAAGCAAATGAAAAAGGAAAATCTTGGCTCCGCGGAATCGACTATGGACCTTCACGCGCACGACCGAAAAGGTCTGCATGAACTATTCGCCATCACACTCACGCGTCCGTTCCGGTTCCTCTTTTCCGAGCCAATCACATTGTTCTCTGCCATTTACAATGGCTTCTTGTACGGCCTTGTTTATCTGTTCAACGAAGCGATCCCCCTTGTCTTCGGTGAGCCCAAAGGGCATCCGTTCAACACCGGTCAGCAGGGTCTGGCCTTCTTGGGAATGGCCATTGGTCCTCTCATTGCATTCTGTTTCTATCCACTTCAGGAGCGATACTACTTGCGCCGCGTTGCAGAGAATGGAGGCAAAGGTGTCCCCGAAGCACGTATGTGGATGGCGCGCTTGGGAGCAATCTTGATCCCTATTAGTCTGTTCTGGTTTGGCTGGACAAGCTATCGGTCAGTGCATTGGATCGTGCCAATCATTGCATCGTCGTTCTTCGGGGCTGGCATCTACATCGTTATTCTCAGCATTTTGAACTACGTTGTCGATAGCTATCAGACTTATTCAGCCTCTGCTCTTGCCGGTGTGATCTTGGTGCGCAATGTTGTCGGAGCTGGATTCCCCTTGTTTGCGACTCAGATGTATGAGAAGCTAGATTATGAATGGGCTTCGAGCCTGTTGGGTTTCATTTCAATCCTGCTGGTGCCAATCCCATTCATCTTCTTCTACAAGGGAAAGGCCATCCGCCTCCGAAGCCCATGGGCCAGGGAGCACTTTGATCAGAACGAGGATAGCCCGCATTAGTGTCTTCGCCGGGCGGAAAAGTGGTTAGGCGATTGTAAATAAAGACCCAATTGTATTTATTCAAGTATCATGAGCATTCTGAAAAATTGTATAACAGCACGAACGAAAAACGATTGCATCTTCCTTCCTATATGTATGTTGCTGCCAACCGAGATTGCAAATGCTGCCCCGCTGTGATTCGACGCTGGCCATCGTCCCAGCCACGAGCACCTCCTCCATGGCCAATCACTCTCTCCGTTTCCTCGTCGCCTTTCGTGTCCTTCCGATGACAGGAGACGATTTCACTTGGTACGGGAACAAGTTCGGTTTCACTCACTGGTTGACAGAAGAACGCGATGCTGTAGCGATCTTGCGGTTTAGATATATGATCTGATTGGGCGTTTTCGGGAAACACGACTCGATGAACTGTTGACTTGAGCAAACCGTCTGTCCAATAGCTTAACAAGTCACCAATGTTCACGAGGATTGGCGGGAATGGGAAGTTTGCTTGGCCTCCCGGGTAAACTGGGACAGCTGCCCACTGATTATCTGCAGTAAGTATCTCAAGCCCTGGCTGCCCGGGGCGTTGAAATAATAAGGTAATACTTCCATAGTCGGAATGAGCCCCGGCGCGGATATCCTTTCCGGGCCGGTATGATGAAACCACAGCGGGATAATACAGCCATCGAAGAGAGTTCTCGGTTGAACCTTTCGATTGATCATGGCGAGTGGTGAAGAAGTCCTCGTCGATCTAGGTCGAGTTAGTACGTCTTTCTAAGCAGAGGAAGGACCAAATAAGCTATACCTCCAGCCCAAGGGCAAGAAGTCTCAATATCTGACTGCAAGTGGTATTGCAGAGATTTGTGAAGCGAGCGATTTCCGACTCCTTTGAAACTAAACATGGGGGTAGTGGTTGTTGACGATTTCCCTCCTGGAATTCCCCGATATTCAATGCTCGTCGGGGCTATCAGATGCTTGGTCACCGCACCGTGGGGGATGAACTCACTCCTTAAAATCCCCTCTCTACAAACGATTAGACATGTTCTCTTGGGGTGTGAGAAAACGAAGTAGGCTCACATCGTGATGCTCAGGATCTAGAGTCTCTACATGCATTCCTACCCAGCCTCGGTTCTGGGGACAGGTCAGTTATGTGAATGAAAGCGACTCCTGGGCAAGACAGACGTCACATTCTCTGCGATACGGGGCTTTCTCGATGGTAGAGAGCTGAAAGAATTCTTGCGACTTGACATAGTGAGCTCCATGTTCACCAAAAGCCATGCAGGAGTGGCTGCAAGGGGTATTGCCGTACCAGATTGAAGGCCTGGTCAACATCCGAAGCTGTGAACCGCGTGCTGTTGCTATCGACGTACAGAAAACCAAATTTTACCGCCGCGTCCAGCAGCTTTTTCCCTGCAATGACATCGTGTGAGTTGGAGATATCCACCAGGGGAAGTTCAATGGAATTTGCTGGATTGGCCATGATGTTGACGTTGGCAAGTTGGTTTCCCTGAGGGGATTCTGCCCTGATTAGTCCAATCATATATAACTGGGCGGTCTACGCCGCCAACCGAGTGCCTTCGATTCTGACTCGAACTCCATTCTCACTTCTCAGTTCCTTCGTATACAGTCTCGGTGCTCTCCGTGCCAATACTCAACCCCGCTTGCATTCGCGGGTCTCCGTTGTCTCCGACGGTGGAGATGGCGGATGGACCAGTCCGAATCAGCATAGTATAAAACCTTGACTGGACCACTACACTAGAGTGGAAGGTTCTGCCTGGCCTACCTCGGCATCTTTTGGCTATACGAGCATACCCTTCGCTTCGGGCTTGTACCAGATTAATAGATCCCCCCCGAACAAATCCAGCCTTTGATTCTGACTGTGGCTCACATTGACCTGGAAGCTCACGCCGAGATGGACCAAGCGTCTGGGGTTGTGGATCGGAGTCCCCCGTGGGGATCAATCCACTTTTCTGGGGAAATCACTATTAAAGCGCTCATCTGCTGAAAGCAGGAGATCCCATGAACCGGTCGCAAGGGAAAACATCATGAGTCCAACATTGAATCTCGACGTGGAGAAGCGCGCGGGGACCGCAGAACCAGCACTTTTTGAGGATGAGACGGGCGCGGTCCCTGCCACTAGCTTTGAGCATGGTGATTCTCTGTATGCAAAGCTTCAACGACTCGGGGGCAAGATAAATGTCGAGCAACGAGGCATCGAACGTGTGCCGGAGGACGAACGAACGGACAATTCATACTGGAATATTGGTTCCATGGTATTTTGTTCTTGAGCATCGTGCGAGATCTCTCTAACCCGTGGAATAATCCTAGTGGCTGGCTGCCAACATGGTGGTGCCGTCGTTCACCATTGGGGTTCTGGGCAAACCGTTGTTCGCCATGGGCTTTGTGGACTCGGTATTGGTGATCATCTTTTTCAACATGATCGCGGTCATGACGGTCTGCTTCTTTTCCGCCTTTGGTCCTGCTTTTGGATTGCGACAGATGGTCTTGTCGCGATTCTGGTTTGGATGGTGGGGGGTGAAGCTGAGTGAGTCTCAATCGCTGGTTCGTATTACTCCGCTAATCTATTGTTCACCGCGATAGTCGCCATATTCAATGTCCTAGCATGCATCGGCTGGGCTGCGGCAAATATCATCGTCGGGGCGCAACTGATCAATGCCGTGAATCCTAGCGTTCCTGGCTATGCAGGTATCCTCATAATTGCAATTTGCACTCAGCTTGTGGTCTTCTTTGGATATCGAGTGGTGCACGCGTATGAGTACTGGAGTTGGATTCCGACCTTTATCGTTTTCTTAGTTGTGCTCGGTGTATTCGCCCATTCCGGAGATTTCGTGAATGTCCCGATGAACGTCGGTCGTGCTGAATTGGGATCTGTTCTCTCATATGGATCAACAGTCTTTGGATTCGGTACCGGATATACAAGCTTCGCAGCAGACTACACTGTCTATCAACCAAGCAATCGTCCTCGGCGCAAGGTGTTCCTTGCCACCTGGCTGGGCATTTTTCCCACCTTGCTCTTCACGGAACTCCTTGGTGCTGCGATAGTCACGAGCACCGCTATTAATGGGGGAGACAATGCATATCAACAGGGATGGGATGAGGCTGGCGTCGGAGGCCTTCTTGGTGCTGTTCTATTCCCAAGTGTTGGAGGATTTGGCAGATTCTGCGTTATTATTCTTGCGCTTTCTATTGTCGCCAATAATTGCCCAAATATCTACTCGGTTTCGTTGACTTTGATGGTCATGGGGCGGTGGACTCGTCACGTTCCTCGGTTTGTCTGGACGGTCTTTGCTACTGGGGTTTATATCGCTATTGCCATCCCCGGTTATAGCAACTTTGAAGCCGTGTTGGAAAACTTCATGCATTTCATCGGATATTGGCTGGCAATTTACGAAGGTATCGCGTTGACTGAACATTTCGTGTTTAGACGAGGATTTTCCGGTTATAACCCCGAAGACTACGATGACCGGGACAAACTCCCCCCGGGTATCGCGGCTTTGCTTGCATTTTGTTGCGGAATTGTCGGCATGGTGACTGGAATGAGTCAGTCCTGGTGGGTTGGTCCTATCGCCAAGCAAGCGGGCTTATCCACTACAGGAGGCGATGTTGGCTTCGAGCTAGGGTTTGCATTCGCTGCCGGGTCCTATCTGATTCTCAGAACGATTGAGTTGAAGATCTTCCAGCGTTGAAATATGTCACAAGCATTCATTGTCCATGCCTACTCAATTTATGGGACAGTGTCAAAATACTAGATTGTAGATAGGGTCTGCAATGCAAGCCACTTCAATCACCATGAAGCCTTTGGTCCAGATATTGTTCACCTGGGATCCCCCTTCATCTCGAAAATCACGAGACCCATTCGTAGCTCAAGACTGGAATATCAAACACCGGCGCGGTGCATGTCGCGTTGAAGTAGGCGTCATGGGTGCAGCTGAGTTGGAAATCCGTGCTTCCGGAGTAGGTGATGCTGCTGCCATTGTCACACTTCAGGGCATGTCCATAGCCCAGAGTGTAATCCATATGACCGGTTGAAGTTTCCAGATCGGAAGTTCCATAGAAGGCCACAATCCGCCCAGCGCCGCGGTCTGCATAGCCACAGTTGCTTTCACCATGAGCGATGTCATGGATACGATATCCAATGTACTCGTCGTGACACGTGAGACCATCCGCAAAGTCGATATCCAGCGTTTGCTTGGGGCCATATCCCCAGGGCTCGTAGTTGGGCATCCCGGTCCAACACACATTCACCATGCTGCCGTTGCAAGTGGCTGGATTGGGGTCACACCAGCCATTTCCACAGAGGCAACCCTTGGCGTTGATGTCGACTTGATTGTGGATGCAGTCCAGGCTGTGGGAGCCATTGAACCACTTAAACTCATTGACCGTCCATGTAGGAATCGGACAGCCGTCCGGCGGAGTGATAGAGCGCGATTGGATTTTTGCAGGCGAGGCATATGTAGAAACCGCCAGCAGGGCTGTCACTAGAAGACGGGCTGCCATGTTGTCCGTGGGGATGATGAGACAGTGATATAACAGGATGCAAACAACCTAGACTTCTGCGTGGATTCCATGCACAACTTATATACAGTCATGGAGAGAAGGCTAGACTCTGAAGCAAGAAAGACAATTGCAACCTCGTTCTCACTGTGGAGTCGAAATCTGCAAGTCAGCACGCTAATGCGATTCGGCTACTTTGCTCAACACATGGCCAATGGGATGATGGATGGCAAAGTAGGGTCCGAGACAAAGTGTAGATGCCCTCGCCTAACGAGAGGTGTTCCTTCTTGGCACTGCGCCAGAGTCCACCTTTGTTATACTCGAAGCAGTGCGAGCCGACTGAAATCTTAGATCTAACGTCAGCCTGTCTGGCATTCAGGGCAAGCCAAGCCCTCTAGATATTCTTGGAGATGGGCAAATACTACATGTCTTGGATTTGACTTTGGTTAGAATCCTTGGGTCTCATCGCTTTCAACCAAACGCGAAGATCGGGTGACAGGGCATAGCGTTTCGTTGGTCTTGCTTGGAATGCAATTGCTACACAGTGGATGATGGAAGTCTCTATCTGAAGCAGGAGCTGTCCACTCGCTTGCTCGATCAGACTCTGAAACCGAGCCATAAGTGATCTCGTATGTCGTCAAGACCGGCGTCAGCATGCTTTGCAGCATTGGCGGGAAATCTCCAAATTGTCTCACAACTGCTATGAGAGCAAACATCCGATCACCACTTACTGCCTTATATTTGAAGGCTGGGCCAGATTGCATACGTTGGTCAGGGATATCAGCCAATTGGTTTCTTCCGTATGATCCCCGTGGACGTGTGGACGGTATAGATGCTTCGAATTCGAGCCATTTGTTGATCATGCAAGCGCAAAGTTGATCGGTCGGAAAAAGGCGCAAACATAGCCCTGCCGACCATTTTCCTGACCTCTCAAACCCAGTCGAAATGGGAGTCGTGGGGATATCAATTCTAGAATCGATCTGACAGGGGTTCTTTCACTTGCCGAAACTGTCCCTTGCTGCCTGGATGTCGGCTTTTGTGCCTTGACAGTCAGGCATACACACGTGACTCTGTCGGGGGACGGGACCCCGTGACCTGCCGTTTGCGTTCTCCACGTGACGTGACCGGTTTAGGAAATACTTGGACATCTAGTCAGGCTTAGTCTCAAGGGACAGGTTTCTCTTTGTTCACGGGCTGCAGGGTATCCGACTCTAGTGCAGTAGCCTATCCTGTTACAATATACAACTTACAGTAGATATAAATTATTATATATATCCCACGCTCGAGATTCCGGATTCCAAATTCCGAATATTCGCTCGATGAAACCTCAAGGATCTCAACAACTTCAACGGATTTGGTACTTGCATTTCACTTACCGGTGAAGGCTTCATAAAAACCACGCGAAGGATGGAAGATCGGTGCATAGCCTTTGGACACATCTGGGGACTGATAGTGACAAGAGTGACTGTACAGGAATCCTTCAACATCATGATGAAGTTAGACTTGGACTGTCATCCGATCATGCTATATATACTGCAAGGTATCGAAGAACCCTGTGAACAACAGTCAATTGTGACAACTTCCAAAGAAGTAGTCTTTCCACACCCGCGTGGTGCTACTTGAACCCTACCAGTGAAATAAGCACAGGCGGCGGTGACCCCGTCAGCTTACAGATTGGTCCGGGTGAAAGAGGCCCAGCCCGACGATCTCGCATCTCATGTCTATCATCGTAGCCACTATCTACAGCACAGCGAAGCCTCCCCTATCTGTTGGCGTCACAAAAGCAGTGTGCACGGGCAATCCGAGTAAACTCGACGCCAAATCTTGCATCGCGGTTAGGTTCTCTCGTACATGTACAGGACGATCAAACTCAGATCTGCCCATCTCCGCCCCACCAAGCCTGTCCGATGGAAAGGCGGTAGTGCAAACATCGGGTGGTGACACAGGAGCATTGGCAACAGCGCAGCCGAGGACGCGCGTGTCATGGACATGGAACAGTCAAGCCTCCACGTCGGCATGGCGGCAAGCGCGAGATTACTATACAACAGGAACCCATCGAACGGTCGGTCCGGGACCACAGACGTCGCCTGAATGAGGAGACCCAAGCGTCGGGAACTTTCAGAGTGTTGATCGTCTCCGAGTCTGTCGATGTGGAGGTTCAACAGCCATGTGGAATGGGGCCGGGCCTCACATACACGCGGCACGATGCTTTTCCGCCAGTCTGAGGACGGGTCGGGGAATTTAATCTGCAGGAAGAAACGAAGAAACGAAGAAATGAGGAACCCTTGGGAAACATGGCATGGTTACAAGGACTCCATGGATTCCTTGGATTCCTTCACTTGGTTGCTTTGAAATCGAACTGGACGAATGGACTCGAGCCTCTCGATATACCTCCCAGTTGGGCGAGGATGAGCCTTGTCGTAGGAGGCTTTGCTTTGGATGGATTTCCTCATTTCCTCATTTCCTCTTTTTTTATTATTTAATTTTCCCCCATTGATCCTTTCATTTCGCACATACAGTGTGAACCCCACAAACAATCAAACGAGAATTGGTGTGAACCGTGGATAATACATAAACCGAGAGTTTTAGTGGCGTCGCGGGAAAGAAAGGCCTCCGGGGAGGGCTGAACGCCTCTTAACCGCCCCTCCGTCGACGCCTCCTCATCACTCCTGAAGATGAGTTCTTTTTCGCAGCCTTGGTGGATCATCCAACGCCCTTGGCATTTCTTGACTGATGCTTGATTGGGTCTTGGCCCTTGGCGGCTTGTGACTCGACTCACACGGCTGGTCGAAAGCCAGTCGGACCCCTAGTCAATCCCCGGTCTTCCCCTCTCCCCCGGCCGTCGGCATCGGATTGGGGGCCCAATAAAAAGAACAGAAAGAAAAAAAAAAAAAAACAAAAACCAATAAAATAAAAAAAAGAGGTAACTGAAACGAAAGGTAACTGAGACGAGCAGGCTTCTGTCCACTCGTTGGTTGTGACCAATATGCGGCCCCGGCCCCGAACCGAAGCAAGAAAAGGATTTGATGGGGGTTTCTGCGTCGAACAAATAGCGACTGGAGAAAGAAAAAACTCAGACCCTGCCTCCACAGGCTCTCCCCCGTAATTCCCCGTGTCTTGGGGTGGTCGCATGTGGTGCCGATTAGGGCAAGAGATATGTTGATCTCTCTCTCCTCCACACTTGCAGTAGTGTGAGAATCACTGCACAGGAGCAAAGACACCCCCGATACTCCCTGGAATCCTGGCATCAGGGGCACATAGGAAGGTGCCATTCAAGGACCCAAAACAGCCTTCGTGCTGGTCTTCACCTTCCATCGTTGACCGCATGCGGATGTTACGTTGGTGGCGGCCAAAACCGACAATCTCCGCTAAGCCCTCTTAGCCCTCCCGACGGTTGGGTCTTAGCTGTGCTTAGCCATTCTTAGCCAGTCTTAGCCAGTCTTAGCTTTCTCGGCTCGCCCGACTTGCCTACTCCGTTGGTTGTTCTATACCCGCCGACGTCATCCCCAGACGTTCTGCTGCTTGGCAATAAGCAACCCGTGGGGGCCCTAATTCTTCGTCCAATACAAAAACCGGACATCTCCCCTCCCCCGATTGACAGGTCGCCTTCTCTTTTTGTATGTACTGGTCCTTCCTCCCTTCGATCTTAGGTTGAGGCATATAGGATCATTCCCAAGATGTGGACTACAACCTCCGGCTTACGGGGCAAGAAGCTCCATTTAGCCATCACCTTCACTTCGGTCATTGGATTCTCCCTGTTCGGTTATGATCAGGGATTGATGTCTGGAATTATCTCCGGTGACCAGTTCACGAAGGAATTCCCTCCTCTCGCCATTCCCGATGGCAGCAGCCAGTCTTACTCTGCTCATGTCTCCGTCCTCCGTGGTGCTGTCACCGCTTGTTACGAACTAGGTTGTTTCTTCGGTGCCATCTTCACCCTCATTTGGGGTGAACGGATTGGCCGCACCCCTCTCCTGGTCTCGGGAGGTATTCTCATGATTATCGGCACTGTCATCTCCACGGCTGCTTTCGGCCCCCAATGGGGTCTAGGGCAGTTCGTCGTGGGACGTGTCATTTCAGGTCTTGGAAACGGCATGGATACGGCCACGATTCCCGTGTGGCAGTCCGAATGTTCGCGTGCGCATAACCGTGGTTTCCTCGTTTGCTTCGAGGGTGCTATTATTGCCGTCGGTACTTTCGTCGCCTACTGGATTGATTTCGGTCTCTCGTACGTGGATAGCTCGGTTCAATGGCGATTCCCCGTCGCCTTCCAGATCCTGTTTGCTATCTGTGTTACCGTTGGCGCTATGATGCTCCCGGAATCTCCTCGCTGGTTTGTGATGCGAGGACACGATCAGGAGGCGCTAGAGGTCTTAGCTCATCTCAACGACAGCACCGTCGATGCCGAGGATGTGCTCACCGATTTCAACCTAATGAAGGCCGATCTCAAGGCCTCCCAGGGCAACAAGGCGAGCTGGAGAGAGCTCTTCAAATTCGGCAAGACTCAGGAGTTCCAACGTATGATGATTGGTTGCTCTGGCCAGTTCTTCCAGCAGTTCACTGGCTGCAATGCTGCTATCTACTATTCGACCCTACTCTTCGAGCAGAACCTTAACATGGAGCACCGTCTCTCCTTGGTTCTTGGAGGAGTTTTCGCCACAGTCTACGCCCTGGCCACTATTCCCTCGTTCTTCATGGTTGAGAAGGTCGGCCGTCGCAATCTCTTCTTGATCGGGTTCCTCGGTCAAGGTCTCAGTTTCATCATCACTATGGCCTGCTTGGTCACTGGCAACGACGAGAACGCCAAGGGTGCTGTTGTGGGTATCTTCCTATTTATCTGCTTCTTCGCCTTTACCACGCTGCCTTTGCCTTGGATCTACCCTCCCGAGATCAACCCCCTCCGCACTCGTACCATGGCAGCTGCTGCGTCAACTTGCACCAACTGGATCTGTAACTTTGCCGTCGTCATGTTTACCCCCGTGTTCTCCGACCAAAGTGGTTGGGGTATCTACCTCTTCTTTGCGCTGGTCAACTTCGTCGCTATTCCATTCGCCTGGTTCTTCTACGCTGAAACTGCCGGTCGTGACTTGGAAGAGATTGATCTTATCTTCGCCAAGGCCCACATTGAGAAGAAGTGGCCCTACCAGATCGCGAACAGCATGCCTAAGCTCACTGTTGAGCAGATTGCTCAGATGCAGATCGAGGTCGGCCTGGCTGTTCCCGATCACCAGTTCGCGTCTGAGGCTGAGAAGGCTGAGATCGCTATGAGCAGCGGAGAGAGTGACGAGAAGCACGCCTCCGATTAATTGTTTGACTCGAGTAGAGTCCCATATCATACCAGTGCCATCTGCTTCAGTTCCATCCTGGCGACGGAAAGCAGGTAGCTATCATGCGACCATTGATGGATTATAGAGTGTCTTGAGACTCGCATTATGATGATTTCCTTTCTTTCTCCTTATTATTACCTTACTATGTCGACACGTGATCGTGGTTAATCGCCACCTCTCTTACTGTTAGATACTTCTTTTTATTTTTCCTACTTAAATAAATACCTATTTACTTTCTACAACTGAAAGAAAACAATGAGCTAGTAGTTGAGAAGTGTGCAAGCCTAACCGCAATGCAACGCAGGGGCCAGGGGACGCAATTGCACTATTTGCGATATGAACGCCAATATTGTAATTGCTTTTCTGGAACACCTGACTTCCCCTGAACTGCCGATCTTTGCTATAATAACATCAAATGGGCTAGTAATGGAAGGTAGCGCGGGCAAGATAATCTAATTGACCAAATGATCGACCCTCCTGGCTGAGGGCCTTTGCTCTGACAAGTCTTGCTTCAGTTCATTCAACCCACACAAGATTCGAAGGGAACGGATTGAGACGCGCTTCAATAAGCGTTTATTGTAGCGTTGCCTCACGAGCTCAGTTAGGGCTCACAGATGAACACCATGGACCTGCTGCTTCATCTTCTTCACGTCAAGGTTCTTCCAGAAGAAACATGATGACCATGTGATCAGATACAGACAGGTCGCCGCAATGAGCATAAGTCGTTGCGTATCTCCATAAGCATGGTCGATAGCATCACGGGTTGTGGTACCCCTGGCGTAGGATTGCTGAACCACAAGAGAGCCATAAATCTTTGCGACATCGGCTTCGGCAAGTTCTGGGAGATGGACACGCAGTTTGACAGGGAAAATTCCAGTCCACATGGCAACGGCAACAGTGCCACCAAGGGCACTGCCAATGCTGGCAACCACACCCTCAATAGCCAGGATAGCAGGAATGTTCCTTTGCGCAGAGACACTCATCACAGTCATTTGCTCGCAGATTACCAGAGTGCCACCGCCAAAGGCCACAAAGATCTGACACATCACGATGTACCCAATGTTTGAATCCGGCTGGCGAAATACAATCATAAGCCCAACACCCAGAATGGTCAAAGGAACTCCAAAACAAATGGCCCACCATTTTAGGCGTCCATTATAGCGGAGAATGGCACCGAAAGCCAGACACCAGAAGCACGAACCCATAGTGTAGATGTTCGATATGTAGGTTGCCTCCGTGACGGTCTGATTGAAAACGACCTGCAATAAGGAATAAAAGTAGCTGTCCCAGATATACCATGCTAGGTACAACGATACAACCATAGAGAAGGTGAAGAAGACAGTTCGGTTCCTAATCAACTCCCATGGCATGAATTTCACCGGCGCAAAGTATCTTTCCCAAAGCGTGAATGTTATCATGAGACAAAGTCCAATGACAACGAAGCAGATAATCATCGGGGACTGCCACTCTTCGGCCTGGTAAGAGTATAGGTTAAATGCCAACAAGAAGAGGGAGAACCCAGTAGCAATAATCAGGAGGCCAATGACATCGAATTCAATGCAATAAAAGAAAAGAGACTGGTAAAGTGACCGTCCGCTGCTCTTCCTCTCTGTGAGGTTCATCCTTTCGGCCTTTTTCTGAGTATAGTACCACAAGCCCCATAACGGCGCACTGATAACTGGCATAATGATGGCAAATACACCAAACGCCCATCGATACCCGATACCACCAGGAGCAATAATCTCATTAGCAGCATAGCCATAGATCCAGGGTGTAATCAAATATGGAGAAGCAGCATACGCGATCCAAAACGCCCGGTTCTTCAGGGCGGTGGTATCTGCTATGAAGATCGTCATGGAGAAATCAATCATATTGAATCCAGTTTGATAGAATACCTGCGCAGCACAATAGGTCTGAACGTTTTTGCAGGCAGCCATCATGGCAAGCCCGAGTGTAAGGAATCCAACTCCTACGCCAAAAGCTTGAGGGCGGCCCCAAATATCCATCAGTTTTGCATACGGGAATTTGACGAGAGCTGAAATCAACGAGGCAATGACAGAGGTCAGACCGGTGAGAGAATGTAGCTCAAACCCACTGTAGATATATGGAGACAGAGAGCTGAGGAGTCCGGAGCTGAAATACTCGAGGAAGTTCACTACCCAAACACTTGCAAAGCTGTTAGCGACAAAGTATGCGTGGCAGATCGAACAGATGGTAAGCCTACAGAATGTATGCAGCAATCAAAGTTTCCATTGTCCATGCCTGGGAGCTTGCTTGGGCCTTTTGTGTGCCGGACTGCGCTTTCTCGTCGATGGTTTTCTCAACCCTAGTGTCCGGACAAGTCTTTTGTGTGTCCTCCAAGGGAATTTTGGGGCTGGATGAAGTCTCGATGTCATCGTGGGTAATGGGTGGTTGGTCGGAGGACGTCCTTCGCACAAAAGGATTCATGAATCGCTTTCTGACGGCCATTTTTATGGCTCCTAGACAAACTAACTCTAGATGTGATAAGACACCAGCTAATTTGGAACGGTCAAACGGAATCGTTCAAAGCTCAATCAATGAAGAGGATGGAGTTTGGAGTCGCCTGGTTATATGTTCTCACAGCCGGGATTCTGTGGCGGACACAGCTGCAAAAGAAGAATCTTTCACCACCATATGATCAAGAAAACATCTTACCGGCCGAACTAGAGAAAGAAGCTAGACAGAGAGTAGTTAAATTAATGGAAATCAGCCCTTTTCGGGAAGTCAGAGGCGTTGATCATGAGAACCATGTGTTGATTGGACATAGCCTGGTAGATGCGCCTCATAAAAAAGCGCCAGGCGAGATATTTTCTGTGCTACTATGAACTAGTGCTGACAGGTAGTCCCGAGCCCTCAAGGCCAAGCTAGGAGGACCCACTTACCCTGATTGATCCGAGTTATCTGATTGATTTGATTGATCTACTCGTCGATAGTCCGGTATCGGCTATGCTAATTCCACTCCGGTAAACCTCCGATATTGTTGAAGCTACGAATTCACTCCTTATGCTAAATAGGGCCATAAGAGCGATATTCTTGACGCAAAGAGAATCTCAAGCATTTGGGAAAACCAGGTTGAAGATGTTGAGTTATAAGCCTGATAACTAAAGTAACGTTGCTTTCTGGATGAATGGTTAAATGTCCTCTTTGCAAGAGAAGCAAGTTGGATGTTAACGAAAGGTAAACTAAGCTCTAACGATCTAGCTATCCGAGGACCTCTGACCAGAATCGGACTCCATGCAACGAGAATGGCGCAAGATTCCTTTGTCGCCTGATCCAGGGGGTTGAGGAATGGAACACAACGTAAGCCGAATCGCAACTTGAAAGTTTTCACGCTTTAGTGCTTTAGTGCCCGAAAAGTAAGATGCCAATATCTTCATTTTTGGTTCACGTTCGCGTAACAGTGCTTTTACTATGCGTGCATTAAACCATCTCATTGTGATTGAACATGTGGGAAGCATCCATGGATATCGTCAAATACACTTTTGCTTCCGTGCTATTTCTACCGTTCTGTTTTGCCTCGGAAATACTGTGTATTGTAGACAACAATTTGAGAAGATGACGGAAAAGGGGTCGTATCAGACCCGCAAGCAACCCGCTACGTTGCTAAGTTTGTGCACCAAACCGGTCTCTTTGCTCAATTTCAACACACTGAGCTGGAATCCTACTATGATGAAAATGAAGACCGAGAGCTCATGGAGTAGAGTTCTGAAGACGCTGGGTACTCACTAATGCTTGCTGACACGGTTGATGGTGGAGAGAGTGCCGCCCTCAATTCGCTATTCGACTACACAAAATCTAATTGGTCTAGTGCCATCAGGCTAGTAACAAATATTCAAACGGCGATTGAAGCTCGAGTGACAATGGAGAGCAGGGTCTGATCGTGCTGATGTAGTGTTCAAGGTGGATCAGTTGGCATGTCGATGAGATGGAAGGTTTTGAGGACCGGTGATTGGTAAATGGTGTTTCTTTCTCCTTGTTTTGGACCTGGTCGGCTCCATTATTAGTCTTTTGTTACGATTTGGGCTATGGGGTTTGTCTACATATCGAGCTGGTACTCTCTCCTTGGGGGGACCAACTCATTTTCTGTATTAGCATTATCAGGCGTACGGATAGGTTCTTGCTTCAAATGGATTGAGCTTCTGCGTAGCCATTACGAGACTATTTAAGCTACAACAGATTCATTGAATTTTGATTGATTGTTTGAACGCAACGGGGGGACTTGTGTTCCAGAGCCTCATGACATAAAGAATTGGACACTCAATCGCCTAGTTTATAGAATACGTGCTTTAATAACATAATAGTGCCTTACAAATTCGATAATGGTCAGTGTGGTGTCAAACAACCTATAGCCCATTGGCCTGCCAGAGCCTTCACTGCTTTAGTAGTCGCACTTGAGTGTGGATATGCGTAGAGATTGCCTCACGCCGTACAAACCACTGTGGTCACCAATGATGAGATTTGGAACCACATCACACTTTTTGTTCAATCCTGCGTAGCTATTCGGTGGGAAGTGCATTTTCTTCGTATAGTATACTTGAATACTTCATACTTCCTGACGTACGTCTCAAAACCGTCGGCAGGAGGAGGTAGCTTCAGGTTACTAGACAGCCATGGTCTTTACACCTAGACTTCACGCAAGTTGATATGCATAGCAATACCGTGGGACGAGATTTGAAGAAGGAAATTGCGATAGAAACATCAAGAGTCTTGGCAAATTTGGCAGGGAATCACCACGGGATGCTACACTTGTGTTGGTTTGTTGTAGAGCAGGAGGAAATTAATATCACGAATAACATTAGAGTCGAGATGATGGATCGTATGGGCTCTGGGACTGATACTGGGCACTTCCGTTTCAAGAGAACCGTAATAAGTACGTACAATAATTCTCAAGGTGTAAATCATTCAGTTTTCACAATCTAATCTTAATCTGTGATCATGCCAGCCTTAACTTGTTTTATTGCTTCACCAATGTGTGTCAGACTCCTTTGGGAAAGTGAGCATATCGCGAGTACGATTCATGAGCATTGAGGAAGGGTTGGAACATTAAACCTAACAGATGACAGAACCCGTCAGGCCAATAACAAGGAGAACAAGGAACTTGGATTTTCCATATCCCTACAGAATTTGCCCACCATTTCTACAAAACGAGACAACTCAACATTTGCCAAAACAAGCAAAAAAAAAAGGTAGCGACCAACCTGAGACATAAAAACTGTGTAGAATAGTATGACGTTATATTGTAACTCCATGATTGGCGGTGGGCTCCATGGCGACACCGTCAGGCTCAACATCTTATTTAGCGTTCATGGTCTTGAATGAGATTTTCAAAAGCAGGTACATAAGAGACAGAAAGTCCTGCAAATTCAGGCTGACCAGATTGGGAAAAAGGGAAATGACTGGAAGATAATGTGGACCTTTTAAGGAAAGCGAGAAGTACTCACTGTATGTAACAGCTGGCTTGCCAAGTAGGAAAACTTTAGTGCCGGGGCTAGAGGTCTTAACAATTGAATATATTTAAAGCTGCAATGTGTAAAAAAGTACGACTCCTGTTGTACTGAAAATTCACTTTGTCAGTGCGTGTATGGGTTGCAAGTCATTCCAACCCCATCCGGTGTCTCAGTGTGCATCTTTGATTTCGAATTTGACACTGACATGCTTGATTGATTAAGAAGTTCGAGCTCAACGCTGCGACCGTGACTCTATGTCTAATCAAGATAATTAGGACACTGTCGACACCTCACGTCCTTGCAAATCTATATTTTGGGCCGATTCCTGATAGATCGCGGAATGAAAAAAATTTTTGACATAAGTCTGTATCATACTGTATCGTTTAACCTCACCACCCCGAGGAACGAAAAGTAACTTAATTGGACCGACGGCGTGGGGGAGAATGCGTGGCCAACTGCAAGTTAGCATGTGTGCAGCCCACATGATAGTTGGAAATATTGGCAAGTACCATGCATGTCTGAGTGGCCATTGATAAGCCAATGTCTGGCTGACGGTGAGCCCATCCTCATTCACCGTATCTACCGTACTCCTGCTCGACTTTGACTGTGCATACGTATGTTCTCAACAGCAGTCAACCCCAATACACCCCATGATCAGAGCTTATCTCTGCGGGAGGGCCAATAGTGTGAGAACGATGCCTGATGACTAGTGATGTGATTTGACTACTGTACAGTATGCACCTCACGAGGACGCAAGAGGGTTACGTCAAATCTGCGCCCGTTCTCTCTGCATTGACATCTTGACCTGCCCGCGACTTTGTCCGTTCAGAGCATCTGAGACTTCTATTTCGGGATATGTCGATTACCAACCACATGCTGAACGCGCAACAGACCTTGTTTATTTGGCGAGGCCAACACTACTGTACAGTACACTATTAGGGTGCTTATCGCGCCTTGGAAAGTCCCCATAGAGCACGAAATTCAATCTGATGAGAACATATCTGCCTTGAAATGCAAATCGGGGCAAATCTCAACCACGATGTCTCGTCAGCAAAGTGTATAGATAGCCACCCTGGGTCCAAGCCACCATCAAATCATAAGCCTCGCATGGACCGGTCAACATCACTCTCCTGAGAATCCGAAGCAAGCGATTTTTTTTCCCTCCCCAAAACACCAGAGTCTTTAGCGAGTTTCAAGGGAATTAATCGCCAGTTGACTATTCCGCGTGTGAGTTATCAACTATGGTGAAACATACTTGACGCTATGATGTCATCTGGCCCTTTGGTTCCACTGTGGACTTTTTTCTCTTTTTTTTTCTCTTGAGATTCCGACCTTTTTCACGATATAATTTCACGGTGAGGCTGGTCCTTGTACAATTTCTTTTTTTTTTCACGGTCGGGAATAGTTCCATATCGTGTCCAAAGGCTGGAGAAAAGTCGGAAGTTCAGGGTTCTCATACCTCTAGCTCGCCACAGTCAGAAACAAAAAACTCTTTGCCCAAGTGGATCACTTGCTCCACGTATTTCAAACTGATCTCGAGATTCCAAGGAATGCCCGTACTGGGACATCTAAATATATCCCATCTTCCATCTCCCATGTCCCCAAAGGAGGAAGGCTTGAGCAGGTTCACCTTGCGCCTAAGCAACTACTTATACTACCGAGCGGGCTTGCATCAGCCAAGCTTTCAAGTTGCAACGATATCCCCGATAAGATAAGCGCAGTAAAAATAGCCCAAACACCAAGCAGAAACTCGAGTCTTATCAGCGCCTTCGGGAGTGCCCCTGGGTTCCCAAGGAGATTTACTATGGATCTCAGGCACAAAAGGGAAACAGACTGTAGCATCCTGGGACCAAAATAGATGGCTCCATTCGGCTTATCAGAGCAAAGCAAGTTGAGGATCTGAGGCTTCCACCACTCGGCTGGACCCGATCTTCCGACAGCGTTGAACCCTCTGTTGGGTCTGTCTGAGACACTCACACCGGAATAACCAGGATCGGAGACACATTTGGCGCATCCGAGCCACTGAGAAACAGCTCTTGCCCCCCCCCACTACGGGTGAAAAGATGGCGGGTGGATCGAGACAGTAATATCTGGCCCCAGAGTGGGCCGAGAGGACTGAAAGTATAGCGATCCATCCGCTTGTTTGGCTGATAAGGGTCTCACATCCTCGGAAGTTTCTGGATGTCGTTTGAACCGCGCTCGTTTGTTCTTTTCTAACCTTCATCTCTCGTTTATTTGTGTGCACAGGAATCAAGCAGGATTGGATCGCGCATTTTCCAGTGCCCGGCGTTCTGACCTGATAGATCAACAGAAATGCACCTCTCGGCATTTCTCATCCTCTCGTTTCTGAGCGTTCATGCGTTATGTTGGCCATATACCGAGTCGCTCGCTGAGTACAACCTGAACGAAAACAAATCCGCCGAAGCCCCCATCGATTATTGGGGAGTATGGCCAGATCACGATTATCATCCCTCACCAGACAACTGGCGCTTTCCCATCTATACCATCTTCCTGGATCGGATCTCCAACGGCGACCCAACAAATGACGATATTAACGGAACAACATTTGAGCATGTGGTCAACTCCAATCAGATGCGTCACGGAGGCGATCTCGAGGGCTTGATTGACACGCTGGACTATATCCAGGGCATGGGCTTTAAAGTAGGCTCGGCCCCCGTTGCGATCCCTCCAGAGCTAATTCTTCCAGGCTATCTATTTCGCCGGCACCTATTTAATGAACCTCCCGTGGGCGTACGATGGCTACTCGCCGGTTGATACCACCCTTCTCGACATGCATTTCGGTACGCTCGAGGACTGGAGACGAACTATTACCGAGATCCATAACCGGGATATGTACGTGCTGGTGGATAACACGTTGTCAACGTAAGTTGAGAGAGCTCCGATCGATGGGACCCAGAAGCTTACACCAAAGTAAAACAGGATGAGTAACTTGGTGGGATTCAAAGGCCATCTGAACGATTCAGCCGATTTCCGTGCGCACGAGTACGAAGTTGAATGGGTCACCGACAGAAAGTATGCTGATTTTCAATTTGGGAATGAGTATAATGAGACTTGCAACTATCCCAAGTTTTGGAATGAGACAGGTGATCCGTTAACTTCCGGCGGAGTCCAAGACCTCAAGGGTTGCTATAACAGCGACTTTGATCAATATGGAGAGCTGGAAGCGTTCGGAAACTTCCCAGACTGGCAGCGTCAACTAACCAAGTTTGCCTCGGTGCAGGATCGCCTGCGCGAATGGCACAAGCCGGTCCGCGACGTTCTCACAAGACATTCATGCTTCCAAATTGCCAGTCTGGACGTTGACGGATTTCGGTTTGATAAAGCCGTTCAGTCAACCCTCGAACCCCTGAGTGAGATGACGTCCTTTTATCGCGAATGTGCGAAGCGATTCGGCAAGGACAACTTCTTCCTTCCTGGTGAAATCACGTCCGGAGATACCTTTGGCAGTTTGTACCTCGGCCGTGGGCGTCAACCAGATCAGCGCCCAAAGGATGCAGGTAGTGGTGCGAAGCTGACGAACAATTCGGATTCGCATTTCCTCCGAGACGATGGATTGCAAGCATTAGATGCCTCCGCATTTCACTATACCATATACCGTTCAATGACCCGGTTCCTAGGCATGGATGGTAACCTGGTCGCCGGATTCGACTTACCGACCGACTTCATCGAGGCCTGGAATGAGATGCTTCGGTCAAACGACTTTCTGAATGCATTTACTGGAGAACTGGATCCAAGGCACATGTATGGCGTATCAAATCAAGATAACTTTCGCTGGCCGGCTGTCAAGAACGGCACTGACAAGTTCCTTCTTGGTCTGTACATTGTGTCATTGGAGCTTCCGGGAATTCCTCTCGTTCTTTGGGGCGAAGAGCAGGCCATGTATGTGTTTGATGCAACTGCATCCAACTACATGTTTGGGCGACAGCCCATGACTTACCAAACCGCTTGGTGGACACAGGGCTGTTTCAATCTCAACACCTCCAAGTTCTACGATTTCCCCATCGAAAAGGGTCTCCATGGATGCAACGATATCACAGTCACCTATGATCAACGAAATCCCGCCCACCCGATTCGCAACATCATGAAGAGAATGTTCGAGATCAGAACTCAATACCCAGTTGCCAATGATGGCCTGTATCTGGAGACCCTCTCGCAGCTCACGAAAGATATCTTCCTTCCTGGTTCTTCCACTACTCCCACCGTTACTGGACTATGGTCAGTGCTCCGAAGCTACTTCCCCGAGGTCCAAAAGGAGGCATCTACAGCTTCCGATGGGAATGGAACACTTTGGCTGGTGTATCAAAATGGAAATAAAACAGAGACTTATGGTGGCAATTGCACCAACAAAAACACAGCATTGTTGGCCCCATTCAAGTCAGGCACAAAGCTGACGAATCTCTTTTATCCTTATGAAGAGCTCACTTTGAGTGACGGCCCTGATGGCCAATCTGAGGATGGCTATGGATGTGTCTCTCGCATGAAGCTGTTGCCGTGGGAATTTCGAGCATATATCGAGTCCAGCAACTTTGTTGAGCCTGGTCCAACAGTCACCGAATTTCTCCCTGGACACGACGCTCGCTTTCTTTCTACGAAGGATGACGGTGAAACTATTCCAGTTCAACTTGGGTACTCTAAAGAAATGAATTGTGACAGCATCACCAAGGCGATTGTTCTCAATTCAATGACAGAAAAAGGCATCAACGCCTCTCTTGATACTTCCAGTGTCAAGTGTACCAATGTCTCCGCCAGAACGAGCAGTGAATCATACGTTGGCGAGGTTCCAACCGTTTGGACATGGTCTGCACAGTTGAGCAACGCTCACCATGGTATTCACCAGCTGACAGTCAACAATGTTTCCTCGTCTGGATTACACACCAACTCAGTCGACAAATTTCTGCTGCGAGTCGGTGCTCAGAGCAACCCATTAATGTCTCCGCTTGCCAATTACTCTTCCACACTGGTCCAAAAGTCCAATGACCGCTTCTACATTCAGCACAATGCGGCCGGCGCCGATCGATTCCGCTACTCATCTGACTTTGGACGAAGTTGGTCAGAATGGACGGCGTACTCGGGTGGGAATACCACAGTTCATATTCCGGCTTGGACAGGCACAGATAATCAAAAGTGGACGGGAACTCATATCCGTGTCCAGTACTTCTCTAGGCTCACTGGAAGTAGTGACTATATACAGGAAGGTGACTATGACTGGGATGATACAACTCGAAGATTCCCTCATCTCTGGTGGAACGGTCCATATAACCAGTATGGTTACGATGCAGGACTGGAAAGCAGGATGGAGTATGACACCGACTCGTCTAGTTGGAGATACGACTTTGTCTATGAGTGGCCCGCTATCGGGCAGCTGAATGTTTGGGGAACCGACAATGATGGCATACCAGATACGACAGAAGTTTACGGAGATGTGGACAGCTCCTCTGTCGTCAAAAAGCTTCCTCCGTCGTATCTGTCGTCCAACGTCATCAACATCACCACTTTGCCTCCATTCCCGCATCTGGGATGGACCATCTCTCTCAATGATGGCAACTTGAGGTATCAGCTAATTCCGGTTGGATCAGGATGGGTCCAGCTTGTGCTCTTCATCCTCTTATGGGTTCTTCCGATCCTGATGGGGTTAGCCGGTGTTCTCATCTTTATCCGAACGTTCTATCGTGTGAAGCTCAATAAAGACGGGAACGTGCCCAAAGGTGGAAAGTTTCCGATCATGTTCTGGCGGAGAGTTAAGGACAAGGTCGCCGGGGATGATGAATCTCTAAAGGCGCCGTCAGACACGGCGGTGTCGACTGACATTGCTGTCGCGGGCGCATCCAGCCAACGACGGACAGTCTTGATTGCAACAATGGAATACGACATTCAAGACTGGGGCTTGAAAGTCAAAATCGGAGGTCTCGGTGTCATGGCTCAGCTCATGTCACAGAACTTGAAGCATCAGAATTTGATTTGGGTGGTGCCATGTGTCGGTGATATCGACTATCCCGAAGATACGCCCGTTGAGCCATACGTGATTACCATTCTCGACAACCCATACTTGGTGCAAGTGCAGTACCACGTTGTCGAAAACATCACTTATGTCTTGCTTGATGCCCCCGTCTTTCGTCAACAGACCAAGGCAGAGCCTTATCCTCCTCGCATGGACGACCTTGACAGTGCAGTCTACTACTCGGCATGGAACCAGTGCATTGCGGAGACAATGAGACGCTCGCCCACAATCGATCTTTACCATATCAACGATTTCCATGGGTGTCTAGCGCCACTGTATCTGTTGCCAACTCGCACCATCCCGGTTTGTCTGTCGTTGCACAACGCAGAGTTTCAAGGCTTATGGGCTCTGCGAACTTTGCAAGAGAAGAAAGAAGTTTGCTCAGTGTTCAACATTCCACTTGACATTGCAACCAAGTACTGCCAGTTCGGAAATGTGTTCAACTTACTACATACCGGTGCTAGCTATCTAAGATACCATCAACGCGGCTTTGGTGCAGTGGGTGTCTCTCAGAAGTATGGAAAGCGGTCATGGGCGAGATATCCAATCTTCTGGAGTCTTGAAAAGATTGGCAGTCTTCCAAATCCAGACCCTTCCGATACAGGTGCTTTAGGAGATAACCCTGAAGCGGAGGCCCACGTTCAGTCTTACGATGAACGTATCCACGAGAAGTTACAGGCACAAAGGTGGGCTGGTCTTACTGAAGATCGCAACGCGGACTTATTGGTATTCGTTGGACGATGGTCAAAGCAAAAGGGCGTGGACTTGATTGCCGACGTTATGCCAGCGGTTTTGTCCGCGAGACCGCAGGTCCAGCTAATCTGTATTGGTCCTATCATTGACTTGTATGGCAGGCTGGCCGCTATTAAGCTAGAGCGCATCATGGAAATGTTCCCAGGGCGTGTGTTCTCCAAGCCAGAGTTTACGGTCTTGCCCCCCTATGTATTTTCTGGTGCGGACTTTGCCTTGATTCCATCCAGAGACGAGCCATTCGGACTTATTGCCGTTGAATTTGGTCGAAAGGGAGCTCTTGGAATTGGTTCTCGCATTGGAGGTCTTGGCCAAATGCCCGGATGGTGGTACACTGTGGAATCAGACTCGGCGCGTCATCTTCTGCATCAACTTAGGACTGCGATCAAATCCGCTCTTGACTCGTCAGAAGAGACTCGTGCAGAAATGCGTGCCAACTCTGCCAAGCAGCGATTCCCCGTTCTTGAATGGACTCAGAAACTTGAAGTCTTACAGCGAACTGCAATCCACATTCACCACACAAAGAACCAAAATACCGCTCCAGGTCCACCTGGGTCCAAGATTTACTCTGAGATGCAAGGCATGCGATTCTCAACAGTAGCCCTTCCAAGATTCAACATGTCTCTGGCAGAAGGCCTGGACTCGCCACCTGCGAGATCCTCGCAGCTCGGCCATCCTTCTCTTCAAGAACTACAGGCAGCTGAACTTCGAGGTACGGAAAGCAACAGGAGCAGCATGCTTGGTCGCAAGCTCTCACTTGGTCAAAGGGCGGGCCCAGGCCAAGGCAGAAAGCGCCTAGTCAAAAAGTCGCTGCGTGACAGTCAAGTGTTTGACCAGCGTGCGGAAAGTGATACTACTGACGGTGAAGATGAAGGCACGGACACACCGCAAGAGGATTACATTTCCCCTGAAGAGGCTGTTGCAGCTGTGAACCGAGCTCTCGGCTCTCAGGAAGTTGGTCACTATCGAAATAACAGTTCTCATTCTCCACGTGGATCTGAGATATCTACTCCGGACTCATCACGGTTCGTCTCGCGGGAGTCGTCCCCGGTGAGAACTCCTCTCCCTCACACCCGCAATGTGTCTGTTCTGTCTTTGCCTTCGGTAATCGGCGACCATGACCAATCTGTCTTCGAGCTCCAAAAGGTTGATCCAACCTTCACTGATAGTATGGGTCATTTCACGCGACACTTCGAAAGTCTTTTGACCAACCTGAATATGAAAAACTCGATTACGGACTACTGCATTGAAAATTACTTGATGAAGAGCGAACGAAAATTCTTCAACATGTACAATGATGCGCAGCTGAAGGTTCAGCCTAAAGAACGTGCACTTGATGAGGCCTCTTCAGACGATGTTCCCGATAACACGGTATATACTCGAGTTTCTCGGGTTCCTGGAGTATCTGATTCCAAGGATGTTGGTGAACTTGATGAATGGCTCGCTCGATTGGGATACAAGAGACCAATTGCCATCCAGCGATTTATGCGACGGCGTATTGGAAATTGGCCCGTCTATGCTCTCTTCCTCGGTCTTGGCCAGATCATTGCGACAAATTCGGCACAGATCACTCTCCTTGTTGGTCAGGTAGGTGAGACTGCTGTCAAGCTCTATGTCATTGCCACAATCTACTGTATCTCCACTGTCGTTTGGTGGTTCCTCTTCTATCGTTTCCCGTCCGTGATTGTGCTCAGTCTCCCATGGCTACTATACTCCTTGGCCTTCATTGTCATCGGCGTTTCACCTTACGGTATCACCAGTCTTGGTCGAGCATGGGCACAAAACGTTGCTGCGGGTATCTACGCTGCTGCTTCCTCTAGTGGATCTCTGTTCTTTGCCCTGAACTTTGGTGACCAGGGTGCGGTTCCAGTGAAAGATTGGATGTTCCGAGCAAGTTTTATTCAGGGAATCCAACAGATCTACACTGTTGCCCTCTGGTACTGGAGCTCCAAAGTTACTGCAGTGGAAGTTGGGGGCGTTTCTTCGGCGACTTTGAACACATGGAAACTCACTGCTGTGGTGATGCCAATCGCTGCGATTTGTTTTGCCGTGGGAGTGATACTTGCACTTGGCCTACCCAAATACTACCGTCAATCACCCGGAAAGGTTTTGTTCTTTGACACGTCACTGTTCCGCCGGCGCATTGTTCTTTGGTTCTTCTTCATGGTCATTATTCAGAACTGGTTCCTTGCCGCGGCATTCGGTCGCAACTGGTCATTTTTGTGGTCGTCCAAACATGCAAAGACATGGGAAGTCGTGCTTCTTGTGGTTTTCTTCTTCATCATTCTTTGGGTTGCTGCGCTATTCATGTTCCGATTCCTGTCTAAGGAGCACAGTTGGATCTTACCCGTTTTTGGACTAAGTGTCGGCGCACCACGCTGGGCGCAAACCTGGTGGGGAACGTCAAACATCGGTTTCTATCTCCCGTGGGCGGGAGGTCTGACTTCCGGGGCTCTCGCCTCTCGTTGTGTCTGGCTGTGGCTCGGTTTCCTTGACGAAATCCAACAAGTCGGCCTGGGAATGATTCTCTTACAAACCCTCACCCGGGTTCATGTATGTTTTGTTCTACTTGTTGCGCAGTTCCTTGGGTCCGTTGCCACTATTTGTGCTCGTGGATTTGCTCCGAACAAGCTTGGACCGGCAGGCATCTCTCCCGATGTGGGCTCGTCGGCAGACAAAGTTGCCAATGCGTGGTTCTGGATTGCCCTTTTCTTCCAACTCTTAGCCAGGTATGTTAAAAGTTTCTCTTTTGTTCCATATGTATGCTAACCGTAATCCTAGCTTTGGGTTCCTTCTCTTCTATCGACGGGAGCAACTTAATCGACCTTAATGGCTCGCAGCCTTTGTACATAGGATCTTCAGATCACATCAACATGAGTCAAAACGATGGATCCCTTTTCCAATCCTGGTCATCTTCCTGGGTGCTGGCATATCAGAAATAGAATTTGTATATGGACATTATTTTGGTTCATTTGGCTGTCCTGTGCCTGTCTAGAAGATTTGGGTGGCACTTGGCCTGCATCTGGAGTTACGAGTCCTTTTATATCCATTTAGCACGGCGTATGGTGACTGATGTAATAAATACGATCGATAGCGATTCGGTGTTATTCTTTTAAAATGTGCAGTCGATTGAAGTTTCAGCGATTCCAAGCCATTGATGCCTTTTTCTTCGATACTAACAGTCAGGCTATGTCAGACCCGGGTCGCTATTTCGGTACTATGACAACTTTCAAAATATTCCCGAGCGGTAGAACTTTAAGGGTGACATTATAAGTATCCAAAGTTTCTATTCTCTTGGTAAATGGCATGCTGGCGTACTCAAACTTCATCGCCATCCTCAACTTGAACCACTATTTTAATCCCCTGGAAATTGGGTAATATTTTTATACAACCCCTTTAATATTGCTTAACTCTACGTTCTATTTATAATGAACCACTTTGTAGCCAGTCATCATTGAATAGACGAAGTTATCTGTTATGGTCTGCACGCTCGTAGTGCTCGGGGGACCAACGTTGCATGCCCATTCCTATAGTCTCGGATCTAGATGAGTCTTGCTATGTTCGTTAGGACCTAGTAGCTGATGTGAATCAACTTCGTTGTGCGCGCGTGCGTACTCAGATTAACGTTTATGACACTGCAGATGGGCATATTAAGGCTTTTTTGCCCCTGAGGCAGAGACAATGGGGTTCATTGCGGATTCTGAAAATCCTTCTCTTAGAAGTATATACCTCATACTGTCTGGAAGCAGTTCCCGTGGGCTAGTGATGCCTTGACGCGGAATGATATAGCAGGGTAGACGTCATTCGCTGACGATAGCGCCAACTAAAATAGGATAAGTTAGTTAACTAGGGGGGGCATTACTAAGCACAGGGGCTGAAGGATCGGCCTTGAGCAGTGGCTATTGTCGATCTGGTCAGTTAGGTTCGGGTGCTTGTATAGTCATTTCTGGAGTTGTGGATGATAACATATTCAGATTGGAATAGCGCAAGCTTTCAGGTGAAATTCGAGATGACAGTTTTCTCTACGCTTGGCAATAGAATGTCAAACGGAACCAGATGGAAGAGCGATTAAATGCACTGCAGTAATGATTCTGCCCTGCCAATCAAGTAATGACCCCTTTTCCACTCGTACTCGTATTTTCCGACCTCAGGGGACCACATGAATCACGCTATTCGAATACAAACCTCTGCGGGAATTATCTTATCCAAAGCAGGAACCGCACTCCAATATGGGCAGGCCTATTAAAATAGTTCCTTAGCCATGATTCATACCCACAAATTGTGCGGGTCATTTGACACGAGGCTGTCGGAAAAGGGTGTTCTCGTGGCCGAACGCCATAAAACCCAACAGCTGCCTCCGGATTGGTTGTTCAGACTATCAATTCGCGCAATTTTCACATTATAACATGTCTGTTTCGTAGTCCACCACTCGGACGAAGAACATATTTTTGGACCTTTCAATCTGATTTCAGCCTTGTACTTGATTTGGAGCCGCGGAAAAGCAAGAAAGGCTCCATTATGACTCCCAATATTTTGAACAATTATGGGAACATTCAGGATGTCCATATTTTGAACGCAGATTCAAACTTCGAGGAGCATGCCAGTCCGATTGCTTGTTTTGAACGCAATTATGCATCTCCATGGTCACCGCAAACGTGCCAAAGCGAAATAAATCGTGAGTCAGTCCTATTCTCGTCTTTGACAATTTCTGGATAATGACAACCAAAGTTGACACAACTAAAGATGTTGATCTTACCCCACGGTTATCAGGCTCATTTTCTTTCTTTCATATGCTCAGAAGATCGATGTGGCAGGGCGAAATGCAAACCTGCGATGATAATCTATCCGTACCTCGCGACAATATCCAGTCTTGTACTCTGACTTCCGTATTCAAGACACAGGCAAAAGAGATGATGAATGCAAAGGTCACTTTTTCGGCTTTCTTTTCAATTGCGGCTATCATTGTTTCGAATATCAAAGTTCCACCTTTGCTCATTTTTGTCTGGAACCTACTTGCGATAATTCCGTTGTCAATCACACTCACCGAAGCTACCGAACTAATATCCCGAGATTTGGGTGAGACAGCCGGTGCTCTTCTCAATATTAGTGTTGGGAATCTGGCAGAGCTCATTGTTTTGTAAGCACAAAACTCTAACTTATTATTTGACGATATATTTTACTGACCGAACGCAGCCTGTAAGTCACAGTCTCTTGCAGCAGTTCCAGGCTAATTCTCTTTAGAACCGCCCTGCTGAAGAACGAGATCAAAGTAGTTCAATTATCACTACTTGGCTCTATACTCGTAAATCTTCTCCTTGTCCTCGGGTCCGCAATCATAGCAGGCTCTATCACCTCACAGAACCTAACTTATAACACCGAACCAACCCACTCCTTTGTGGGCCTCCTCAATCTTACAACCTGCTGCCTTGTGATTCCAGTGAGTTTTCTTTAAGCTTACTGCCGGCTGAATGCTAAAAAAAACATACAAGAGTGCTTTTTACGGGATAGTGAAGAATACTGAATCCGCTGATCACATGTCGTTAGAGTTCAGCAGAGCTGTCTCATTTATCCTCCTTGGAATCTACTTCTTGTATCTTTTTTTCCAATTCAACTTCCATCCTGGTCTGTTTACGCGGCGTGCTATTTCAAGCGCAGCCGAGCCACTCGGGAGTACTTGTCGGAGTCTTACAGATATCGAATCACAGCCTACAAGTGTCGGCGCACGCGAGGAAGAATCTTCACCACAAATGCAGCAGGCAGAGCGATCCACTTCTCCAATTTTCTCTAGCATACAGATTGAATCAACATTGCCACTGATTCAAATGGAGGCGGAAAGAGCTGGAGTTTGTCCCCTCCAAGGAAGTAACAACCTTGACAAGAACCACACAGGATGTCGCTGTGATTACAACATTGTATTAGCAAACCGCACGCTAGCGTGTACTCTGCTCGTCACCTCCACAATACTAATCGCCATCTGCGCTGAATACTTCGCCTTGACGCTCGAGTTACTGAACGAACAAGGAATATTGAGCGAATCATTTGTCGGGCTCATCATCATTCCTATCGCCGGAAATGTTGCTGAGAATGTCACAGCAGTGGTTGTCGCCGCGAAAGACCAGATGGATCTCGCAATCAGTGTTGCTCTGGGATCGGCTATTCAAATTGGCCTTTTAGTGTCTCCTCTTGTGATTTTAATGGGCTGGGCACTTGGGAAATCTATGACTCTAAGCTTTGATGGCTTTGAACTAGTCACACTGGTTGGTGCAGTTCTTTTAGTGAGTTTTATCGTTTTGAAGGGAAAGACCAATTATTTGGAAGGGTCTATATTATGCGCTTGTTTCGCGGCTGTTTCGTATGTTGGCCCCATTCTGGACAGCGTAGTCAATTTCTCACATCTAACTAGTGTCGGGGCGTTTCTTCTGCCTGAATGAGTGCTAGAGAGCTGATTTTGAATTCAACCCCGGTCCATAGGGCTGGATGGGCTTGACTTGGCGAAGGTTTTCTACAAATATAATCAATTGGGATTGGGTGGTTGAACTGGCTTTCGACGCATGAGAAGAAAACCCTTTGCGGGGAGTTTTAAGGTGGTGGCCTTCATATCTGGTATATGGCAAGATCATAAACTTTCAAAGTTAGAGCCCAGTTGTAACAATGTGGAGATCTTGAACCTTTCACATGCCAAGATGATTTAGCCTCTCACGAGAAGCAACGCAGGACCTGGGTCCTGGGTACCCCGACCCGCTTTTACCTCGATTTTCGGCCAACCACAGCCCTTAAAAAACAGGTCCTGCCCAGGACCCGTCACTGGAATAGAGTTAGCTGTGAGGACCAGCTGTCTTTCTGCGTTGTTATCAGGCGTATGGCTACGTTCTTGCTTCAACTGGATAGACGCGCCCGCATAGCTATTACGATACTAGTTAGGCTGCATCGGGTTAATCGAACTTTGATTGATTGATTGATTGAACACCGAGTGAATACAAAGAAGCTATGCTCTGATGTGACTACATCGGCTGTAGCTCAGGGCGCATACAAGATTGACAAAATGCAACACTGGGGTGTTATACAGAGCATGATTAGGCAACTTGAGTAAAAAAGGGAATCTACACACGGCCTGAACAGGTTGGCTACATTCCCTGACCAATAGCTCAATAGCGGATGAATTCCACATAAAGCTTAGCCGGCAAACATTTCCACTTGATGTAATTCCAATAGAATACATTTATATTTACTTTTTTTTCTCGGTTCTATCTAGCCTTGACTATTTGATCCATATCTGGTTGATCAGTGAAGGAAGTATTCGTTGCAGATCAGGATGCGCATCCTGACACAGAGTATTGGATATTTTCACATTTTTATCCCTCATCAGCCATAGAATGTACATTCAGAGAGAATCTTTCTGGGAATGACTAACCATAGCCATGAGCCGCGTACTGTCCGTGAACAACAGGAATTTAGCAATGTGATATTATTACAGTATGGCTCGTGGAATATGTGATCGAGGCGCCAATTAGGACAAAGAATTGGACCAAGCGGGAAGAACATCTATCAATTAGCACTTTCTCTTTTTCATTAGATCGATGCTCGTTGGAGGATATTCATTACAAAACAATGAAGCCTTTTGACGCCTGTCGTAACAAAAATATTGATTTTGCATGAGGACCTAAGCCAGCTGGAAAACATCAGCAGCCCAGTTCACGTCTTGCCAGGTATCACATTTTTTGTAAGTCTAGTAAGCCTCATTCCCTTGAATTTTCGCATTTCTAATCACGAGTGGTTTTCCGAATCAAAGTATCTGTTGAATACGAGACTCCAAAATTGGAGCTAGTTGCGTGTTTCAGAGAAAGATAGGAAATACTGCATTGGAGCCTCATTAAGCGTGCAGTAGCTATTTAGAAATATTCAAAAAAAAAAATCTCTCCCTGGTGGAGGTAAGGGGGCAGGCCGGCCTTGGTCTGATTAGTGGACCAAACACACATTCATTATCTCGAGCAAACGGACAATAAAGCAAGAATGTTGATAGACTTTATTCCGAGGAAAGCAACCAATCACTTCAAATTGACGTTGAAGAATCGCAAAATCAACTACTCACCACGAGCAGGCTATATAAGATCCTACTCTGATGGCCTTTAGCCCTTGGTCAATCGAAAACTCCTTTACGCATACTCATATCTACCAAGAGCCAATTTTTGCAAGATGCAGTTTTCTCTTCTTACTCTCTTGACCATCTGTGTCTATGCAACCGCGCTGCCGGGAATGAGCGATCTCGGTAGCGCATGTGATCAGGCGGCCTGCGAGCGCAGCGTATGAACACCTTCAAGTGACATCTACTTTGACATGAAGACTAATTACCCTTCATAGTGCCAGCAACAGAATTGCAAGGGTGTCTGTGGGAAAGGCTACGAAACTAGCAATGCGGAGTTGTCGGGTTGGGCGAACGGAAACGTTGCGTTAGTCTAAGAATATCTTGGGATATCAGACAACCAAAAAAGACTAATATGGGCACCAGCAACTGTAACTGCCACCCAAAAACCACTACCGCCTCTTCGTGTCCAGCTTCTACCTTGACCATCACCTTCACCGACACCAACACGGAGACTTTTACCACCACAAACACTATCAATACTACAGATACCATCACCAAGACTGACACGGAGACTTTTACCACCACAAACACTATCAATACTACGGACACCATCACCAAGACCGACACGGAGACTTCTACCACCACAGATACTATAAATACGACGAATACCATCACCAAGACCGACACTGTCACTTGTACGGTGACACCTACCTCTAGCAATGGGGGTTGGACTACTCACGCGGGTGGGAGTGCCCATACTGGTGGGAGCTGGTAAATTACAGCTTGCTTGCTCTCGATAGAAACTTCCCACTGAAGTAGGCCTCGCTCAAGTAGAAGATTAATTTCTTCTTCGATGATTGGAATATCGCTGGTACCTAGCAAATGTGCAGCTTATCTGTGCTTAGTAATTTTGAAGGGTTATTGCCTCTAATTTATGAATCGCCCTGTTGTGTCCGCACTTTTTTCTTGGACTGTTTCCGTCAACAGGTAGCCTATTTAGTAGTAGAAAACCGGCTCGAATTTCAGCGCACTGCGATGCATTGAGTCCGTAGCCTTTGTTGAGGCCCCAAGACGAATAAGCTCTTGAGCTGGCTCAAGCTTCGTATTCTGCACCGCAGTCAGCAGAGGTGTTTGGCCATCCAAGTCTGTATCTATAGACGAAATTTCTTCTCTTATAGAAGATCGGCTTCGTGATATGCTACACAATCTAGAAACCTATCATGAAATAAAAGGTCCAGCGATTTCCCGCCTGCTTCATTTGAAAACGATTGCTATATAGGTCCCCGGTATCAGGGCTTAGTGTTCGCCGTGCATGTATGCAATGCATCTGCACGTTTTCCTCTTTGTGATTGTTTCGATCTTTGTTCTAGGCCTCTCTTTTACTAGGACGCTCTATTGCTCATTGCCATATACCGCCCGACGATTTATTGTCAGGTTAGATAGACCCTGCACATCTGCTGACGAGACTGAAGTGTGCTACCAATGCTCAAGATTGCCCTTACGCAAAAACAATCCTTGAGAATTGGAATACTCGTTGAACGCCTTTTACTTAGCTCACTCATACATCACCTGTAACCAGATGGAGTGCCTAGGTGTTCCTATTGACCATCGACTGCGGCGAGTGATTCGTGAGGCAAGACGTATCGACAGCGACAAGGAAAATTCCGACCATATTCAGCTTCTTCATAGTTTTGGGTCATCTCTAGAGGTCGACGAGAATGACTATCCAATATGTGATCTAAGCTTCGGACTCGAAATGGCGCGACCGGAATTGAAGGGTGGTGTTCTTATTGTACTGGAACGGCTTCATTTGAAACAGAAGAACTCGAACGGGTTTATCGAAGGGAAACGCAATTGTCGAGCCATTAATGCAGTGTCGGATGTTGTTTCTGTTGTAAACAACGCTAAGTTGGGTTTTGACGATGTCAGCTTATTTGATGCAATACCTTTTCTAGATGAGACAGTCACGGGAAAAGATCACCAAAATATCATCGATGAAGGACAAACTGTTTTCGCCAATATGGTTATGGCCAAAGAACCTGATATAATTCTATGCTGCTTCAAAACTGAGACTCAAAACCCTCTTGTTCAGAAGCGTCAGAGCCGTGGAGTAGGGCGAAGCTTCTTCCCTGATAACCCGAAGCTTACCGCATTTGGTTTTTCGCCTACCCTTGTGAATGCATTTCACCCAAGTTACGCTTTTAGCTATTATCCAATATCCTTTTGCTTCAAGCAGCTCCTGGTTCTAGAGTTTACGAAGGCAGTTGCTCTTTGGAGGCAGAGCTGGACTGATGGATGAAGGGGTTAAGAGATGAATGTCGGATCACAACCAAAAGGAAAGTCGATAGTAAGAAAATCTAACATGATATACTCGAACTCTTTCTCATAGCATTATACAGAAAAGAATGTCGACGTGAAATGGAACCGATCGTTTATCAAAGACCAGTGGGAAGAACTTCTCACATCGCTCGATGTACAGTTTGAAAAATGTTTTCTTTTTTTCAAAATCCTAAAGACATGGGGACTGGGAATATAAAGTGCCATTTTGTGGATTCAAAGATCACTTGGCTATCTTGCGATATTGCATGGATTCTCGAGGAACTAAATCCCGAAGAAACAATCACTTTGGAAATGCCACAACAGTTGCTGTGCAAACTTCGAAGATGAAGTCATAAGGCGTGGCTAGAGACCAATTTCCACGCAATCCGAGCAGCTCTAATGGGTATTACGACGACCTACCCCTCCTGATTTTAAAGTCAAATCAACCGAGCACCCTTGCAAAAAGTCTGGAGAGCAGACTCTTTGGCCTCCTTCGAGATCTGGATCTCTCTTTCAATCGATTGCACAGTGATGTTTATCATAATTTACTTGCCCAGGCATGTGCTTTTCGAAGGTTTGCTGCTGCTTTCGAGGACATACTAGAAGACATTGCGGAAAATGATCTTTCCCTGAAAGGAACTGAGCTTCACCACGAAATGGGCCTCTTAAGTCTGAATGGAACAGCATATCAATCTTTTTAGCCAGTCACAAACAAGAGATTTTAATAATGCCATCTCTCGTTCTAGCCTCGTGGGTCCTCCGTTTCAGGGCTGATGCGCGCAACGTGCGCGTCTTCCAGTAAGACACTGCCAAGGAAGGGGTTTAGGGGAAGAGTAACCGCAATAGTTATAGTGTGTTTCATGACAGGGTACTAGAAAAAATCTCTATGTGCAAGTGGTGAAACTGATTTCGATCCTACCTGTATGCAATTTATAGCATGTGTTCTTCAGATTTATTCATAGACAATTACTTGTGCGCTTATTAGCTAATGAGACATACATAGTCTGGCTCGCTGCTGAATGAATGTTTATTGGAAACAAGCTTGGGAGAAGTTCGGCATTGATGTTGATTGTTCTACACGTTGTTGTCTTGCACTTGAGACAGTAAGTCTCATAGCCATCACGAACTTGATGAGTCGAACTTCTCTACGATTTTTATGTTCTTGTTGAATTCGGAACGTAGCGTCACTACCCAAGCCCACACTCTTGGCACTATCAAACGTTCTATATCAGATGTGAAAGGAGGGCGAAGTCACTTGGCTACTAGTTTAAGGAGTTATTGTCTCCTGAAATTCAGTAAAGCCGAGTGCATTGCTCTGGCATATATGCCCGGGAGAGCTTACCGCCGAGGCGGATGAGAATGGCGACGATCAACTGCAGCATGGAATTAATCTTTAAGGCTTATGCGTTACTGGTACCCTTCCTGTGCCAAAGGCTGTCGTCCTCCAAGAAACATTTTTCAAGATATTTGAAACACCATACGCCGCGTTGCCGTATGGAATCGTGGAAAATTAGTGTCAGCCGTAATTCAATCACAGTCTGGTCTATTTCTTTGGAAGTCACGTGTTTTTTAAATGGTTAAACGGGCCAGATGAAGCTTGACTATTCAACAAAGACAGGTATTGTATTAATACATAGCGAAACACTAACCAAAGATATTCGAAAGTCCAGACATCTTGCAGTTTCAATTGCATCTCAATTCCAGACAGAGTCTGGTACTGTTACAGCCTCCGACGGAATCAGCGTAGATACTGATACATGAGGCCAGACCAACCCGTCAAATACCAAAAAAACCACCTGAGAATACTGAATCTGGATGGAAGTGACAGTGATTGTCTTGGGTGCAGTGATGTCATGCGTTGGGTTGATGAGGAACACCGGTGCGCGCTGATGTGCTGGTGAGGACGGGGAGATTTTCATAGGGGCTTGTCCGCGCTTGAAGGTCGGAACCTTGAGCTTGTATTGCACTGTCTCGATCCAGAAGGTAGCATTCATTTGGAGTGAAAAAGCATTTGGATTCGTAATGGCTGGGTCGCCTTCCAAAAATGCAATGTTGGCTGTTCCACCACCGAACACCGGAGGGATAGGCGACGTGGCCACCGTAAAGGCGGTGGTCTGGAGGATGGTCTGTCCTTCGATGGCGTTTCGTAGCACAGTGTTTGGGTCATCCAGTATATCTTGGGTGATAGTGCCAGCAGCAATGAATTTCGACAAATCGTGTGGGAGTCGAAGAGGGGAGATTTGTGAGGCATTGAGGCTGTCAAGCGGCACTGGGGGACCACCTGCACTTCCTGCCGGGAATGGCAATAGGCTGACTGGTAAGATGTCGGGTGGGCCTAAGAAGTTCGAGGTAGGCTCCAGGCATTGGGCATTGATAGTTGTGCCATGCGGAATAGATGCCATACGCGCGAGCGTGTCGCCAAGGACTGGAGTGTTGTTCGTGGCCGGGACGTTCATCCACAATCCAGCCTCGAAGTGAATGCCAGTTGGAGAATGGTCAGCCTTCCCAGTTTTTTCGTTTGTCACATCGTTGACAGCCTGTACATAGGATACGCCATTGAGAAATATGTCATCCTGTGACGCAAGCCCGCGGTTAGGCACGGCGCCAAAATCTTCGGAGAACGTGATTGAGTCAGTAATGAGATTCAGCTCCAAGATGTTGTCTTTGGGAAATGTTGTCGTGTTTGGCGGTCCGTTATTTGGGCGAAAAATTGTGTTGAAGCCTGATCCGGTAAAGCTTCCATTGAAGTTCGCCAGCACACCGAGGCGCATTGATTCCGTGGGGTCCGGGTCTGCTCCGAGGAACTGGACCGCCTGATAATGGAAATCCGCGGGGAGAGATATCGCAGCCATAACCACTGTCGCAGTTTTCAAATCAGGTTAAACAGGGCAATATGTTATCCTTCAAGGCGGATCAAAGTGGAGTACTAAATTGTAGAGTATAGCTTCTCCGTCGTATACATGCTATTAAATAAGATTGAGAGAACGATTATCAGGGATGGTTTGTTTTGTCTTATGCCGCTTAGACATTCAGGTACTGACCCAGTAGCTAATCAGATTCTTCATTTTGAATTCTTGCCCGGTGCTGAAATAGTTGATCTCAGCGTTCATTGGCGCCACAATGGGATTTGATGTTACAGCAAAGAGAATACGCGAACTGTGATGCGAATCCCAAACTTGAACGATGAAGGGGCCGGAGATGCCAAGCAATGTAGGGGAGGGTTGCAATGGAGTGAGGTTTTTGGGGACGTAACATAATATTTCCTCTGCTTTTTCGGGGTCCTACTAGACATTCTTTGATATAGTTAACAAAGCTCTATCCCAAACTCTATTATCTTATTCATATTTCTTACTATTAACAATTTACTTTGGCTTAACATTAAGATTATTATATTCCTCCGACTTCGCTTTTTCTATCTTACCGTATGAAATAGTGGTTTTAGGAATAGCACTTGATTATATGAAATAGCCGATAGAGGGAAGTGTCAGAACCGCAAGGATGTAAGTATATCTCATTTGAAAGGTATTAAAAATCACATTAAGAGGGTTAGGCAAGCTACATACATTGTCAACAGAAAATTTCTCTAAACAAAGTTTCCAAGTCTATTTCCCATGTGCGATGTGACATCCTCCTACATTCCGGAAATTAACTCCGATTGCCGGCCAAATGTACCGGCAATTGGAATTGAGTTATATGGCATATGGAAAAGCCAACATACTTTGCGGTTACGCCATATCCCTGGCTTCCACATTCAATGTTAAGTTATTGTTCATAAAGACAAAAGATCATGTGAACCCATTCCAAGAAACACATCCGTGAGTGTTTATTTGTGAGAAAAAACATAGATAGGTGCTAGTAGGGAACTAAACTGAGGGCGCCTGACACGTCCTCACGGTATAATAATTGCTATACAGAAAGCTTCGTGCCAACCACTATGTAAACAAAATATTTTAAGAGAAACGTGCATAGCTACTGATAGGTGACATCAATTCTTACTGGCACTGTCGTTCAAGTGTATAGCCGAACATCGTAGTAAAAGTGTTTCAATAATTGGGGAAAAGGTGTATGAATTGAGTCTTCAAGCGTAAGGAAAGGTTCTCCAGTCGATGTGAGTATGAATAATTACAGCAAAGCTTAATGAACCAAAGTGGTATATGAATAGCAAAACCCGAAACACGACAAAACATCCAAGATTCGCTTTTCTTTTCATCGCATGAGGAGCTCCGTAAAACTGTCCGTCGGGTTATAGCAGCAACGGGGGATGACCCTTGACCTATGTTTAAAACCTCCTTCGAGAAATTCCATCCGCGCTCCCAGATGTTGCTCGCCGAGGATAACGTGGTGACGAGACGCTCCAGTTTCTTGCTGGAGGAGGGTGGCTTCGTCGCTGCAACTACCGAAGATCTCTGGACGGCATCCTGGTGTGAGAATGGAGCGTCGAAGGCAGTTTGAGGTGTCCTCCGTTTCGGCGGCAGATGCTTTGGATGGGTCGATCAGACGTGGCCGGGGTGAGCGAGCACGATGTGCAAGCACCTCTTTGTGATGTTAGAGACCAGTATTCGAGCCTTCATCAGTATTCGAAGAAGTAAAGACCTGCCCAACCTCATAATCTGCTTCTTAGTCCGAAGGATCATCATCGAATAGACAGAATGAGCCCTAGATATATCATCCCAAATTCAACACCAAAATTATGTTTACAAATAAAGTGTCATTGTTATCAAAGGGGGTCGGGTGCCCAGCCTTTGCCGTAGTGAAATTGGCACCCTTTATTTAGGCGTAGAGCAAGCATGTTAGAGTTGATGAGAGTTGGTGAGAATGTGTTGATGTTGATGTTGATGTTGATGTGGTGAAATGTGTGTAGTGAAATGTGTGTAGTGAATGGTCGGGCGGTGAAGGGAGTGGCCTGTTGAAATATCCCGGTCACTGAGACAATCATGAGGCTGGCATCACGTGCATACATATATACCTGTCCACCAGCCTACTTGTAACTTAAACAAATGCAACACAACACACAATCAAGTCCCCTCAATAACATGAAAACTGAAGCATCACTTATCAATCAGCAGACTTATTGCAAATTTTGGTTGGCGTAATGTGTTAGTTTGAAAATTTTGTGATACGTTCATCTCAATTGATTTGCCAAGGACATCGGGACTTTTCTCTCGTGACTAATAAAATTGTCCGGTCATAGGGTGAATCGGATTCCCATTTACACCCATAAAGATAATTCTACGTCAGGTAAGTATCACCAGGACAATTCAATATTTGGCAGGCGCTTCAGAATATGTATTTTCCAGTGTAAAGTCACTTTTGGTTTCCCAGATAACTGAGATGGACATAATTTTGCATCATTGTACGACGATCACAATAACACCCTTCTAAGAAGAGTACAACATCTTCTCGTGGCTGTGAAGACCATGAACATTACCCTCGGTCTGCGCGCTAGCACTTCTCATCTCAAAGCGAACCTGTCCATTGTTCACACCCTTGTGCAGGGCATCAAGATCCTGAACACCGATATCCTGGAGAGAGTGCTGGATACCAGCAACAAGGTAAGGCACGTATTTAGTGATGGAACCGCGGTCGACAACAGAGCCCGCAACACCTTGCGCAACCTTGACCTTGTCGTTCTCAGAGAAGTAACGGGAAGCGCCAGCGTTCTTACCGCCGCCACTCTTGCCCTTGTCTTCCATAACCGCGATACTGCCCATGCCCCGGAAGGCCTTGACCAGCTGACCTTCATTGCTAACGTAGTACTCGCCAGGAGACTCGGTAGTACCGGCAAGCAAGCTTCCCATCATAACTGCGGAAGCACCGAGTGCAAGGCCCTTCACGATGTGTCCCAGGTTCTGGACACCACCGTCGGCGATAGTGGGAACGCCGAAACGGGCGGCGAAGGCAGAAACACTGCGGACGGAAGCAGCCTGAGGGCGACCGACGGCCATGACTTCTTGAGTAATGCATGCGGAGCCACTTCCCATACCAATACGCAGACCGTCGGCGCCGGCAGCGATGAGTGCGGCGGCTTGCTCACGGGTAACGATATTACCGGCGATGATATCAATGTCCGGGAAGGTGGACTTGATCCACTTGATCATGGCAATCTGGTACATACTGTTTCCCTGGCTGCTGTCGACGACGACAATGTCGAGACCAGCGTCGACAAGCTTCTGAAGGCGGACCTTGTCAGCATCGTGGGTGCTGATGGCCGCGGCGCAAAGCAGTTGCTTAGATGGAAGCTTCGACGCGAGAGGGTAGTGGATGTTCTTCATCAGGTCACTGCGCGAGAGGAGGGAGACCAATAATCTATCCTTGTCCACAATGGGGAGCTTGCCCTTCTTGGATCTGCGGAGAACTTCATTGGCTTCAGCCAGGGTGGTGCCCGCGGGTGCGGTGACGAGATCAGTTGCCATAACGGCTGTGACTGGATCCTCGGGCGTCTTGTGGAACTGGATATCTCTGCTAGTGACGATTCCGAGAAGCTTGGAGTGGAGAGTGCCCTTTTCTAGAAGCGAAACCAGTCAGAACCCGCCAATGACCCGAATGATAGCAAATAGATGTGTCTTACCAGTCACTGGAAATCCGCCGAAACTCCATTTGGTCTTCAATTCCGTTGCCTCCGCTACGGTTGTGCTAGGAGACAGAACGACGGGGTCGAGGATGAAGCCGTTCTCATAGCGCTTCACCTTCCTGACCATCTCAGCCTGCTCATCGGGCGGGCAGTTGTTGTGAATAACTCCCAGACCACCCAGAAGAGCCATGTGGATAGCCATGTTATGTTCGGTCACTGTATCCATAGGGGAGGACAGGAGAGGGGCCTTAATGGAGAACCGCCGGGTGACCTTGGTCTCCAAGGAAACGTCCGCTGCCGAGAAAGCTTTGGGCGAGATTAGAATACATGGCTGGTGTGAATGAGGGTCAGTATCTTACTGATAGAGCCTGGCAGGATGAGGAAGTCATTGTAGGTCAAGGCTCCGTGGTTGTCAGAGTCGAGAAGGGTATCAACATGGAGACCATCTCCGGAGGGATACTCCTTAAGGACCTCCAAGGCCTTGGTGTAGTCCTGAATTTCGAACATAATTTATGTGGGAACATAAGATAGAAGAGAAACAGTATGGAATTTTTGAGGGGGAATGGTTCCAAAATAAGTCAGAGGGGCAGGGGGTTGGGGTGCCTTTTAAACAGGGGGCCAAAAAGTGGCATACTTAGCGAAACGCCTCTCATATACGATTCTTTGCTAGAGGGGGGTTTGAACCCGTGGGTGTAAATGACTAATGAGCTTGTCATACGCTTGTGTCATGACGCTAGCAGGTGGTAAAGGAGAAACGACCAATCAATGCGAAACTAGTCATATTTATAGATCGTCGGGGTGGAAAAAAGGATGACGTTCGATCTGCCTGCGCCATACCTAAACTGGGAAGAACGCAGGGATTCCGATCCAAGCCCCACACTACCCCAGTCCCTAGAAAGAACATTGGTTCAAACTTTGGAGTTGTGACCGACTAAATACGTCCGGGTTGTCTCCGAGGCCCGGAAACCATCCTTCGGCCCCGCTTTACCGAAGTTTGAGCGCCGCCAGGAACCTTTGATGATCGCAGCCTAGACTTTCAAGGTTGGGGGCTAAATTGGGCTTTGTTTGACTTTTGAATTTCTATCTATGGATCGGTTGAAGTGACCAGAGTCATAATGTTGCCAATCGAAGAATGCTCGTTACTATGGTGCTATTCGGAAAATGAAATTAATGGTACGCCACGGTAGCCATTGACCTTATGAAAGGATCGCAGGTAGGCATGAGATCTTATAGAGATAAGAGACATTTCTTATAGGCAGCCAATACCAAACATGGAAATGA